CTGCATGCTTCGTTCAGTTACGTATTGCTCAGCCCCATGTCTATGTGTGTGTTTTTTTCTCATCGGTTCCACATCGTGTCTCAAGAGTAAGGATGCATGCGTGTGTGGTGGTGGAAGCTGATGAGGATGGGGGTGAAAGAATTGGGGGTTGGGGGGGGGAGGGAAGTGAAGAGAAAACAAGAGATGGGGGATAAAAAAAGTGGTTGAATGAGATGAAAGAATGAATGATGATGATGATGATAGATGCTATCTATAGTAACAAACACAACACGATGACCGTGATGGTGGTGGGTTGTGGGTGGCAAATAGCATGTTTTATCATTTTTCTTCATGTCGTCATTTAGATGGTCGCCGAAGCAAAAGAGAGGTTTCGAAGATGTCATCGACCCCATTCAATGGTTACACCAACCATTATTCACTGACGCAAATGCAGCACTATTTTCTTTCCATGATCGATAATAAGAAATACACACAAAGCTTCATCTCCACGTATACAACATGTCATCACAATGATGAAAGCACAGATCGATTCAATTTGGGGACTCAAATACTAGGTTGGGCAAATAACGTGGTTACCGTTGCGTGGGAACGGGATGGTATTCATTTTACACACCCATGCAAGAGATGCATGTTTTACATACGAAATGGATATATATATACAAATGATAGTAAGCAAGCAAGGGTGATGAGTCGAGTGTCGGCAATGTGTGTTGTAACTAATGTTGCACATCTCTTGGCATAAGTCCCATAATTCATGTGACCAAAGGCTTTCATTTTGTAAGTCAGCCAAAACGGGCATTACAGGTTGTCTCTTCTTCACACACACACAACACACGCACGACCACTTGTAATATACCCTTCTTTCACACACCAACTACACATATCATGGACTGGTCACGATTCAAACAAGTCTGGCAGAAATTCAACGTTGCCAATCTCCTCTTTTGCTATTGCCTTCCAATCTTTTACTTGTTCTTCCCAGCATGGCTAATGCCAGCCATTTTCCTGCGTACACTCTCCTTTCTCATTGGCTGCCTATATCAACTTGTCCTTGATCACCACACGGGTCAACAACGACGAAGGCGACGACGACATCGAAACAACGGCCGAGGATCAAGCAAATGGCTCCACCAACAAGTACAACACTCGTCTTCTTCCACGTCTTCTGATTCAGACGATGCCATGGATCAGTGGATACTAAAGTGCTCTATTTGTCTGACACGTCGTTACAACTTGTGCCTTGAAACATGCCGTGATCAATTTTGCAAGGGTTGCTTTGAACGGTAAGCATTCGATACGCGCTTTTGGGTGGTTGTGGTAGTACCGGGCCGAGGTTTTATCCATTCATTGTTGTGTTCCACATGTACTGAGTGACATATCGGCTGATGTTCTCCGATAGATATGTTGAAGAAGTTGTTCAAGGATCTTGGGGTTTGGATGTGACAAGGATAAAGTGTCCAGGTAGGATACAGTGACCCAATACGCTTTAGATTGTGGATGGATCTCTCATTATGTGATCTATTTAGTATGCCTTGACCCGATCCGACAATCGGAATGGAGCCGCTATGTATCAGCATCTTTGGTCGAACGTTATGAGCAATTCAATCAACCCTTCAGACCTTTTTCTCGTCATTGCCCTTCATGTCGTTCACCTGTCATTCCATGCCAATCACCACGTACAAAGGGAATTACTCGTCAAAGGTAAGGATACACTACTTTTTTTTAAAGTAATGATGGGGATGCTGATAACTTTGTTATAGGCGATTGGACATGATTGCTGAGCAAGTGCAATCCCTAGGATATCCACCCCTTGTCATCCCAACTCCGTTTCGACACAGCACCTTGCAATCCCTGATTCAACAACTCACACCTATCCTTCGTCAAGCTGCTCAACAAAATGACAGATCCATTTATATGCGAGCATCCATCATATCCAAACAATTAGTGGCATTGGAAACGGTACCTGAGACATGGAAGCAGGCACAATTTGCTCACATTGCTACTTTTGCCGTTGATACTTGGTAAGATTGCGAGAGATACACGCCCCTGTTTTCATTGTTCTCGTATTGATATGATATCACCCATCCTCTAGTACTCACTGCGGGCGTGATGTATGTCTACAATGCGGAGAATATGGTCATTCAGGAATTACTTGCATCGACAACCTACGACGCAAGCTCCAACAAACACAAGAATCTGCTGAGGCATCTACCGTACAATGGAAGCTTGAAAATACGTAAGTCGGCGAATCAAATGGGGAATACGTATGTATGTTCTTTTTCTTATGGATGAATTTAGCCGAGGATGTCCCAGATGTGCCATCATGATTTGTCGGGATGAAGGATGCAATAAGGTGGATTGCCTCTACTGCGGGTTCCAGTTTTGCTGGTCATGCCGTGATCCGTGGTCACAACGCTCATGTGGATTTTACGAATGTGGCAAGGAGGTTCCAACACAACAACAACAACAACAATCATCATCATCATCACCATCATCATCTCATTATACCAAGGTAAGTAAGGGACGGAGGAATGATCATATAGAAGTGAACGTTATATATTTATTATGGTTGATTAGGCCGAGCTAGGCGTACCTGATATTGATGCTATCATGCAAAGTACATAATAAGAGGAAGTGTTATACCTGTTTCTACAAGGGATGTGGAATAATGATTTTACTGTGCATTTGTTGCCCATGTATGTGTTTGTGTGTGTGTGTGTGGCGCGTTTAGAAGGGGTAGTGGTGGTGGTCAGCAATATGGAATGATCAAGGGGGAAATGGCATCATATTAGCGGTCGTACTGGAGCGACGTGTCATCACTAGCACTTCTTCCAACGCCTTTCTGGAAGCTTGTTCCTGAACCAGCTGCGATTGTAATTGCTCAATCAATCCAAACAATGCCTTGGCTTCTTGACTTGAGAGGTTTTGTTGTATAGGAGGAGTTTGTGGTTTGTACTTGATGGCAGCAGGACATGACAGCCGTCTTTTCCTTTTGGCTGGTGTTGCTTCTTGAGACGAGGAAATTTCATGTTCCATTGCTTGATCAGCATCAGTAGTACGCAAACGAGCACAAAAGGGACATGGCATCGTGTTGGGTGGTTTGGGAAATGCGATGTGAGCCAAGGATGATGAAAGGGATGGGTTCTTTGTAATGTTGTTGTTGTTATCAGAAGCTCGCGTTTTGACTTGCTCAACATCTTTTCTTTCTTGAACATCGACAATATCATAGTAACGATTGGTGCGTTCAGGACATGATCGACGTCGTGGTTCAACCGGTGTTTGTGGCAAAGGAGACTTGGGTGGCACTGATAATGGTACCGTTGGATCATAATACACCGGTAGAGGGATATGCTTGGATGATGCTTCGGTCAAAGGTGACACCTGTTTCCTTTTATTGCCTGGTGTACGAAGACGAGAAAGTAATTGTCGGTGGCGTGAAGGAGAAGATAGCATGGGTGATTGTACCGGTGGACCAGTGGTAGCCAAAAATCTTGCAAGCTCATCAGTATAGGAAGGCATTATTATTGCTTATGTATCGTTGTTGAAGCTGCTTCACGTATTTTTATATATCCACGCAAGAAAGAAAGAAGAGAAAAAGGAACAACGAGCACAAGGCAATTGCAACAGCTAATGTTTATATAAGGTTTTCCAGAAGAATCGAGCAAAGGAGAGAGGGAGAATAGTATATACAGGTCCAAAACTAATCGACATAGAGCAGTGATGTCTACTCCCTTATGACGTGTGTGCATTAAAAAAGTGCGAGTGTGTGTGAGTGTGTATAAAGAAAAACAAATAGTGCGTGTGTGTGTGTGTAGGTAGACTATAGAGTACGTGCATTTGTGTTATAATATGACTTCCTCCCCCATCTCCTTGATCCCGAATAGAAAGACTTTCATTCTTTTTACGACAAGAGCTCGTGGTATTGATCACCCCTTTTTTTTGGTGTATAGAAGATAAGCTCCTTGTTGCAAACCCCTTTCGCCTAACCACTACAGCTGCTGAACGCCGTTCGTGGTAGTAGAAGAATCGTGTGTGTCATGTGGTGATGATGGCTGTTGCTCATTCGATATAAATGATTGCTCTTGTACGTTGCTGTTGCTTGAAGTGATATCAGGAGTAGTGGTGGTAGAATGTTGTCGTTGACCAACAGCAAGCATAGACATGGCTCTATTATTGAGCATATGGGGTGCACCAGTCTCAGGTATCGAACCAGGGCAAGAAGACGATGATAGTTGTAGTTGCGATGAGGAGGAGTTGATGCGAGATTTTCTAACCATTGTTGCTGGTGATACAGCATTGGTAGACCCTGCGGATCCCAAAAGCAGGAAGCCTTTTCTTGGTTGTGATGATGATGATGGATGCTCCGTCGTCGTCGTTGCTGCTGCAGTGCTATGCACGTTGCTCCTCCTACTACAATCATCACTATTCTTCTTCTCCTCCTCTTGATCGCAAGTTGATTCTTTGGTGCATGTCGTCGTCATCCCTTTTGCCGCTGCATTCTTCTCCTTGTTGATTGCAGCAGATGGCCGTGCTGAATTCGACTCAGATGACCGTATCATTGATGCTTTACTCGACAAGGAGTTTGACACGGATGTTGTAGAGGAGGACCGCTTCCATCGCCGCCATCCTTCAAAGTCAATAAGGGCTTGCATGCATCCCCATTCAATAATCTTCTTCTCGAGCCACTCAAGGCTGATTGGTTTGGTAAGGAAATCATTACAACCAGCAGCAAGTGCAGCATGTCGATCTGAATCTTTGGCTGATGCCGTCAATGCAACGATAATCACGGGTGATTGAAAAGATGAAACTTGGGTATCCTCTGGTACTTGTTGAAGGGATGATGAAGAAGCGATAGTAGTGGTATCTTGCTCAGCAGGTAACACGCCAATTCGCTGCTCCTTTTCAATGGAACGGATCGTCTTGGTGGCTGTAATACCATCCATCACTGGCAATTGAATATCCATCTGCAGAAAGATATTAATTAGAGTTACTCACGCCGATACCTTTTACTCGTTCTCCCGCGCGTTTCCCATATGACAAGTAATTCATCTTTCCTCGTCTCTCCCTTACACGCAATCCTTTTTTCCCTTTTCATCCATCTCCTCATGCAATGCATCATGCAGGATAAATGTACTTACAAGCACAAGATGAAAACCACCTCCCTTCCAACGTTCAACGGCCTCTTGTCCATTGCTTGCCACTGAGCATTTGATCTTGTGTTTCTTCATCCAAGTCGATAAAATAGCTTGATTGATCATGTTGTCTAAAAGACCAATGTCAATAAAATCAACCCTTTTCCAAATAAGCGCATCCTTTCTTACCTTCCACAATAAGCACATTGATAGGCGGGCTTACGGTATTTGCAAAGGCACCTGATGAAGACCCCCTGTCAGACTTTAGCTTTTTGCTCAATCGGACGGTGCGTTTTCTTCTCAGACTATTGATGAGCGAAGGTTTCTCATGGCCGACACCTCCGCCAACAGCTACTTCACGATCCATCTCCTCGTGGTGTGGTTTGTTCTCCTGCGATGGCGATACTTTAGCGTTTGCTGCATCTGATGTTGTTGTATCTGCATCATCCTTTTTCTCTCTTTCATCATGAGCAGGAGTTTCTGCCGGTGTCTCGGGAGGTAAGGTACTTGTAGGTAACCCTTTTTGATCCGTATTATGCGGTGGTGATGCCCTGTTATTATTGTTGTTGTTGTTTACAGATGGCGGATAGCTTGGCGGCAATTGAGATGATGGCGATGAAGAAGAGGAGAATAACATGGTCTCGTCTCCTCTTTCATTGACTCCTTGTTCTCCCTCATTATCATCACCCACTCCCAATGGAGAAGACTTGTGTTGGCGATTGCTATTGGATGTTGTTGTTGGTGCTGGTGATAATGGTCTCGATGATTGCCCTCGAAGTACATTGAAATATCCATTGTTGTTGGCATTCTGATCGGCAGCAGCAGTAGTCATTGATGATCCTGGTGATGATGAAGGTGACATTCCCCGACGATGGTTGCCTTGTTCATGAACATGAGGAGTCATGTATCCATCTTTTCTACCCGTCATAGGTGCTGGGGTTGTTGCATGTTGATGTTGTTGTTGATATGGTGCATGATGCTCTCCCATCATCCATAATGATGGACTTGAAGGTGATGTAGCAATCGGCATAAAGTGTGGTTCAACAGTAGCATCATGCCATCCAGTGTGCAAAGCTGTCAAGAATCGTCGGGGTCCAGCTGGCTTTGGTACCACCACAAGACGTGGCATCCCGTTTGGCGGTATTGGCATGCTATGCACCATATCTCGTAATCGCTTATAATTGGTCAAGGACGTAAAATGAATGATAGCAGCTGTGTATTTAGCGTTCTTGTGCTGTCGACCTCCTTTGTGTTGTTGTTGTTGTTGTTGTGCTGAAGGTCGTCGTTGATGGTTGTGGAATGCTTTCAGCTTATTCTCAAGCGTTTCAATATCATCATCAATCAAAATAAACGTAGGCGGTACTGAATGCAATTGTTCCTCGGCAATGGCTGGTGAAGGTACAACAGGCTGCTCTTGTTTCTTCTTTGCATCATCATTATCCTCCTCATCATCCGATTCACGTACAGTCAAAACACCCACCGGCACATGGCTTATATCGGCATTCCAGCTTGCAAGACAACTAGTGAGATGACGAGCAAATACGCTTTTTTCACGTGCGTGCAACACCATTTTGACGCCATTTAAGCGTTCAATAAACTTGGCCAAATCACTCAATGTTGGATCTTTTGAGAAGGATGTATGGTGGTGTTTGGTGCTCGTTGCATTGTTGGTGTTGGAAAGTGAAAAGCTGCTGCCGGGATCATCAAGGAGTAACAATTTGCGTTGCCCAGCTGGGCCCTGGTGTTGGTTGCTTGGCGACATTTCCATATCAATTGTCATTTCATATCGAGTCCGATTCTCTGCCAATGTATTGATATGCAATTGCCCACCCATCGATGTCAACAATCTCTCTGTCGCTATGGTTCTTGGTAGTAAAGCATGACTAAGGCTGTGTGGGATGGCTGGAGATGCTGTATGAATAACCTCAAGGATGACGTGTAACGGCTGTGGAACCGATAAGAATGGCGATGTGGTGGATGTAGATGAACCAGGCGTCACATTCAATCCAAGCTCAATACATGCACCAGGTGTGCACCCTTCGAGAATATTCCAAACAAGCTATAAGATGCATAATCATGTTAGTGAATGAATTGGATGATGATGATGATAATAATACATACCGTGAGTAATGCATGTCGAATAGGCTCAGGATCACCAAAAACGTTAGCGTGATGCATTCCATTGTCCGCGTGATACAAGATCAAATTGACATCCAGCTTGGCAGCCATACCAGCTAGTGCATCAGCTGCATTCTGCACGAGATCACCAATATCAAACGCGATTGGATTGTTGTTGTTGTTGGAAGGAGAGTCTTCATCAATGGTGGTTGCTGGTTCCAATTGATGGCTAATGTAACAAATTTGTTGTGCTGTTGTATGGATGGCAGAGATGCTGGCAATCGGTACAGCAATTGAACAAGCACTCAGCAATTCGTGGGTATTCGTCAAGATGGTGGCAGGGGAAAATTGCTCCAGTGTTGTGATCACCATGCGAGCAGCCTCTTGTAGTTCTCGAGAAAAGGATTCAAGCTCTTCACTTTGATTGTTGGTTGGTTGCTCGATCCATGACGTAGACGCTGCGGGTGATGCCATCATAAAACAATATTCGTTGTCTTGCTGTGAAGGTTGTTGATTGTTGACAAAGGTATTCATTGCCATGGCGACACGATTTGTGGTAACAAAGCAACCGAGACTCATGGCCAGCATGATCCATGATAATGTCGTTGGTGTATCATTCAACAAGAAATACATTGTCGTCATCGTTGCTATGATGTTGTATTGTCCCCAACGGATCATCTTGTCGCTTTCTTTTCCTCCTTTGACCAACCAAAGCACGAGCCACCAGATAGCCCAATGTAATAGCTGAATTGATCGAAAGATGGGGTCCGTGCCAGTATCAATGATGCTACTGATAGTGCAAAGTGCGGCTGCTATTCGCATGATCCATCGTATTTGTTGTTGAATCATTCCACATGGTGACACAGGATCAAAGACCGAAGGTGCACACACAGCATCTTCCTCGTGTTGGTACACAGTTGCGGTGACCTGATGCTTGTTCATGTTGTAGATTCACCAGTGGTAATTCTGCATGTGAGTTGTACTCGGTCTTCAAAATAGAGCTTGCGTAGTTCCTAGAGTAGAGTAAGAGTAGACTTGCGAATGAGCAACCTTTGAATGCGTTTGAGTGTTGAAGAATGAGACTTACAATGGGAGCAAGTGAGCAAGGGAAAACAAAACAAAAAAAGAGCGGTTGTGGAGAAGGAGGTGTGGAGGGGAGGAGGGGAATAAGTGAGTGGGTGAGAAAGAAAAAAGAAAACGAGCATTTGCCAATATGGTGTGCATAGGAGGACACAAGAGTAGGTTAAAGGCCCTGCTAGGTGGTACCTGCCACACCTACTATACACATAACCCCACTCACACACGCTCTTTCTCGCTTGCTCTCTCTTTTCACACACGCACACATATGGTTTATACTATACTGCTGAGCCTGTACAGAATACTTTAAGGGGAAGGGGCATCAAGTCGATCCATGATTGTGGGATATTATTGATTACCTTACTGCTAGTCATTAGGGGTGGGTTGAGAATGTGTGTGGGTGTTTGTGCCATTACCATATCCCTTTCTTTATTGACAGCACATTTGTCGGCAGCTTTATTTAGACAAGTTCATGGTTGTGCGAGTGTATGGTTGGAAAAAAGGAGACTTGTTAATCAGGTTAATCCTAAAGTGCAAAAGACCCTGTTATTTCGCGATGATGACTCCACTCTTTACCAATGCCAAGTTTTTCATCTCGGTTGGATATGCCACATTTCGTTACGCATACCGATCGTGACACACAACTTTTTACCCGCATTGTCCCACCGGCCTTCACACACATACACACATGCACACACACATCGATCCAATTTTTGATGTGCCATATCATCACACGATCTACGTACGTGCTAGCTTTGATATATCTTACACAATGGGACACTTTTTATGACTGCTACACAAAAAGGTTGAAAAGGGTTTCCTTTGTTGGATCCGATTATCCACAAGAGGATTAACGCTAGCCGATCATTTAGATATGAAACGCATTGTTGTTTAAATAGGCTTATCGCTCACACTTTTTTATGTATCATCAGCATCATCCCTTTTGTACACAATACATAGAGTTTAACCATCCAAGATGATGTTGCTACAATCCTATTACAGCATTCCTATACACTCCCTTTATTGAAAACCTCACACAATGTTAAGCGGATCTGTGGAGAAGATGGTTTTCCGATGCAAGGGGTGAAAATGTAGGAGTAGAGGAGGCTTTTGGATTCGGAATAAGCGGGCCGTGGGTAGCCCTCCTCCTCCCCACAAGAATAACAGGCACGCATTTGAAACGCCCATGCGTGTCTTCTCCACACTTTAGCTCCCTGCTTTTCAGGTTAATTGTCTTTGAGCTATCACCATTCTCCTTCTAAAATGTTCTTTAATAATGATATCAATATGTTTCACGATACGTGGTCGTCTTGGAGGAGTGGTCGATAAGGTGATGATGCATAGTAATAATGCCAATGTTAGATTTGCATGTAGCCTTTTCAGTTTACCAAACATCGATGAGGAGAGATACATTATTATTCAAGAGTATAGGAGAAAGAGAGGAAATGAGTCATGAGCAATGCTACATATTTGGCAAAAGAAAAGTGGTATAATATGGATGGTGGTATGTATTGGATAATAGCGATAGAGAAAGAGAGAGTGTGTAGTAAGAGATCCCTGATCTTTATAAGCTACTACTACTATCATGCTATGTAGATTATGTACTTGCAATCGCATTGGCAATCCATGATCGTTGACAATAGGGCTTCCGAACTCTGCTGCTACGTCCAATTGTACCTGCCACCACGGCATCATATTGTGCTTTATCATCATCCACTACGGTGGTTGTAGATGAGCCCAGCTCATCTTGCTGTTGTTGTTGTTGTTGTTCAAGTGGCGAGGTCGAGCTTAATGGTAATAACGTGGATGATGGAAATGGCCCATGGCAAAATAATGATTCGTCAGCAGTGGTGCTGCTAGAGTCGGTGACAATGGATGATGGATCAGCTAAGGATTGAAGATGATGATGATGATGCGTTGAAATAGGGATGCTTCGTGGTTGTGTAGGTAGAAAGGATGATGATGCAGCTGTTGTAGTAACATCGTCTGTAGTTGAACTAGCATCGGTTATGGCAGAGGAGGTATTATAATGCTGGTCCACATCAATGGATAAACGCAAATGGCCATTCATGCTTGCAGTGCGTTTGAGAAGAGCTGGGCGTTTGCGGATTTTATATGGTGTTTCGTTGTCATTGTACCTTTCGGGGTGATCTTCAAACATGCTTGCTGAAAACTGCTCCCTTACTGTGCGGTGGTGGCGAGGTGGGGGTGAAAGTGCACCTCCATAAACAATATCAGGTGATGGTAATGGATGGTATTCAGCTATTAGATACGCATGTTAGTGTATGGTGCTTGTTGGTATAATAGGCAATGGTGTACCTGAAGTTCGCTGCAATTCATTCCTGCTGCAGATTTGTTGTTGTGGCGTTGGCGGTGGTGATGGTAATGCCTCATCCATAAATCGTTGCGATGCAACCGTATCATCATTGTTCATGGTCGTTTCAATATCATCATCATGCGCATTTCTATCATTACGTTTCCCCTTGTGAATGAAGCGTAAGCATGATATGACCTTGGCAAATCGTTTCTTTGCATCAAGACGAGGTTGTGGTTGTGGTGGTGGTAGTGTTTGTCGCTGTTGATATGACGACGACGATAACGGTGAAGGCGGCAAAGTGTGGTGGATATGATTGCTGGATTTGTCACGGTGATCGGTTTTGCGTAACCGTTGTACGGATCGTCCTCGTCGAAATAATAATGAAGAGACAAGCCGATCGCTCATGCTACTGAATCCACGTCCATCAACAAGAAAAACTAGCTTGGATTGCTTGCTTGCTTCTTTTCCAGGCGGGAACAACGCTTTTGTGAAAAAAGGAGAAAGAGAGGTGTTTGGAGCACGAGGCAAAATAGTAGCCCAGGTGTTTGCTTATCACAACAAAATGGACATTTTCCCCTAACCTTTTTTAGTCAATGGTGTCGTCCCACAGCAGGTATCACCCTTTCTACCTTCACTTTTTCATTGCCATTGTAACAACCCCTTCCTTTATAAATCGTCCCTTTGCTGTCCCATCCACTTGACCCGCCCACTTTGAGGAGACGACCTTCCATTGGGGAAAGCTCAAAAAGGATCTTACTGATAAGCATAATACATGAAAGAATGGCTGTGCCCCACTGTTTGTTTGTTGTGTATGGTGCGTACTTTAGTCGTATACATATGAATGGAATACAAAATGGATGCAATAGATAAGGTGTTGCTGTAAAAGTGAGAGCGTGTCTGAAGATGTTGGATAGGTGTGTGTGTGTGTGTGTGTGTGAATGTGTATATATAAAATGTGGTTGATGCGATCGTTTTGAATACGTAAGGTGCATGTGATGTAAAAGCTCACTCAGGCGATTGGAAATTCCCTTAGTCGTCGCCCATAGCAACATCTTCTGATACAAGGGAACGACCTCCTCGTTTGCCATTGTCGGGTTTACCCAATCCTGCAGCTGCATCAGCCTATACTCATTGTTTTCTCGGTTAACGAATATGGCTCCCTTTTTCGTATGATTCTCTCCTCAATCCATCCTCCTTTGTTTACCTCAGCTTGTGTATAAGGTTCTTCCTTTAGTTGTTTGAGACGCTTCTTGTGCAACTTGCCACGAACATGCTCCTTGAATGCAGCTTCAGTGATAAAATGACGACTACAGTGCACGTGAAATTAGATATCCACATCCACCCCTTTGGCTCAATCCCCACCACACTATTCCTGATATCCACTTACGCGCACTCGATGCAATAGTTTTGACCAAGACCAGGTTTATCAGGATCCAAGGGCTGGTTCTTTAACTTTTGTGCATTCTCTGGCTTAATGTCGTCGTGGATCTGGTCGAGATCTCGGGTGTAGTTGCGAGTACGATATTTGCGATAGGTATCACGGATGCTGTGATGCGTTCTAGATCGACGAAGTCTATACAACAATAAACGAGCCACGATTAGCAAACCAACGAATACTGTGGCCATCGTTCTTTTCCTTACCTGCCCATGCTGTAAACGATTCAGAGCAAACCTGGTTGGAACCCGAAAAAATTCCCAAGCGCATTAAAGTTCTCGGCTGTGGCTGAGTTGGTTCCTTGGACTTGGAGCACCGCATTAACGCTGCATGACATGATCTTGGATGTGTAGTCAACTTCCTGGATGTCGTAGCCAAACATTATGCTGGATCACGCCTTCATTGTAATACATTTGAATACATAATGAGCATAAAGTTTCCTCATTTCAAAAGCATCCATGTAGTTTTCTTCAATAAAAAACGGATTTGATCCCTTGTGTTACTTTAATTGATTCATCAATGGGTAAAAAAGTGTTACTAATATCACATACGTGAACCACTACAGATGCTATTGCATCTTTTGAATGGTGACTTTGCCCGATGGAATGTGCTTTCGGTTGTCTTGGTGGAAGGTGATGGCTTCTTGTAGGATGAATTGATAGCGCCGAAGAAGCATTGATATGATTGTTTTCGTTTGATGCATTGCAAACCAGCGACCACTATATACAACATCATGAAATTAAGATGTTGACTTCATACATGTTTACATATCACTTACGGGCATGAGTGGGATCCTAAACCAAAAACCAAGAAATCATCTCCGAGCTTGGTTGATGGACGATCAACGCCAACAAAGCGGAAAGGTTTAAATTGATGATAATCACCCAAACCATCACGCTGCACGCTTGCATCTTGATGGTTGCCCCATAAATTAAGCAACACTTCTTGTCCTATAGGTCTTGTTTGTTAATGAAATTACACTCCCAACAAGGAGACAACGTTGTATCTTTACCAGGTCGAATGGTGTAACCGTTTGTAAAAGTGAACGGCGACTTGCCAATGTAAGTATGCGGGTAATCAAGATAAAAGCTGCGTAGTCGCGTAGCTTCACGACACACGCTATCAAGCTTGACAAGATCCTTGATCACTCCACCAGTGAATAATGTGGTCAAATCATCATTATCATTGGCACCGGGTCCATGATGCTTCTCCAGGACTTGGTTCTGTTCTTGCAACAGCTCATCAATCACTTCTGGATGCTGCAAAATGCGATAAAGGATAACAGTGGCATTATCTTTAGTAGTTTGATTCGCCACAACTACCACCCCCAAAAGCCAGTTCGCAATCAGCAAATGTTTTTCAGGGTCGCGAGGCGTGAGTTTGGTCTCTTCAATGACACATTGAATAAAGTCATACTATACCATTGCTATTATTAGATCATGGATGTCATCCACATTCATATCAATATTAACGCTATACTTGCCGGATTTTCTTTTCCATTTTCAGTGGCTGCCAACCTTTCGTCAACAATAGGTCCGATCACTTCAAGTAAATGCCTTCTATGTTTACCGACAGCACTTCCATATTTGCCAAGATACCACATTCGCAAACGATTAATTGATGGGAATGCGTCAAGGAACACATTACCATCACCTAGCTCCATGTAGATATCACGAGAAAGATGTTTGTATGTATCGACCAGTTCTTCATCCTTGGTAAACTCCGGACCCACAAAAGTGGTTATACTGGCAATGGCCACTAGGTGCTCAATAAAAAGACGCAAATTGTCCAGCTCCAATGGCTCTGTATGATAGTAATTAGCCCCATCTACAAGGCGAAGAGAATAAACGTGAAGCAATACATACCTTGATCATCCCCAAATATATCATGCTCTGCCGACATCAACTACCACGTTGTAAATAAGTCATACGTAAGTGGAACGATCATCCGGAATGATACATCAGGCATTCGCTATACATACTTGCCCCACAATGCTTGGCGTGTTGGCCATCATCTTCGCATTGGTGTATGTGATAATTGTACGGCGTATCTTTTCCGGGACAAATCTTCCTCTCTTTGGTGCATCAAGCAATAACCAAAGATCAAAGGTCTTGGTTGATCCAATTGTTGTTACAAGATGAGTACAACATATAGAACATCATACAGCATTAATGGTTACCTTTATCCTTCCTAGCTCAAAGTTAAAATCATCCTTACGAAGGGAGCGTGTATATTCTCCAGATATCACAGTATGTATCTAGCCATTATGCCACTGCATTAGCCGATGATCAAAAATAGGATCATGTATTACATACTCTTCCGTAGAGATGAACTCGAAACACAGGTCCTAGTATCGATGTCCACTTTTCAATGAAGGCTTTTGGATCTTTGCGGTACTCTCTTGAAGATCCTATTAGTGGGAATGTATAAGGCACCAATGGCGCTTCTTGCTTTTTCGAATGCGATCGAGACTACATAATAAAACGATGCATGATGAATCAGCTGCTATTCATTTGGTTGTGATGGTGATGAAAAGATGTTTGCTCTCGAACGACTTACTCGAGAAAGTGCATAAGCAGTAATAACAGTGCACAATGAAACTAGAGCAATTGAGCGTGTTTTAGCATGGGATGGGTCATTCAAGAAAGCAGTGATGTTTTTGGTGCTGAGTGTCGAGACAACAGTGGAGATAACTCCCGTATCAAGAAACGCCTTGTCCATGATAACGTTGTATTCAATGTGAACCCTAGTTCTTTATTGACCTCTTTTCTTTTATACGCGCATCCATCATCCCGCGAACCAAAGTCAAGTTTTATGCATGGTCAGCTTTTCACTATGCAGCCACTCCTTAAATGTTGGCATTGAATACAAGCTAGCTCTCGACATGCATGGCTGTGGCATTGAGCATGATAGCGTTTGGTTACCTTTTGATTTGGTAGGGGGAACGAGGGGTCCATTTTTGGCGTGCGTTTTCTTATGCAATGGTGTCTAATCTCCTGTTATTCATTACATCCTCACTTGGAGAACCACAGTCATCTCTTGCCATCGGCAATTTTGGTCAGCATATCATAAGCATACAAAAGTAGATATGAAAAAGTGCATCAAATCAAATGCGATATGTATGCCATTGCACAAAGAAGCAAAGCCAAATTGAAATCTTTTCCCCTATTGAATGAAAAATCATAGCACACCGCCTTGCTATATAAAATACCACCAGCAAGCATCTTGAGCTATGTAATAACATGCATATGTACGATTTGATAATATGCATACATCATGCACTGTATGCTTGACTTTAATCTTCATCTACGATCATTACGGCACTGTGCATGAGTCGTCCTCAGCCTTCGTCATAGCGAGATCACAAACAAATACAACAAGTTGTGTCATGGAAATGTGTATTAACTAGCGAGAGCTGATCAGGATAGAGCCAACTTGGTCAGCAGGGGTGATCTTTAGAGAGACGCTCAAGGGCATAGCAACAAAAGGATGGCCTTGTATGTCCATTACGGGGGGAGGTTAAACCAAAGGTGCTGCAGGATTGTGCGTATGAGGTGCATTATGTATCAATTTCCATTCACTCATGGTACCTTAGAACAAGTCACCATTCATCATTGCTGCAAATGGAGGGATCACTTCACTTTTTCTCTTCTCAATGTCATCCCACTTCCCACTCCTCCTTATTGTATCACAAAAGCCATATACTCCTTGCATGACCGATAATAACCGGACCGCTCCCATCTTCAAAGCAATAGTATGTAACCCACAAGCTAGTAAAGTCCAAGCGTGTAATAAAACAACAATGCTTTATTTCATCTAGCTATCTTGCTACATTGCCACCACCATCCTCGTAGTCGTCCTCCGTTATCATTCGTACTCGTTACCAGCCGTCAATCACATCGTCGCAAATATCAATAAACACACAAGTTGAAGAGAATGAGATCTTGCTTCCTTTTGAATCTCGTTGTCGTCATCATTGTCATTGCTGTAGATGGGGTGATCATCGTAATCGTCATTGTTGTGAATGTGGTAATCATCGTAACCGTCGTCTCTACAAATAAGAAAGCAGGCAAGTTAGACCATCTGGTACCGGAATGATGACGATTTGGTAAACCGTTAGGCGATCCTCTCAAAGGAAGAAAGCAAATCAGAAGGAATTCACAACCCAAATCACCACCATACGAGCAACGTCGGGCGATCCCTTGTTCTTGAGAAAGCACTGCACGAATCACGCAAGGCCAGTTCGATCGATGGCAAGGAAGGACATCACTTACGTAGAGTCCAGGCTCATAGTTGTTCTCATTCATCCTCTCCAAAGAAAGAATGATCCCCAATCCAATCCTTCCAATCATTTCTCACCTCATGAAAAGAAATCCTCAAGGGAAAGAACGAGCCTATCACGAGAAGAGCGTGTTGGTTCAACACATTCACAGGCTGTTGCAAATCCCCTTTTACCTCAACACGGTGACCATGCTCTTCCAAAAATCCATCGTCATCGACCCGTCAACTCAACGCAGGACTATAGAGCCCTGGACGCGTTCCAAGAACCTTTTCCTTTTCCAGCACACTTGGCTAATGCAGAGCGACGCAGCGGCCACTTGATACAGGCTGGGACTTGAACCCAAAGAGATGATGATGATGCCCCCAAGTTGCATTGCCTGACCAAAGAAATCTATTCAATTCATTATTAGCACACACACAATAAAACCCCTTTGCATTGTTTGTTTAATTGTACTTGCTTTTTCCATATACACAAAGACCCGTTGTTGTTGGTTACTGGAAACCGAAAACCATGGTGTAGCATAGTTGAGCCGAAACAAAACGCCAAACCAGCCAAGGTCTTGAAACCGAACTTGCCCTCTATACAAGCTGACGCGTCAATGGAACCAATTCGGCTGCAACATTGGACTCTGAATGTACCTGTTGACACCAAGCGTAGAGCGGGAATAGCAACGAGCAAAAGGAAGCAACAGTATCGCCATGGCAACCACCAACCACCAACCACCAACCACGCTCATTCCTCAGCACTTGGACACACTCACTCCCTGACAATGCATGTTCAGAACTACATTAACACCTCACAGTCAACAAGAGCACTCTCTGATAACACATTACCTACCTTGATCGAGATGTCGTGAATGGAATAAGGAAAGGTAGGAGAAAATGAAGAGAAGCGTTGTCTCAAGTCGTGGAGCTGCTGTCCCCAAGTTTAAATCCCCTACTGCTATTACACTGAGGCCACTCAATTACCCTATACACACAACATCCACCCATCATCATCACCCTCACGATAGACAATAGGTACACGTAAATAAAAGATATGATCCTCACGAAGGGTGTGTGTCATTTCACGCTTTACATAACAATGATGATCCAACAGCTATTGCCTTACTACCAGGTCAGCTCAAATCGCGAAAGTTCCATGATGGAAATGATGGGATGGAGCAGGGCAGTCGTTCGTATGCATTGGATTGGAAATCAAGGTGTATGGGAGGAATGGGCTGCTGGCTGGCAGTTTACGAGTATATCCCTTTATTGATGGTAGGATCTATGCACTGTAAAATAATGCTTGTGATGGCCTTTGTAGACAAGTTTACAAATGAATAAAGCATCTTCCTTTTCATTTGGAATGGTCTCTCGGTATTTTATTGTCTCTTTTGAAAGGTGACTTTGCCCGATGGAAGATGGTTTCGGTTGCCTTCGTGGAAGATGATAGTTTCTTGTGGGGTTATTTGATAGCGTCGGAGGAGCATGGATAGGATTATTTTCGCTTGATGCATTGCAAACCAACGTCCACTACATATAACATCATGAAATTAGATATCGACTTCATAGAGCATGTTTACGTATCACTTACGGGCATGCATGGGTTCCTAAACCAAAAATCAAGAAATCTTCTCCAATCTTGGTTGATGGACGATCAATGCCAACAAAGCGGAAAGGTTTAAATTGATGATAATCACCCAAACCATCACGCTGCACGCTTGCATCTTGATGGTTGCCCCATAAATTAAGCAACACTTCTTGTCCTATAGGTCTTGGTTGTTAATAAAGTTCCGCTCCCATGATGGCAACGTTGTATCTTTACCAGGTTGAATGGTGTAACCGTTTGTAAAAGTGAACGGCGACTTGCCAATGTAAGTATGTGGATAGTCAAGAAAAAAGCTGCGTAGTCGCATAGTTTCACGACACACACTATCAAGCTTGACAAGGTCCTTGATTACTTCACCCGTGAATGACGTGACCAAATCTTCGGTATCATCAATGCCGGCACCATGGTGCTTCTCCAATACTTGCTTCTGCTCTTCCAGCAGCTCATCAATCACTTCTGAATGTTGCAAGATGCGATAAAGAATAACAGTTACATTATCCCTAGTTGATTGATTCCCCACAACTACTACCGCCAACAGCCATTTTGCAACCAGCATGTATCTTTCAGGGTCGGCCGAGGTGATTTTGGCCTCTTCAATGATACACTGAATAAAATCACCCTATACCAACCATTATTATTAGGTCATGGATATCATCCACATTCATATCACCAATATCACCACCTATATACTTGCCTGGTCCTCTTTTCCATTTTCAGCGGCTGCCAATCTCTCATCCACAATAGGTGCGATCAGTCGAATTAGATTTGTTCTATGCTTACGGACAGCGTTTCCATATTTGCCAAGGTACCACATTCGCAAACGAGAAATCGATGGGAATGTTTCAAGCAGCATGTTACCATCACCTAGCTCTATGGCGATATCACGAGCGAGATGCTTGTAGGTTTCGACAAGGTCCTCATCCTTGGTAAACCCTGGACCCACAAAATTGGTTATACTGGAAATGGCCACTAGGTGCTCGATAAAAGGGCGTAGATTGTCCAGTTCCAATGGCTCTGTACGATAATGATTAGTCCCATCAACAAGGTGGAGAGAATAAAAGTGAGGCAAATGCATACTTTGGGCATCCCCAATTAGATCATATTCTGCAGCGATCAACTACCATGTAAGCAAGGTATACATCAGTGGGACGATCATCAGGGATGATTCAGCAGCGGGCATGATCAATAACTAGATGCATACTTGTTCCACAATGCTTGGTGTGTTGGCCACCATCTTCGCATTGGTAAACTTGAGAATCGTACGGTGTATCTTTTCTACGACATAACTTCCACCTGATGGTGCATCAAGCAATAACCAAAGATCAAAAGTCTTAGTTGATGCAGTCGTTGTTCCATGATAAGTACATTGTGTCAAACGTCATACGGGATAGTTACCTTTTTCCTTGCTTGCTCAAAATTGAAATCATCCTTGCGAATACAGCGTACGTATTCTGCAGATATCACTGTATGTACCTAGCCCATTATGATTGCATTAGCCGTTGACCCAAAAAAGGATTATGGGTTATTACCCTTCCAAAGAGATGAGCCCGAAACATAGGCCCTAGTGTCGATGACCACTTCTCAATGAAAGCTTTTGGATCTTTGCGGTACTCTCTTGAAGATCCTATCATAGGGAATGTATAAGGCACCAACGGCGCTTCTTGCTTTTTCGAATGCGATCGAGGCTACATGGCAAAACAATACATGATTCAATCGCTATTCATTTGGCGGTGATGATGATGAAAAGATGCTTGCTTCCAAATGATTTACACGAGAAATCGCATAAGCAGTAATAACAGTGAAAAGTGAAACAAGGGCAACTGAACGTGTTTTAGCATGGGCTGGATCATTCAAGAAAGCAGTGATGTTTTTGTCGTTGAGAGTTGTGGTAATGCTGGAAACAATTCCATTATCGAAAAAGGCTTTGCTCATGATTACGTTGTGTGCAATAATGTGAAGCTCCTGGTTTTTTTTTACCTCTTGCCCTTTATACGCATATCATTTGTATGTATAGTTTGTTATGTGGACAACCAAGTATCATGCACTACTCCTTGCATTTCGCTGGCGAATACAAGTTTTTTAGGAATACATGTGGCATATTAGCATGGGGGGGGGTGTTTGATGGTTTATGATTTGGCAGGGAAAAGGATTTCAATTTGGCGTTACTTTATGCAATGGTATCTCCTTTCCCATCATTGTTCATCACACTCTCACTTCGCTAACCTATACACGCGTCTCTTACTAGTGGCAATCGTGGTTAGCATATCATAAGCATCAAGCTGGTATAATAAGAATACATCGAGGTCAAATGTGATATGCCATTGCATAAAGAAGCAGCCCAAATTGAAATCCTTTTCCCTGCCAAATCAAAAACCATCAAACACCCCCTCGTGTTATTATGCCACCATCAAGCATTTAGAGCCGATCACATACATATGTACGTTGGATTTGGCTATACATACATGCATTGCTGTATGCATCATGAGTTAACATCTATCGACGTTTACAAAACCGTGGACGTGCCGATCTCAGTATTCGCGATAACAAGATCACGAGCAAGTACAACAAGTAGTAGCGAGAGCTGATAAGGATAGAGCAAACTTAGTCAGGGTAGGTTAGCAACAAAATGGTTACCTTGCATGTCCATTACAGAAGAGGCCAACCTAGAGGAGCTACTACAAGATTGGGTGCATGTGAGGTGCATTGGTCATTTTTAGCTCTCCCGATCTCATATGCCATTACTGCATGTTCTTCGGAGATACGCTATACGTATTAAATGAAGAGATTATGAAAGACCAATGCAAGGCATTGATTCAAATGAATACTTGCGACACGCGTCTTCACAACACAGGTATGTAGTATCGGCCATCGTAGTACTGCGCGTTTATTCACTTGTCAATCACACGGCGGAACTCATGTAAGGTAAACTTTCTTTATGTGTCGCATCAAGCAATAGCTTAATATCAAGAGCCTAGGTTGGTAAAATCACTTGAGCTAAAACCTCATTCACAGCAAAAATAAGGATACTTTCTTGCCCACTTTTATTCATTATTGCACAATCAAACATGGTACGTATATAATCGGGTATGCCAAAAATGATCAGCGCATCTGATATCGTATATGTGTTCACTAAGACTAAGGCCTGACTTTTGAGATACGTCGATGGCCATTCTCTGCTGCAGTTAAAAGTTACCCCATTGGTCGTTCTCCTTGCAACACAAAGCAATTTTACCCCTCACGCATCATGCACACTTTCATGCACGACACTTTCGGACGAACAGATCATTTTCGACTCATCGGCCGTATCATAATTAACTTGAAAAGATTTCTGTACGGGCTATCATAGCCAACCTTACTATGCGTAAGGCCACCAATAGGATTGACTTTGAGCCCTGCCCTCTCGGTCTTGTTACGCAAACAGATCCTTCTGCATCTTTGTTTTAATATAAGTGGGGCAATTGCCAATGAACAAAGACCACTTTCATATAGCATCACGCTTTATAGCATATGGGAAACATAGAGGCACGGATAACTCAAATAGTACAATCGATCTTGGGACCTTTATGATTTCACTATACTCTAAGCGCGATGGAGCTGTTCCTTTTTAACGGATGGAGCACTATAAGCAAGGTGAAGAACTGAGTGAAATGGTACGCGGTGGTTACACGCACACGTCTTTAACAGGCTGCTGCACAAATGGGATGATGATGGCCTTTAGGAAGGTACGTAAACAACATTCAATAAAGAAGATGTTTCAAGGTACGTGTATGACAAGTGATGGTTCGATATCACATTTGGATGCAGGAGATCGAGATGCATAAAGCAATTTGCATAAACCCAATCAACCCAATGAGCACGGACATGACCATGAGATGTACTAGTTTGGCCACTCGTCCCCAAACTCGTCTTTTCGCTTAAGATCAACTCACTCGTTACGGAATCAAAAAGGCATTTATTGCTTACAAGGCCGAGCTTGGAAACATTTTTAGTGTTGCACCAACATCTAAGCTATAATCCACAAGCAACAAAAGGAAGAGGGATATAAACTAGCTAAGTCCAAGTGGGTAATAAACAATGCTTCTAGCTACTTTGCCATGGTCAGCTTCATCCATCGTAGTCGCCATGATCATGTGAGCTATCCAAAACACATAAAAGAAAAGATTGGGATCTTAGCTGCTTCCTTCTAAAGTCAACGAGATGCATTGGAAGATCCATCATGTAACCATCATCTTGCCAAGAGGAAGGTAAGCCATGCTTGTCTGTGTCATTGTTGTTATATGCAGATGACGTCGTTGTAGTTGTCCTTGTCGTCCCTATAATAAAAAAAATCAATCTTCAGAATCACATAACCACTTGATACCATCACTTTCATTGTCCCAAGGGCCCATAGCCGTTCTCATTCATCCTCTCCAAAGGACGAATGATTCCCATCTTTCCAATCCTCAAGGAATACCTACCAGCATATATCACGAGAAGGGCGTGTAGTGTGCATTGATGATGTCAAGTGGCCAAAAGGTACAGGCTGGGAATCGAACCCAAAGAGATGATGATGCCCAAAATAGCACTACCTGACCAAAGAAACCTATTCAATTCATTATTAGCACACATACACAATAAACGCTCTTTCATTGTTTGCTTCATTGCACTTGCCTTTTCCATATTCATAAAGACGCGTTGTTGTTGGTAACTGGCAACCGAAAACCATGGTGTAGTAGTGTAGTTGAGCCGAAACAAGAAGCCAAAGGGCTAACTTCTAGAGACCAAACTTGCCCTTTATACAAGCTAGCACGTCAATGGAACAAGTTCGGCTGCGACATTGGGGTTTCAATGTACCTTGTGAGTACCACAAAGGAAGAGCGGCATAACAACGAACAAGAGCGGCGATATCACCATGGCTACAACTAACCACTGCGTAGTCTACTTGTGCAAATTCAGTACCATTTGAGTACCTCGCAACCAGCAAGAGCATTACCTTGATGGGGATGCCGTGAATGGGATAAAAGGAGAGGGAGAAAGAAAACGCGCATGTTTCAAGTCGTGGAAATTGATGGGCGAACGACCCAGTCCGCTCCCCTGGCTATATCCCCTTTATGCAGCCTGGGCATGGTAGGACACTATGCACTTTGTGATGGCCTGTGTAGACAAGTTTACAAGTAAATAAAGCATCTTTCTATTCATTTGGAATGGTCTCTCGGTATTTTATTGTCTCTTTTGAAAGGTGACTTTGCCCGTTGGAATATGGCTTCGATTGCCTACGGGGAAGACGATCGTTTCTTGTGGGGTAATTTGGTAGCGTCGGAGGAGCATAGATAGGATTGTCTTTGTTTGGTGCATTGCAAACCAACGTCCACTACACATAATAGAATGAGATTAAAAGGTCGATTTCACCGAGCATGTTTGTTACTTACGGGCAGGCGTGGGTTCCTAAACCAAAAAGCAAGAAATCTCCTCCAAGCTTGGTTGATGAACGATCAATGCCAACAAAGCGGAAAGGTTTAAACTTGTCATAGTCACCCAATCCATCATTTTGCATCGATGTACGGTTATGGTTCAACCACATGTTAAGCAACACATCTTCTCCTGGATGACATTTTTTTTGTTTAGCAAATTTTCGCTCAAGTGGGTGGTATTGATCCTTCTTTACCTGGATTAATGGTGCACGTGTTTGTTAAAGCGAGAGGCGACTTCCCAACATACGTATGTGGTAGATCAATGTAGAAGCTGCGTAGTCGCATGGCTTCACGACACACGCTATCAAGCTTGACAAGGTCCTTGATTACTTCACCAGTGAATAGCGTAGCCAAATCTTCAGCATCATTAACGTCGGCACCATGATGCTTCTCCAATACTTGTCTCTGCTCTTGTAGCAGCTCATCAATCACTTCTGGATGTTGCAAGATGCGATAAAGGATAATAGTCGTATTTTCGGTAGTTGTATGACCCGCTGAAGCAATCATTACCAAGATCCATCTCACAGCTATAATGTATTTGTCAGGGTCGCTGGATGTAATTTCGCTTTCTTCAATGATATCTTGAATAAAATCTTGCTATATACACCATCATCATTGTTTAGATCATCGACATAGTAACGTGCACACATGTCAATATGGGCTGCTGTATACTTACCGGATTCTCTTTTCCAGTTTCAGCGGCTGCTAATCTCTCATCAATAATAGGTTTGATTGCACGAAGCAATCGCTTTCTATGCTTGTCCACCGAGTTGCCATGTTTACCGAGATACCACATCCGCAAACGGGAAATCCATGGAAACGCCTCAAGGAATTCATTACCATCGCCTAACTCGGATCCAACATCAACTGCAAGATGCTTGTACGTTTCGAGTAAGTCTTTATCCTTGGTAAGCCCAGGACCAACAAAATTGGTTGCACTTGCGATAGCCAGCAAATGCTCCATTAAAGGGTACAAGTTCGCTATTTCCGATGGTGCTGCTCAATGATGATTAGCATCATAACGTAAAGCGTAAAGAAGATGAAACAAGACATACTTTGGGCATCTCCTATCATCTCATGTTCTGCAGCGATCAGCTAATACCATTTTAAAAGAGATAAGGAAGGATTAATAAAAGGCACCGGTTTGAATGGATCGTACTTGTCACATACTTGCTTCACAACACATGGAGTATTATCCAGCATCTTTGTTCTGGTAAACTTGATAGTCGCATGGCGGATCATGTCTAAAGTAAACCTTCCTCCTAATGGCGCATCAAGCAATAGCCAAATATCAAAGGTCTGGTTTGGTGCAATCGTTTGTGTGAGCATTAGTATGCGCTGCATATTAGTAATCATTACCTTGCTCATTCCTTGCTGAAAATCAAAATCCTTCTGAAGACAATACACGTGTTTGCCAGAGACCACCGTTTGTATCTAATCATGCCATCACATTGAGTATTCATCAATGGGATGGTGATGGCTTTGCATTATTACCCTTCCAAAAAGATGTACTTTATACACATCCCCTAGTTCGCTTGACCACTTTTTAATGAAAGCTTCTGGGTCTTTGCGATACTCTCTTGAAGATCCTATCAGTGGGAATGTATATGGCACCATCGGCGTATCTTTGTTTTTCGAATGCGATCGAGACTACATACAAACATAGCAAAACGATTCATGATCAATAGCTGCATTCATTGGTTTCGCTGATGAAAAGATGTTTTGCTCGAAAAACGACTTACGCGAGAAAGCGCATAGGCAGCAATAACAGTGCAAAATGAAACAAGGGCAACTGAACGTGTTTTAGCATGACTTGGGTCGTTCAAAAAGGCGGAGATGTCTTTGTTGTCGAGCGTTGAGAGGACACCGGAGACGATTTCATTGTCGAGGAGGGCTTTGTACATGATAATTTGTGCCAAGTAGAGCTACCGGTATTTCTCTTTCTTATCGAGGTACGCTCTTTTATAATGACAAGGCGTGTGATACAATGAGCCAAGGCTGATATAAGCCTTGTGCCGACATGAGCCTTGTACTACCACTCTACTCCACACTCAAAAACGATGCTTACATATTATACGTCTCACGCAAAAGCTCACCTCCCATTATCAATTAGAACGAAGCATCATGGTAAATGTAGTTTATGTATGATACCTGTGAGTAGCCACAATCTCACCCAATTGCGTAGAAAGTCACCCCACGGCAACACTGTAGTATCACAGGAAGCACCGACCAATGTCTTCAGCCACGTCACGTTGCTGACAAGTACCTGCATTGCGTTAGTATAATGCATTTGTGTTTCACACTCTCATCTCTGCTTCGGGATAATGCGATGGGAAGGCTTCAATAGAGTTTTGCTAATTTCACCAGCGAATGACGGCTTAGTTGGACACGCACTAATGCACTTCAGCTTGGCCATGACCCGCATTAGGTGGAAGAATTCAATGTTTGTTCGTGTGTCAAAAGAGCAACTCTCTTTTTTTTTGCTGTTGTCCCCCAAACATTCGCACGACTACCCATAATATCAACATCGACCACAACATTAGCCAGCACGCAACGCAGCTGCATCCATTTTAGAAGGAGCATATATCCTTTGAGCCTGAACAAGTTGGCATCATCATCATTTGTAGAATGCATAATCTAAAAGAGGTTTTGAATTTCAATGCTGGCTGTTGTTGTTGTGAATAAAGTTGTAGTTTAGATTTGTCACGGGATCATGTATGATAACAACAGTGGAGACTATGTACAAATTTCCCGCCATGTGTGTACTACAGCAGATAGCATGCATTTTTCATGCATGTGTTGCTGAGATCAAGGGGAGAATTGGAAGTAGCTATTACTGGATTGGATCAGGTGCTGTGTGAAGTAATTCCCAGTTTTCAGTCGCGTTAGATCCAATAGCTGGTATGTGCGCACCAATGACAAGCACGCAGCATTGCCTCTTGGAGGAATCATAGCCAAGATAAGTAGTCTCATTGCGCTCAGCAGCGACACGGGCCGTGGGGTTCCGACGAGTCATTTTTCAAAGCCGCTTCAGTGCCACGAGCGACCCTTTATCGCAATACCGAGGTTCTCTCTTTCCACACACACTCCACTCTCTCTTTTCCTCTCATTCCTGCATTGCTCCCATTTTGAGGAGGTCGTCGCATTCCCGTGATGGAAAATGTCCAATCTTCACTTGCACTAGCGTCACAACTTGTAGAAAGTGGTCAAGTCAAGGTAACAGCATTACTGCAACCCTCTAATGGAGCTCCCAAACACACACACATGCACACAAAGTCCATAATGTTGACATTACTCATTTTATATAGGAAGCGTATCTGGCGTATCTATCGTTGGCTGAGCAGGCACTCAAAAGCTTGTATGATGTGCGGTTTGTTCATTCTTGTAAGTATCAGCACATGTTTTGCCAAGACAACAATCTCACACAAAGGATGTTGCATTGTTTTCCGACAGCCATTGTATCCAGGCCAAAGAACTATCCTGCATCCTTGTCGACTCTACATACATGTTTATCCCATATCGACACCATCATTGAAAAGCATGCAACGGTTCCCATGGCAGCACCTCGACCCACCACAACAACAACTCCTTTGATGACCCCATCATCCTCCACCCCTAAGACAGCACCTCCACCCTTGCCACCCAAACCATCGAGGATACAGAAACCAAGCGTACCACCCAAACCTGTGTCATTGTCACGACCTGCTTCACCCACCAAAGAATTGGGTAAAGGTAATGGAGATATTGGATGCCATCCAGGAAAGAAACTTATGCACGTGTTTGTGTTATGTCATAGTGAACCAGCATCATCCTTCATATGACAACATCAGTGCTCCGGGTACAGATACACTTAAAGTGCCCACACCTCGTATTCACGATCATCATCATCAACAACAACATCAGCCATTACCACCACCAACATCCTACAACAACACTTTCGAACAAAGGCCACTTAGTGCTCCGCAACAAGCGACGCCGCCATCCACCGATACCCACCAAAGTCGGCGACCCCGTTCCGAATATCCGAAAGAGAATGATGTTGATGACAACAACAATGACGACTTGATTACAGCCATTGATGATGGAACCATTGATCCAACACATCTTGTACCGGCACAATCCAATGCAGGCGATAGTTTGAGCCCCCCAACATCCACGGCGTTGAATACGGATCATATCCCCTTTATCCCAGTGCCACCCCTGTTATCGACCCATCGTACATTGCAGGCAAGGTTGGATGAATTGGAGATGACATTAAAGGAGTACAAGGGACGTAAACAGCATCTCCTGTTACAACAAGAACAAGGTGGTGATTATGATACACAAGAACAAGAGATTGAATTGGACAGAGTCATACTACAATATACGGGGATGGCAGCCGAAGTGAAACAAACATTGAATCGCGTACGCACATTATACATGACGGCAGCCACCATCCCGACGGTGTTACAATTCCCACCTTACATGATTGCTTATCAGGCAACATTGATTGAAGCTGCATTGTTTTACGCTATCCCGCCACGTGCATTATTGGAACATTCAGCCAAGCATCCACATCCACGCATTGTAGCATCAACCGACTTTTTCAATTATCTCACACGCGTCATTGAACACAGCATCCTTTTACCACAAGAAGCTTCCTCACGTGCTCAACATATCAACCATTGGATTAAGGTGGCTGTCAAGTGCCTGGAACTCAACAATTACCAGACACTAAAAGCAATTGTCTCAGCTCTCGGTACACCACCTGTTCAACGCTTACGTCGCACATGGGCTTACATTCCCAAGAAGAGCATGGGCAAATTGGATGGATTGAATGAGCTCATGAGTGAGAGTGACAATTATGGACAATATCGTACGCATATGGGGATGGTGTCTTGCTCTTCCATTGCCATGTCAGTCAGCGGTGGTGCCAAGAGCGTGGCTAGTATTCGAGCCGAGCATTACAAGAAGCCAACAGTGCCCTTCCTTGGTACATTTATCCATGATATGACGTACCTTATTGCAGCTACACCCAATACCAAAACCGGGCAATTGGCCGATGACCCGCGCGTTCACGAGATCCTGCATGCTATGGAGATGTTTCAAAAGGGTCCTCGTTACACAATGACGCCACCTGCATGGTATCTAAAGGCTTCACAGAAACACCATCATCATCATTTACGTACTGGTGCCATTTCAAGTGCATTGCAACGAAGTGCATCGGGTATCAGTCGTTTCAGTGGTGGCATGTTTGGACTTTCAGGGAGCAGCGATGGTGACGATGACAGTGTACGAGATAGCCTTCTTGGTGATGATGACAACATGGATGAGCAGCAGCAAATGATCACTCAATACTTGTTGATGCGATCTTGGGTCAATCAAAACACTGTGGATGAGCTTAGTATGTTGCGTGAACCACCTCGTCAGGCCAATACGAGCAATGCCAGTGGAGGAGGCACAAGCATGAGTCGTGGATATAGCCAACATCGTAGTACGACAGGCAGCAATTACAACAACACCAATTCGATGGTGAGCACTGGAAGTTCATCGTTGATGCGATTTAGCACTGGAAGTGTATCCATGAATGGAAGTACGCCTGCTGGCAGTCGTGGAACAAGCATGGAAGAGTATTCATCCACTCCCGATAGCACAAGTGATGAAGGTGCTATTACCAACAACAAAGCAAGTAGTGGATTTTGGCCTTTCCGACGAAGCACAGATACCCATCGTCCAAGTTCAGAACATCAATCAAGTAGTCGCAATAGTAGCAACAGCACTGAATCACGATCTTTGCCTCGTTCCAATATCGATACAGGGGAGACCAATAGTACTCAATCAGCACCTCCAGCAGCACCTCCACCTCATATTCCACCACGTCCTCCTCCACGTCGAGATTTACAACCCAACAATGACGAATTCAAGAATGCTCTCACAAACCGCCTTCAAGCTCATGTCGCTGGTCGACAATCATAAAACAACTCATCCATCCTTCTTTTCATACCCTTCCCCTCACCCACTTTCTTCATTTGTACAAACTTTCCCTTGTTTGCTCATCCACATTTCTCCACCTTGTATTTTTATCATTTGTCAGCATGTCATCAAGATAGAAACAAAGAAAAATAAATCTCATCTGAAACTTTTCACTCATATGAGATGCCACAGCTTCAGGGATAATCAAGCAGCGTCAAGTTGGTCTTTATATTTAATCTTTATTAATACATTTTGTATGCTAGTAGTTGGAGGCCTTAGGATTCCATGTTTCCCATTGTGGGTTCGCCTAAGCTGTTCCCTTAGTTTTAGCTTATAGATACAAAAAAAACCCAATGACTTTACCTTGCTTGTATACGCCTCACTTGATCCATACCACCAAGTGTAACGACAGGGTTGTTGATGCCGCGTCGTCTGTAGCCTTCATTCTCCATCATCCGTTCGTGTTCGATATTCGCATTGCGTCGTTGTTGTCGCTATAAAAACATACATGCATGTGTGAGTGGATGGATGATAATAGAAAATGGGTTAAACTTACACCTAAGAGTATCATCACTACAATGACCACCTTAAGCTTGCGTTATAGTTTCTGTTGCTTTCAACTCCTTCAAGCCTGCCGATGATCCTTTGCGTGGTCCCGAGTATCCAGAGTCGAATGCGATAATTGGATATCTTTTGCTGATCATCTCTCGTTGGATCTCTATTACAGATCGGCATAAATCGGCTGTACTCGATTGATATACTCGACACTTACGCTTGCTTAGCCTTTGCGCCGTTTTCTGTTCCATATTCAAGGTCGAAGGCTTCTTAATTTCGTGATGGAAATGGATGGCGTACTTGAATCCGCCATTGAGAAATAATGTTGGCCACCTCTTCCCGCTGTTGTTGACGACTTTGAACAATTGCCAGCTTAGAATGTTGTATCTTTCAACATGATGTAAAAGCAGTACCAAGTGGAAGGCGGGATAGATGAACGAGAATTGAGTAGTACTGTGTTTGATGGGTCGCTCTTTTCAACGAAGACCAGATTCTATCGCTTCAGTCGAGCGTTGTTGCCAAGAATAGCAGAATCTGTTGCTGAATAAGATCCATGTCGAGTGCATCATGTATCAGGATGCAATTGAGTACGTTGTCTTTTGTATTCACGTATATTGCGCCTTGCTTGAACGATGTCAATCCTGGGAAGGCATTTTATCGCCATTATGCCGACTGTAGTAGACTGTGCTACCTAATCCAACATTGCAAATGTATCTCTTGAGGAAGCTATATCAGAAGAAATATGAGTATTGCTTCATCAAGAGAGATGATTAAGCTTTACCTTAATAAAAGAGCCAAATATCACAATGACAACAAGCACAATGGCAGTAGGATAACAATGAAAGGCCTAAGTTGTCATTGATATGAGTACATGTATCGCTCACAAAATAAGACCATCCCATCATGATACTCACCAAGGGCTTTTTGAAGGTGTCAGCAATCATAGAGCGATATGATGGAAGAGAGAAAAGAGATGCGTGGGGGTGTGATAGTAGGCGACAACATCCTTGTTTGTACATATCTGGACGGTGGGCGTGGGTATTTCTGTGATCACAATGAATGATAAAATGCTTGTTGAGAATGGTGAGGAGCTGATAGGCCGATGAGCCGCCGAGACAAAGAGCATTGGTTGGTGTGACGCATAATTCAGGGTCGAGATCAGACGATGAAATCAATCGGCTATCATGCTGTGGTCAAATCCCACGAAATAAGACGTTGTTGCTCGAGAGTTGTTTATGTGTAGAATGGTCGTTACTGAAAGGAAAATCGATGGCACCTTCCATTCTTGCTGATGACGCGATAAAGTAACATGCTTATCCCAATCACTGCACTTGATTGCATCCATCCATCCATAACCATTGCAAATCCAATATTGCAGCTGAAATGCTTCCTTTTCCACCCAGCCGTTAGTCTATATCGCTGCTCAACCAAGTGAAGATCGCTTGTATTGCAAGACACTCGAAGGTTGCATGGCAACATCCAAATAGAATTACGCCGTATGCTTCACTATGTGATGAACGCTGTTAATCACCACCTCGAGATGAATAAACCAATGCATTCTTCTGTACCTTGATATAAATAGTTGAACCATAATACAGAATCTCTTGTACAAGTGTGCTGTTGGATAATAGCGCGTGTATTGATGCATGAAGGGATGATGATGATGATGATCGTATTCCAAGGCTGTTGCGTATTAGATAAAGCTGACGGGGATGCTGTATTCCAACACCACGCAAACACTTCTTGAAACAGGCTCGTCATTGTCACCAAGCTGAGAAGAAGAACTAGAGCCTTAGTTGCTTTGCATGACTTGAATGCCGAAATGTGTCGAGTACACGCTGTCATTGTTTGAGACGAGGAAGTTGCTGTGGATGTCAATGACCCGTTGAGCGAAATGCAGTCGACGTGGAAGAGGAGCAAGCACTGAATTTTGTATGCTGCCAGCAATGTTACACCCCCGGCCCCACACGCATCCCATGCATTGATTTACATGAGTACAACCGGTAATCCTGTAATGACCCCTCGATGACAATCATATGGCAGCATTATATATGGGTTGCTTAGCAATACAGTACGTGTCTACTTGCTACGCTGATATTGGCCATGTTCAAATGTATCAATGGTATCTTACAAAGCTCGTTGCAGTCGTCTTCAAGTAATTGAGTATTGCCAATGGTGATAACATCTTTCTTTATGTTCATTTTGATATGTTTGGGAATGGGGAGGGCAATAGGTGAAAGGTCTCTTCTGTAGAGCGTAAAGCTAAAGAGGATTCATGCGGCGGGACAAATACCTTATTCTACTATCCGCTTGACCAGCTCACTCCACTTGTTCACCTCCTTCACACTCCACACCTTGGCTCTTGTTTCCTTTCACACACACATTCACACACGCCAACCTCTATCACACGAATGAACTTGACAAGAACCATTTCCAACTCTGGTCATGCTCCAGGCTTCCTCTATGCAGGCTTCAACCAAGATTACGGCTGCTTCTCAACAGGTCTCGATAAAGGGTTTCGAGTGTATAACTGCGATCCGCTCATTGAACAAGCACGAGTTGGTACGTGGTACCCATGATTGGTTTATTCAATGGAAAACTCATGGACTAGAATGTAGAATCAGCCGATGGAGGATTCGGGATTGTGGAAATGCTGTATCGCACCAACTATCTTGCACTGGTGGGCGGTGGACGTAACCCAAGGTATCCTCCCAACAAGGTGATCATCCATGACAGTATCAAAGGCAAGCCCGTATTGGAACTTGAATACAAGAGCAATGTCAGGAGTATCAAGCTACGGCGGGATAGGCATGTGTGTTTTCTTTATGCAGAACAAAGACCAAGTATAGCTAATAACATGATCCTATATTAGGCTGGCAGTGGTGTTATCCAACAAGGTCTTTGTATATCAATTCAGCGTTGAGCCTCGGTTACTGTACACGTTTGAGACATGCGACAATGATCGAGGACTAGCAGCAATATCATCTGAGCCAAATCACGGGGTCTTGGTGATACCAGGACGACAGCGGGGTCATTTACAAATTGTTGATCTTGATTCCCTTGGATACCAGTGGCCATCAACAACAACTACTACAGCACCCGGATCCAACAATGAAATCAATGTCAACGTCAGCATCATCGCTGCTCATTCTGGCAGGTTGAGTTGTGTGGCCTTGAATCGGGATGGAACCAGATGTGCTACAGCCAGCGACAAAGGTACCTTGATTCGCGTATTCAACACCATGACAGGATCGCTCTTGAATGAATTACGACGTGGCATGGATCGAGCTGAAATATACTCTTTGGCATTCAATCATGATTCTACTCGGCTATGTGTGTCATCCGACAAGGGCACTATCCACGTCTTCAACCTTGATCCATCTGTTGTTGTCGATCATCATACCCCAAAAAGAGGTCCCACCTATGGTGAAATCGTCGTATACCCAGCCTCACTTTCTGCCAAGGAACATGGTCTCACCGATAGTGGCAATCGTGGCAGCAGCCTTAGTTTTATGAAGGATCTGCTTCCAAAGTATTTCAGCAGCGAATGGAGCTTTGCACACGCCAAGATTGTTACAGAAAGTCGCTGCATCGTTGCATTTGGCGAAGAAAGGAATACCATTATAGGTAATGCGCGCTTTTCTCATCCATACACACACGCACATGCATACACAGGATTTACTAAAATAATGACATCTTCTACACTCTATAGCGATCTGTGCTGATGGCAGCTGGTACAAATTTTGCTTTGATCCAAGGAAAGGAGGAGAATGTACTCGAGAGTCCTTTGAACGTTTCTTGAAAAATGAAGATTAAAAGTGATTATCAACCCGACAAGGTTCATTGTTTCATGCAGTATCGTATCACCCACAATGAGAGTCGTTTGTTACTAGAAGCACGAAAACGTGCAGCTGCAGTTAATAACAACCACATGCATAATCAAAGGGTTCATTGAAGCGGCAAATGACTCGGCTTTGCTCCCACATGTCTTTTAAGCTGATGAAAAATGGTTCTGCACCCAATGTGTACGCATTCCCAACTCGTCATCATCATCCCGGTTGTCGGTTCCATGGCTTTCGGTGATCGATTATAAGCTTCTTATTATGCAGGTTCAATAAACCTAAAGCTTAGACACATACATAGCTTATATTCTTCAGCCATGTACATACATACACATCTCTAATACAAAACACCTTGAACTTGCTTTTCAAATGTATGCTGACATGATTACTTGTGATCTATTATTTCTCAACATGCAAAAAGAGGCTTGTATGGTGTGATGCAGCTTTACCACAGGTTGATTAGGAATGGAACTATATCATGGATGGCCCGTGTAAGCCGATGGTATGAGTAAAATTGTATCCTTGAATTGCTTGACAAGTGATGAAAAGTTTTGATTTTGCAGAATGAAGACGTGAGTATAAATACAAGTGATGGATTAACAAAGATCCACAATCATAACACAACTAATTATGATCCCTTACAGTGGTTGGATTTTTGCTTTGGTTCCATTCTTGTCAAGTGTTGAGGCTCTCCCAGCTGCAGGGTCTTCCCCCATCGAGTTGCCGGTGCGCTGGATGTACCGCAATCGGAACGAGGATAGCATTGGGATGATGCGTGCTGATCTGCCGAGCGAAAAAATCTACTATGATAAAGAAATCCTAGAACCTGCTGTGGAGCTTGGCATCGGCACACCACCACAAAACTTCTACTTGAACTTTGACACGGGCAGCTCAATCACGTGGTTTCCTTCTCAATCTTGCACCCAAGATGATGGTTGTATGTCTGATAGACGTAAGTACATCACAACATGAGACTTTTTTCTTATTCAACACAAACTCACGAATACGTACAATAGATTTCAACCCCAAGGATTCATCTACCTATAAGGACCTCGATACTGAATTCCATGGCCTATATGGGTCAACTGAAGCTTATGGAGACTATTTCAAGGATACGGTGCAAGTTGGCGGTGTATCGTTACCCAATCAGCAAGTTGCCCAAGTTAACAAGCAAACAGGCACCTTTGCTGACCAATACGGTCATGACAGCTTCACTATGGATGGCATCATGGGTGCTGGTTTTGGCGAAACAGGGCCCACCATCCCCATGGAGCTCTACAATAATAAGCTTATCCCAAAGCCTATGTTCTCGGTGTATACGGGCGAATTAGGTGGAAGCTCTGGATCGGTTGTTTTCGGAGGTGTCCATGACAACAAATCGCTCAATGTAACAGGTGCACGTGATGGTGAAGAAATGTGGTATACTAAAGTACGCACATTGGATGTGGATGGCGACAACGTGTTGTCGTTCAATGACGATGTTTATTGGCTTGTGGATACTGGTACAAGTCTCAGCCGTCTTCCTAAGGATGAAGCTGACAAGTTGGCCTCCAAACTTTTTGGGGATGATGCTACATACAATGAACCCCTTTACACTATCCATAACTGCTCAAAGTATCTATCTCAATCATGGGCTATCACTTTGACCCTCCCCAATGTCGATGGCGGAGAATTTGAGTTGACATTCAATCCCCAAGATGTATTGAACGCTCACGCGGGTGGTACTTGCACGTTTGGTTTTGCAACAGAAGACTTCCCCATTCTAGGCAACATGATGTTGCGACGCTACATTACAGCATACAACTTTGACGAAAAGACCGTTGGCTTTGCTCTGAAATAATCCCGTTGTATAGGGTTGTCATTGAAGTTTCTCCTTATCAATAATAAAGCCAACCCCAATTCTTCTATATTACTAGGTCCGAGAAGAGGCTTCTATTACTGCACATCTTGATGCAACCTTACCACAAAAGATAGATTGATTAGAAATGCAACCATGGTGACCACCCGTATTAGCCGGTGTATGAAAAATTGTGCCTTGAAATGCTTCGCAAGTGATGAGAGGTGATGCCATTGCAGAACATGAAATGAGTATAAAAACAAGTAACATGGAGCGATTTGACGTGATAGAAAATCATCACAATCATAACATAACATTATGCTGCTTTCTTCCTGTGTTTGGCTATTTGCATTGGTTCCTTTCTTATCAAGCGTCTCAGCTCTTCCAGCAGCAGGGTCATCCCCAATCGAGTTACCGGTGCGCTGGATGCAACGGAATGCGAATGAAGATAGCGATGGGATGATGCGTGCTGATATCCCTAGCGAAAAGTTATACTTTGATCAAGAAACCTTGGAGCCTGCTGTTGAAATTGGGATTGGTACACCACCCCAAAACTTCTATCTGATGTTTGATACGGGCAGCTCAATCACGTGGTTCCCTTCTACATCCTGTGGTTGGCTGAATGGATGCAAGTCCAATAGACGTAAGTATCAACAATCGCAAGGCCCATGTATCGTTCAATGCACCACTCACGAATATCAAAGATTTTAATCCCAAGGATTCATCCACCTACAAGAATCTCCATTCCCGTTTTTATGGCGTGTATGGATCGTTGACAGCGAATGGCTACTATTTCACTGATACAGTGCAAGTTGGAAGTGTATCGATTCCCAATCAACAACTTGCCGAGATTTACCAGCAAACAGGCACGTTTGCTGGTCAAAGTATGGATGGTAGTTTTACCATTGATGGCATTATGGGTGCTGGTTTTGGCGAGACAGGGCCCACCATCCCCATGGAGCTCTATAACAATAAGCTCATCCCCAAACCAGTGTTTTCAGTATACATGGGCAAATTAGGTGGAAGCTCTGGCTCTGTTATTTTTGGTGGTGTCCATGACGACAAATCACTCAATGTGACCGATGTTCGTCAAATCAATGATAAATGGTATGCCAATGCCCGCCAAATAAGTTTGAATGGCGACACCATAGCAACGTACAACAGCAAGGTCAACTGGCTTGTGGATACTGGTACAAGCACCAGCCGACTTCTTAAGAGCGAAGTTGACAAGATGACCTCTAAACTTTTTGGGAATAATGTCGTAACCAACGGCGCCATTTACTACGTCAACAATTGCTCAAAGTATCTATCTCAATCATGGACCATCACTTTGACTTTCCCCAACGTGGATGGTAATGGAGACTTTGACATGGAATTTACCCCACAAGATGTATTGTCCAAAGGCCGTAATGGTTATTGTATCTTTGGTTTTGGAGCATCCAATCATCGCGTTTTAGGCAATTCGGTGTTGCAACGCTATATTGCGGCATTCAACTTTGATGAAAAGACTGTTGGATTCACCCTAAAGTAATCATCCTATCATAAATAGCAGTGGAAGTTAATAAAGTCAGTGGCCCAATTCTATATGAGTATGTATCAGGGACCCTATTTGATGTCATCTAATGATGATGCGAAATGCTCAATGATGCGAGTTTGTCGTCATCGAGGCGATCGATTCATCCAAAATAGTAAAGACATGATCAACAGGGGCTCGATCATATGCAGCCGGCTCCCATATTTGAACAACTCTTTATGCATCTACTAAGGGTAGTTTCCACTGAAAAGGCAACTCCTACTTCTGTAATCCTAAATAAACCTCCCCATCCAATACATGACATTGACGATGACATCCTTTCTTTACCGGCTTTTCGGATGGGCGATACTATACAAACGAAAGAGAACCATTGTGAAGCCAAATTTGATCTTTTGTTGATGAGATACCATCAAAGAATGTAATTCTATTAGAATTGTAAACAACTCATGACGACCTTTATCATGGGAAACTAAGGATAATAAGCATTGATAGAAACCAGAGATTAAGCCTTGAACGCGCATTATGGGTGGTTTGGGGGCTTGTGCTTGATAACGATGGAGCTGCACAACCGAGATTCATGCAATAGTACTTCCAAAGAGCTAATACTACGTATCAAGAGAGGGAGGTTGTGCCTTATCGTGGTGTACTAATGACGTTAGGTTACTAAACACAGGATCTTAATTGCTGCTGCATATCCGCAAAACAGCGGCATGCAAACATCTGTTCTCGGCTTTGGATTCCAAATTTCTGGGTCTGTTGTTGTTTGTTACGTACATGTCGTTTATTAAGCCCTGCAGAGTGCACAAAGTTCGTAATAGTGCTAAAAGCACTTGAGAAACGAACATGTGGTATCATCCCATTTGTCGTATCCTTACGTACAAGCACGATAATGGAGCATTTGAAACGCGTTATAGAGATTGATCCCTTTACATGTCCACTACGTACTAGACGAGTGCTCAATCAAAATCAGCATCATCGGGTCTATTATGTATTCTCGGCTTTTATCCGATAGAAGAACAAGGGTTGTCGAGTTGACTTGATTACGCGTGTCAAAAGGGATTTTGGGAATGAAGCATATAAAGAGGAATTTGGATGCATCATTGTATGCTATCAAATCTACTCCTTACAAGGTCTATAGCATCACTGAAGATACCTAGTAACGGCTGGCTTTTCCTTGTAATCCCATTGTGCTTGTCAAATGCTGCGAGCCTACCATCGACAAAGCCAAAGGCGATTGAATTGCCCTTGCGATGGATGTAACGCGATAGCTACGACGACGACGAGGTGCGTGCTAACATCCCTAGTGAAAGAGTGCTCTATGATCCTGAGACATTCGAGCCTGCCATACAAATTGGGATCGGCACCCCACCTCAGTACTTTTTTCTGATGTTTGATACCGGAAGCTGGATAACATGGATTCCTTCCACTGGTTGCAACCAGCAAGGTGGATGTGAATCTCCCAGACGTAAGCATCATGAGTAAAGAGTGATATACATAATATCCAGCACCATTCACCAGCATAGCAGATTTCAAGACCAAGGACTCCTCTACTTTTAAAGGCTCCAATTCCAAGTTTGATGGCAAATACGGGTCCTTGACAGCTACCGGAGACTTTTTTAGAGACGCCGTGCAAGTGGGAGGTGTCTCATTGGCAAACCAGCAACTCGCACAGGTTTACAAACAAACAGGCACCTTTGCAAAGCAAAGCAACAAAGGCGGATTTACCATTGATGGTATCTTGGGTGCTGGATTTGGTGATATAGAGCCTCCTATACCCTTTGCGTTGTATCAAGCAAAGCTCATCCCAGAGCCACGATTCTCTGTTTATACGGGTGCCCCAGGCGGTATTAGTGGCTCTGTTGTATTTGGCGCTGTACAAGACAACAAATCACTCAACATCACAAATGCCCTTGACAACCAATTGTATTGGTATGTGAATCCAAACAAGCTGAGCGTGGATGGTGATACCGTTTTATCATTCGACAAGAATGATAAATGGATGGTGGACAGCGGCACATCAACGAGTCGTCTCTCCTTCCAGATGAAGCCAAAAAATTGGTCAGCAAGCTGTTTGGAGGCGATGCTACCCTACGGGGTGTTCTTTACCATATTAGCAACTGCTCAAAGTACCTAAGCCAATCGTGGACGATTGATTTAACCCTTCCAGGTCAAGATCATGGAGCAGCATTTGACTTACAATTCACACCAGCTGATGCGTTAATCAAAATTGGTCAAAATACGTGTGTCTTTGGTTTTGGAGTCGCTGCTCAGCGATTCTTAGGCAATTCCATCTTGCAGCGTTACATCACAACGTACGACTTTGGTGATAAATCAATTGGCTTTACTCTTAAATAAACTTGTTTCTTATTTACTTTGGAAGGAACTACATATAAAGTCTTCGAAAGAATATGACTCGCTGGGTATGTCTAGTCGTTGATTCATCACATCCATCATGAAAAAAGTTGACAACGCTCTCCTTTGTCCATATCAATAAGCACTAGCTTTATTCATGCAACCCAATTATGATGACTCCAATGCTTCCAATTCTTGCCTTGCCATGTTACGAAGCAACTGCATGTCCGTTTTGCCTACAGCCGTACGAGGAAATTGATCGAGAATACGAACACCACCATCCAGTCGCATCACGGCATTCGTTATACGCTCGTTTACATAAGCAATAAGCTCCTTGGTGAATCCATCCTTGTCAGCAATCGAAGCTGGATCCTTGAGAACAACGTATGCACGAGGCACCTGATAACCGAGCTTGTCGCTATGTGCACCAACCACAATACATTCGCGGATACCACCATATGCCAACTAGGTATATCCCATAAGTACATCACCTCCATCTACCATTCCTTCCTGCTATGACGGCTACTCACACAAATGTCTTCAATGGGCTTTGGCGCACACTAGGTATAACATTGCCATGTCAGATCCACACGTCCAATACCTGTTGCTGAATTGTATACTTACATATTTGGATTCTTTTGTCAAGATCATCTCATTTTTACGTCCAATGAATAGGAATTCATCATTATCTTGCAAGATGAAAATATCCTTGGTATGGAAGAAACCATCCTTGTCAAACGCCTCTGCCGTATCCTCAGGGCATTTGTAATAGCCCTGCAAGAATAGCCGTTAGGGACATGAACGAGTGTACATCATAATGATATATACGTACATCGGCAAGTGTCGGATTCTTTGCCCAAAGCTCACCCATTTCACCTTTTTGGACCTCTAATGCATCACGTAAATCAGTATCTCGTCGATACAGCCCATATCCACTAATACCTTGTCCATGTTCATTCACCAATTTCACCGACCAGCCTTCTCGATCAGGGATTTTACCGCTTGTTTCTATCAACGTACAATTAGAAGGTTGCTCTTCCTCTTTTGGTGATTATAGCCATACCTGGAATGTTATGTTGGGGAATAAAGCCGAGTGGGACATAGGATTCGGTGGATCCGTAAAAAGTGAGCATCAAAGCCAATCCCAAGTTTTCCTTTGCCTTGAGCTTATCCTCTCGACGCACCATTTGGCCAGCTGTGGTTCCCACTTGCAAGGAGCTGACATCATATTTTTGGATGAGCTCTGGTTGATTGGCAGCCTGAACAACGTTGAAAGGTGCAAGGGAAACGGATGTGATTTGAAATTCTTGAATCTTGGAAAGCATCAACTCCAAATCATTTGAATTGAGTACATATTGTCGAATGCCGCATTGGAGGGACGCTTGGCATGCGATGGCAGATGCAAGGGCGCCATGAAATTGGCTGGTGGCAAGTGAACGAGCACGTTCGTTAGCGGTACGTGTCATGGTAGCTGCCAATTCTCGAATACGGAGCACACCCACTCGATGCCTATAATAATACAACAATTCATCATGAGAAAGTGTGAGATGGATTCGAGACAACAACTTCCTTACGAAATGTTCACAAGTTTCATTGCAGCAGTGGATCCAGAGGTACATGCGAGATAGGCGTTGGTATCAGGACTGACTTTTGGCAATGGTGTATTAGGATCATGCTTGTTGCATACATCCAACAGATTGGGGACATCAGCTTTGTTGTCGTTGTTGTTGTTCATCAACACCATGGGAAGATCAACACCGTCCTCCTTGAGAGCTGCTGTGATGGTTTGATAGGATGCAGGATGTGCAACAATCAATCTTGGCTCCGCTAGTCGAAGGATGTTGGCCATCTCATTGCTTGTCAACACCGCCGGGATAAGACATGCCCCTGCACCTGTTGATCATACACCGCACAAACCTTATCAGATATAACGCCCTTTTCCTTCTAAAACGTCTCCATCTTACCAGCAGCCATAACGCCATGTAGAGCAATAGGATATTCAATCTACGCCATCATCATTAGCTTTCATGGTATCAGCAGCAATGATCGTATGCTTACATCACTAGTCGAACAAATGGCCACTACATCGCCTTCTTTGATTCCATATTCATTGCTTCTCAAAGCAGCTGCAAATGCACGGACGTTGGTGTGAAGAGAGCTGAATGATAGGGATCGTGTTGGCTCCAAGGCATCAATGATAAGAGGCTCCGTATCGCTGAAGGGTCGTTTTTGATCAGTCTCAAAGACTTGTTCATAGATAGTGCTGGGTATCTCGTCGGCTGCCAACATCTTGAAACTGATAAAAAGAGGGAAAGAAAAGTAAAACGAAAACCCGTATGCATGGCTCAGAGTTAATGTGCGGCCTCATCTGCAACGTGCATAGAGCGCTTACCATTTTTGGAGAAGACCAGGTAAATAGAGTATCATAGAGTGGGATCACATCGCCGCTGAATTGTTTACATTGCTTGAAGACCTGCTATACATTTGCTCCTTGTCAGTTGGCTGGACATTTCCTAATGCATGTGTTGTTGTAATACCTTTTCCCCCAAGATGATAGAAGTTGTATCAGGTTTCTTTCCTCCACAGCTGATAATCAATCACCAGAAGAAGGCGAGTAAACAACAACATGTCTTATGGTCTTGTGCTCGAAGGAAGGCATTGTCAAGCAGGGTACACCCAATGTTACGGAGACTGCTGGTGGTGTCATGACCAAACGTGGCTCAGGCCGGGGAGCACAAGAAGCTAAAATTACAACAGCCCAATGTGCTTTGGAACAAGGAACGGCAATGGTTGATTGTATAAGACAGCGTAGGTAAGGGGGGCAGTGTCACAATGGGGCATCCCTATTATTATCCAAGGAATAATAAGACAAGTGGACGGCGTGTGGCAATACAATAATAACAAACCTCCTTGGATGGTATCACAAAGATGTTGATCGAATCAATGCATCCAAAACGTGACAAGAATGAGCCTTCAAGCTTCATCAATCATGGCACCAGATCAAAAGGAAGAAGAAAGAGGCATTGATTATGCTGATGATGTGCGGAGAGCAGCACAAGCGAAAATCCCTCTCAGCAACACGTCGCGGCTTGCTTGCCAGCTTGCTTCTTTCAGCACAACACCCAACAATGAGCCAAGCAACAAGAGGATCGCGTGTCGTCTTTGGTAACTGGAGACTGAATCAGCATACAATTGGATACAGCCATTAACAGCATTCGTATTACGTAGTCGGCAATATCCCATTCGAGATGACAGAGGAGCAGCTGATCGACATTTTCAAAGAAGTTGGTCCTGTTGTTTCTTTTCGGTAAGATGCAATCCTTGTTCAGCCGTCGATCGTCAATTGCAAACTGAATGAATGTGTGCATTGCTATAGATTGCTGTTCGATCGTGAGTCCAAGAGACCCAAAGGATACGGATTTTGCGAGTATTATGGTATGTGTGAGAGGATGATGGATGAGGGCAGGAGAATGAGGAGGAGGTGTATTGATGTAAAGCTATGTGACATTAGATGCTGAAACAGCAGCAAGTGCTGTAAGAAACTTGAATGATTATGATGTGGGAGGAAGACAACTTCGTGTTGATTATGCAGCGATGGATCCTCACGTGGAAAATCAGCGTGGACAAAGACAACCTGTACGTGTGTGTGAGCATCTTTATCATTGTCGATTCATTGTTCACCTATTTCTATAGCCTCGATCACATCCTCCACCTCATCCACCAGTACAACAACAACAACACATGCAACCACCCCCACCACATCCCTCACAAGCACAGCCGCCACCTCCTATGCCAACTCCCACACCAGCTGGTAGTGGTGGTACCTCAGTAGATGACATCTCCAAGGTGCTCGCATCGATGAGTTCCCAAGATTTGTTTACGCTCATGACACATATGAAGGTAAATCAGAGAGGATGATAAAGGGATGAAGGATACATATTGATTGACCGGTGGGCCATATAGCAAATGTCATTCGAACGACCACAATTCACAAGAGATTTTTTGACCAACAACCCTCAAGTTGCATATGCTTTATTCCAGGCAATGGTAATGATGAACATTGTTGATCCAAATATCATCACTGTAAGTATTCATAGCTCGCATTCCATTCTTCTATCATGAATGTTCATTGTGATCCACGTTGTTAGCGTATCATGAGCAATCCCTCCATGGGTGCTACAGGTCCTGCACCTCAACCACACAACATCCCACAGCAACCACCACAGCAAGCAACACCTACTCCACCACCACCACCACAACAACAGCCACCACCCATGATGATGCCACCACAACAGCAACCACCACCTATGGTCCCAAGCCCAGCAGCACCACAAGCACCGGCACCCATGCCAGGCATGGGTGAACCTTCAGGTAATTTTACTTTGAAATGTGATTGTGGATGGAAGCTAATCATCATATACCCCAATAGCTGATGTGAAGGAACAACAAAAAGCACTGCTCATGCAAGTAATGCAGCTCACAGATGAACAAATCAATGCACTCGCACCAGAGCATCGTGATCAGATTAGGCAATTGGTAAGTGTGTTCATCCTTGTGAATCATCCTATTCATTGTTATCCTCACATTGTCTATCATAGAAAGCACAATTGGTCATGTCGCAACCACCCCAATGAATATGATAGCTTTGTATTATGGTTGATAAAAAGATCGGTTCATTTTGTTTGTTTGTCTCTGCACACCAACTGTCAAGTAGTAGTGATGATATCGTTTGTTGCAAGTTTAACTTTGAAGAGTTCAATGTTTATTCCGGGATCCAGCTCAGTGGAAAAAAAGTGATTGACACACGCGCGGGCTATTTCATTTGATATTCACGGCTTTTTTTTCCCTTCCCATTTAACATTCTAAAATATGCTTTATCGCGGCCATCCATTACGTACACGCAGCAGATCACAAAAGAATGCTAGCACAAAATTGAATTTGATCGTTATGGGTCAAACTAGTAGTGGCAAAACAGCGTTTGTACGGACAATGTGTGAATATCTCAAACATGCAGTGATCCAAGGAACCTTTAAAGAATCAACACCCATGGTGCTAAAGGATCCACTTGCACCTACGGAAGCGACCTATAGCGTATCCATGGAGATTGAACAAGAGGATGACGATGAACGCATTTCCCTTACCATCACTGATACACCTGGCATCTCTTGTAATTTATCATTGCTTGAAAACCAGCTACGTTATCTTTGCATGTACATTGATCATCAATACGAGCGTACATTGCTCGAGGTAAATGCCACAAAACATGGGTCATACTTGATGTATTCATCCCTACTATGCATCCAGGAAACCAAAATCAAGAGAACGGCTCATGCCATGGATACGCATATACATGCATGCTTGTTTTTTGTCGATGGTGACAAGTTGAGACAATCGGGACGCCTAAGTGATGTGGATCGGTACATGATGCGCATGTTAGCGTCACGTGTGAATGTGATCCCCGTGGTTGGCAAGGGCGATACGATGACTGCACCAGAACGGCAACGATTGAAAACATGTTGTCGCAATGACATCTTTGACGTGTTTCAACTTCCGGTATATGGATACGAAGAAATGGCTATGTCTGATGACGATGATCAAGAGGAGCAAGAATCGGTGCAATCCAACAACAGCAATGATAGTAGTACACCATCATCGCCAACTTCCGAAAAACGAGGATCAGGGTCATTTACGCTTGATGGTATCTTGGACATGTTGGAAGCATGCGTCGAACAAGATGACGATGATGAAGAAGCCTATTGCATGAAGGAATACTTGAAGCTGCTTCCATTTACAGTGATCGGATTTGAACAAGATCCAGACTCGGGTCGACCTTTGTCACAGCAAAAGAAAAAACAAAAGCGATCCAAAAAGAAAAAGCAGCAAAGAGTGGATAGGCCATTCCTTGGTCGATATTATCCATGGGGCGTGGTGGATTGCTGTAATCCTGAATACAGTGATTTCGTGCAGCTGGTAACCATGTTGCTTTCTTCTCATCGTGACATGTTGCGTTCTGAAACATTTGAACGATTCTACGAGCGGTATCGAATTGGGCGGCTAATGAAGACAAGCGTGGATAAGACCATGGCTTTAGAAAGTACAACAATGAAACATAATCAAGTACTCTAGTAATAATCTGTATTAGAAAATTACATACGTATAATACATACTTTAATAATATAGTCATCCTGCTTATAATAGTAGCATTTCAAAAGAATACGTATAATGTGGTAGTAATGGATGATGGAATGGATCAAGAAACATCTTTATGTATAGAATGATCAGTGGATTGCAGTAACAAGATTTATGCATAGGAATTAAACAAGGGATCAGGTACAACAACATTATCCGGAAATGACAGGCTTAGGTGCTGCACGTGTGCATGAACAGGCTACACAAGAGTGACCTATTTTGGTATCACAACTCCGGTTGTGCTTCCGTGGTGCCTAGCACCATCACTACTTATCTCCTCTCTCTTTTCCGCCACACACACACACATAGACTCCCACTCTTTCTCTTTCTCTCTCTTTCACACACAACACATGGATCCAAGAAGTGGCTCAAGGGCACGACGTAGTGGAAGAAGACCTCATCGTTCCTCTATCAATACAACGGCCGTATACGACTATGCGTTACGATGTGCTATTCGTGCCTTCAAGGAACAGTCTTCTGGTTTGGAGGCGCCTCAACAACAACTGCAACAGCCTTCGCCGTCATCCCTCAAAGGAGACCGCCATTCCCTTCATTTGAGCAGCATGCTCGACTCATTGACTGAAAAGTTTGACAAGGACAACAACACCACCGATCGCCTCACGCGTGACATTGTCAGTGGGCTCATGAATCGGCTGAATGAAATCCGTAAAGGGAGAGACACGAGTCGACTATTGCATCAGGACGCTTGCTTTCGTGAAGTCGTTTCCCAGTTCCATAACAAGTGGTATTTGCACCGACTACGACCGAGTGGTACTATCAACGACTTGGTGGTATCGTTCTTGAAGATTAGCCAGGCCGAGATAGCCAAAGAGAATGGAGGGCAGCCCAATACACAGCAACTGAATCGGTTCATGGCGCGGTTTGCCGAGTTGTTGATCTCGACTTTGAAGGAAGATGCTGCATCATCATCCGTTACACCAGAACTCATGGAGCGGCTCAACGGATTTGTCGCACCCACCGTCAAACGTACAAAGAGTCACTATCAACATCAACGTCCCACTAGAAGAACACCCTCAGCTACTCCACCACCACTACCACCTCTACCAGGAAGTAATAATCAACCTATCGATATGGCTGCCTTGGAACGGTTTCCCATGGTCATGATGGTACAAAGTTTATTTGGCGTAAGCGATCATGAACATCGTCGTAAGCTTCGTGAACTTCAATCTATTTGCACTGACTCGGTAAATTATACTTGGAATGGAGATACGGGAAATAAGCATAGGGCTTTCACTCATGTTACACACATATAGGCTTTCTTGGTCGATCTCAAAAAGTGTCTTTACCATATTCAAACGGGTCAACCGTTCCCTGGTCGACGTGAAGATTATCCAAATCAACAAGCTTATGAACGATGGAAGACGCGTGAAGTCCAACAGCTGAGCGAGTTGATCAAGACCTTGATGTTACTCAACCCTGGTTTGAATCAAGAGGAAACAGCTGATGCTACAGGTGCACGATCGAATGATCCCACAGTAAGTTATTAACAAAGGAAAGTTGAGTATATATGGATACGTGTTCCCCTAACATGGATTGTGGTTGTAGTGTGCCTTTACTTTTATCCCCAATTTTCCACGAGCTTATTTCCGCAAGTTGATGGAGATGTGCATTGACTATGATATGAACGTGATTTCTGAAAGCGAGCGTGCCAAAACAAGTGTCTTGTCATTGCAATCGGATGAATTATTACGTGAATGTTGGCGTACTTGGCGTTTATCAGCCCCTTATCGTGCCGTCATGTACCTGGATTTTGTCACTGAACGATTCGAAGCAAAAAAGCTGGATATTGAGGATATCAAGGATGCATTCCGATCGTTGGATAAAGCTGTCAAAGAAAGCAATCCAAAGAGCTGGGCTACAAATGATGTAAGTGTGTACATGGAATGATCATTTTTTTCTCTTCGATGCTAACCATGGCTCTCTATGTAGATGGATAGCATGATTAGTGCATATGAAGAATTGGATCGTGCTATTTTGTTGGATTTGGAAGAGGCAATCTGTAACTACTGGAGAGTCAAGTAAGTGGTTGCTTTGGATGAGAATAGGTGTATGGGTGCTGATGGCTATTGCTTTTTAGGGCTGAATGGGTGGATGACCTTGTGTCTATTCTCGATAAGATCTATGACAACCCGTATTATCGTCACATGCATCCTGATCCAACTTTGGCAATAGCCAATCTGGAAGAACCATTACAGGTAAAGTGCAAAGAGAGGTGTATACAGCATTAGCTTATTGTGTATCATAGATTGCAGCAGTGACTAAACGATGGGCAGCATTGCAAGCAGCTTCAAAAGATGATACCAAGGACAGCCTAACCAACTTGCTTACGCTTGCTGAAAAATTGAACAAGGAGCTGGTACACGTATGCATGCACAACTTTAGATCATCCATCAAAGGGTAGGTATATGACGGCGGCGAATTGTGGGGAAGATTGTGGGTAATGGTAACTCACAAGGGTCCAAAGTGTGCTAGACGTGCCAAGTGTAGTCATGTCAAAAATTATGCCAATCTTTACCCTGGAGATGGATGATTGGGCAACGTATTCCCCGGATTCCAAGAATGCACCTGTCGACGTTGCTATGGAGTTGTATGAAAAAGTACTCAGTCTCAAACGCTTGTATGATCAACGTGGACCAAAGTAAGTATCTTGCTGTAAATCTTCCTATAGGTATCTTAACCTATGTCGATTCAATAGAGAGAAGATTGCATCTTTCAAGGTCGAGGCATGGTTTTTGCAACATGTTAAAAGATGGCTCGAGGCTTCCACTGAATCTGCCCCCAAATGTGTTGAAAATGCTCTCAAGCAAGAAGAGGTATCGTATCGCATTCTCGATTCGTATATATATAGACGCCTTATGCTTTATGTCATGTTTAGTTCAAGCCTGTCAGTGAATCAAGTCTACATTCATTTTCCGTGGATGATCTTTTCAGGCTGTTCAACGACTATGTAGACTTTGTATTGCGATTACAATGGCCTAACGAGGTACAATACTGCCGATTCCTCACATCGTTATCCAAGGTAAAGTTGACGTGTGCTTTATAAATTACATTAATGCTAATGAAAGATGATCTTAGGTGATTGCCAATGCCTTGGAGCAATATACCAATGAGATTGAAGGTTTCATCCTCGCAGAATTTGATCTTTTGCCCGGGGGTCGTCCTCAACGCTCGTCATCGTCATCCTTGCTACACAAAGCGAAGCGTCTTACAGGAAGCAATACCTCTTCAACGAACCAAGTATCATCCCGTGATATCACTCCAGAGGTAAGATCTTTGTTCACCAAGGAGATAAAACAAAAACACTCATTCTCTATAATTAGCTATGTATTATGCTCAATGATATTGAAGCTGCAAGAGGCCATTTGGATCAATTATACCAGCACATGAACGTGGATGCCGTTGCCGAACGCATGCGTGAATTGAATCATAAACCAGCGCCTATGGTGGAACCACAGACCAACTTTTTATACTCGATTCGCATTTTACGTGGTGAGAATCTCCGTGGCCTTGACAGCAACGGCTTGAGTGATCCATATGTGTCATTGTACATGAACCAAAAGGAGATTGCAAGGACGTACACGCATTACAAGACATTGGATCCTCGATGGGATCAAAGCTTTGATATTTGCTTGACCGAACGCACAGCTGATGTATTGGCATTGGTCTATGATGAAGATATGATTGGATCGGATCAAGAATGTGGTCAAGTGGTCTTCCGCTTGTCACCTGATATCTACAGCGACTACCAAAGCCATGAATTGACTCTTCCATTGGTACCACAAGGCAACCTGTACATGCGCATTAGCTTGGTGGGAGAAAAGGATGATATTCAATTCTGGTTTGTAAAGTCATTCCGTACACTGAAACGAGCCGAAAATGATGGTGCCTCGTTGATTGCAGAGCAGGTATGGTTGTATTGGAGAAATGGAACTAGGCCACTGACGTGGTACCTTTTTCTCTTAGATGGGACATATCATGCGTCAATGCTTGTCACGCAAGGTGGTGGATAAGTTATTGAAGCGCGAAAAGGGCTTCTTTTCATCATTCAGCAGCCGTAGCAGCCAACATATCGAGCCCACTTTACAAGAGTGTGAGGATGCTATTGGACCCTTGCTCGATTATCTCGAAAAGAATCTCAAGATCCTCAATGATCACCTATCGGAGACCAACATGAAGTTGGTGATCACCAAGATTTGGAATCAAGTCCTAAAGACGATCGAAAACTTGATGCGACCCGTGGATAATGAACCCGTATTGGATGATTATGAGGAACATGTGGTTGTAAAATGGCTCGAGGTACGTTTTTTATTTTGAGAGCATAAAGAATCGTCATTAACTTTTATCACTAGCTCCTTAAAATCTTATTCAACGGTGGTGAGGATGGTGATGCTGTACCATTGGACAAGTTGGAAAACATGCAATACCAAAGGTTGGTTACCCACGTCGGCCAACAACGCGATTCTCGAGATCAGCGTGATTCCAAGATCTTTATGTAAATTAGAGTCTGAATTGATTTGTATACATTTTCGCTATGCTTTTATTGCTGTTTTGCAAAAGCAACTATTAAAAAACTATTTATTCTTCATCTTCATCATCATCGTCTGGTCCTGCCATATCAATATCGGGTATGTCAAATGATCCCTCATCCTCCTCCTCATCATCATCTTTATCGTTGATTGTTGTAAAAGCCGTCGTTGGGGTGGCTGAATCTTGACGATCGATGGTCATGGTAAATGAGTTTTCAGTTGGTTGCCGTGAAAGCATCTCCGTATCTTTTGAATCCATCGACGTCGTCGTTGTTACCGTTTCAATCACTTGCGCTTCCTCTATCACATCCGACATGGCACGAGCCATGGATTCGCTTGGCTCAAGTATGTCTTTTTGAATAGGCTCTGTATCTGTGGCGACCATGGTAGGAACGATGGGTGCGATCGATGATGCTGGTGATGATGATGGTTGTCTTGGTGGCGATTTGGGACGTTGTACAGGGATCTCCTTTGTGGCTGGTGATGCCATTGGTGGCGTTGGTGATGATGATGGCGAGAGATCTCGAGTCATTTCAAAATCATTTTGCTTTACAACTTCCTCAACAACCTCGGTTTGAATGGCAGGTGCAGCAGGTGCAGATACAGCACGTTGAATAGGTGGTAGTCGTGTATGTACGCACAAGTCGCAAATAGCAAGACCTCGTTTGCAAATCGCTCGTAGCTAATCAATCACATGTCTTAGTACAAAATAATGATGCATATCATTCGAGTAGTCTTACCTCATGTGTCTCTGCATTGACGCCAGCGGTGAAAATACGTACTGCATAAGGTAATATGCTAGCTTGTGCTGGATTGGGATTCATAACGGAGGCTATAACGTAACCATAAAGCTTTCCTTTGATGATGGTCGTCTCGGCATTCGAAGGTTGCAAGAGCCTTGAAATGATTGCTGTATCCAATGCTCTCCTTTGAGCTTCACCCATTGCATGACCATAGCACACCATTAATTGCTCAGCCGCATCAAGAGCTGCCAGTTGCACATCACTAGGCACCGATTGTGCTTCCTCTCCATCAATAACTGCACCCGTTTGTTGATCTGCTGCCCTCTTTTTACCAGCCTAGAATAACAGCATAAGCACATTATCCCAAAAAGAAAATGTAAAAGCCTACCTTGACATTGGATATAATGCTGACAGGTTTACGTTCTGGGATCTTCAAGTCATCGCATACACATTGGACAGCCGCTTTTGAAATGTTGGCAGCAAATGCATGGCCATATTGTTCAAGGCACAATGAAAGCAATTCATACACAGAAATTCTCAGGGACCTGTTTCAAAGAATGAGTGAGCCTCATTGTCTATCCCTCTATTCGAACCCAATACTCACCGCTTGTTTTTGCTCTCGCTCAATAACCGGAGTAAAATACTCGATAAAAGCTTTCCATATTGTGTCATACCAGCATCCGCACTAATAGCCTATGGGTGAATACCTTTTCTCGATCCGCAAACATGCATGTTCTTACCAATAAAGCAAGCTTGATAACACCTTGTTTGTGCTGAGATAAAGTGCCGGTAAAAGACCCATGAGACAAGTATGCTCATCCTTTGGCTTGAATTCACGCATCTATAATCACAATGAGATTCTCTGAAAACCAATGACACGCATCTATGGTCTTACCGCGCACCCTGGAAAGACATTGTATACACGGCAAACGAGCTGAATAATACGAGCGAATGGAACAGCAACCGCCGACTCGGTCTTGGTACTAGATAAAAGATCATTCATTTAGCCATAATGAACATGATCCCAAACACAATCTACTCACGTAAGACAAGCTGATACGACATTCATCAAGGTCTGTACACGTTGCAAAAGAACAGGGAATGACATTGTGTAATCAACCGACAAGGGGAAAAGCTGATATGCAGGAGTTCTGCTGAATGAAGCCGAGTCCTCTATAGATACCAATTTGTCAGCCTTTGATTGATACCATGATATCCTCCCTATTACCTTCGTCAATTGTATCGAAAAGTCTATCGAGTGCTTGATGGGCTGTGTCAACCAATTTCAAGAGCATCTCATTCCATTGGGTAGCAATGTTGGCTTTGCCGCCTGATCGTGTTGATGCCACCAAATATTGACCAACGAGTTCGGAATCAATGTGGATCCTGCCTTCGAGATAAGGAATGATGCATGATTTGGCGACTTTATCAATCACGTGGCGAGTCGTAGAAGGGAATAATTCCATGTCGATTGTCAAGGCATTCAAAGCAGTGGTCTATTTCCCCATCATTAACATCCAATATCCTTGTATATACCAATGCAATAAACTCACCTGGAATTGATGATCAGGACGACTTGCAAGAGTAACCAACAATTGATGGAAGCGAGACAAGTTTTTGTTTGTGACATCGGTCAACAGGTCAGGCTTGCCAACGGACTTGGTGAATATCAACGAAAGTGTCTTGATTACAATATCATGCACGGTAGGTTGTTCTGGACGCTGTGGTACAATTAGAGTCTATGATACATGCAAGGAAAGGAAAGCGAAAAAACTTACCGCTAAAAAGCCCAAGCACTGAGCACACCATGTTTGAGCGTTGGCCGTATAGAGCGAAGACGACTGCTCACAAGTAAGCTTGACAAGGCTGATAGCTGCCCATCGTGCCAAAGGTTGACGTGATTGCAAGAGTGCATTGAGTCTCACGGTCCATTTTCGTTTGACAGCTCCCAGATCGTCGTGATCGTCTTTTTGTTGATCGTTCAACAAGTCGTTGTTGATAATCGTCTCGGTGATAAAAGGGACGTTGACATGGACACTGGATTCGTCTGACAAGTAGTCTGATAAAAGCCGATTCAACTGTAGAGCTGCCATGGCGAGATTGGAGGTGAAGAAAACGCGCGGGATCAAAGGACGTGTTCGGCTTGGTCTTGCTCGCCTTTCCAAAATGCAATGCTTGCAAACAGTCCCACCACCAGAGCACATCCCCTCCCCATTTAGGAAATCACATTTTCATTGTCACTCAGTGGCTACACAAACATACAACATGATACTGCTCAAAGGGATTCATCATCCTCGGCATTATTGTTGTCATCTAAATGTGTCATTATATAATAAAGATAGGCGGTTTTAATATGTACAAGAAGATAAGGAAGATATACATATGGGTGGATATATACAAGTAGATGGGAGGTTATTCCTCAGGTATAACACGGCGACGTTTTGGGTTATGCACAGGCATTGTGGGACACTTGTTGAGTCTGCATATTTAAAGCTATGTTGGTGACCGGTTCGGCAATGCCGATGATATTAAGCATGTTCAGGATTAATTCCTTCATTTGGCAAATGGCGATTAGAAGTTTGCTGAACTTGGCTAAACAATGTTGTACCCTTGTAGCAAAGCAAGTGTGTTTGGATGGGCGTTTCATCGTGAGGATTTTGAGCTTCAACCTTGTGAAATTAATTTGATGAGTGAAGGAAAGATCGCAATGTTCATATTTACATACCCATCATGATAAAAGCCTACAATCACCAAGTCACCCGAGCTTGAGCTGTGGCGTTTTAAACACCGGGCATCGTATCGTGCATCATCTTTGGGCACTTCAACCGCCCTTCCACAACCTCCTTCCTTCCAGCTTCCCCCTCATCCTTCTTTCCAACTTCAGCGCAACCAAACCAATACTACGCTATCTTGAGGAAAATATCAGCTCGATGGTCGTGCTTCTTGCGATTTGATTGACCGGTGGAGGTGGTGGAGTTCCGATACAGAGAACTTGCTGTACTCTCCATCTCGCCCCTGGTATCAAGATTACATTAGTAAAGGCACAAATTGATCTCTTTCATTACTTACGTTCGCACGTCAATGTCCGCTTCATCAAAGGCAGTGTCAATGAACGTCCACACCCTGCGAATGATGTCGGCTTCGGTTTGGTCAGATAGCGGGAGTTAGTTTTATTCGAACAACCTTAGAGCAAAGCGAATTGATAGCTGAGCCCATTCAAGAAGAAAGTTGTCATCGAAATCAAACTTGTCTTCCTTCGTTCGTGCTGCAAGATCCTTAATGTTGTTCTAGTAAATGCGTTAGATGATGTTACATAATACAATGATGGAATAATACTTACGAGATGGCTGAATGTATTAAGGTAATTCACCAAGTGATCAGGTGCAGGAGGAAGAGGGATGTCAAATTTTCTTGTTCTAATTGATTGGCTTGCTTCCTTGACAGAATCTTGCAACGATAGCCCAATCGAGGTTTAGATGTCAATGGCTGTAACATCACTATCAGTGGTGTCTAAAGAATGTATATGTTAGTGTTTTTCTAAAGTCACAAGAAGGACGCGCACGATGTTGGGGCATGATACATACCATTTGATTACACATGGTAGGGTAATGCCTCACCAAAAATTTCTGCCAAGTACTTTGGAAGCCTTTACATCACCACCATGCGGGCTGTAGTACAACATGCCACCTAGTCCAACGTTGCAGGCTTGAGAGGAAGCTACGTCAAAGGAAATGTGAGCATGCGCTTCATCAAACAAGACGATTAGGTTGTACCATAGCATCGCGATGACAACAGTGTCCATGAAAGGGAGCATAACAAAGGGACGCTATAGACCACCCAAGTATTAGCATATGGATAGCACATACATCCTTCATGGCATGTACTCACATCAACTTCGGTTTGGAGGTATCGGCAATCAAAGAGTGATATGATGGAAGAAAGAGATGTGGATGTAAAAATGGGCGACAACATCTTTGTTTATATATACATGATGGGCGTGGGTATCTTTGTGATCACAAAAAAAGGAGGAAGAATGATAAAATGCTCGTTGGGAATGGTGATGAGCTGATAAATTGTTGGCCACCTTCACTATTGATGTATCTGAAGAGCCTTGGCGTGGTTGACTGTGGATGATGCATAAAGCAGGTTCTGATAGATTTCATCGACAGATTCAACGAGAATGATGTTGCATAGCTCCATGACCTTGTAGCGTCTTGTACTCGTGTCAGCACCCATAACACCGGTCACAATGTGCATATAACACCTCCAATGGGCCTCGCTAGTATGAAATAGCTAAGTCTAAAAGAGGTGTAAGACATCATGACAACGAAAATTGGGAACATTGGCTTTTTACCTGTGATAGACGTTGCAGTGATTTACACAGTATCTTCAGGCATCCGTGTCACAATTTCATTCACATCCTTCGTACCCATAGCAAGTCGTGTAGCTAGATTGTTTGTCGAGTGATGATCAAAGTATGCGCCTTCTTGTTTGAGATAGAGATGAGAGGCTTGGCCACGTGATTGTTCTCCTGCTGCTGCAAATGAGATCGCTTGAAGTGCATAAATGATAAACGTTGCCACGATCGAAATGAAAATCCACAATGCAGATGCCCCAACTACAGTTGATGTCATGCTGTATTACTGCTCTGGACCTCGAAGCATGCAAGTTGAGTGGCGATTTGGCATACACAGGACACAAATGGGAAAATAAATCAGCCGTAGCAGAACCGGAGAAACCACGCCTAGGTAGGCTTTGTGGACAACACCAATGTGGGGGCGTAACCATGATGTATTATCCTTGCCATTGGACACGTTGTATAATCACGCAAATGTTCTTGAGGACCAGCTGGGTATAAGGAAACAATCATCAATGCACATGGACACTTTATTATGCAAGAGATACATACCTGGTCGATTTGGATAATCAAACGTGGACATTCCAAAGTACGAGATCGTCTTGGATGGTGCGTTGGCAACGGCATGCTCTAGCAAGAGATTGGTTTAGTGAGTAATTGAATCATCAAAGATAGAAAAAAAAGAAACCAAGGGAAAAAGTTGGAAGCAGTTCGGGTGAGTGGAAGCCGTAACAAAGGGCATAATTGACCTTTGCTTAGAACGAGCAACACAGTTTAACACCTCTTTCCTCCTGACGATAAAGTTGCCACACCTCCCTCCTGCCAGGGATAATCGAGGGTAAACAACTTTTCCCCTTTGGTGCGTAATGTGTATTCAGCGTTCGATCGAATGGAAGATCCTCGTATTGAGTGACGCACATTCAAATACTTAGAACAACTGAAGCGTTAAGATGACGGTTTCCTTCTACAACTTGTAGCCCACCATTCCGAGCAAGCTGTAGAGATAATTCCGACATCCCACAAAACGCAAAGAAGTAGATGAATAAAAGAGTCGAACACCGTTGTAGATTGTGTGCATGAAGATAAGAGGCGAACACCGCTGTAGATTGTGTGCATGAATAAGTGACAAAAAGGAAGGAAGGAAGGAAGGAGAGAGGAAGGAAAAAAAGACAAAGAGAAAAAGCGGAGAAATGTGCTGCGGTTGCCATATCGACGCCATCACTGCTGCCTCTCAATAAAATGCGGAGCCTTGCAACGTTTGATCAATGCGCAGCTCTTCACCTTTCCATCATGGCTTACACTGTTCCTCCTTCTCCCAATGGTCTCATGCCTGATTTTCGCCTGACCCCCGACGACTGCACGAATTATAAAGTTCTTCCACTGTTCAGCGTTCTGAAGATTGGTGACTGGGCAAATCTTGAGCTTGTGATCGCTGAAATGGTCAAGCAACCGCGAACACTGGGCACAAAGGTTACGGAGGCGAAGAGTCAACTGATCAGATCTCTCAACATTATTGCAAAGAAGAGGACTGATTATTATCCATTGAATGATTACTGTACTCGTGTGGCACAATACTACAAGTCAAAGGAAGCTTCCGCCCAATTTACTTTGACCTGGAAACTTGAACAAGAGAAGGCAGTGGCAAAGCAATATGGACGCATCAATGGTGCCAAAGTTACACGTTTGGGAGCAATCGAACTTGGACGAGAATTGGATCAAGCTGCTGACAATCTTGAGAAGGGTGATAATGAAAATGACGGCAACGAACACGTCGATGGCGGCAACGAACACGTTGATGGCAACAACAATCACGTTGATGGCGACAATCATGTTGATGGCAACAATCACGCTGATGGCAACAATCACGCTGATGGCAACAATCACGCTGATGGCAACAATCACGCTGATGGCAACAATCACAATGATGACATCGATCACAATGATGATGCTCCCACTACGATCTCCAAGTACTTGTCAAAGCAAGAAGCGGATGGTATACTCTATCGACAAAGCACTATAGGAACCATGATCAAGCATCAAGCGATTAAGATCTTTCAAAGATGGAAAGCCGGAGAGTCGATTACCGATGATGAACGGCATTGGATGAAGTGCGGCTTGTCGTCAATATTAGACCTTGTCAATGTACCATCGACCAGAGAATTCTTGAATTCAGACAATGACAATGATGATGATTGGGATGTGATACAAAATCTATTTACGTCAAAGTATCATCTCGCTGAACCGCATCTTCCTGACATCTTCGGCCAAACTTGGGATATTGTTGCTGCCATCTTGACACGTACGAACGACGCTGAAAAAGCAAAGTCGTACATAAACAATATCAAAACCAATGGTCGTGAAACGAGAAAGCTACTGGATCTTATACACGTCGCTCTGGTGATTGTCGAAAACAACAGCTTTTTACTGGATCCTGCCAACATCGATCGGGTGACCGAATATGACTTTTTAACACAAGTATGGGTCCCACTAATCAAGGCGATCATCGACATTCATGCTATGCTGCGGATGAAGGTTGGTGAATCAAGCCCCAAAGCTGGTACGGTGGCTAGAAAAAGGCTTTACGATGAAGTCAACGTTGGATTCAAAGAAGATGTGCGTATATTGTACGATTCACGTTTTAAGGAGCATGATCTTCTCTGCCTCGAAGCAGCAAAGAATGGAAGCAACATGAAGTTGACAAGCGACTTATCAAAATTGTTTCGCGAGGCGAAAGATGATTTGGATGACCTTATCAATCATATTTTACACAGCGACCCTGCATGTCGACCATCATCGTTTTATATGCAAACAAACGGCGTGCACTGCCACCTTGGATCAATTCATTTGGCAAAACCTGGCCTCTACGTTGCTCTCCACCAAGCCAAGCTGAACTTCCCAAGGAACTTTGCCGCTTTTGCCAATTTCAAGCTCCCTATCACAATGCTCGTCAATATCATTTACAAGCTTGAACGGACTGCCACATTGATACGCAAGTCCATCGACAGGATTGATGACCATGGCCGCAACAAGCTTGACAAATCAATCAATCATCAAGACGACACCCTGCTCCCTTGCCAATTGGCATACAACACCCGCCCCACCTACTACGATCCACCCAACGCCGACCATACCACTGCCAAGCTTCCCAACGACCTTTTTGGCTTCAATCATTCACGCGAATCTCATCACTCTCCACCCGCTTCCCCCCAGTTATCATGGCCGATGAGTATGGCTGGGTCAAACTTGAAGGCGAGAGCAGGTTCTTCAATGTTTTTACAAATGTATACGCTGATCATCATCCCTTCTCCCACGCACCCGACTCCCAATGACATCCCTAATAAAAATTAGCTGAACAACCATCATACATGTATCATTAAAAAATCCTGGACATTAATGGATTCACTTATCGGCCCAATATTGAGCTGATTTGTATTCGAGGAGGGTTGAATTTCATTTCGCAACACGACTCTTTCTCCATTACCGCTACCCTTTACATTGTCGCCTTATGTTTTTTGGTGGACGACAAAACGACACAAAGAATGCAACAAAGAACCGCAATCCAATGGACCGCAACAAAAGCCATTTTGGTGTCAATCGTAGTGGTGGACGTGGTGGACGTGCCAACAGCAATCAATACAACGACCGTCAACATAGCCAAACCCTATTCCCAGCGCTGATGTGGGCGTGTAATGGCCAGTGCACAACGAGCTACAGATAAGACAGCACTGTATTCACAGGTACACCATGCGTTTTTCCTACCTTCATTACCCCCATCGCACCAAGCAACTCTCTTTGTGTTGTTTTCCATATACACGCGCACGCATACATATACATCATCCAAGACCTTTTGACCGACTTTCTTTCTCTATGGCAGCTCAAGGAAAAACGTGTTACCGAACGAGCCAATGCAATCAAAAACGGCCTGATACCTGATCCCAGTAAGCCTATGCGCCTCGCTGATGCTATCGATTTCCGTGGCACGCTGCAACACATGTGTTCTCGCTTTGAACAAGTGGAACGTGAAGTTCAAAACATGTTGGACCCTTTGGAAATGGTAGGTTACTATTGATTTACTCTATATCCATGCCGAGGCTAATGATCAACCTTCTTTACAGGATGCGAGTGGACAAGCTGATCCAAAAAGGACCGTCAAGAAGTATCGTCGATCTGCAGCAGGCAATGAACAACCATTACCATCGGATGTACGACCACCCCATGTATTAAGGGTAAGGAACAATGAATGCTTCATTGTAAAGATATGGATAACCAACACATGGACAATTTCTATAGCGGACGCTTGATTACCTGGTCAATGAGATCCTTATGCAATACCCTCTCATCAAATGCCATGGCTTCTTATGGGATCGTACACGCTCCATCAGACAAGATTTCACCTTGCAGAATATCCGTGACGCGTCAGCTGTTGAACTTCATGAAAAGATTGCACGTTTGCATATCCTCAGTTTACACGAGCTCTGCGAGTATGATGATGAGAAGTTCAGCGAACAACAAGAAACCGAGCAGCTTCGAAAAGGTAAGCAGCATTCATCATCATCATCACTTTCAAAAGGCATCTTTTGACATTTTTTCAATCTAGTGCTCTTGAGTTTGATGGAGTTTTATGATGATTTACGAGAGGATGGCATTGAGACGCCCAACGAAGCCGAATTTCGTGCCTATTACTTGATTTCTCATATCCGTGATCATGAAGTGGCTCGACAAATCATGCAATTGCCGCGCCATGTTTTATTTCATCCATTACTGCAACGTGCGCTACAATTTTACGAATTGATTCAACGCAATAATGAAATCATGGAGACCTCTGAACGCCGCAACAAGTTCACCAATGTGGAAGCATCTCAAAACAACTATTCAAAGTTATTCAAGCTTGTTGGTGAAGGTGATACGCCCTTCTTATTGGCGTGCATGATGGAATGGCATTTCCCGGATATCCGTAAAGGTGCTCTCAAGGCCATGAATCGAGCGTACTTGTCCGTTCATATTGGCGTCGAGGTTGAATATCTTCGTCAGGTGCTCGCTTATGACTCTGTCAAGCAATTGTTATCCGAAGCACATCTTTATGGACTTTCTTTTGAGGTGAGCGCGACACAAACGACGATTCGATTTGGACAAAAGACCAAGCAAAAGATGCATGTATTTGTTGGTATGTGTATGTGACATTGTACAGACATCCTTGGATACTAACACATTTATCTCATCTTGTAGAGCCTTTATCCAATCCTCGACCAACCAAGTCCATGTTGCTTGTGGATCCGAAAAAAGGCAACCGCACCTTTGCACAGATTGTGAATGGCGAATTGGATGATGTTTTGGTTCCTACCAAGAACAACCTATTTCAAACATTACCCAATGATCTCCCTGCCAACGGTGGTCCAGTCATCAACACTTTCAGATCCGAACATCGATTACTCCCTACGGTGGATGCAACAAAAGCTTTTGCTAATGCTCGTCGTGTCCAAGAAGGACGTCCAAGCACACCTCCTATACCTCCACAACAGCAACAATATCAGCTTCAGGTGCAAGCACAGCAAGAAGCGTTACGTCAACAACAAGAAAAGGCACGCTTGGAGGAGCAGAAACGACAGGAACAAGAGCAAGTGGATACGGATGAAGTGATGAGATCTGCTCAAGTGGTTCGTGCAGAAGAACAACTACGAATGGAAGTACGAGCTCAGCTTGAAGAACAAGAACGTTATTTGGCAGAAAAGAGACGAGAGTACCTAGCCAAGATTGAAGAAGAAGAGCGCAATAGACACATGGCAAGATTACGAGAACGTGCAGTGGAGAGTGTTCGAGAACATAAGCGGAAACGACGTGAGGAGATGGTGACCACGCTTAGCGATTTCTTGACAACAGCGGTGCTTGAAGCAGTTACAGGCGAGGAAACAAGGAAAGCTGCAAAGCATACCATGTGTGCTATGAAGCTCATCAAGCGACGGATGACACCTCTTTTGAAGCGAGTACGTGCAAGGATCCAGAAGCGACAAGATCGTGTTAGAGAACGCAACAGCCTCTATCGCTTGACTCAACGACTTACACAAGCTGTGAATACCCGCACCACAATCAACAACACTGTCAGCAGCACCCCACAGAGTCGATCCATGGCTATTCAATCATTAATGTCAGAAGGCATGGCATTACGGCGTGCTGTACAAAAGGTATTCTTTTTATTTCCATGGCAACCATTCTCATTGTGCTGATGATTTATTCTATATATAGCCAACAAAGAACAACCCTACTGCTATTTGGGAAATGAAGAATGTGGCGCATGACTTATATCCACACATCAAAGAAGCATTGAGTCTGAGGAGGGCAAATAAGGACACGTGGTTGATGTATATCCATTTGGAGGCTGAGGACATGAATGCGACCCAATGGTTTATGCATAAATTTGGATTGGATCCCGAGTTTCATCGACGCATTGAACGTGTTCAAGACATGACAATTGGCATTCGTGCATTATACCCTACGAGTCCTATCTATAGTCAGGTACGTGGATGATCATCTTGTGATTACCACATGGAGCTAATGGGATATTGCAGGTGGTGGATGACACAAGCAGTATCATATTTGGTCTATCTGAAATGCGGCATAGCAGCGAAGGGGATGATATAGATGAGTAAGTTTTTCACTCTATGCGAGTGTGGGAACGCGTTATGCTTACATTTGGATTCAGCGTTATTTATTGGCGGAAGGAGAAACAACGGCTGGATCGATTTTGTCAACAACTCAAGGCAGAGAACCCTGCGTTTCATGCACCATTCTTATTCACATATTGGCCACGAACAAAGGCATTACAAAGCGCGATTGAAATGGTAAGTACAACTGACACAACATTCGTGTGGGAACAATAACAAAGGCTGATCCCAAAAATCATGCAGCTTCCCGATTTTTTGGGCCTGGAACAAAACCAAGTTGTACATAGTTATCATATATTGATCATGAACCCAACAACCATCCCCGAGCGTCTTGATGAGGAATTAACGTGGCTGGCAAGAAGCACCGTCGTCAATACGTTGACCGTATAATAATAGAAGATGCAAAAGAATGTTCCTTTATTATATATGTACATAAACATGATGATTGATTTGCAAGAGGATGATCAAATTAAATGGTAGCGTTTCGAACAACGAGGACTGGGCAAGGACATTCATGAATGCAGCGATCCGAAACTGATCCCAAAAAGACACTCTTGACAGTACCCAAACCGCGTGAACCAACAATGAGCAGCTCCACTTGATTGTTTTGCGTATAGCGTGGAATCAAAGCCTTGGCATCACCTGTCAATACATGTGCCTCGCTCGAGATACCCATAGTACGAAGTCGTTCACTCAATCCTTCAAGACGAGTACGCGTGGTGGAATCCGAAGGGAGATCATGGGGAGACTTGATTTTACCGGGGGAAGTGGGCATAAAGCTGCTACCAGCTGCCTTGTCACCAGGTTGGATAGCCGAGAGAAGAATGACATGGTCGGTATCTCCACGAACGATATTCTTGAGGGACCATTCAAACAATTTTTGAGCATCGTCGCTACCATCATAAGCGATAGCAACGCGTCGTTTGTCAACAATGGATGTAGCCATAATAGAGAAAAAGTAAACTTGAGAGGAAAGAAAAGTGTGAAACCCAAGGATCTTCTCACACAATTCGGGGGGCTGTCTTTTATGTGTGTTTGGGGCTTGTTCATGCCAACAACACGCGCATTGTGTCACACGGCCCACCTTGTGTGACCCGACAACAACAGTGTGAGGTGGTGCCACTTTTATTTCTTTTTTGGTCTTCATCTCCTCTTCCCCAAGAAAAGATGGGTCGATTTCAAACGGATCCACCAGCGTGGTATTGTTTGATCCGCTTGATGCTGAGTTGACTTTTTCCATACACACAACTCGTCAGGATTTTCTTTTCTTCCAATGTCCTCCAGCTTCCAGCTGTTCCAGTTCGATGGTGTTTGTCAGACCGTCGCACTGACATTGTGCCCACTTATTGGCAAGTCCGATGGCATTGAACCCATTTGTTATGCAAGAAACGTTGACGTGGCAGGCGTGCTGATTTTTCAACCAGGCAAGTAGTAGCAACAACAACAACGCCTTTGATCCTTTTATCATTAACAAGAACCTTTCAGCCACTTTTATCATTGATATTGTTGCGTTGTTGATGACTGGTATCATGATCTACCACATAAAGACAAAATACACAGCCGTTGGTAAGGGTGGAACGATAGCCAGGAAATCACGTTCCTTACGCTGATCATGAAAATAGGCCGAAAGGAAATCACGCTGTTTTTCCAAATGTATACCATGACAGTGATCACCGAAATGCTTCTGGTGACGAGCATCATTCCAAAGGCATCGATTCTATATCCCGTGAGTCATCCTTGCTTTGCTTTGCATTGCTCTACAAACATTCATATGCTCATCATCATCATCATCATCATCATCATCATCATCATCCCATGAACAACCCCACCAGTACTTTACAGCTGTTCATCTCGGATTGGTTACATCAACGCTTTGGTGCTTATTGATCAATGGATTTTTGGGTATTCAGTTTGCTGAAGATGGGACACCTTTGAGTCTTTGGGTATGTAAGAATATGGAAAGACACGTGATGTGATGACATTTGTTTGACATGACACGATCGGCAGTGGAATCGGATAACAACGGGTATTATTTTCATTGTGGTATCTTCCATTGCCATTGCCACATTCAACAACACAACCGGCCCCTTCAATTATGAGTCACCCATGGCCTTATGGATCATTTACTACTTTATCAATGGTGCCTTTGTCACCATTTACATTATTGTCCAGCTAATCCTTATTGCGTTTACGTTGGAAGATCGATGGCCTTTGGGTGACATTTTATTCGGCGCTCTCTTTTTCATCATTGGTCAAATCAGCATGCATGCATTTTCCATTGGCATTTGTGAACATTCAAAACACTACATGGATGGATTGTTCCTTGGCAGTGGATGTAACTTGCTGGCAGTGATGATGGTTTACAAGTACTGGGATTCTATCACGGGTGATGATCTTGAGTTTGCATTGGATTCCAAACCCCAATATTGGCAGGTGTTTGAGCCCATTCAAAAGGAGAAGAATTAAAAATATACATAAAAAAATGCCGATTGCATTGAACGTTTTTCTTTTTTTCCTTTTCTTTCTTTGTTCTGCTACTATCGTGTCACTTTTTTCTTAACCCCCGTTCCTTTTACCATTGCATATACATGTTGAGACGTGCCTTTTCCACCGCCAAGTTATCCAAACCCTACCTATGGGATAAATTACCCGGCGAAGGTGTCCAACCTCGAAAGGGTGTGGAAAAGTTAATGGGTTCTTTAAGAGCCAATCGTTTCAGCGAACCATTTCCAGTCAACACCACACCCAAGGATCGTTTCGATGTAGCTATTGGTATGTAAGCGTACATGTGTGTGATGGTTAGGGTCAAAAAAGGGTAACACAACATCCTCCGAAACCAGTGGGCGGTGGCATTGTTGGTTTGGCTACAGCCAGAGAAATCTTGAAGCGGTATCCAGAAAAGACCGTGGTTGTCTTGGAAAAAGAAGATCAAGTAGCAGCACACCAAACAGGTCATAACTCGGGCGTGGTAATCACTAAAAGTGCTCTGTTACTATTATCATCATCATACTGACATCATCAACAAGATTCATGCCGGTTTGTATTACATCCCAGGATCTCGGATGGCCCATACCTGTGTACGTGGTGCTGAGCTTATGTACAAGTATTGCGAGGAAAAACAGCTACCAGTAGAGAGGTGTGGTAAATTCATTGTTGCAGCCAATGAGGGTGAGCATGCGCAAGTCGAAAAGTTGTATAGCCAAGGGACCGCCAATGGTGTTCAAGGACTCGAGATTATATATCGAGATCAGGTAGGTTACATGCATGATGATGCAAAGTGCAGGATGTTGACAGCTTTTATTAGATAAAAGAGATGGAGCCCAATGTTTCAGCGTATAGTGCATTGCATTCTCCAAACACAGGCATCACCAACTATTGGCTTGTCGCCCAAACCATTGCCGATGAAATACGCGAATCAGGGTAAGAAGGATATACGCATTTGAGAAGCCATGGTTGTTGACCTTGGTGTGTATATGTATATAGACGTGGTGATATCAAGCTCTCATTTGAAGTGGATAAGATGGAAACGACCAAGGATCGAAAAGTATTGGTACGCTAGGGTATGGGTGTTTCTTATCAAAGTATGTATACCAACATGGAAAGGATGGCAGGTTTATGGAAGAGAACCAGGTCAATTTGGTCCTGTGCTACACGTGGAAGCTGCCAATGTCATTACATGTGGTGGATTCTACTCTGATAGACTTGCCAAACTCAATGGTGGGAATTATCGAGCCAACCGAATTGTCACTTTTCGAGGAACGTATTACCAGCTCAAATCCGAGTATCGTACCTTGGTATCTCGTAACATTTATCCAGTGCCAAGCGGTGGTGGTATTCCCGTAGGCGTGCATTTTACTCCTACAGTGAGTATTACACCTATTACTTGTCATGTGTACAGGGATTAAGTGGCGGTGTGTATGCTGCAGGTTGATGTGCGAAGAGGTCATCAGCTTATTGTAGGACCTGGTGCATGGTAAGCTATATATGGAAAGCAGCCATCACAACATCAGCTGATGATCCTATCTTAGTATTACTTTTTCAAGAGAAGGATACAAGTTCTTTGATACCAAGTTCTTTGATCTTTATGAGTTTGCTACCAATATGGCATTTTGGCAATTCGCATTCAAGAACTTTACATTATCGATGGGTGAACTCTATCGTGATCTCAACAAGTCTGCATTTTTGAGAAGTGGTCAAAAGTTTATTCCATGTCTCAGTGATGAAATGGTAGAACCAAGCTTTTCTGGGATCATGTCACAAGTATTTGAGGTGGGTATATATTCAACATTGATAGCATTGAAAACGCATATGCTAATGCTGGGGTGTGGTGGTTATCCTGTTTACTAGCCTGGTGGAGGTGCTGCTGGGGACTATATCATTGAGCGTAATTGCATGGATGGATTAGCCATCAATCTTCGTAACGCCCCTTCGCCAGCTGCCACTGGATCCTTTGCCATTGCCGAGATGATGAGTGATATTGCTGCTGACGATTTTGGTTGGAAACAATAAACGTGCCTCCTTGCTTCCTCACTGATGTCGCTTGCGTTTGACGCCATCCATGAAGCCAACGACTTGTTGAAATGATTCATCCGGTGGATCACTTTCCACAGCTGCAAGAAGAGGATCCAATAGCAAATCGACCTTATCAATGGGCAGGTTACAACAGGCTGCGATGAGTCGTTTACATTGGATTTCTGTTTGGCTGGTACGATTCTGCAGCTGTGAGATTTGTTGTGATAGTACTTGTCGTGTTTGTGTATGGGTGGCAACCTGAGCTTGTAATAACTTCATTTGCTCCTCAAGCCATTGTTCTCGTGTCATGTTGCATTGCTCGAGTAGCGATAAAGGTGGGATGTTGAGCTCTGCATGCTGTTGTCGTCGTTCAACTTCTTTTTGTTGCAATTTGCTTTGTAGCTGTTGTAGTTGTTGAGTCGCCTTCCGTAATTGACCCTGTGCCTTTTCAAGTGCCTGATCTCGTTCACGTATTTGTGCAATGTATTCAGTATCAATGGAATCCACCGCCTTTTGCACAGCTTAGAAACATGTTAGTTGTCATGGATACGGTGTATGATGCTGAAAGCACTTACACAAGACAAGATCACGTCCTTTTGTTGTTGATCCACTGCTGGTTGAACAAGGCTATGGAAAGTGAGTCAATGAATGTCGTTGCTATACACCCTTTCCTAATCCAATACTTACTTGCATAGAATCACTTTTCAAAAGCACTTTGGCCACAGCCTCCAAACCGGATCGCAATGCAATATCAGCTGCACTATCGCCGTTGATATCCTTGATGGATAATAAAGGTTGTTGTCCATATGACACCAATTGTTTTATATAATACATGGATGCTGGATAGGCTTTGTCGTTTGTGTCGTTTGCTGCAAAAGCGACCGCATGATGAAGGACACTTTGACCATCACGATCCACCGTCAATATCGTATCATGCAATGCCATCAACATTCGAGAAAAGCATTTGGTTTCATAGCAATGGGTGTGCCTTACAGCTTGCATAAGGGCTGTTTCACCCGCGTGATTCGTATATCCAACATCCGCACCTTGTTCGATGAGCAATTCCACATTCTTGACGCGTCCCAAAGCGGCATCCACAAGTAATGAATAGGGCTGTTGTTGTTGTTGAGGATGTTCTCCTGGATCATTCGTATGTATTGTATCATGATCAGGCCAATCAACAGATTCATTGTCGATAACCATCGTATCAGTGCTGAAGGGTGTGGCTACCATAGGCGATGATTCCACTGCTACTTTTGCTGCTGCTGCTGTCGTCTTTCGTTCTTTGTTTGTCGTTGTTGGATCTTTTTCAGGATACAATTCAAAGTCGGCAGGATCGATGTCAAGAAGAGGCTGAATTTGATGGAAAATCCCATGGCGCTCTGCAAGTTGGCGTGCCTTATCAAGAGGAATCCTTTATACAAAGAGACATCAATGACCCCCATCTTCTTTGTGCTCCCTAAGAACATGCTCACATACCATGTGCCTTGATATTTGCCAAATCCTCCTTGGACTTTTTGGTGATCGCCAATGAGAACTTCACGATCAAGGATCTTTGCACGCTTTGTCTTTTCCATTCCTGCAGCCTTTAGGATTTGAGTCGCGTTCATGTACGAGTCGTTCTTGCGTCGCATAACGGCAACATCGCCCACGGCCAATTCGAAAACCGGTGTGTTGGAATAGTTCACTCGATAAATGAGACCAGCTATCGTCATCAAGAGTGAAGCAGAAAAAGAAAAAGGAGGTGAACAAAGACGCGTCTCTGCAGGAGGTACATTTTTTTTCTTGTTCTCGCTTTCGGAGTAAGCTCGTGCCACCATTATTATCTCCACCACGCCTTTCTTTCTTTGTATTCAATTCATCAATTATATATAAAATGTGTTTTGATGATCCCAAAACTAGTAGTTTGGATCCCATTTATTACATTATCGATTCAAGTATCATGGTTATAGATATGGGCTGTTGGTTTAACCAAACGATTTGCCGCTGATCCATGTCTGGAACATGTTCAATGCTGCTTCTGGCTGATACATAGGCACCTACATACGATCATTTGTTAGCTAATTAGGCTCATGTACAGGATGAAACTATGTCACAACCCACCTCATGACCAGCTTCGTATACACGAACAAAGGTAAGCTTATCAGCAGATCTGAATTGGCCGACCTCCTTGCCGTCAGCTTTCCATGCTGCCAACTTGGTCTTGCTAAATGCATCACTGCCATCCCATTTAAGAGCGTCCACAACATCTTGATTGCCATACTAGATAGGATCCCCCATTGTTAACATCAATACCATGCATAAAAATACATCAACCATATCAATAAACTTACCCAATTGCAGATGACGTCGGCATCTCCTACATAGATAAGCACGGGGATACCTTCCTTCAATAACTTTTCGAGGACAGGGATATATGATCGAGCACTATCATGGCTATGCATAAGTAACATTGCTAGGAGAATCAAATGCAATGACGGCTTACCCATCACCGGTCTTTGCAAATGCCATACCCTACATAGTATTCAAGCTGGTGTGTGAGAGAGACCCATACATCATGAGCACCTTACATCTTATGTATACATACCACAGAATCAGAGCACATGGAAAAGTGACCTCTTGCTCCAAGTTCTTTGATAACCGAATCCTTGTTCAATTCATCAACAAATGGATGTGGGGTATCATCGCCTTCTTGTCGGATATCATAAAAGCTATGGCCTGATTGGGCATAGATGCCTTCAATTTGACCACATTGTTGATTGGCATTGACACAGTCGCTATCTTCATCGCTCTCGACACATTGATCAGCTGCAAAAGTGGGTTAGCCATGTATGTTGAATCCGCATGTTTTAGCTATACCTACCAGCAGGCTTGCATTCGTTCTCATAAATCTGCTCCATCTTGTCACATTGTTCTTCAGGAAGCGCAGCTGGGTCTATTTCGTGCAACACGTGAGTCATGTGTGTGTGATCAAAAGCTGTACAAAAACTCACATGTAGAATGGCAGGTCATCTTGGGGTATGATTTGCTATTATTATTATACGCGTTACAGATCATGCATCATAATACGCCCAAGATCAAGGATGAACTTACTATTGGAGGCCGGCATCGAAAAATCCGTTACCCACACCAATCGATTTGAGGGGTACAACGACGCCCTTTTCCTCGCCTGATTTGACCTTTTTGTTCATATCCACGACATGGCTTGCAAATCCTGGGATATAATGACCACCATACGACTCGCCAAAGTAATGCACATCGAGCTTGCTGTATTGAGGGAATGTTTCATAGAAGGCTTGCAAGAAGGTCCATGCACGTTCAGCTGCATCCTCGGTTCTGGAAACGGTTTGCTTGCCATATGAGAATCCTACACCATCGGGCTACATGCCATGCCCATGTGAAGATCATTAACACCCTATAAGCGTACTATGGCGTATGCATGTTGGTATTATCGAACCTGATCAAAGAAAAGCATGTTGGTGGATTGATGCCAGCTATGTGGGTTCGCTGTTCCGTTTTGTTGACAAGGACCCATTTCTTCCCAAAGACCACTGATACCAAACCGGATTAATCAATGCATACATGAATTGACCGCGTAAAACTTACATCAAACTGGAACAACCCGGGCCACCATTAAGCCAAACTTGATGGTGCATATGACTATTAGAAAATTGGTTTCAAGAGTGGCAAGGATTCAAATACTCACTGGTTAAGGGATCCTTTGATGGATCATTTTTGCTTTCAAAGAACCAGAAAAAGTAATGTTCATCATTGGCAGCATCCAAGTAACCGGAATACTATGAAAGATTTCAAATTTGTTTGTGTTTGTTTGTCTTGTAAAACAACAACCACCCCCCTTACCTGCTTGACATCTGGGTCACAAAGTTTGGGAGTGGAGTACTTGAGTTGTGTTGAATTGCCAGAGGATGTTGTCTCGTTGCCATCTTGTCGTCTCCAAGGATGATAGCGTGACATGGGATGGGCTTGTACGGCCGCCGGGGCACATAACAAAGCTGCACCAAAGGTAAAGAGTAAGCTTGTCAATGCACTTTTTCCAAACATTGTTGTGCAGAAAAGGGTGATGCGGTTTCGTTTGGCCGAGCGGGTTTGTTTCTTTTTATATAAGGGCTAAAGCGCGAGAAAATAATGCAGATACGACATTATACAAATAAACGCAAGGGACCATTCATTCTTAGCGGCATTTGCACCTTCTGTTTCTGATACCTTAGTATTGATCACGTTAGATTGCTTTGTCAAACACACTCACACACATGTTGCAGATCAATGATGATGCTTGCATTATCCTCGTAATGTTTAGTGTCACATGCCGTGAATGTAACACACTTTGATTGTATCACTCGCTGGAGTGAATTGTACAAGTCGTCGGGCCTGTGCGAGGAAATGATACAGTTATTGTCTTTGTAATACAAAGGGCCCAAGAGCATGGATCGTCCTATTGTTGCGTCCCAACCCTTTATCTCGCAGCTGCTTTTGGGATTCAACCAACATGGAGGCGAAGGAGCAAAAGGTTCGGCTTGATCTAAGCCCGAGTGACACAACATCAAACATTTGTCTTATATAAATCTTATGTATGCAGTAACATGCTCAACAGGCAAACGGGTGGTGATGAATCTTATGCATGATGCAACAGCGACAAGACATAGGGTGATACTAGATGCTCGATAGTATAGTGAAAATTTCCTTTCGCATCTCTTTTCGCCTTATTAAGCCTTCTATTGCACAACATCTTGTCAACGCTCAGCATGGCCCCCTTGATCTATACCATAAAATGCATGACGACTATTACACAGCCCAAAGGATTATGTACAGACGAGCGCTTCAAAGCAGCATGGTCGTTATAAATTAATGTATTACTAGTACTTCTATGTGCAATGCTTTCTTAATACTTCTATGAGCTCTTTGGTGTCAACCGGCTTTGTCAAATAACCATTCATTCCAGCTTCCATGCAGAGGTGTTTGGCACTATCCTGGATGTCGGCTGTCAATGCTACAATTGGAAATGAGGTGGAGGTGGTGGTGGTGCTATGATTGGTTGTCGTGACACGACCCTCATCACGGTCTTGCTCCAATTTTCTTATCCTTCGTGTTGCTTCCACGCCGTCACACTTGAAAAGGAAAAATATGACATTATCTGGTTAGCTTCATCATTGTGGATTAGACAAGGGTGGCTCGATATTATACGTACCAAAGGCATATGATGATCGAAGAAGCCCATTTTGAAATATCCGGGAGGTCGAGACAGCCATACTTCCACTGCTTCTAAACCATTGTTGGTCATTTGTACCTGAAATCCAAGTCGTGTCAGCTGCTTGTATAATAGCTTCTGTGCCACTGGGTTATCTACTCGTAGAGCATTATTAATGTTTATCCTGCCACGAATGATGATCTTTAGCCGTACCTTCAGCTCCAAGGATATGCATGTTTTTGAAGGACTCTCGCTCTTGCTCCGTAAGGCTACCGGTTGGTTTAGTTGGTGGTCGGTATTCAGGCCACGGTAGTGGTGAAGTACATATACCCGGTTGTTGACGCTGAATGATTTCGGAAATGATGCGTAACAACTTTCGTCGTCGTAACGGCACTGTCATGGAAATGGGCGTATCGACGTTGTTGCCTTCATCTCCTGGTCGTAGCAATTGTTGCCTATCATCATGATGCTTGGTCTCGGATATTGTAGCTTCCCCATTGTTGTTTTTGGGATAATGGAGCCGAACAATATAGCGTGCTTTGTTCAATTGCAGATGCTGCAGGTGCTGCTCGTCAAAGAAAAGGCCCATGAGAACGAAGCTGTAATCTGATATGGCATTCGCATCCGATAACATCAAGTCTTGCACACCGTCGATTTGGATACCAGGCAACATGTGTCGTACCATGGCAACCGTGGATGCATGATTGTCGGCAACCAAAATACGCATATGACTCAAATTGGCAAGCCGTACTGCAATCGCATTGTTACGCTTCGTAATCTCCTCTGGCAAGGGTGTCGCACAGGCCGTGAAATAAAACGTTGACCCTTTTCCAAAGGTGCTCTTCACATCAATGCTGCCATTCATCAAATCCACCAGTTGCGAGCAAATCGATAATCCAAGCCCTGTACCACCATATTTACGTCTATAATTCATTAAAGTAAGTACACACAACATTGCAAAAGTATCACCCACCCCGGCATTCAATCTTACGTTGTGCTTCCATCAACCTGAGAAAATGGCACAAAAAGCATTTTGCGCTGTTCTTCACTGATACCAATGCCTGTGTCCTCGACCTCAAACAGTAGCATGACTGATCCATCCTTGTTTCCATTCTCAGCAATGTTGCTAGTGTCGCCATGGTTCTTGGCCAAAGAGCAGCGGATTGAGATTTCACCCTTATGGGTAAACTATCCATGAAAAGATTAGATTTAGTGTCATTCACTGCTTTCAAAATTAAGATTACCAACGTACCTTTATGGCATTTCCCAGCAGATTGATAACAATTCTAACCAGATGTACACCACATTTTAGCTCTTGAAACGAATCTTTGGAACCTAAATAAATCACTACTTACTGCCGTAGACGATTGCCATCAGCCATCACCACAGAAGGAACATCATCGGCGATGCTATATGTGATGTTGATACGTTTTTGAAGAGCCATCACAATAAGCATCTCGATAACATCCGCAACCAGATCTTCAAGAACCACTGGTGATAAATCCAACGTGACTTTGCCAGCTTGCAGCTTTGAGTAATTGAGCAAATCATCAATGATTTGTAATAAGAAGGAACAAGACGTCTTTGCTGTATGCACCAGATCCTTTTGTTCCTTGTCCAATTTGGTACCAGCCAACAAGGAAATCATCCCGTAGAATCCAGAAAACGGTGTTCGTATCTCATGGCTCATGTTTGCTAAAAAGATCTCACGTAGTCGTGTTGCTCGATCAGCAGCTTCTTTGCTCCGTTTGGCTTCCAGCAGAGCCTGCTTTTGCTTTTCAATCATGCTACGTATCAAGAACAATAAAGTTAACCCATGCGATTTCCAAACTCATACCCTCCCTATCCCATCCTCTTACTTCATCTTGGCAGCTGTCGCTCTCTGCACTGATGTGAAAAGATTTGCATTGGATATGGATATGCCCATTTGCTGGCAGAGGAGACCGAGCACTGTAATATGGCGTCGTGTAAAGATTCCCGCTGCACCTTCCACAAACAAGCATCCAATCATCATGCTTCTATGCATAATCGGCATGCAAATGACTGATGACCTTCGACTCAATCGTTCAAACCATGGTCCCGAAGCAAAGCGTGGGTCCTGTGCGACATCTTGAATAAAGAGACTTTCCTTGGTACGCAGCATGTGATGAACAATACGACTTGGCACAAATGTCTCGGATTCGGATAATCGCTTGGGTGGATCAAAGTACTGAACACCATTTGCATCATCCACATCATCTTGTTTTCCTGCTCCTCCTTGACTGCTGCTGGTTCCATAGGCGCTTACTCCATAATATTCATTCTTGATAAGGATGGCACCACAATCGGCTCCAGAGTTCTCGAGAATGATTTTCATCATGGCTGTCAAAAGCCCTTCAGACTTGACCTCCGAGGACATCACTTGACAGCTCTTGAGTATGGATGCCATATCAATCTAATGCATGATAATAATAAGCAAACGTATGTATCACAAAATATTATGCACACATACAATATCCAAAGTCATCAATGTTTGCTCCGATGTCACGGGAGGAATTGACTCCGTGGAACCAGTGGATACTGTGAGAGGTTCTTGCCCAAATAAGCTCTGGTTGCTCTCCTGCGATGAACTCCAAGAATTGCCACCATTGAAAAGTGCCACGTGCTCCGTTTGGATGCTTGCATCATGTAACTCACGATTGTCATCAAGGTAGCTGGCAAGGAGGGATGCGTATTTCGAACCAACTTGTCGTGCTTTGCCATATGATCCATGCGAAGTATAAAGATCTATTGACTATATAAGAGGAAATCAGAACAAAGCCTATAGGTTGTTATACATTTGTACACGTACCTTCTTGATCATAGTCACTGCGACATTTTGCATATCCATACGATAGTAAAAGGCACCAGCACATTCATGTATCACACACATCTCCAATAGCCATGATCCTTCACGTGCTTGATTGATTGCGGTCTCGTATAGCCGACACACTTTGAACATGTTCTCAGCACTACCACCTTCAAATTGCATGAGCTCGGCTTCAATCGTTGTCCAATACAGCCCAAAGTTGATGGGAGAAGCATCAGCCCAAGGTTTAATCAATTCCTGATTGCGCTTGACTTGAGCCAATAATGTTGTTCTTTCATCACCCCTTTCCTCTTGACGCGCCTTTTGTAAAAGAGCCAAGGAATAGTAAAAAAGCATCATGCGTGTGTGACGATGACATGGATGGCCATCAATGGTGACAAAGGAACGACTGCCAACTTCGATAGCGGTATCTGTATGCTCATAGAGAACCAGTGGCACCATTTTGAATGCTTCATACCAATTCAAGATCGATTCAGGATTGGAGCTTTGTCGACAAATACTGTCCTGGATGAATTGCGAGTCTCTGAACCCATCATCTCCATCGAATACATCAGGGGTATCAATATACGTTTGCCCATTGAGTGCTTTACACACGCGAACGATTGCCATGGCAAAGCTGTTGGTATCAAATGTTGGCCACCATGCATGAATCGAGTCATAAGTTGATTCGGCTTGTCGTAATGTGTCGGTGAGATGATGGCCTTGGAAAAACATTTGGGTGCAAATATGTATCTGATTCATCGATCCGTAAATGACATCGCCGGCTGCCATCGAGTATTGAATACCCAACCGAAACCATTGAAACGTTTCCCGATAATGCTGCTTCCAAAATAAGACAAATGCTGCATATAAATTGTAGGCACGCCCTTTGTCTTGGTTCTTGCCATTCTTCTCTGCCAATGCAATCCCCAATGTACCCAATTTCTATACACAGAAAAATTAGTCTACGTCTTTACATTGATTTGCTCTCATAACATGCATACCTCAACAATGTCGTATTTTCCATACAGGGTGGTAAAGCCACTGCACACCAACATACAAGCAGCACCAGAATGGCTGACTGATCCTTTGGTCAAAGAAAGCACTAAGATACGTGCGGCCCAATAATACATTTCACGGTGATCACCATTCCAATAAAGAATTGCCAGCCTTAATAAACACACGTATTAGTATCATACTCCCCTAGATAATATCAAAGTCATTACTTGGACACTTACAATTCATCCATCAAACCCATTGAACCAATTAGCAAAGGATCTTGGCAAGGTGGCATATCCAAAATGTCATCAATGGCCTTCTCCTCTAGCAGTCGTTCGATTTGGTTGTATTCCCTCTCGAGACCCTGATCCGAAACATCCATTTTGGAGAGCTCATCGCCTAGTTCCACCAGACATTGCAGCAAAGCAGCTCGACTCTTGTTGTATAGCTGACGTCCAAAGTAAAATTTGGCTTGTATGTGATATGCAGCGATACGATCAACTGGGGTGATAGCGTATGTGAATACGGTGTTCAATAACGTCTCTGTGCGATCATGCTTCCCCACAATCCAACTCAGGGCTGCTGCATTGGTGTACAAGCTCAACGTCGTGTCATAATCAGTCATCCATTCCTCGTCTCCATTGCATAATCGAATTGCCATGTTGTAATAGTTGACGGCCATGCTATGCGCACCAGTGGATTGACCCATATTGCCAGCTTGGATCAAGACTTTGCGATAAGGTTGCTTATTATGAAGCGACAAGAGTATATGCTTGCACTTTAAGAGATGATCGGCAATAAGAAAGAGATCACTTTGATGCTCTAGTATGCAAAGACATGTTTAGGATTGGAATCCCTATAGTTGATCAATGCACACACACATACCTGCCATAAGGTGACGAGCCACAATAAAATGGATGGATCCTTTGGTCTTGGGATCGGCTAGCTCTGATGCTGCTTGCGATATTCGATCATGGCTCCATTTGAATTTATCTTCATCGATGGGGACAATGTAACCTTCCTGAATCACATTTTGCAGGCTGCTCATGGGTTCATTGTCTTGTTGCCCTTTGCCAATTTCACATGATGATGCTGGTGTTTCATTGTCGTCACCCCAATAAAGCATGAGGCTTCTCACAGTGCTCCAAGAGAACGTATCTCCAACAAAAGAAGCAAGCTTCAACAATCGCTGTGATGACTCGGGTAATTCACGTAATCGAGCTGTGATGAATGCAACGTCCATTTCCTTCATGGCTTGTCCACAGATATCAGCTTGTTGGATTTGTTGAAAGTCATAGTCCCATGCATTTGTTTCCCAGTTGAAGAAAACGAGATGTCGTCGTACAAATGTTTGGAGAAGTTGGGTGGTATAAAAAGCATTGCCGCGTGCCTTGTCGTAGATAATTTGAGCAAAGGGTCGAACGTATTCACGATCATTGTCATTGTCTCGTGCTCGTCGTAATGCGTCGCAACATAAATCGATCAATGGCTCCATGTCGAGCGCACCCACTTGCAGCAGATGCATTGTGTCATGCCGGCTTTCAAGAAAATTGGCAAACTTGCCCGACACTTCCTTATCTCGATAAGACATGAATAAAAGCACGTTCACTTTGGATGCTGTCAATGCTTCAAGTAATCCCAAAGATGCGTCATCTACGACCCTCCACCATGAGTCAATGTCTTTTTTTCAAATCCATTCATATTTACCTGCTTGATGAAGATCATCGAGAAACTATAAACGTGACATCTTATCATCAGTAACATGGATCTAGAATGAACACCGTATTTCCTATACCATACCAGGGTAATCATTCTCCAAAAAGTGATGGATCGGAAGATCTCGACATACATATTGAGAAAGCGATTTTGTGCCTCGATGTTGTCGGTTTGGATTGTTGCTATTGCCTTCTTGGATGATACTCCTCGTTTTGCTGAATCGGGTCTTTCCAATAATGCTCCAAGCTCTGGTACAAAGTCTGCCAATATCCCAATGTTTGAAAAGCGTGCACCCAAACAAGCTCTGAGATAATGATGAAACCTTCGCATCTCTTCTTGTGGCTCTGTCATGATTTGCTGGAGAATTTGGGAGAGTGCTTGAAGGAGTGCGCTATAAGGAACCTTGTTTCTTGAATCAAACTTGACTGTGGCCACATAGCTATGTACAAATACCCAAATCATACGTTAATACCTCAAGTTGAATAGAAAAGGGATAAAACATCTACCCATTTTGTCGTGCCATTGGTTGTACGGATGTAAATAAAGTGGATTTGCCAATCCCTCCTGGTCCATAAAGGCCCACCATGGTTGTCCTCATTGCCTTTCTCCATCCCCTGCTATGGTTCTCGCTCCCGGTGCTGCTTATAATATGCTCGCTATTGACATCTGCACCACTGTACACGCTCCTTGAATCACCATCGGATTTGGTCGCACTGTTGCTTTCTGATATTGTTGACATGTTCTCACTGCTGGTGGTGGAGTCGATGATATCTGACAGCTTGCTTGGAAATGACGACGTTGCACTGTATGGAGTAGCACAACGAGCAATGATCGTTCTCATTTTTTCAAGGACAGCTTGTCGACCATACACCGTTTTGGGTAAAGTAAATAGTGATGCAATGTCATGCTGTGCAAGCGGAAAAGGTGTGATTGCTGGTTTCTAAATTCATTATTATGCAGATGATGAGCTTCCAAGGAGAACAAGAACCACACACATACAATGAAAAGGTTGATTATATAGGTTACCTACCTGATGATTCGTGATATCCAACCTCTTGAAGCATTCAATCAAATCCAATCGGACTCCATGAGCACTAGCATAGCGATCATCTGGTACCTGATGATGATGATGTTGTAACACACACATGTCAATATCCTGTACTACGAAGACTAGTAACCCCGACAACGAACCTTGTGTGTCATTTTCTCAATGATACGCGAAAGCATTTCAGGTATGTTGGGCATCAGCTCATGAGCAAGTACTGGTTTTCGACTGAGAATGCCATTGAGGATATCCAATACACCACCACCCACGTCAAAAGGATGTTTGCCGGTCAAGAGAACGAAGAACATGATGCCAAGTGAATAGATATCAGAGCGATGATCAGATGCATACGTCGTGCGTCCTGTTTGTTCTGGGCTCATGTAAAGAACAATGTCGTCATTGCTGACGGCCTTTCTCCACCCTTCGCTTTTCAGTAATAGTTCCTTGTTTGATGATTGGCCCATGACATCCCATAGCTTGATAGTGTTGTTGTTGTTGTCTCTACTTTGTCGAAAAGCTGAAAGTCGTACTTGGCCATGGACAATCTGGTATCGGTGGATGAATTCAACACAATCGGTGCATTGGATGGCAAACTGCAGAAAGCGAACAAAGTCGGTGCATGGATATGGGAAGAAGGATGATCGCTCTTGCTGTGTCGCTTCAAAAGGGTCGTCATTATAGTAGACAGCTGCCACCATCCCATTTGACAACCGAAGATACTCCATTGGCCTCACTATTAGGGCGATCGCGATAAGTCAAAGGGGGGAAACAATACATGCATAATACAATCTCAGTACCAATAAAGTGTGATCCATCCACATATTGGTATAGCTTCTTCATGAGATAAAACTCGCGTTCCAATCGAAGCGATGACAGTGAAATCTTGGCAATGACGGACTCATTGGTTGCAATTCTATTGTACAAGATGAGCATTCGATGGCTGTTGGAGAATGGAGGTGTTGTCGTACTTGTAGCCATAAGCTAGGCACAAATCGCGATCGTGTGTTGTTCCTTTGCAATGCTGGAAATGGTAGCCTGGGATACGGTATTTCTCATCGAGAATGCAGGTGGTTGACGTAGCAGAAGACTTGACAGGCCTACGTTTGTTTGTCATGGAAAGAAAAGAAGGGTAGTGAACAAGAAAAAGGAGTGGCAAGGGAAGCTGCGGTGTGAACGTGTGTCGATGTCAGAAGAAGGAAAAAGGAAATTAGAAGGACCGAACATGGTACATGCGTATGTTGAGAACGTTCTGGCGTCATTATGCGTTAAGGAGGAGGGGGTCTCGGTGATGAGGGGAGAATCAGAGTATAAGGAGCTTCGCAGATGATACCCATTTATGGTTTACTATGCCACACTGATGTTCAGCTGAGTTGCGTTGGTCTGTGCTCAAGCGAGTTCTATTAAGAGTCATATGGCAGCACGACATTCATTATACAGTAAAAGTATCATCATTGAGTAATGTAGTCAAATAGGTGATCCCTGACACTGTAAACCATAATATCCTCTTTTCAACATTCAACAATGTACGAATATGTGTGTGAATGGGATGAAGACGTATCTTTGGACCCATGGGTGTAGCCCCTTGCTGACCAATCTTAAATTATCATCAGCTCTCAACGTACTTTATCGGCAGCCACTATCGTAACGCTTAAGGAGACGATCATGCTATCCGTTTCTCCCTCTTGGGTGTGTGTGTGTGAATTTAAGGTGGTGCCCATTCTGAGATACATATAAAGCGAACAAGGATGCTTAGTTGCCTTTTAATTCTTTACCCCTGAGTGCTGTGCAACCCCATCAATATTATCCTCCACCTGCAGATGCAACGTGGTGCACGTGCATATCTAATACACTTCCCTCGGTAACCCATGTAGATCCTTTTCATACTCAGTAATGGATGATGTATGATTCTAAAGTACAGTTTATCAACGTCATATATGGTATCAATACAATATTACTTTGCTGCACTATGAATTCAAGGCGTAAAATGGTAAGAACAACATCCCTTAATCATCCTGAATACACATATATAAAGCTTACCGTAATTTCAACTTGTCGTTCAAATCTTGTTCTAATTGTGCGATTTGGCGCTGCTGCTCTTCCAATTCCTTCATCATCGCCTCTCGTTTGCGTTGGAGCTACAATTGGAGAATCACGAAAAAGAAATCAGCTCCCATGATACCATTGAAATCCCATTCATTACCCACCTCCTGCTCTCGTTGTTTCAAGTCATCTTCCGTGTTTTGAACCATATCCACAAATTGTTTACGCATGTTCTCTTCTCGTTCACTCATCTCCTTGGCTAGATTCTTGGTCATGCCTTCAATATGTGAATCGTATTCTTCATCGCATTTCATCAAGATGTCTTCACGACCTTGGGCTTGCAAGAGGCGTAATCGGTAATCGTGGTAATGATGATGATGGGCAATATCACCCAGCTCGTGAAGGCATTCTATCATAAGCAGGTGTCGAAGATGTGCCATGTCACAGTGCTCAGGATTCTCCACTACAAAACAGGAAAATTAGCATACACCATTGCTTTATCTAATATGTGACGATATTCACCTTCCACTGTGCCCCACCTATAAGCACGACCACGTACTGTTTTGCCACCTGGTAATTGAACATCCTCATTGCTTCCCATAACTGCGAAAGGTACATGTTGAAGTGTATCGTCCATTGGCTCTCGATGCTCGTCGGGATACGCATTAGGATAAATCGGGATCTCATGCAGAGCCAAATCCTCAAGCAGCTGCAAGTGATACAAGAATTAAGAATGTCAACTTTGTATTACCATGCCGGATCAGGCCAAGCTCCTATGTGCTTACCGCTTTCTTGAACGCTTTCTTTTCATCGGCAGTCATTGTATCAGCTTTGGCAATAACAGGGATCACTGTGACCTTGGATGATAGCTCTTGCAATGTCTTGATGTCCAATTCTTTCATGCTATACATACATACAGCCATTCACTTTTCCATGTCATTGTTCCTTTTGCTCCTTTCTTACCTATGACCAGTGGGCGAAATGAAGTACAAACAAGCGTGTACACGAGTATCCTTGATGATTCGACGAAATCCAACATGTTTCTCGGCTTCATAGTACGCTTCGTATTGTTGGTCAATGTATTCCAAAATGGGATGCACGCTGTACGTGATGTTAAAAAAGTCATGTCTTTTCATGTCATCCTATTCCAACCGGTTACCTACTCTTGATCTCGATTCAATCGATCACCAAATCCAGGGGTATCAATGAGACAAAGATGTAATTTCACGCCATCTTCTTCAAGCTCTACATGTAGTTCAGCAATCAATGTTGTCAGTGGTCGTTTCAAAGTATGTCGAGTTTATCGATTGACGACTTACCAAAGTGAACAGGGGTGATATCGACAGTCTTGGTATCTTGAGGCACCTTGGGTAAAGTATCTTTGAGATCGGCATAAAAGAGAGTGTTGACAAAGGTGGATTTGCCAAGACCAGACTCGCCTATACAATGAGGGGGATCAGATCAACGTGGATTACTTCTTCAAGGGATCCGCTTACCGACAACCATGACGTTGAGCTGATATGGTTTACGCTTGGTCTTGATATGCTTTTGTCTCGGCAACATGTCCATTCCCAAAGGTTGTGTAAGCACAGCTGGAACGGCCTTGGGTTGTTTCCATGGACCAGGACTAGGAAAGAGTCCTCTATAGTTTTTGAAAGCAACACGCTATTCACTTTACTGGACACTAGTGGAGAATGATAGTTTACTACTAACCTTCTTTGAAGGGCGTGTTCCTGCAAAGCAACATGCGAATGAGTCACATTGAATGGGTGAGATCAAGCGAGATTACAAGCCTACCAATGGCATGGGTGAAACAAATGTAGGTCGAGCGGAAAATGATACAAAGGAAGAGAAAACAAAATCAAAGAAGATGTCTGTGCCACATGTCCAAATTCATCAATCATCCAAGTAGCACAATCAACTTATTGTGAACGTGGGCGATCAACTAGATTTGGAATATTGGCAACCACATAGCGCTGATGAATGAGAATACGCTTGTTACGCTTTGAACGATACCCAGTTACCATGATACGGCCCACATTGCACATGACAACATTGCTACATTTGTGTAGAGGCTGGGTAATACCAGATGGTATGATGAAATTGGTTGCATTGTTTCTTAGAGCAAGAGAAGAAGAGCGTTTGTGCTACCTTAGCATTTTACATCAATCGATATATATATAGCTACTATATATCTTTATGTATACTTGAAGCAAAATAGCAGCATACATTATTTTATACATAACGTTTCATATAACTCGGCCGGGGATGGGGGGTGTTCCGGAGAAATGACTTGCATGATGTACTTTTATGTGCATGGATATACGTCATCTCATGTTGCTATACACTAGACACACTAATTAGGCAGGGAAGACATCATCAGGGGTACTGTATCATAAAGCGAAAGGGCTGTTGCATGGTAACCAATGTATAATGTCTCGTGAGCAGGTCGAATAGGGTACCAATTTAAGCGTATCCATGGATATGATATGTGCACGGGACAACAAGTGTTCACCGACATTTGTGTGTGGAGATACAACGCGCCCCATCATCTCAGCCTTTTTTGCAGCTTTCACGAGGAAACCATACATCACTCACCTCTTCTTTCTCCACTAAACAACTGTACCCATACCCTCTCCCCTCATTTCTTTTTGCTGATTGACGATACCACTCTATCTACCCTAAACAATGACCGCGCGCATGGAACCAGACCAGTACTTGACGTTTCAACGTAAGCACTCAACTACCCAAAGCACAACATACACACCCCCTGATTGCTAATCGTTTTCTTTCCCGTTTCAGGTCCTTTGACACAACTCGTCACTGAAAAGCTGCTCATTCACAATGACAATGATGTCCCTTTGGCTTTCAAGGTCAAGACCACAGCCCCTCGCCAATACTGTGTCAGACCTAACGCCGGTTTGATAGAAGCCCGTTCACACCAAGAAGTCAAGAGTAAGTCGAGATAACCCAATCACGTATCATAGCTGGCGGTGACCAAGGAAGGCTAATGCATCATCCATCATGTAGTCATGTTGCAACCTTTCCGTGTAGAGCCAGAGCCTGATTACAACTGCAAAGACAAATTCCTTGTTCAAACGATTCTTGTCTCGGATCCTAGTGTTCAAGAGAAACCCATTAACGACTTGGTAAGAAAGGGTGGATTGGATTGGATTGGATGGGTATGGATGCAATTCAAGTGACACTACAAATCATAGTGGGCACACATGGAAACGGTTGCCAAGGATCAAATCCAACAACACAAGCTGCGATGTGCTTACGTACCTGAGAATGAAAAAGAAGCTCCTGCTCCTGCAGAAGAAAAGGCACCTGAACCACAAACGGCTAAGGAAGAAATGGAACGTGCCAGCGATGAATTACAAGCCATGCAAAAGAAGATTCAGGCATATGAACAAGAATTGGCATCGATGAAGAAGAACGTGGTACACCAAGAACCATCCAAAGGCATCCAGGTTCCCTTACATGTGCTCCTTATGGTCGCCGTCGCTGTTTTTGCCGTCACCTATGCCTTGCTTTCATCCACTAAGCAGTAATCTACAGCATACATTGTATCATTAGGTCTTGGTCTCTCTCCCTCTCATACTCCAATCCAACGTTATTAAACACCATCTTTAGTATTGGAAGAGCCCCATTTTCTATATTCACTTTCGAGCTATTATACACGCATTTGGGAATAATACAACATACTTGGTGTTTCTCGTTTGATCCCTTTGATATGATGTTGATGACTTGCAGAAAAGTAAAAGGATGGGAAAGCATATAAATGGGATATTCAAGACGTGTGGGGGGGAAGCTGTTGTTTGTATGTGGATCCTGTAACTGCTAATTTATTCAATACTGCAAAATGATATGGATTTCTAAACTACAACGCCATGAACACGAACGCGATAGATGCAAGTATAATCTTCATGGCCCCAATTATCGAGAAAGCGAAATACGATATCCTTGATTGGTGGTGACTTTGCTTGGATGTTGAAAGTCTGCACACGACTCGCCTTGTTGATGTCGTACTTGAATTTACCAAGATACACCTTGCCATCATCCTCCTTCAAGGATGCCAATGAGTCCCATGGATACTTCCAGAATCGATTACCCTTGTGAGTCAAGCCCCATACTTCAAAGTCTGCTGGTGCACTTTTGGATGTGATGACATGAGGATAATCCATATAGTCAATCGAGACGGCTTTCACTGATACGGGTCGACGCAATCGCACACCAAGTGATCCTTGTTTGCCAGCCATAGGCCAACATGTCCCAGGATGCTGGTAATCAGTTATTGCAGCGACAGGAGAGGGCATACCAGAGATGGTGACACGTTGCATGAATATGGGTGGAGTAGCGTTCTTATTACCTCCTCCAAACGTTGGTGAGGTGAGTTCGTAAAGCACTTGAGATCCACTGAATTTCAATGCATGATCAGGCAACATGGCTTTGGATTGACCACAAAATCGGTTACACACCGAACAAACGATTCCTCGAGGGCTCAAGTCGCTGATTGGCAACCATGATCGTAGCCTTGTTTTCCAATCGATATCCTCGCTCTCGTCAACATAGGTCGTTTCCAAGGCTCGTTTCCATACATCGCTCTCAAACCTTTCAGAGCTTGTGGATGCTTGCATCGTGGATGTGGTGGCTCCGTAAATCGACATCAAATCAACTTCTGCTGGGCGTCCAGGTTTCAATGGTTTCTTATCAGGGGCAGCCATGTATACTAGCAAGAATGCAAATCCGACCCATAATGCAGCTACACGCATGAACATTCTCCTGCTGCTTGTTTGGACACCATGAACCAAGAACAATCGTCGTGAATTGATATAGTTGCGATCTTGATAGAAACCACGCTGCTTGAGAAGGTACAAGAAAAAATTGGCAATAGGGCTGAGGCAAAGCATGTCAACATAAGCGCAAAAGCTGTATACGATCTCCTTGGTTCCAAAAATAAGCATAAAGAGAGCATATGAACAAAGGCGCCAAATCAGATCCCAGAGTAGGTCGTGTGCTTGATCCACCGAATTTTCGGATGATGCATCAGAATCATCAGATGATTCATCACCACTTGAACTCGAAGCACGTCGCATTGCAATACGAAATGTATCAAGTAGCGTTTCAGCTACATTCATGATGTACATAAAAGCATATTAGATAAAGTCATTGTATTCTTGCACTAAACACATACCTGGTAACCCAACAGCTTCTCGAATCGTGATGGCTCCCAAATTTTCATGGAGTGATCCTGGTGAAGGAGGAGCTTGTGGTGGTGTAGATCCTTGTGGTGAAGCAGCTTGTTGTGGAGATTCACCTTGAGGAGATCCTTGTGATGAAGCAGCTTGTTGATAAGAAGCATGTTGAGAAGGTCCTTGTTGAGGAGATCCTTGTGGTGAAGCTTCTTGTGGAGAACCATGTTGAGGAGTTCCTTGTTGCGGGGATCCTTGTTGTGGGGATCCTTGTGGTGAAGCTTCTTGTGGAGAACCATGTTGAGAAGAACCTTGTTGAAGAAAACCAGGTTGTTGAGGAGATCCTTGTGGAGAACCATGTTGAGAAGAACCTTGTTGAAGAAAACCATGTTGTTGAGGAGATCCTTGTGGAGAACCATGTTGAGAAGAAGCTTGTTGTGGAGATCCTTGTGGCGAAGCTTGTTGTGGAGAACCATGTTGTGGGGATCCTTGTTGAGAAGAAGCTTGTTGAGGAGATCCTTGTGGCGAAGCTTGTTGTGGAGAGCCATGTTGTGGGGATCCTTGTTGTGGAAAACCATGTTGAAGGGATCCAAGTTGTTGTGGGGATGCACGTGATGGAGATCCTAGTGGTGGAGAATCATGACCGGATGCTTCCTGCTGTTTAATCATCGCACGAATCATGGCGGTTTCGTCTAAGTTTAAAATGCGCATACGAAGAAGAAGTTAGATGAAGCTGGTCATTATAGTCTCATGCTCTAATATCCATACGCTGTAAATTGCGAACATCTTGCGCAGTGATAGGTCCTCGATAACGGCTATAGAAATCACGTTGTTCCGGTGAAAGTATTAATCCTGGCGGAAGAGCATCAGATGATGGTGGAGCCTCACGAGCAGGTTTTTCCTCGATGGCATATCCCTCACGTTGCTCACGTGTAGTTTCTAAATTCATGATGCACAAAAATGGACGTTAGATGAAGCTGCTGCGTTCTACCCACGTATTCTACTATCCATACCATAAAGCTCGAGAAGTTCTTGATCATTGAGAAACTCCCCGTATATTTGCTGGAATTCTGTTAGCTCTCGTGGAAGTACTTGAACTGGAGAATCTGGAGGTGACAAGGATGGCTCGGTCATCGTGCAAGAAAATGAGAACACTAGTTGAAGAAAAGCAGGTAGTAACCAAGATTTTATATACCATGGGCCTTCCAAATGCTGTTATGAATAAACATTGTCATTGTTCAGAATACATAATGAATCCATTATGGTGTTCGGAGTGTGTATGATGGAAGCAAAATGGTTGAAAGAGACAAAGAGAGCCTGCAACAAGATACCTTGAGTGGAAACAACATCTCCATTTTAGATAACGCTCTGGTGATTGTACCTGATAAACCACATCCAATTGCCTTCGCACTAACAACGTTGCATTTACCCCAAGTATGAAATTGTTGGACCACTTTCCCTCGTTAATGAGTGGGGAATCATAAACATTATCCACACATTCGAGCAGGCAACCCTTTTTGTAGGCTTCCAGGTAATTTACGTATCAATAGAATGGGTTACCAGCATTAAAGTATGTTGATTACAGAGACAAAAAGTCAAGACTAGAAGGGCAACCCTATTGGTGGAGAATGCATGACCGTTTATTCCCCCTATAGTAAGGTCCATCTATGATAGCCCTTACAGGATGGTACGTTCTTAGATAAGGTTGCATACGATAGCGTCAGCTGAAAATCGTCATAGTTAAGCATGGCATGCTCATGTACTCCTGCCGCATTGTATCACAGCTCAGTCTTTCTTGAACATAATGAACAACGCTTACAACAATGAACCACCAAGAGTTTACGTAACGAACAAGCACCATGAGCATCACTCCTGAAAATATTATCCTTGCAATACAAGCGTTCGAGGATCCCCATTGCCTTTCGGCTATCAGCTTGTAAACCAGGAAGCTGTAGCACATGATAATGTGACAAAAGAACAAAAGCTTCTGGATACGATCATGTAAATGATCCCATCTCCTCGCTTTCCGACCTTCAACTTTCTATTCCCCTTTCAATCCAGAAACCAATCAAATGATCCACAACTTGCACATATGAACCGATGGTATGAACCCTTCTAAATGTTATATTGGATTCAATTTTCATTCAATGGAAGTCGAAGAATAAGACATAATGTGTGGGTGTTGATGATGTAAGTATGATGAAGGAATAGGGGATGTAAATTGAATAAGGTACTGTATGCGTGAATCATATAGAGTCAATGGATTTCATTGTGTCGTTTGTATTCATGGTTGCTGCCGTCATAGTCACCCTTCATCCTTGTTGCGAAATAGCTGCTGCATGCCTTCCATAGCGATCAACCATCCTTGTCAAGGATAAAAGCCCTCTCGTCAAACCATTCCAATCCATCATCATCATCAGCCGTGTTCATATGATACGATCCTTCCTTCCTGCTGATAAAGTGCCAAGTAACCAAAGCAACATTCCAGGGTTCCTCATATTTGTGCTTGATCGAGCCCATCCATCATAACCATTGCATGTCCAATATGCTCATAAGAAAGAATCCCTGCTGATATGCTTCCTTCTGCATCCGTCTGTTGATCGATCTCATTCTTGGTCATCCTCTATCGCAGCTCAACCAGGTGAAGATTACTTGTATCGTGGTGTGCTTGATAGTTGATATGGCATCATCCATAGAACCCGTATGTATCAAGGCAAGCTGCTACGCGTATGTAAGGCTGCTTCTGTACAATGGCTATGTGCTGTTTACGTAAAGAATAGTTGCAAGGTAATACGCTGCAAGTAAAGAGTGCTGTTTGAGACAAGGAGTGAAGGAATCGCAAATAGCAGCTGCTGGAATGAATGCTGTAACGATTGATTGTGGCAGAGAAGTGTGCAAGAGAGTGCGTAGTGTCAAGAGGTTCGTGTGTTGTAGAAGAGTGACAAGAAGATTGTGTACACGCCATGCACTTGCCATTCAGGCGAAGGCAATCGGATCAAGACAGTTGTAGGATTGACATGATGGGTTGAAGCAGGACAATCGTTGACAGGTGGGTAGTTGTTCTACTTGAATGCAACAACAGTTGAGAATGGGGAGGAAGAGACAAGAAGTTGTGGGAGTGGAAGAAGTGGAAATTAATCATGCTTAGATGACACTTCCTTGTTTGACCGTTGCTCAGTCAATCCCCTCGGATCAAGAAAGTTGAAGGATGGACATGATGGCCTAGAGCAGTGCAATCGTTCACATGAATTGGATTGGGCAATAAAGGTTGTTGGGAGGAATGGACTGCTAGCTGGCAGTTTACAAATAACTTTGCAAAATGATTTTTGTGAAATTGGATGATGTTTTGTGTATGAGCGTTTTTCAGTCAAATCAGCTCGGATCAAGAAAGTTAAATGATGGGCATGATGGGCTGGAGCAGGACAATCCTTCACATGCATTGGATTGGGCAACAATGGAGAATGGGAGGACTGGGTTATTGGCTGCCATTTGGAACTACTCCTAAATAGTGTACAAGTATCATGCATCGCCTGTGTTGACTGACTCGAGTTACACAAACACGCCCCTCTGTATCTTTGGCTCTAGTTATACTACTTGACAATGAACAAAGACCTCTTTTCATATACCATCACGCTTACAACATAGGTAAAACATAAAGGTGCCTGTATCTCCAAACTTTACAATCAAACATGGGGTCTTTAATAGAACAAAGCTGCTCGGCGGGGTGAAGGCGATCTTGTGTCAAACTATGAAGTCGATCGTGGCCGATCTCAATTTCACCCAATGTCGCCACCAGCTAAGTTGGATCTCGGGTCGACCTCTTCGACGACGACGACCCAAAAAATATTTTTTGGGCTGTTTGCGACATTGAACGTGAAACTTTCACACAAGGTGCTGTTGGCCAAGCCGAATCCATTGCTCTAATAAAAACCCCACGTTTCATTGTAAAGTTTGGAGATACAGGCACCTTTATGTTTGTAAGCGTGATGCTATATGAGAAGTGGTCTTTGTTTAATGTAGAGTAGCTAGACCTTGACAGAGCAAAAGATGCAGAGGGTCGTGTTGTGTAACACATCTACGTTTGCATGAATGAAAGGGTCAATGTATAATTACTTTATGGATCATCTAGGAACAGGCATGTATTGCTAGCTAACGGCCACTTTTATCCAATCATCATTGTTGCGAGATCCACTGCATGGGAACGATGCCCCTGCTCTAGACATTCATTTCCATGATTAAAGTAGGTTGATCCGAGCTGATTTGACTGAGCTGTGGTCAAAGAGAGATTACATCACTCTGGACATAAAGCACGCTCGATGTAGCTCAACCGATGTAATCTTGTGTGAGCGTAACTCAACCAAATCAGCTCGGATCAACCTACTTTAATCATGGAAATGAATGTCTAGAGCAGGAGCATCGTCCACCTACAATAGAATGCACAAAAGTTGGGAATGCACAAAAGTGACTATTAGCTGCCAATGTATGACATAAAAGTGAGGGTTGCGTACCTGTCATGCATTGTCCCTGAGGTCCTGACTTTTTAGCTGAGTTACCCAAAGAGGTCCTTCTGCATCTTTGGCTCTCCAGGGTCTAGCTACTGTACATTAAACAAAGACCACTTGTCATATAGCATCACGCTTACAAACATAAAGGTGCCTGTATCTCCAAACTTTACAATGAAACGTGGGGTTTTGAATAGAGCAATGTGCTCGGCTTGGCCAACAGCACCTTGTGTGAAAGTTTCACGATCAAGCTTGCCAATCCCAGATTTCGCAATGTCGCCACCAGCCAAACTGGATCGGGGGGTCGACCTCTTCGACGACGACGACCAAAAAATATTTTTTGGGCTAGTTGCGACATTGAACGCGAAACTTTCACACAAGGTGCTGTTGACCAAGCCGAGCACATTGCTCTAATAAAAACCCCATGTTTCATTGTAAAGTTTGGAGATACAGGCACCTTTATGTTTGCAAGCGTGATGCTATATGAGAAGTGGTCTTTGTTCATTGTCAATCAGCTAGACTTTAATAGCGCCAGAGATGCAGAGGAACCTGTTTGTGTAATACATCTGGTTAGATTGAATTGGAAGGGTCGATGCACAATACTTTATGCACTATTCAATAGGCATAAATTGGCAGCTAACATGCACTTCTCCTCATTCGCAGCCTTTGTCAATTCTGTAACAATAAAACGATGCTCCTGCTCCAGACATTCATTTCCATGATCCAATTATCTTGATCCGAGCTGATTTGGCTGAGCTACGATCAAAGAGAGATTACATCAATCCATACATCAGCATACATTCGAATGTCTCAGCTGATTAATCCTTGTTTGACCGTAACTCAACCAAATCAACTCGGATCAAGCTACTTGAATCATTGAAATGAATGTCTGGAGCAGGAGCATCGTTCCATTGTTACAGAATTGACAAATGCTGCGAATGGGGAGAAGTGCATGTTAGCTGGCAATACATGCCTGTTCCTAGATGATCCATAAAGTATTATACATCGACCCTTCCAGTTCTACTCAGTCAGCGGTGTTACACAAAGAAGTCCTTCTGCACCTTTGACTCTGCATGAGTGAGCTACTTCACAATGAACAAAGAGCACCTCTCATATAGCCACACGCTTTCAGCATGTGTAAAACATAAAGGCACTTGTATCTCTAAACTTTACAATCAAACGTGGAACCTTTAATAGAACAACGTTGCTCGGCGGGGTCGAAAGTATCATGTGGGGTAGTTTGACGATCGAGGTTCCCAATCCCAGATTTCGCAAATGTCGCCACCAGCCAAATTGGATCGAGGGTCGACCTCTTGGAATTTTTTCGACGACAAGGAAAAATAATTTTTTTTGGCTGGTAGCGACATTGGGTGAATCTGGGATCGGCCACGATCGACTTCATAGTTTGACACAAGATCGCTTTCACCCCGCCGAGCAGCTTTGTTCTGTTAAAGACCCCACGTTTGATTGTAAAGTTTAGAGGTACAGGCACCTTTATATTTTACCTATGCTGTAAGCGTGATACTATATGAAAAGTAGTCTGTGTTCATTGTTAATCGCCTCACTCATGCTACAGCCGTAGATGCAGTAAGACTTCTTTGTGCAACATACGCCGAGAGGGTGGGATTTCAAGGATCAATGCTGTGGGTGGAAGATGGATGATGATCCTTCCCCCATAGCAAGCTTCGCCCTATGATAGCCCGTGTGGGATCTTTGTCAAGTTAACCATGGTATGGAAATTGACCAGTGCATACGAGAAAGGTTGAGAGTGGCGATGATGCTGCTCGTACAAATGAGGTTGTATAAGATAGCGTACATGGTGGAGACGGTTATAGGTAAACAAGATACGTAGATGTACCCGTGTCACATTGTATCAGTTTCATCACTTCATGGAATCAATGAATTAAGCTTACAATAAACCAAGCTTCTATAACAAGCAATGTAGTTGGATGATTGTAGATACCAATTAAACATGCATACGATCAGCTAACAATCATCATTCATATGAACAATGAATCTTCAACCAATGTAATGCTACAAAAGGGAAAAAGGCGTCTCGCATGGTCATGTAACCTGCATTATAGGTTACAATTTCTAAATCAAGAAGATGCTTAATTGGAACCCACGTAAATCAACCACCTAGTTTAATGTTTGTATGTGTCGGCTTTGGGATCATCTCTGTCATCGCCTGGTGATATTGAGGACTTGGATATAGTATACAGCCATTAGGGGCGTGGATAGGTTTGATTATCCTTTTAATTATGTAAGCAGATGTACCGCGGAAAGGGATGTTGGTACCAACGATGTGACACAATGTACTTTCAAAGCAAGGCAAGCATTATCTTCAATTATCAACCGCCAACATTACTCAATTAGAAGAATGAGGACGTACAGGTTTGTAAAGAAGACATTTATAATGATCATTGAGAATAGAGAAGGTATGTACTTTACTTTTAGCTGGGTTTCAGGTGTAAATTAATACTACACGATGGCAGTGTTACAAAAGAGTAGGAAGAATGTTGTTGATAATCGGTATGTTTATACTGGTTGATATGATAAGCGATGCCATCAAGGTGGAAAAGAGGTAAAACTGCTTGTGCAGGATACTCCCTGATTGTTGGTGGGGTGAATGAAATAGTAAATTCTCAGCTATGGATGTTGCCACACTCTTGGACTCTCTCTCTCTCTCACTCACTCACTCACTTCTCTCTCTCTCTTCTCAACTACCGCCCAATGTCGCAATCCCATGACAAGGCCAACGACACGCCAGAGTTGTCCACCTCGCATTATGAGAATACAGCCCCCAGCCAGGATCCATCAGCATCGAGTACACAATCTTCACGGCCAATCTCTCACGGCATGAACGCCAGCCCGCGTAGCGGCAATTACACCTCGTCTACAGACAATATCGATACACACGGCGAAGTATTGAGTGAATCACAGCATGAGGACGAGAATGCGTTTCTTGCAGAGGTGTGTACGAGATTACAAGAACGAGCAAAGGGATAGCGACTGATACACGGGCATGTGTTGTATAGTTCAACAACCACAAACAGCATGTTAAGGAAGGCGACTTGGAGAAAGCTACACAAAGTTTTATTATGCTGTAAGCTGCAGGATGATGGAAAGGGAAATGCGGCATGATCATGGTATGGTTCCAAGGGACAACACGGATGCTGACAAAGAGTTGTGGGTAATATAGACAAGCCAATGGATCGCAAAACGAGCTATTCAAAAAGTACTTGGTGGAAATGGCGGACCACATTGATCCCAATAGAGATTCAGATATGAGCAGTAAGTTTTGGATAGCGTTGTTATTGTTGTTGTATCCCATGCCAACCAACTCTTTTGTTATAGGGTTCTTTGCATCATTACCAGCGCTTATTCAATCAACCATTGTTGAAAACGCCACAGGTTGTACAAAAAAGTGGAGAAGGGGAAGTCTGGTCGATTCAATTCCTGACACGTGATGTGTGATAAAATCCAGCTTACTTGGAAGAAACCGATATGCTCAAGGCATTCCAAATTCTTTTCGATTACATTCAAGCATATCCACGACATGCATACAAGTATTTGGTAAGTAAACGAGGAGGGATTATAGCTTGGATATTCATTTAACATGTGTGGATATACATTGGTAGATACGGGCTATCGATGCATTGACGCTACATGTACAATCGGTGGAAGCAGCGGATGATCAACACAGGGATAAATGTATACGGATACTTGGTAAGTGTGTGGGGTAACAACAATTGCCGGGGAATGAAAGCGGAGCACCTTTTGGCTGATTCTACTGTATACATCCATCCAGTGACTGATTTGCTGCAGCGATTATGGAAACAACGGATATTACTCACTGGTCGAGACCGTGCACCTAGCGTCAAATCCACAGACAGCAAGCACTACATCGTTATACCATACAACCTATTTGAGCACTACATGCTTATTGGACAACGCTACTATATACAAAAGCATGATTGGGCTGAGCTCGTCAAATTCACGTGTGCGATGTTGGATTGTTGTGGGTAAGTTGGAGCAAAGAATACAAGCAAGCAAGGACGTGATATTGAGATTTTATTGCAATTAGATATGCAGGTTTGGGACGTTTGGATTTCTTGTCACACACCAATCGATTTCAATACATGAAAGAGCAACGGCCTAATATCCGGCTGGATACGGATGAGACTACAGCACAAGCAGAAGGGATACCAGAAGAACAACGACAACGACCCGAAGATTTACATGTGCTGGTTGCGTTCATGTGTGAGTTTATGGCAGCAACGTCGCAATTTGTGCAATTTGGCTATGATTATTACAAGGCCGTATGCGTTGTCGATGATAGTGCGCAAGATGAAAAAGCCTGCCTGATTCCTATATGTGCAATTCAACCTGGCGTATTGAAGAAGGGTGGCATGCCTTTGATATCAAGCAATGACGACGATTCACATCAACAGGAACAACAACAACAACAACAGCCGCTACAGCAATTGCAGCGCACTGAACATGATGATGCAGACTCCACAAGGAAACGTACGATCGATGAGCACAATGAGGAATCCAATGATGACGAAGAGAGGCAAACGAAGAAAGCCAGATTGGATGAAATGTTGGAAGAGCGAGGACAAGGACTCGATGCTTATTGTATGAAAGGTGTGGATGAAGCACTTCAAATACTGAGCAAGGCTGGTGATTGTTTACGGCATCTTGTTGACTTGTGGCAGTGGGCAGCAATGAAGTCTCCCAAAACGAATTGGGTTACTGTATTTGGAGGATGGGAAGAAGGTGAGCTTTTTACAATGAATGATGATGGGGTCAAAGAGCGTCTCTTACTAATGACACAGCGTATAACAAGAATTATGCCGGGTGATCGATCTTTACAAGCTCCCATTTGACATACACAATTCAGTGCTATTAGTACGCAGTGATCTTGCGCTTTCATCGGTAAGTGCATTTGGCACGATACGTTCTATTTGTTTGGCTCACACGATATCCGATAGCCTTCGGTGCCTGGTAACCTTGGTAAAGCGCTTGATCTCTCACAAAGCATATGTGATCGCATTGAGGTGCAGAGACGGCAAGAGAAAACGGATGCACAAAAGGCCAGCTCCGAATACGACATTCCTTTCATGTTTGCTTTTCGCGTGTTATACAACATCAGCGTGATTTATCTCCTTGTGGGCAGTTTACAACAATCGACGCTCGAGATCGCCATCATTTTATCGGTGTTCCCAATCCCCAATGACCTGGAAGCCAAGCATTTTGTTGCGGATGAGATGGATTGTCGGACTGTGGCCACCGTATTCAAGGGGCATGAATTTGGACTTATGCGTGTGACTCAAGAGGGATTAGTGGTACGATGCATGAAGCACCTTATTGTCAGCCTTGACAACCAATCAGAGCAACGTACTGGAATGGCATCCATCGACTCAGCCATGAAATGGGATGATCGTGCAGGCAACATGATTGTATTGATGCAGTATGGCTGGCCATATTGGAGTACACGAACGAACTTTTGGCACAACATCCTTCGAAAGATGCAGGATCGACGTACTTTTAAGAACCGGGAATTTCTTGAATATATATATGGTAAGGCAATGATGGTTATCCAAACAAGATGTGGATGAGTAACGAGTACTTTTTGTATAGTACCTGAGATATTACAAACCATTCGATCCCTCCATGAGACCGAAAAAGTTATTTTTGACATCATCCCCCCAGAGTTTGCTATACGCAGCAGCTATCGTGCATTAACAACGACATCAGGAACATCGACTCCGTCATCTCCTCAGCTCAGCACAGTATCTTCACCCTCTGCAGCTGATCATGATAATCGACGTAGCAGCACGAGTTTACCATCCATTGCAGCACTAACATCACGACCGGGTACTAGTAATAGCACTAGTAGTAGCAGCAGCACCAACCATCCATCCACAAGCCAATCCCTTCCGCCACCCCCTCCACCCATCTATCAGCCATCTTTTACCAACACGATCCTACCAAGCATGTCCATGTCGCCAACGTGGTACTCTGCATCCACACAAAAGAATGCCCACGCCAATTGGATGTCACCTTCCTTTTATTACAGCCGCCCTGCTACATCAGTAATGCTACCTGTACGTGAGCCATCTCGTGATGCACATCGCCGTGTTAGTAGTACAAGCAGCAGCAGCAGCAGCCAAACGAGCGCAGCACCTTATGCGGAAAACACTGTTTCTACTGAGCAACTTCAACGATCATTTGTTCCAAAAGACATTGTCACCCGGTGCCTTGAATACCGTGTCCGACGCCATTCTCCAAACATGACTCCTCAACGCATGCGCCATGTACTGCAAAAGTTCCTGAAAAAGATGGTGCTCAAGGCTAATAAGGATGTCTAAAGTTAGTGCACATAGATGCTTGTATACCAAACCCACTCGTACATTAATACACCCCCCGCGTTTGCCTCTGTTCTATTTTTTGTTGTTATGCTGCAGATGTGTGCATAGAAACATCTTTTTTATGTAATCAATAACGATGATGATGATCAAGAGATGATGATGATGAGGAGGAGCCCGTGTCGCGTGTCTTATGATAAGAGAGGCCCGTCAATGAGACAAAATAATGATTATGGATGATTCTATGTTTCCTTACAATTCTCGTGGGTCGTCACACAACAACCGATCACAGAGACAACAAGCATCATGCAAAGCATTTCAACGAATTTTCCATTGCACATGATTCGACTCTCCTGCATTTTAGCACCCAAACCAAAATACATTGGCACAACCAAGGCTAAGGGTCAAGATGGCAAAACAAGACGCCTTTGGATGTGTGTGTGTGGGTATGCAACAATATGCAACCTCATTCCCCCTTGTATTTTACATCTCAGTTGCATCTTGGAGAGAGTGCATAGTATGTCTATTATACTGAGAACGGAAAAAAGGCAGCACTTTACCCCCACAAACATGTACACACACACACATTGAAAAATTGGCGCTCTGCTTTGAGGCGTTTTCTTTGTCGCATACATAGTTGACATTGACTGCAGCGGAATGATGATTGTATACTATCCACCACGTTTATCTCCTTTTTCAAATCGCCTTCATGGGGAAGATATGGGGGAAGTTTTTGCTTGAATATTGATATACCAGCGATACCATGAGCTCTTTATGCATTGCCTCCTTTCTTTTGAGCTTGTATGCCTTCTATAAAGAATCGTCGATGCTATGTATACGTGCATCAATCATTTTGCAAGAACATTAGAAACATCCATGTTTCAAAACTCTCGTCGATTGTTGGTTGTACAAGAAGGGATGGGGGCAAAAACAATATCCAATAAACAAAAGGGCTTCTTCATAGAGAGAGAGTGAGGCAAGCATGTGTGTGTATGGATTTAATGTAAAGTGAGACACCAAAGGAGATACAAAGGAAGAATAGAAGGCGGCAAGGAAGGTTTACAAATCAAACGGTGTATTGGAAGTTTCGAGCCCTGAGATATGTTCTGCGTATTCCACCAAAAGCCGATCCTTCCGCATACACATTCTTTTCAGGTCCCCCTTTGTACTCCCCTTCTTTCTTTCCACCACCCCCTCCCCCCAATATTTATCCTTCTCTTCACATGAGCAGAACCGATGAGTGAGTGAGTGAGTGTCCAATGCACGCATTTTCCTTCTCCTCCCCTTGCCCACCCCCCACACCAGCCTTTACGCCTTTGTACTTTAGGGCTATAAAGAAAAAAAGTATATAAAGAGTCGATCTCATTCTACTTTTTTTTCCTTCACCATTGAAATCATCTCTTTGTGAATATACAACAACAACATGTCGCTTGCTATCCTCAACATTCCCACCTCTCAAGACGACCAATTGCTCAACAACGAACACAACTCATCGCTCAGTGCCATCCAACAACGTCGTCGACACATCATCAAAAAGAAAGTGATCGCCATTGGACGCTTGTCTCGTCAATTATCTGTGCTCCGTGAGAATCCTGAACTTGTCAATGAAATCAAGCAAATGAATGGCAGCAAACTTCCACTCGGCACTCTCGCTCAAGGTGAAGAAGGTCTTCGTCAAGGTATGTGTATATATGAAATATAGAGACAACCCATGACTTACCATCATCATCGTCATCATAGGTTCGCATTAATTTCCCTTGTTGTTGTTATGTTGATCGCTTGCTCAGACTATGTTTCTTTCGCTTTCTCTTGTTTCCTTCCTTCTCTCTCTCTCCATTACGTGTACATAATATTTAGTGCTCGCATCCTTGAAGTGCAACGGTGCAACACAATAGTCACGATCAACAAGCTCATATCTCCTTTTACTTCTTTACGCCTTTGGATTTTCAATTACACAACACCCCCCATCTCCATGTACAGCTTTGTTTGTTGCCGAATGCATCATCCATCCTCCGATTCGTCTTGTCCACTAAATTATATAAAGGCGATGCCCATTGTTTTTTTTTTGTCTTAATCCCTCTCTTGACTCTTTGTTAAACCAAAACAAATGACCCAATGTAGAAGATTTTGAAAAAAGGAGACAAGGTATTTGGAGTAGAAGGGTAAAAAAAGAAGCGATGTCATTGTTATAAAAAGAGGAGGAATAAGAAAGGGGGGATGGGATGGGATGGTGAAGGAAACGCTATATACAAAGACGAGGTGGTGATGGTGATGGTGGTCGTGGGGGAATTAAGCTGTCCAATTGTTCATGATTCTTTGTCGTTGCTGATTGACCATCTTGGTTACTTGTTCCATATTGTTACCAGCACGTTGTATCATTTGTTCCAAATCATCCATGTGTTCATCAAGCTTTGCTTTGGCTGCTCGTGATTCGTGTAATCTTGCCGACCACATTGCATCATGTTCGTTTTGTAACGCAACACGGGCCTCTTGCCGATGGTCGGGATCCATATTACTTAACCATGACCATAACTCATTCTCTGCTGCACCATGATGTTGTCGTCCATAACGATGCAGGGATGATGGTGGATGACGTTTCAATAATTCCAATTGTCGATCGACTTGAGCCATCTTGTTGGCAATAAACAAGTTAATGATGACCAGCATCAACATGCAAAATACAGTGGCCTGGGATGCGGAAGGAACAGACGCATTGGTAATCATCCACCCAATACCATCCGATAAAAGTGACATTGCTTTGGCAGCTACACCTTGATCCTTTTGTGCAATCTCGGAGGCTCCTGTGGCTGCAGCATCAGCTTGGGCACGATGCTTTCTCTTGCCTTTACGTTGCTTTCGCTTCTTGCGATCCGACATGTCACCATTGGATGGCTTGGATAATTGCTTACGGATAGCAGCGTCAAGTTCCTTATAGTAACCTTCTTGTCCACTGATGGAGGCACTTTCAATGGTACCTATAGATACACATGCATGAGTCCAACCCGTCACCAACAATCAACCAACCAGCAACAACGCTTTACCTTTCAACCAAGACGTCTTTGTAAAATCAACCAATACGGTGACCAGCATCCGTACTTGCCCTTGACCCGCCCACATCAAGCATGTTTTGGTTTTGACAGAAAATGATCCCCCTGAAGGCACATCAGGTGTCCGAGTGGTGGTGACTTGTGTGACATATTCGCCAAAGTCCGCATGCATGATCTCTTCAGTCAATAGACATTTTGTTGATTTGGGACCTTATTGAACAAACGGCAACGTCAATAAACTCATTCATGGAAACCTCACAATGCTATCTTTACCTATCGATCCATTGAGGGGTTTGGTATAAGAGAGTTCACGTATCGTTTCGGTATTGTTGCTATCCTTTTGCCAATCACCAATCGTAAGGTCTAAAAATGTATAAAGTTAGATGAATAAAGAAATGGATATGAATAAAAGAGAAAGAACATGCATGTATGTACCTGTATTCTTTTGCTCTGTCAAGAACTTTTTCATAAAGCTGCCTTGGTAAAGGAGGTTGTACAAAACTTCGATTGTGCAAGGAAAACTTTGATCCAGTACGACCTTGGGATAATGATCACCGGACTTGAGACAAGCACATTCGGTCTTTTCATGAACTTGTTGAGAAGATGCTGTAGTGGATGATCCAAAGGATGATGGCAATGGCGGCACAGGTGGCGTACTTGATCTTGAACCTCCTTTGGTATCCGTAGCACTGACACCCGATTCTGAACTAACAAGGGAGCTAAGATTGGGTGGTTGCGGACCGGCTTCCGAAATAGCTCGGCGTCTTAATGCATCAGCGTCGCTCTTTTTGGCAAGTCCAGCTCGTAGCGGCAATGATGGCAGAGACGATTGACGATCTTGTTGCTGACCTGCTGCTGCTGCTAGTGGAAATTATAGCATTAGTATCTAGCCCTTTTCTTTTTTTTTCCATCTCCCTTCAACCTTTACCCTTTTCCCCCACCCCACCCCACCCTATTATCCTTACCATGAGCCGTATTATCATCATCATGATTCTCTTGATCATCCTCTTCTTCTGATGAAGTATAAGAATAGTCATCGGATGACGTATCTGTCTCATCATCAATATCACTGGCAGATTGTGAAGGATCCTTTCCATTTTCATTCTTGTCATTCTCTGGTGCTTTTGTTTGCTGCCAAACGTCAACAATGAGATCATAAGCTTGGTCTCGGGATAGGAAGGATGTGAGAAAATGCTAGTATTGGATCGAGTTAGCACGATAGGAGATTGGGCTAGGCTCTTTTTTCCCCTTCCTTACCTTGGCTTGCAAAGTGGATATCTGAATAGCATTGGGAATAAAGAGGGCTGTAGTACGTTTCTCAATCTCGACGATATCAGTGAATGCAATGACGAGCTATCCAATGAATCCTATTAGCAGCCATTTCTTGTACACAAACACATGATCCCAAACTTACATTGGTGACCCAGCCGAAAATATTGGCGTTGAAACAAATATGGTTTTCTGAAATGTAGATTCTACCTTGTAACAGGATCTCTTTTTGCAAAGCACATCCAAAATCTAGTTTTCAACTTGTTTAGAAGGGGTTTGTTATGAGTATCAAAGATGACTTTTGATTTACCTTCAATCAGGGGATCTTCTTCAGGGACGCTTCGAAAGAGTGCATGAAAATCTTGATTACGTTTTGCATTGGCGAGTTCGACACCACATACGGAAGCAATAGTGCCAGGAGCAACGACACGATCATTCACTGATGAGGAAGGAGTAGGAGCAGCAGGAGGAGCAGTGGCAGATGATGTTGGTGGTGGAGGAGATGGTGAGGAGGGTCTTAGTCTAGTTGCACTTGTATTGCTATGATTCATTATGGGAAGGTGGATATCCGATACTGAAGATGTCGTCGGCGCTGGTACCGAGTCGCTGTTGTGAAAGTGATTGGACAAACTTGAGCCGCGAGAACGAGGTTTTTTGGCGAACAAACGAGAAACGGCACTTGTACTGGATAAAGTGGGCTGTGGATCAGATACATGTGGTATGGGTGAGGCAGAGCGAGACGACGGATATTTCTCTTCAACGATGGTGGTCGTGGTTTCGGTTGGCATGGGATGATGACTCGTAGTATTGGCAATGGCTGAGGGCGATGGGGCAAAGATGTTAATGTCGGGTGGTGGTGAAGGGGTTGAAGAGTTGTTGACAAGAGCTGCTGGGACCCGTGGTGAACCGTCAGAATTACGTCTGCTACTATTAGGAGAAGTAGTAGAAGTGGTGGTGTCGCAACTAGATTGACGTGTTTCAATGGGCGGCAAGTCGCCAGGGGTAATGTTGGAACGTGAACGACGGTGATGTGTAAACGCAGTTTTAAGGCTCATTGTAGCCCACGGGAAAGGAACGCTCTTTTATAGTGTACAGGTCACGAAAAAAGGGGGGGAGGAGTTGTGTATGCGTGTGTATATGTTATGTTGCAAGAGAGACAAAGAGAGAGTGAGAGTGTGTGAGGCACAGAGAAAGCAGGCTGCTGGCTGCAATAAGCTGGGGGGCCGCTCTTACCAAAAATAGAGGTGCCTTCTTAGTGGATGGCTGATTCTCATTTATGTTTGTCCTTCTCTCATTCACTCATCATGCCGCATTCGGCTTTGGAAGCACGATCTTTCCCATGTGGCACGAGATTATACGTGCTTTTACTACTGGTAAACGGGCGTCCTACTTTTATTGGGTAATGGTCATCAGATGGATTAAATGCCATCATGCAATCGTAACTACCTACTTGCTACAGTCAAAAGAAAAAACAACATACCTCGCCATCCATCATTATGATCACTCATTGCTTTGTCATCTTTTTCGGCACTTGTTTTATTGCTATCTTTTTGCTGTTGTCATCCTTCCCACTCCCACTCCGCCTTAAAACAGCAGCCAGCCCGCCATCTGGATCATATCATATTACTCTTTACAATTAACGTATCGTATTGTCTTTATAGCCACTACTAGTATAGTAATACAATATCCATTAAAGGACAATTCACTCACTCACAGGCACACATGGATTGATAATGTAACCAAAGATTGGAGGTGTTGGGATCAAATGTTGAAATAACGTGGAATAAACTCTCTTCTGTGTATGTAATGTGATGCATATCACATATCCTTTATACACGCAGCACGCGGTTTTGTGTCACCTTGCTTCTTTTTGTTTTCAATACTGCCGATGATAGGAGGGTGGTGGTGTATCGTCTTCAGCATCCTTGCCAGAGATGGCCGAATCGATCATTATGTATTCTTGTGTTTTGCTCTGCTTGCGTTGTTGTTGTTGTGGTCCATAGGGTAATGATTCCAATGGAATTGACTCGTTCGGTGGCGGTGCCGATGTTGGTTTACCACAAGAGGAGGAGGACTGCCAGCGCCCCTTTCTACCACCTTGTGCGACAAGACCACTTTCATCGTTGTTATTATCGTCGTCGTCGGCTGATCCCGAAAAACGAGCACACAACATGGTGATAGCATTACACAAAGCCAACGTTTGAATGCTCAATGCTGCAAACAACACAATGTACATGATTTTCAAATTGTGCTTGACAAAATAAGTCATTGGGTGGAAACACGCTGGTGCTGAGTTGACTATATCGTCGGGTTGACACGTATCTGTTGCCACCGGATGGTCGCGTGGATGAGAGAAACCACAGCATGAAAACTATTATTACAAAAGACCCACGTCAATCCACGTCATATCACTTGCTATCATCCATCCACCCACCCACCCACCAGTAGTAGTAGTAGCCATCATCATCATCATCCCTTTTATCTCTCTCTTTTTTTCCCTCTCTCTCTCTCTACTACGACACACCCACTTTGCCCCTGCTTGTAATCCATCTCCTCATTCTTTCTTCTCTCCTTTACTGCGTGCTTACCTTTTCTTGTGCATAGTATCGGTATTCTTGGGTTGCCTCTGCCCATGCATGATGTAACCAGGATCGTGTATGTGCTGCTTGATCATACACAATCACTGCTACGACGATTTGATAAACCAATGTAATTAAGACGACCACTGTATAGAGAATATGGATTGCTTGACGTTCAGGAAAGAATCCACCAATAATGCCAATGACGGCTGTAAAGCATATCATGATGCCTAAAATGTTGACCACTATATGTAATGTCAATGAATAAAGGCAATGGGAACGCGTATACATCTGTTTTCAATGATCCTACATACTTTTTAGGATATTCACTGGAATCAAGATAGAAGATTCAATACGATGTTGTGCACCCATCACGCCAAAGGCAATGAGAGCAGCACCAAAGATGGCAAACAGGGTATTGGTGACGAGAATGTAGCATCGACTCAATCTAGGGCGTATTTGTAAACATCGTATGCAAAAGGATGCAAACATACATGCAACCTTACCGTTGACAGCATCCCATATTATGATCTTTTAGAAACGAATGATGCGGGATGAAAAGGACGGAAAGTGGGTTTAAGGACCGTAATGTGGAACAGCAACGACAAGGAAAAGTAATGGATTTCTTTGTTCAAGCAAATCGATTATGTAGTGAGTGTGCAATTACAAAAAGAAAGAAAGGAAAAAAAGGAACGAGTGGACGTTCGATCCTTCCAGACCTTTAGATTTGAATGTATGTATTTCAGGCACACCTGTAGTGCGAAAATAAAGACATCGAGTAAGGGGTTGTATGAAAAGAGCGAGCTTTTCAAGCCCATGGGCAGCAACAACATTAGGGAGCTTCATGTCTGAAATTGGAATAGGGTAGCGAGAGTCGTTGGTTCTTTTGGTTGCTGTCTTGCCGTTAGTAGTATGTAGCCATCGACACATGTTGTTGCCTCCACGACACAAAGCATGGTCATGTTCTTGTTGAAGTTGTATACAACATTGCCTTTCGTTGTGGTGGGGTAAAAGAAAACCAACAATTGTCGGCATTCATTATACGCTTATGGGAGCAGCAACAGCAGGGGATAAGCATATTGCTGTTTCTTTGATCTTGCTTTGAAATCTTTCATCACTCTCTCCTCCTTGCATCCCTTTTCATCTTCTGTGATAATGAGCGTCATATAAGAGTGTTGCCATAATTAGCTGATGAGACACACTGGGTGTGCAGCTCTCGAGCTATTTGTAGTCAAGTTAATTGTCATGGCTGTATGCTGCATTCCAATGAAGCTTTTGATATTGTCATTGTTCTTTCACCAACCTGTTCCTTTTTTGATTGATTGAGGTGGCAGAGTTAGCAGTCAATTATGCACCTTGGGGGGATGTGCTGATTCCGTAATCGTTGGCAATCTTTTGCATAGGCTATCATGAGCGTATCTAATGGCACCTTCTTCTATGGGAAAGAACACACACGTTCTCTTATGAACGACCAACATTTGCCGTATACAGCATCACTCAACAACTTTTCGAGAATGGTCTCATGCATGTATCCATACAAAGCATCCATCCTTTAATGGGTTGCCTGGTCTACGCTATTGACATGGCAACGCTGGTCGTCGCATTACAGGTTGTCGTACAAATGCAACATCCATTAGTACTCAGCATTAAAGTACAGTAGCGGAAAAGTGCAGCACCCCTTCTAGTGATGAGAACGCCTTTCGTATAATAGGGATGCCGTAGCATCTGACCACAATCCCTTTAGGCCATTTGTTGCCAACTCGAGTCTCATTCAACGACACGCATCATCAAGTAAGCCGAAACGTATACGCAAAATGATATAGTTTATCTCCAAACACAAATACACATGTACAAAGAGCATGCCATTGGATGCATAGAAGGAAAACAAAAACGACAACATGGCTCGCTACCTTAGTGGTCAATGTATGTAACGAGCTTCAGGTCCAGCCACACATATACAATAGGTGGACATTGACTCGCTAGGACTCTGAGTCACATGGAAGATTAGCCATGTGTTTTTCTTGTGCCAGAATAAATTTGCGGATGCACCAGCCACCCTCTTTTTTTTGCTGGAAAAAAGGCGACTACTCTCTTTTTCACCCAGTGCTCCCTCCTCCACAACCTTTTATATTCCCTTTCTGTAATCAACCATGGTGAATGCATCGACTGCTGACTCGGCCAATTCGCCTGAAAAACAACAGTTGAAGCAACAGGAGCCTGTTAAGCAAACTACCAACGGTGAAAACGCTCCGAAGTCTACCAATGACAGCAACAACAATGACAAGCAACCGGAAGCATCGGAAAAACAGACCGTAGCAGCACCAGCTCCTGCTGTCAATGTTTGGCAGGTTCGCAAGCAGAATGGCACCACTACTGAAACCAAACCAGCCGCTACTGCTGTGGAGACCACTGATGGTATGGTGCTTTGTCTCTCTTCCTCTTTCGATATGTGTATCAATTGGCACGGCTTGGGTCATATTGTGACGGCAAGCACGGCCCTTTTTTTCATTACGGGGTAATTCAACCTTATTTTTTGACATGTGTAGTTTCCTCTCTTCCCGCTACTTCATGGCCTGCACCTCAAGAAGCATTGGATAAGGCAAAGGAAGTTGAAGAAGAACAACCCAAGTTTGTTGCTCCCAAGAGTAAGTAGGATTGTGGGAATAAGAATTCTCGGGAATGAGATGGGTTTATTTGCCGAGAATACTTACTCTATCTCGATTATTGTTAGGCAAGGGACGAGGCAAACCTATCACCCCCAACATCACGCATTCCACTCCTGCTCCCAATGGTCGCTCTCGTTCGGGTCGTGGTGGTGCTCGTTCTGGAAGAAAGCCACGCCGTAGCAGCCAACCTCCTCGTCAAAAGTCGAATGCCAACACTTCTACTGCTCCAACTACTTCTTCATCCAGCACTACTTCCACCAGCAATGATGCTTCTTCGACTACTGCAGCAGCAACTACCAACAACGCCACTACTCAAGAAAAGTCAAAGGATGCTTCTGCTACTACTACCACTACCACCACCACTGATGCCAAGTCACCATCTTCATCAACCGCAGCATCCACCAAACCTGCTGACAGCTCCAAGTCGGATGCGTCATCCGCCGCAGCAGCTAACGGTACCACACAAGAGAGATCGGCTACTCATCATGGTCGTGGTGGTTTCCGTGGCCGTGGCCGTGGTAGAGGACGTGGTGGTTTCAATAGCCATCGTCGTTTCGATCATGCCAATGGCCGTTCCAAGCCTTATTACATCAATGTCGATGCTGAAACCCTCAAGTTTTATATTCTTCAACAAATGTATGTATATAACAAAGCAATGGATTTGATGCGTTGCTCACTCTTTGTGTTATAGTGAATACTACTTTAGCATTGACAATCTCTGCAAGGACATGTTTTTGCGTAGCCAGGTTAGTTGTTGTTATTAGGAAGTGGATAAGGAAAGGACAACAAGGATTAACGAACGTCGTATCATTATAGATGGACCCTGAAGGTTACGTGCGCATCCAACTTATTGCCGACTTTAATCGTGTGAAGGCCTTGGCCAATGATATCAGCCTTGTGCGTGAAGCAATGGAAGAAAGCAAGATTCTTCAAGTCAAGGGTGACAAGGTTCGCAAGAGTGAAGGATGGCAAACATGGGTTCTTCCTGGTGCACAAAAGTCTGCTGCTGATGTCGTCAAGGAAACGCCTGCTACATCTTCTTCATCATCAGCTCATCCTACCTTGGCTTCACTTGCTCGTCCCACACCCTCTGGTAACCCTGCCATCAAGGTGCAACAACAACAACCTGCCAATGGTGAACAACGCCGGAAATCGGTTCAACATCAGGATGAGGATGAACTTTTCGAGTTTGATGACGATTGGGTTGGTGATAGTCGCCCCAACACTGTTCAAAAGTACTACTTGTCGGATGATGATTCTGAATTTGAGGATGACGACCTTGAAATCGATGAAGATACCGTTGCTCGCATCATGATCGTTACTCAGCGCAAGCGTGATCGCACCCACACCTCGTACGATCGTGCCAAGATGAACGATGATATCACCGATATGATCAACGAAGGTCTTTACCAATACGAGAGTGGCCTTGGCTTCAACAATAGACCCAATGAAAAGGTTGGCACCATTGACCCTGAGCAATTTGCCCAGCTCAGCTCAAGTGCTAAGCAACGTGAAGCTGCCGCTGCTCCTAAAACCGCTGTCGATCCTACACCGTAAGTTTACTATTACAAGTGCACACACAAAAGCGTATTTATTGATTAACCCATGATATCATTATAGTATCAAATCCAACAAGAATAGCGCTCGATTCTATCCTGTTCGACCCGAATCTCTTCCCAGCAGTGCATTCTATGGCTCAACTCCTCGCTCAAGGAAAGATCACGATCACGGCCATGTCGGTTGGTTGTTGAGCGACCAAGCCTATCACTACAACCCCAACGATATTCTTTCCACCAGCTATGGCAAATCACCTGCCATGCATGAATTGTCTACTTCTATGGAAATGGCCCATTCGTTCCCTCACTTTGAGCATCCCAGCCATGAGTTATTACGTGAGAATGGCTTCGTCCAACACAAATACTACAAGTATCATGCCAAGGCTCTCAAGGAACGTAAGCGTTTGGGCGTTGGTCAATCCCAAGAAATGAACACTCTCTTCCGCTTCTGGTCCCACTTCCTTCGTGATCACTACAACAAGCGCATGTACAATGAATTCAAAAAGTTGGCTGTTGAAGATGCAAACCAAAACTACCGGTAAGTGTGATTTCTATATACGTGGATCACGTGTACTTACAAAGCCTCTAGTTATGGTCTCGAATGCCTGTTCCGATTCTACTCTTATGGTCTTGAAAAGCGTTATCGCAAGGAGGTCTTTGCTGATTTCCAAGAGTTGACTTTGTCGGATTATGAGAATGGTCATTTGTACGGTCTTGAAAAGTTCTGGGCATACTTGTACTATCGCAAAGACAAGAAGAGAGAGCTTAAGATTGGTGATCGTTTGAGCAGCCTGTTGTCCCAATACAAGTCTGTGGAGGACTTTAGAAATGCCAAGGCACCCGAAAAGGAATCCGAGGAATCGTACAAAGTGCCCCATCATGGTGTAAGTTGTTGTGGTTGAATACCGAAAAGCCCCCCACACTTATTAACTCCATCTTTTACATAGAAACAACGGGGTAGTGTGAGTAGCCCTGCAACTGGAGCTCCTTGAGCACTTGTATCTCCATGAACCACTTTTTCCTATTCTTTCCTTTTTTCTTTTTGCTGTATGTCACGTCCCTTTTTCTCTTCCACACACACACACACACACTCAACACAACACAACACACACCTGTCTTTTATTTCTTTCTTCATCATAGACAACATCCGTTTCTGGTCATTTACACTTATATATCGACAAAAATCCCCAAAATGTTTTTTTTCTTTTTTTTTCGTAGCTGTCACCATTGTAATACAACAAACAACCCAAAACGAAATGAAAACACCACATTCTTTCCCGCGCATGTATACACATTTTCATGGTCAATCATTGGATCATACGATAGCTCTTTCTAAAAGAGAGGGACTACGCGTAACGGGTGCTATGGATATACTCAAGTGACTTTATTTGGGGTACTACGGGTGATTGTGTTTACATCAACAACAAAGGAACCAAAATCTAATTGATTAAGCAATGCGAAGGATAATAACGGATACGAAGATTTTGGAGAGTGCCACCAGGAACGCCATCCACAATACCATAGATCATCCTCGCCAAAGTGTCAACATTGGTGCCATGTCGGGTGACATCAAGAGTGCTTCGTAGAGCAGGTGTTCTTAATCCCTCAAGTCGTACGTCAAATGATACCATCACATCCTCTTCAGGAAGATCCTCCACTCTACGATAGTCTGAAGTGATCAATTGGACAAGCATTTCTCTGATACGGGCTACTTCAGCTTGTCCTTCCTCAGTCAATGGAGGGACTTGAGGGGGTGGCGTGTGAAGGGGTGGCGTAGGAACAGCTTCACCTTCGTATGCAGTATCAAAAGAGCCATGGCTGCTTAATTCACCATCCCCATCATAGGATAAAGCTTCTTCTTGTTGTGGTGGTATGGGAGCATGCAATGTTGTACTAGAGCCACTTGCTTCAGCAGAAGAAAAGCGCTCTTGTTGTTGTTGTGGTAGTGGTTGCGATGAAACGGGTCGATTTGTTTCAGTGGCCGAACTTGATTCTTGTGGTGGTGGTGGTGTTGATTGTTGCGATGAAGCTGATCCACTGGTTTGAGCAGGAGGTGTCCCAGCTTGTTGTTGTTGTTGCTGCTGCGATGAGCCTGTACTACTACTCGCTTCAGCACGAGGACCACCAACTTGTGTTTGTTGAGGCGAAGGCGTACGAGGAGGATAAGGAGCAGCTGCACTACGGCGAGCAATTCTTTTCGAACGTCGTGAGGAAGGTCGTAGGCGATTTGGTACGTTGATACAAGAGTTTGCATGATTTCGTATTTCATCAGGTCTCCGACTGTGGAATTCACCACACAAGCAGTGGAAATCGCCATCCTTGAGACGGTTCACCGACTTAGACCATCCTTTATATCGATATCAAGTTTAATACACACATCTCTTTAACATTATGGATGCATTTGTCATACCTCCTATAGCATTGAACCTCAACGTAGTTGACCTTTGATGAAATTGCTCGTGTTGTTCCTTCGTAGTGCATTGCTGACAACGCATAATGATGATAACAGATGTATGAAAATGAGAGTAATTGATGGGATGTATGTAAGGAATGGAAGAGGTGTAAAGTGATTCATCCCATGCATACAGCGCTTATATACGAATCAGTGTCCATGGACAATGAATGGCGACAAAGAGACGCGATACGTTGCTATTGTTTAATCCAAGCTTCATCAATCTCCACACCAAGAGACAAAGACACAAGCACATTGTGAGCGTCGCACCATCACCACCACTAAAACCAAGTGTGCATTATTATCTTTGAGACAAAGGGTCATGGTCGAAAGAGCCGATACATAGGAGGAATACAATGAGCAATGCTGATCCATTATGTGTGTGTGTGTGTTTTGGTGATAATCCTATCGTTTTTTTTTATTTATTTATATACTAAAGTCAAGCATGAGAATGCAAAAGGAAAAACTACAAGCATCAATATCGTCTTGGTTGTGGGGGTGGGAATCGAGCATAGTCGTGATGGGGTGGTTGTTGCATCATTTGATCCGAGTATAATTTGCCTGTTGCACTATATATACATATACAAATACAATGTTAGAACCATTCAATCAAGGGACATATTGTTTGAAATGCTGATTACCTTGCTGCAGATGTGTACCCGGAGCGGGTAGGAGCTATCACCGATCGCAATGTTTGTGTAGCAAAATGACCCATTGGAGGTGCTGGCGAGGGTGGATGAGGATGATGATGAGGATGAGGATGCATACGAGGTGGTGGTGGTGGTTGTTGTAGAGGAGCTGGAGGACGATCTCTTAAAACAGCACGCAAGATACGACCATCTGCAATCTCATTGTCCAACTTTCGAATACATTCCAATGCAGCTGCCTTGGTAGCAAACTCGACTTCAGCTTCGCCAAATGAGCGACCTGATGCATCCAATAGCACTTCAGTGCGATACACTTTGCCAAACTGTAAGCATGCCGTCTAATGTAATAAAATGCACACACAATCAACCATCATGTCTCCCTTCACATTCATTGTATATCAACCTCCCTACCTTGACATCTTCTGCGTTGGCACCAGGATCCAAGTTGCTAATCAACACAGTGCTAGGTCCTGCTTCACCACGAATAGATAATCCATTGCCGCTACCAGTGCCTGATAACCCACGAATATTGAAAGAGGATGGCTGTTGTTGACGATGTGATGATGTGATCATGGTGGGTGAAGTGTCCATTAATCCTGATGATGAAGATCCACCATAATCTCGTCTATCATGCCGAGCTACCGGTGAAGCATATCGAGGATGATGATCATTGATGTCCTCGTTTCCTCCTCGACGTCCTGTTGACTTGGTGATGACGATCTTGGCTGGATCGAGTCTGCTGCTACCACTGCTGCTGCTCGATTGCTGTGTTGTGCTCTTTGGTCCAAGGCGGTTGGCAAGCGATGAGGTGGAGATGGGCTTTTTGGTGACAAACTATATATTCACAATGAGGTCAATGCAAGCTTCTACTTGGTGGGATCGAACCAGATGCTGCTTACTCCTCCTCCAGGTACTGGATTGATACGCTTCAAAATTGAAGACCCACTCGATGACTTGGTGATAGTTTTTGACTTTGGATGGATGGCATGGTGCGTGTTTCTTCCTAATCGGCTGCTATCGTTGGAGCTGTACCTCGTTGACCCTGTGGAAGTGGGTGGTCGACGTGACGATGGTGTAGGACGTCGCTGCGATGTCTGTGATCGAGGCTGGGGCCGTGATTTGCCACGCTTTGCGATAATATCGTCCAAAGAAGAATCAAGATCCATGAACGTTGAGCAAGTGTAAAGAAAGCCGGTACGTAGGTGCGTGTGTGTGTGTGGGGAAGATGAAAAGCGCGAGCCGAATGCCGCAAGTGGACTATGCTGAAAATTTACCATGTATGGCGCACTCCGTATCCCCTCACTCCAATTGCCCATTTACATAACCTAGCAACATGATTCAATGAGAAACCATCAAGTTTATGCAATAAATATGAACATGGGCATTATACTCAAAAACAAGTACAGGGTACAAGAACAAATGAAATTATAAAGTTGATATAGATACATAGTAATCAAGGTGCGATCCATTGAGTGACGATAGGACTGGTTCCAAGAGTGGGATGCAGCACGACATACTTGAAAAAGTACTCTAAATCGCGGCGTCGTTGCTCCACAAATGCTGGTGTGAACTTGCCTATAAAATGACATCAGTACAAGTGAACATGGATAACTCATGCAAATGACTTACCAACCACCTTCTTCGGAGGCAGCTTGGGAATACTACTCTTCAATCGTGGATACCGTCTCACAAGCTCTTCTCGCAATTCAACAAAATCCGAGTATCGTTTACGTACTGAAATGGGTGGTCCCTAAATCACGAATAGCATTGTTGAGCCTCTTGTCATGTAGTCATCCACACACAATCCTTGTTACCTTATCACTGAGCACTGTACAACTATAGCAGATATAGCTTCCATATCTACATCCAAACCAATAAACCATGTTAGCATCATCAAGTAAGTATATGACACTTGTTGTCTCTCTCTCACTTACCCTACACCTATCCTGATGGGCTGATTGACGATGGCATCACACGCAAAAATCTCTTTACGGCCTTCGTTATCATCTTTGAAGAAATTGATTTGCGCCTGAGCACCTGGTAATGGCGTGGATCGTGTGGATTGTAGCCCCTTGAATAGTGGTAGCATCCGAAGACGTCGTGCTGTAGAAGTAGAAGGTTGTACTGGTGGCCATTCTTCTGCCTATGTTTGGTGTATGTATACTTTGTGTTATCATATGACATGTCATACTTCTTCTTTCACCTTCTCAATGCTTACATGGATAGAACGTCTTCCAAATGAGCGTTCTTCAGTGTTTTGTGTATTGGTGGAGGATGATGGTTTTGGATGATCATGCAATGGGTCTTGTTCCTCGGGTATCTGAGAGTTGATAATGCTTGACGAGATGGATGATGCGCTGGAACCAACCGATCGTTCTGGTAAAAGCAGTAGCGGCGGTGAAGATGACATTGTAGTTGATACGGATGCAGTACTACTCGTTAATGCGGGAGTTGATTGTGTTGCTGATAACTTCATAGGTGGTGTCAATAGTGTTGATGTCGTCGATGGTTGTTGTGATGATGATGATGATGATGCATTGTTGCTATCCGACAATACTACTGGTGGGAATGTGACACATGGCAAACTCAGCATTCCTCGAAAAGAAGAAACCCCTCTAAAGGAGGAGGAAGAATGGCCCAACACACACACCCATACACACAACCCAATAATGAACTTACCAGCAGTAGCACGCTGTAGTTGACGTCGTACATCCTCCATGGTCCTCTCAGTCCTTTCAGTCCATGTCGAATCCTCGACTACCGCACTCTTCTCATCGACTTCATTCTGGAGTTGCACGAGCTTCTTGATGCCGAGATGCAAGTCGTGTGTTGCTTGATGCAAAAGTCCTGTCGATAGGTTGCGCTCATGTTGCTGCTCCCGCTGCTGTAATGTAACCCACGTGTCTTGGCATAGTTCAATAAGCTCATTGAGACGTTTCGAATAGTCCATAAAGATATGGTGGTGAAATAAAAGTAGCTGGAAAGCTGGGTAAATGAGCCTCTCTGCATGTGCTGTGTTAAATATCCATTCATTGCATCAACTCAGATTCCCAAACTTGGTGCTACTCACTCACACAAACACCAAGAGCCACAATTATTAATAGCTGCTATTGCGTCTTCTGGTAATAAACGCTTATTGCTTATCAATTCAATGTTTGGGGATAGCCAAGTTGAAGATCCACTCATAATGCATTTTACGTTTTGGTATGCCAACAATCATTTGGCGTCATTCTTTTGGAATTTCGTGGCGTTCTTCCTAATCATTGATCATAGAGAGAAGCAAAGCGACTTTCACAGATGAGGGCGGCAAGTCAAGTATGAGTCGATACGAACATCCCAACAAGTAACAATGCACAGCGGGAAGATGTACATAAGAGTAGCCGGTTATAGGAATCCATGGCAACCACTTTACCAATACAATAAAGATGGTTTATTTGAATACATGTTATCGATGCATAATACATACATTATATATAGTTGGTGGAATGATCTATTCTCTCCTTTGGATAATGACTTCACCAGCGGGCATGGGCATACGAGGATGTGTAGGGAAGGTAATGGGACCCTTGGGGGTAAGCTTGTAGTACCGGATGAGCACAGATACAATGGTTTTGATTTCCTGGATTGCGAACCAGCGACCACTACATTGATTCAGCAATAGTTGAGCAATGGATGTGGATAATGTATGTAGCCATCATAGGAATCTACTTACGGGCATGCATGACGTCCTTGACCAAACATGAGGAAATCATCACCAATCTTTGTTGATTGACGATCCAAACCAACAAAGCGGAAAGGCTTAAAGTCATGATGATCACCAATAGTGTCGCGTTGAATCTTAGCATCACGGTGGTTTCCCCACATGTTGATTAATACATCGTGTCCTAAAACGAATCAAGTTAATATCTATTGAGAGGTTGTTACGTATAGCTGTTATTATACCTGGTTCAATCACAGCACCACAAGACAAAGTGATGCGAGATTTGCCAACGTATGTGTGAGGAAGTTCAAGGTATGAGTTGCGAGAACGCATGGCTTCACGGCATACACTATCAAGCTTGACCAAGTCTTTGATCACTTCACCAGTGAACAACTTGGTGGTGTCACTATAATCAATGTTGGTGCCATAGTGCTTTTCGAGGACCTCGTTTTGTTCTTCCAACAAGACGTCAATGATCTCTGGATTTTGCATAATACGATAAAGGACGATGGTTGAGTTTTCGCTGGTGGTGTGGATTGAAGCGAAAAATAGAGCAAGAAGCCATTTCACAGGAAGGATGTGGCGCTTTGGATTGTCGAGAGTGAGATTGATGGTTTCAATGATATCTTGAAGAATATCTTGCTATAGTAGTAAACCAAGTATGAGTATTGATTTAGCACTTGAATGATTGTAAAAGGACTTACAGGTCTATCCCAATCGCCTCCCTTTTCGGCAGCAGCCAAACGCTTATCAATGACAGGGCCAAGTGCGTGGAGCAAATGTTGTCTATGCTTGTTAATTGCCTTGCCGTACTTGCCGATATACCACATGCGCAAACGTGCTAGCGATGGGAATGCATCCATAATATAGCTGCTTGGGCCAAGTTCACTGCCAATATCAATTGCAATGTTTTTGCATGTTTCAACGACAGCATCGTCAGCTGCAAGCTCGGTGCCCACAAAAATGGATGCACTGGCCTTGGCGACCATGTGCTGTAACAAGGGGAATAAGTGTACCAATTCCTTGGGTTCTATACAATGCAAAATTAGTTTCCAGGTAGTCTCCGATGTAACATGCACACACCTTTAGCATCACCAAGCTTCTCATCACCACCAGCGGTTAACTACATATTCACACGTGTTAATGATGAGAAAACTGGTCCCTGGATCATTTTAGCACATGACACATACATGTTCTACTACACGGGGGGTGTAGTGCTTCATTTCCTTGGTCAGGTGCTTCATGACCACCATACGGAATACCTCGATATCAACGTCTTGCAATGTTGTATCGGTCAACAACAAGGTATCAAAACGCTAAAGCCATATAAGTCTTCCATGTGATAAGGGAACCATGATGTAAACTTATTACCTTGCCGGTGCCTTTGAGAAAATCGAAATCATTGTTGAGGAAGACCTCGCGTACATAGCGATCAGAGACCACTGTATGAATCTGTTATAGATAATTAAGGTTAGCTCCCCTGAGGACTAAGCTTGATTACCGGTACCCATGTACCGCGCACTTTTTCCCGCTTTTTCCACACTTGCCCTTCCAAAAAGATGCACCCTGAACACTGGGCCAAGCTTGGCTGTCCATTTTTCGATGAAAGCTTGTGGATCATCTCGGTATTCTCTGGTAGAGCCAATGATTGGGAATGTATATGGCACCAAAGGCACACCATTGTTGCTGCCTCTTAATCGCGACTAGAATAATTATCCCGCCAAAGAAAGAAAACAGAAATGAAAAACGGGATTTGGTGTCAGTGGTGGGTCATCATTCTTCCCTTTGTTCTCTATAATATCATTTACCCCAAGTGAATAAGCAGCACAGAGGGAAACAATAGCAACGGAGCCAGCAATAATGCCGGATTGGGCACGGGATGGGTTGTCAAAGAAAGCGTTAATATGCTTGTTGTCAAGTAGAGAAAGAATGTTTAAAGAGGACATGGTATTGTAGTTAGATGTTTCTCCTTCACTTTTCAATGGTCCAAGAGGGGACCTCCCCTTTTTATACCTGTATGCAGAGCGTGCGCTGGGCAGGGCCACAAATAAGGCGCGCGGACTTATGTGTACCGGATATACCGATAGGTGGGTATGCAAGATTCCACAGCACATCAACAACAACTCCTGGTACATATCGCCTATCATGCCAAGAGGAGAGGAACAGGATGTCCATACCCATAAACATCTTGGCTACCATGGATTTGTGTATATGCGTGATATCATTGTTATGTCAAATCAGGTAAAAGCTGTTTGAAACAACAATCACATTCATCCTTATACATGCGCGCACACACATACACACACACGCACACGCACACGCATATAAACTTCCTCTCTCTTTCGTTCCCTATCCATGTTTATTGTTACCATTGTTTGGTTTTAAACATGCCTCGTCTTCAAGTACGTGTTGGTAATTCGATCGACACCTTGTACCCAATCCCGATCAATGCTACACAACCCACTGCAGTACAAAATGATTCATTTGACGGATTTATCAGCGTTCATATCCGCGATCATGAGCCTCCTTCCACTCTCCTCGACCAAATCAACAACAACAACAATGCATTCTGCATAGCAATAACCGGCAAATTTCTTTTACAAGGAATGACAACAGATGATATCTTATTCGGCAATCAATTTGAGCGAGCTTTACGGCTGCCCACGGGTACAAGCTTAGCACTACGGTTTGCCCATTGGTTCGATCCGGGATTGGAAGCCAACTTGTACGCATCTCAACCTCGTGCTTTTTCGCCATTGGTGGTCACCATGAATCGACTTCAAGTCCAACATGCCGATTTGGACATTGTAGCAAAAGAATCCAGTCGCTCGGCCATAAACGAGGATGTTTCAAGTGTCGCACAAGGCCTGACAGACGCCACGCAACGTCGGGCTTACTTTGCCAATGCTGCCCATCGCCAAGATGTTGCTGTGAAACCTGATCAAGTGTGGAGTATGCTCTTCACCAATCCTTACATTGATTTCAATAAGGTCAGCTGCAAATGTTGTTGGTATTGACGCACTTCCATTGCATTTTCTCATGAATGTGGTTGTTTGCATAGTTTGTGGTACACTTGCCCATGTTGGATGTCGATGTTCTCAAGTATTGGGATGGACAAGTAAGAAAATGATTTCATTGTGTTGCGTATTCATTGTATGTCACTGAAACGGGATGATGATGATTACATAGCCGCTTCGATATTATGCAAAGACACGAGATGACATGACCACCTTTTTCATTGTTGAATTCAACCTCATGCAAGATGACAATTAAATGCCTTCCGCCCCCCCGCCTCCTTCGCCCACTTTGTGCATCCTTGGGAAAGGTAACCCAAAAATATCCTTCGGCACTCTTCCGATTACTACCACGTGCTAATTTACTCGTGATCAATTTATGTAGGTCGCTAGGCGCTGTTGTTGGTTGCTAGGTTACCCTCGCTAAGCTTTAGAGTGACAGTAATTGTTGAAATGTTTACAATACATTGCACAGCAGCCATAAAGATAAGGATGTTTTCATTTGTGGAAATCAAGTCATCGAAGACAAAACCTGGATTGAGGTCTTAATAAAGAATGGATGTTACAATGCTTGTTCAGCAGTGATACGGATATTGGGATCGCCATTGAAACTTTTATACAAGAGATCAGCAAATTGCTTGTATGGCAAAGAGTTTTGTTGTGGAAGTTGAGTCTCGTAATATGTAAATGAGATAAGCCTAGATCATGTATATGGCTGGAGCTATTGTATCTTCTCAATGTTGTTGAGCATCATCCACCTATCCGCACAAGTATCTAGAATCAAAGCATCGCTCTTTCCTATCACATTGATGCATGGTCTACTTGTTCTCTCTGCCGCCGGCATAAAAAGTGTACCGTGGGTGAGTCATGATGTGAGTAGTAAAATGGCTGATCACCTTTTCCACTAGGGCCAAACACTGGTGGCCTTGCTTTATATGAAACAGGGGGTTCACCAATGAATGCATAATTTAAAAAGGACATTGCCATTCGACCAGATATCGCAAGGATAAGATCAACTGAGATTGATACAAAATGACTTCTACATTACAGGCGCATCATGGATCATATGTATGGACGACCTTGCGAGACAAGAAAACCGGGATTGCGACCCAAGCTTCATGCAATTTCAAACAAGATACTTTTGGATGTAGCAATCATTTTGGGTTATTAACCATAACATAGTCAACTAGGAAAGAATGTCATACGGGCTATCATAGGCGGACCTTACCCTAGGCATATAGGGGAAATCTATTATGCACTCTCCACCAATAGGATCAACCATTCAACTCTGCCCCTCGCTTTGTGACACATACAAGTCTTTCTGTAACTTTGGCTCCAATACGAGCGAGGCGATTGACAATGAACAAATACCTCTTTTCATATAGCATGACGCTTACAGCATATGTAAAATATGAAGGTGTCTGTATCTCTAGACTTTACAATCAAACGTGGGGTCTTTAATAGAACAGTGTTGCTCGGCGGGGTCGAAAGCATATACTGCCCCAAGTCTCACGTTCATCATGGGTGAACCCAGCTTTGACCAATGTCGCTACCAGCCAAAAAATGCTTGTGCTCGTCGTCAATAGGTCGACCCCCGGATCCAATTTGCCTGGTGACGACATTTGCGAAATCTGGGATAGGCAACCTTGATCGTGAAACTTGCATCCAAGGTGCAGTTGGCCAAGCCGAGCACATTGCTCTAATAAAAACCCCACGTTTGATTGTAAAGTTTGGAGATACAGGCGTCTTTATGTTTTTACTATGTTGTAAATGTGATGCTATATGAAAGGTGGTCTTCGTTCAGGACATACTTATGTCACCTACAAAAATCACCTTTTAAGCAGCAGGTGGATTTATCAGTCTTGATTTTCCATTACTCCAAGATGCTTGACCACTTTATCAGCTTGATCAATCATGACAACAATCCCCACGCCCAATCATATATAACAAGGCTCTTTGCATCAACACTACCATACACCCTTTCTTTCTACCTGTATGCATTTCATCATCAACAATGGCCTTTGGTAAGTCTCAAGGGCATTCTTTATTATGTGCTCCCCAAAACGAGGATACTCATGCATTCATCTTTTTTGTTTTCGTCTATGTAGCTTACTTCATTGCTTTACGCTGGGTTCCTTGATGAGCCCTTTGGGGTAGGTATAACCACCACTTATGTATTAAACGAATGCCTGGACTGATGGGAAATTGAGACTACTTTGTAGGTGACATGAGTACATGGCCATCTTCCATGACTACAACAAATTACCAATCATGCTTATTATCGGCGTTACCAACATAACCATGTCCATATTGAGCAAGGCAGCTTCATGTGATGACTTACCTTTTGCAAAGGACGTTGTGAGCCATTTTTGGGACACGTTGGTTGATCATATATCATCAGAGCAACTTAACCCGTTGGCAGCACTGGGCGTTTTTCTATGTTCGCAATCCAACTCAATTCAAAAGCTGGAACACGGGCGACATGATAATACTGTGAAACTCTTGTACACGATTGCATTGGAGCACTTGAAGCACGTATCAGGCTGTGAGGATGAAAAGTTCGAAGGAATCAAGAATATCTGCGACCGAAGTTTCAAAAACAAGTCGTTGTTCTGCATCTTCGGCTACTTGACAATGAACAAACAACTCTTTCATATAGCATCGCTAGTAAAGCATAGTAAAAACATAAAGACGTCAATATCTCCTAATTTTACAATCGAGCGCGAGGGACTATTGTTGTGTGCCATTACTATGGGTTTATTATTGTTGAAAACAAAAGCGTCTATTTAAACCTGTGTACAGCCCGCTGAGAAATGCCACTGCCTATCGTCTATCAACGTATGAACAAGGAAACTTCAACGAATGCGATGTGACAAAAGGAGCAAGGTGTCTTGATACAACGATGTAGGAGATCCCTCCCATTCAAAAGCCTTCCTCCCTTTCATTCCAGAAACGAACCAAGTGGATTACATAGCAGCGGGAATCATTGTGTCGTTGCATCCTTGGTTGCCGCCATCATAAACATCGTTATCCATGATTGTAAACTAGCTGCTGTACGTGCCTTGACTCCAATACTTCAACCATGTCGGCAAACCGCCTTTCGTCAAAGATAGAAGCTCTCTGATCCATGCCATCCAAACCATCATCATCATCAACCGTATCCAGGTAACATGATCCATCCTTCCTGCTGACGACATTTCAGGGTCGCCAATCACTGTGCTTGGCTGCACCCATCCATCCATCCATCCATAACCATTGCAAGTCCAACACGTTGATTCAAAGAACTCCCGTGATCGCTTGATGACATCCCTTCCTCTTCCATCCGGCTGTTGGTCAACCACTTCCTTGGTCATTTTCTATCGCAGCTCAACCAGATGAAGAAAGTTCATATGGCATAGAATAGTTGATAGCTGATATGGTATCATCCATAGGAATCCGTACGTACTAAATCACGTTGCTACGCGTAAATAAAGCTGCTTCAATACAATGGCTATCTGCTGTTCGCATAAAGAAGGCTGCAAGGTAGGCTGCTGCAATGAATGCTGTAACGATTGATCGTGACAGAGGAGTGTGTAAGAGCGTGTGTTGTAGTTGAGTGAAAAGAAGATTGTGTACACGCCATGGACTTGCCATTCAGGCGAACGCAATCGGAACAAGACAGTTGTAGGCTTGACATGATGGGTTGAAGCAGGACAATCGTTCGCAAATGGTAGTTGCACTTGAATGGGGCAACGATTGAGAATGGGAGGAAAGAGGCAAGAGGATGGGAGTGGAAGACCTGGAACTCAAATAGATTTTTCTCAAGTTGGATGATGTTTCTTTGTTTGAGTGTTGCTCTGTCGAAAACTATCTGATCAAGAAAGTTCAATGATGAGAATGATGGGCTGGAGCAGGACAATCGGTCACATGCATTGTTTAGGGCGATAAAGGTGAATGGGAGGAATGGGCTATCAAGTGGCAGTTTACAAATAACGTACCAATTTGATTCTTCTGATATTGGATGATGTTTCTGTGTTTGAGCATTTTTCATTCAAATCTCGTCGCATCAAGAAAGTTGAATGATGGGCATGCTGGGCTGGATCAGGACAATCGTTCGTATGCATTGGATTGGACAACAAAGGTGCATGGGAGGAATGGGCTATTAGCTGGCATTTTGAACTACTCCTAAATAGTGTACAAGAATCATGCATCGCCTGTGCTGAATGACTCAAGTTACACAAACACGCGCTCTGCATCTTTTGCTATATTATAGTCATACTACTTTACATTAAACAAAGACCACTTCTCATATAGCATCACGCTTACAACATAAAGGTGCCAGTATCTCCAAACTTTACAATGAAACGTGGGGTCTTTAATAGAACAACGTGCTCGGCTTGGCCAACAGCACCTTGTGTGAAAGTTTCGCGGTCAATGTCGCAAACAGCCCAAAAAAATATTTTTTGGTCGTCGTCGTCGAAGAGGTCGACCCCCAGATCCAGTTTGGCTGGTAGCGACATTGCGAAATCTGGGATTGGCAAGCTTGATCATGAAACTTGATCCCCAGGTGCAGTTGGCCAAGCCGAGCACATTGCTCTATTCAAAACCCCACGTTTCATTGTAAAGTTTGGAGATACAAGTACCTTTATGTTTGTAAGCGTGATGCTATATGAGAAGTGGTCTTTGTTCATTGTCAAGTAGGTGGACCCTGGCAGAGCCAAAGATGCAGAAGGACCACTTTGGGTAACTCAGCTAAAAAGTCAGGACTTCAGGGACAATGCATGACAGGTACGCAACCACTCACTTTATGTCATACATTGGCAGCTAATAGCCACTTTTGTGCATTCCCAACTTTTGTGCATTCTATTGTATGTGAACGATGCTCCTGCTCTAGACATTCATTTCCATGATTAAGTAGGTTGATCCGAGCTGATTTGGTTGAGTTACGCTCACACAAGATTACATCAGTTGAGCTACATCGAGCGTGCTTTTATGTCAGAGTGATGCCAATCTCTCTTTGACTGCAGCTCAGTCAAATCAGCTCGGATCAACCTACTTTAATCATGGAAATGAATGTCTGGAGCAGGGGCATCGTTCCCATGCAGTGGATCTCGCAACAATGATGATTGGATAAAAGTGGCCGTTAGCTATCAATACATGCCTGTTCCTAGATGATCCATAAAGTAATTATACATTGACCCTTTCATTCATGCAAACGTAGCTGTGTTACACAACACGACCCTCTGCATCTTTGGCTCTGCCAGGGTCCACCTACTTGACAATGAACAAAGACCACCTCTCATATAGCATCACGCTTACAAACATAAAGGTACTTGTATCTCCAAACTTTACAATGAAACGTGGGGTTTTTATTAGAGCAATGTGCTCGGCTTGGCCAACTGCACCTGGGGATCAAGTTTCATGATCAAGCTTGCCAATCCCAGATTTCGCAATGTCGCTACCAGCCAAACTGGATCTGGGGGTCGACCTCTTCGACGACGACGACCAAAAAATATTTTTTTGGGCTGTTTGCGACATTGACCGCGAAACTTTCACACAAGGTGCTGTTGGCCAAGCCGAGCACGTTGTTCTATTAAAGACCCCACGTTTCATTGTAAAGTTTGGAGATACAGACACCTTTATGTTTGTAAGCGTGATGCTATATGAGAAGTGGTCTTTGTTGATTGTCAAGTAGCTAGACCATGGAGAGTCAAAGATGCAGAGGGTGTGTTTGTGTAACTTGAGTCATTCAACACAGGCGATGCATGATTCTTGTACACTACTTAGGAATAGTTCAAAATGCCAGCTAATAGCCTTAGTCCTCCCATTCTCCATTGTTGTCCAATCCAATACATACGAACGATTGTCCTACTCCAGCCCAGCATGCCCATCATTCAACTTTCTTGATGCGATGAGATTTGACTGAAAAACGCTCAAACACAGAAACATCATCATCCAATATCAGAAGAATCAAATTGGTACGTTATTTGTAAACTGCCACTTGATAGCCCATTCCTCCCAATCACCTTTGTTGTCCAATCCAATGCATACGAACGATTGTCTTGCTCCAGCCCAGCATGCCCATCATTTAACTTTCATGATTCGAGCTAACCTGGTACTAAGGTAATGGCTGTTGTTGGATCATCATTATCATGCAAAGTGTAAAATGGCACACACCCTTTTGCTATACGTGAGGATCATCATTTCTTTTATTTACGTGTACCTATTGTCTATCGTGAGGGTGATGATGATAGTGATGAGTGAGTTGTGTGTTTGGGTGGATGGTGTGTATAGGGTGATTGAGTGGCCTCAGTGTAATAGCAGTAGGGGATTTAAACTTGGGGGACAGCAGCTCCACGACTTGAGACAACGCTTCTCTTCTTTTTCTCCCTCCTCTGCTTTTATCCAATGCACGACAATGGGATCAAGGTAATGTACTATATTAAGACTGCTCGTGTTGGTTGTGAGGTATTAAGATAGTTGTGAACATGCATTGTCAGGGAGTGAGTGTGGAGGAATGAGCGTGGTGGGTGGTTGGCTATTGCCATGGCAACATGGTTGCTTCCTCATGTTCGTTGCTATTCTTGCTCTACTTGGTGTCAACAGGTACATTCAGAGTCCAATGTTGCAGTCGAACTGGTTCCATTGACGTGTTAGCTTGTATAGAGGGCAAGTTGGTATCAAGGCGTTGGCTGGTTTGGCTTCTTGTTTCGGCTCAAAATCACTACACCATGGTTTTCGCTTTCCAGCAACCCAACAACAAAGGTCTTTATGTGTATGAACAAAGGTATGTGCATCGAACAAAGACAATGGAAAAGGCGTTTATTGTAATAATGAATGCTGCTATTATTGAATAGGTTCTTGGTCAGGTAGTGCAACTTTGGGCATCATCTCTCATTGGGTTCGACTCCCAGCCTGTACCTTTTGGCCACTTGATATAGCTATTAGAGTACTGTTAGTGATGCTCACGAATGCGTAAAAAATATTTAAATGATAAGGTGGCAAATTAGCTTCCATGGAAACCCATGTACTGACAAGGATGGCCACGCGAAGGCTTTGCCGTCACCCTCTCCCCTACGGTGCACCAAGCCGGATAACGGGGGCTGCCATTGTAAACAACAGCATCTTCTACAGGTGCTGCTCAAGCCAACATGTTCGGTCTGATAAAAGGATAGCATCCCACGCCAACAGAGGCCGACCCATAAGAGCGAAAAGCAATACATGATCCCATATCTACCACAAGGCCACTGAGTAACAGTCTGACTTCCAACGGCTAAGGCAGTAATCATTAAATGCAATTGATAGGGCCAAGATAGGGCTGACCACACTGTCGCATGTAAATCATAGCTGCCAACGATGCTTTACACAAATGAGCAAGGCACCATCCCGTTCTACCCATAGCAAATAAACATCCGCCATATCAGTAGTTGCTGCCATCAAGCGACCTTTTTGGGTTGGCGTCATCGGAGAGACACATCATGCACTGCAACAAATAAATCCGGTCTTGATGAAATAGCATACGTGAGGATATTGACTTGCCAAGAGAACGTCCAAGGTATCCATACAAGTACTTGAGGAATGATATCCACCATGGCACCGATAAAAACATTGCTCTGAAGATCCACCGATAAAGAGACGACTTGCAGGTAACTGATTTCCAAAACCATGGAAACGGTATCCTTGACAACCACAACTATAAGATAGAGATCGCTTGCTTGCTTCTGAGACACCCACCCAAATTCAAATGTTGATCTTCGTCTTCCAATTCAATAGGATTCGCCATTGACAACTGTAAGGAGAGACTTTGATGCCACCAAAGAGCATGCGAAATTATAGCTTGATGGAATGATGGGCCTATAAAACTGCATATCACTAATTTATCTTGGAGGTAATGGTAACAATACTTAGCCAGTGTCATATGAGAATCCACGATATTTGATGCCACCCAGTAATCAGAACACGTTTCCTTGCTGTAGAGATGTCGACACAGTGACTAATTCTGATAGCCGTTTCTCCAACCGACACTTGATGATGAATGCCATGAGATATGGATACACCTTGACAGCAACAAAAGGTCACGTAACATTGTTGTTTGTTGCTGATGTGATACGTCCATAAGAGTCGTCCGCTGAAGAGGGCTCCTGAAATCAATTGGCCAATAACGAGAACCACGAGAGGATCGAGTAAATGTTGCTGAAAATTAAGATAGGGACTCTGTTGCTTGGTTGCTGATATAATCCACCGATAACAGGCATGCATATAGGAGGATATCCATCGAAAGGATTGTCGACAACTAGAATCACAATCAGACGAGATAACGCTTGGCGACACCAAAAGATATAGAAGATGTTGCTTGTTCTTGCAGATGCCAATAAAAGGGAAGGGCCCACTAAGCGGTAACGAGAACCATCGCACGATGTAATAAGGCCAGCTGATACTGGAAGATGCTAAAGACGTCGCTCCTTGACCCTGGTATGATTCACCTATAACAGATGCACGGTAAACAGTTCTCCAAATCCATAGAACGACACTTAGCAATGATAGTTGCATCCGTGAATATTCCAAAGGACCAGAAGATAAGTAGCTTGCTGAAGAGCCCACATGCTATGATAAAAGATGAGGTTGGCAGGTGTTGTAGAAACGATTGGATCATCAATTACCAATAGTAGCCATATGAATGAAATCCTGTCGACACCTAATGATAGCTGTATCCATCATGAATCCAAAGGGAACAAAACAAGTAGCTCGCTGAATAGCCCAGATAATATCGCAGATTAGTAGGCGTTGAAAGAAAGAATGTATCACTATTTACCAATGACAGCTTCATCCATGAGAATTCCAAAGGACCAGAAGACAGATAGCTTCCTGAATAGCCAACGTACTATAATAAAAGAGGAGGTTGGCAGGCGTTGAAGGAATGAACGGATCATCATTTACCAATGATTGCCATATGTACGAAAACATGTTGGCATCCAATGACAGCTGCATCCATAGAAATCCCAATGCACCGGAAGACAAGTGGCTTGCTGAATACCCCACGTACTATAATAAAAGAGAAGGTTGGTAAGCGTGGAAAAGATGAACGGATCACTATTTACCAATGATAGCCATACGCACGAAAACACACGACATCCAATGGCAGCTGCATCCATAGCAATCCCAATCCACCAGAAGACGAGTAGCTTGCTGAATAGTCCGCACACTATAATAAAAGAGGATGTTAGTAGGCATTGTAGAAAAGACGGATCATCCACTATTTACCAATGATAGCCATATGCATGAAATCCTGCTGATATCCAAATCAAGCCGATTCTTTGCAATCGTCCGCTTGTTGATAAGACCCGCTACGGTGGCACTCAGGTTGTAAGCGATGGAACGATACTTGATGTGAATATACAGTGAGAATCTTGAGTAATACTTGTACCACCAAAGATAGCATACTTACACGATGCCGAAGAGCCCTTACAAGGAGCGAGAACGAACCAATGTGCTGCCCAAGACCACATGCAAACCGAAAAATCATCCATCGAAAAGCCCAAACCAGCATCCTAGCTGCGGAAGGGAGTACACTCAGTGATATAGCCGATATGAATGAGATACCAATCCTTTTTCATTGGGTATGGAATGCAGCTTGACGATGGAGTCCTTGACGAGATGCATGAATGACTTGGGAACACAAAAGATTCGAACGCGGGACTTCATTGCTTGTTGATGACATGATCCATCCATAAGACACGTATAGTTGTAGAGATCCATCAAAGGGATTGCCGATAACCAGAACCACCAGAAGATCGAAAGGTTGCCGATATCAAAGATATACAAGTTGTTCCTTGCTGCTGATGTGATCAATCGATAAGAGAACTCCATTTCAGGACGCCCACCGAATTGCCGATATGTAACGAAAAACCAGATGATGGGATAAAGCTTGATGTGGAACCAACGATATGGATGCTGTTGCTAGTTGCTGATACAATCCACTCATAAAAGACGTTCATTGGCTGACATTCTCCAGAGAAATCGCCTGTTGCTTGGTAACCAACCACCCGAGACGCAATAAAGGTTGACACCACCAAAGACATAAACACTTCCCCATGGCTGACATGATTCACCTATAAAAGATGCACCATAAACAATTGTCCAAACTCATCCAACAATACTTAGCAATCATAGCTGTGATCTTGTAAACTCCAAAGCACCAAAAGACAAGCAGCTCTCTGCAATGGTCCCTCTAAATAATGGTAGGCGTTTCAGCAAAGGTCCCCAAAAAGCATGAGAGTCATACATACCTGAGCCATGGTAATCACAAGGAATTGCAACCAAATACACCATCCGAAGGCAATACAATAATCAACCTGCAGCGCCAAGGTATGCCACTATATGTACCATACTCTCATTGGATCCTGAAATTGGCATCATAAGAGATATCCACCTTCTCTCTGTAGGCAAGGAAATCAATAGCCGTACTTGGATGGAGGCCGTGCGCACAGCTGATGCCTTTTCAAATTGGCCTTGCCATCGCATCTTGAGTCACACTGTTTCCGGGCCAAAATTCCCCAGGAGAGCATAGTACTATACAATGACATCCTCGACGTGCTGATTGATCAAAATAGTATCGCCGAAAGAGGCTCTGCCACTGTATGGCGTTTGGTAAGTCCACTTGAATCCAACCAATCCCATCATAATGAACACTCTTACCTTGTGGTATTTCTCAATAGCATCTTTGCCTCAAATGGAAACCGTATCTCCATGCCATCCATGTTGTCTTGCTGCTGTTTCACTGTAAGTCTCGTGAATTAACAGGTTTCTCTTTGTAGATCCAATACCACGCATACCATTGAGCCAACCATACAGCATTCTTGCTTTGAAATCCGTATCCTGTTGCTGCCAGAGGTACCATCAACCAACATGTTCACCTACCATAAACGCAATGTGAGATAACAAGTAAAACCAACCCACACGCTTGTTGTCACCATACGCAAAAGAGGCAATGTAAAGACGTCTTGAGAACTCTCATTGTGGACGACTCGGTAAGGACGGCACACGACGCCCTGAACCATGGTGGTCACAAGGAATTGCAACCAAATACACCATCCGAAGGCAATACAATAATCAACCTGCAGCGCCAAGGTATGCCACCATATGTACCATGCTCTCATTGGATCCTGAAATTGGCATCATAAGAGATATCCACCTTCTCTCTGTAGGCAAGGAAATCAATAGCCATACTTGGATGGAGGCCGTGCGCACAGCGGATGCCTTTTCAAATTGGCCTTGCCATCGCATCTTGAGTCACACTGTTTCCGGGCCAAAATTCCCCAGGAGAGCACAGTACTATACAATGACATCCTCGACGTGCTGATTGATCAAAATAGTATCGCCGAAAGAGGCTCTGCCACTGTATGGTGTTTGGTAAGTCCACTTGAATCCAACCAATCCCATCATAATAAACACTCTTACCTTGTGGTGCTGCTCAATAGCATCATTGCCTCAAATAAAGCCGTATCTCCATGCCATCCATGTTGTCTTGCTGCTGTTTCACTGTAAGTCTCGTGAATTAACAGGTTTCGCTTTGTAGATCTAATACCACGCATACCATTGAGCCAACCATACAGCATTCTTGTTTTGAAATCCGTATCCTGTTGCTGCCAGAGCTACCATCATTCAACATGTTCAACCTACCATAAACGCAATGTGAGATAACAAGCAAACCCAATCCACACGCTTTTGTTGTCAGCATACCCAAAAGAGGCAAAGTGAAGACGTCTTGAAAAACTCTCATTGTGGACAACTCGGTAAGGAATGCACACGACGCCTCATTGGACCTTGTACAAACGAGAGAACACCAACCTAGACGCGTACTTTAGTACCACAATGTTCGACTTGAACAATAAAAGGAATTGCAGCGATTGAACTTACATGTTGTATTGGAATGGAAGCTTGTGTCATGGGTAGATCGCGCACGTGCTTGTTGTAGCTGAATGTGTCGCCATTGACCACCTGTTCACCCAATTGGCGTTGACCATTGGAAGGAATGCCAGCTGTTAATGTGTTGTAGCTTGTAAATGGAGACAAGCTTACCTTACTTGTGAAGTGGGAGTGAAGATGAAGGGGCTCTTTGTCGTTCCTCTCAGTGGCCCCAATTTGTGCACCCCACCCCACCCCGCTTGTTACAGCTACTGCTGTGAATATGCACACAAGCAGTATGATATACATTTGGATCAATAAGGAACCGCTACTCGAGATTTCAAGAGAACACATCACTGGTAATCAAGCTATCCATAATCTCGCTGTGGCAGGAGGCGGTGCCAAGTACGGTAGGTCCGTGCGCATCAATGCAGCTTAAATCATTTTATGCAGCTCAACCCCCTACAGCCAACGTGGGTGTATTATATGCACGCACACACCTCTGTATGCGCGTATAGTCACTCACCTTGATAGATCCGCATTATTGTATACTGCTTACGTACCTTCCTCAAGGCAATCACCATCCCATTTGTGCAGCAACCTGTCAATGACGCGTGTGTGTAACCACAACATCCCATTTCACTCAGCTCTCCATCTTTCCGTCAATGCAGTCAACACCATCCATTAGGAGAAAGCAGCTCCATCACACTTACGGCTTTTTGGCGGGTTGCGACATTGGGCAAATCTGGGATTGGCAACCACGATCTTGAAACTGTCACACATGATTCCTTTGACCCAGCCGAGCAGGGTTGTTCTATTAAAGACCCCATGTTTGATTGTAAAGTTTAGAGATACAGGCACCTCTATGTTTTACATATGCTGTAAGCGTGATGCTATATGAGAAGTGGTCTTTGTTCATTGTGAAGTAGCTTGAGCCTGATAGAGCAAATGATGCAGACGGACTTCTTTGTGTAACACAGCTCATTGGGTGGTACTGAAAAGGATCAATGCATGATAATACATACTATGATAATAGCTCATAAACTGCCAGCTAACAGCCATTTCCTCCAATTCGTCTTTTTTGCCAAATCCACTGCATGGGAACGATTCTCCTGCTCCAGCCCAACATTTCCATCATTCAACTTTCTTGATCCGAGCTGATTTGGCTGAGCTACGCTTGAACAGCAAACATGAAATTAATGAATCGCAGACCCTGCGAATGTCTCCGTCTTTCAAACTTTTGGACGCTCCCATTCCAAATTTTCAAATGAAGCGTGAAGTCTTTATTAGAAAAAGTTGATCAGCACGCTCGAGAGCACCCTTCTGACCAATTTTCAAGTTGGAAGTGAGCAACTTCGGGGCGGTGGGCCGTCCGCTCTTTTGTTGCCCATCATCCACCGTTTGGGCCCTCCCGCATTCAAGACACCCTTAATGAAGTGTATGGTTTTTAAATGAACGAAGTTGATCAGCATGGTGCAGCGAACCTTCTGACAAAGTTTCAGGTTCGAAATGGGGAATCCCAAGATAATACATAGTATTTCCATAAATCATGAATCCGGGGCTGACCTCCATTTCCGACTTACATAGTAAACCCACATTGCACCGTCCCATTCAATATTTTCTAATGAACATGAGGTCTTTTTTAAGACCATGTTGATCAGCATGCCCAAGAGCATCTTGTGTGAAAGTTTTAGGTTCGAGAGGGGCAATCTCAATATCAAGGTTTGATGTACAGTGTTCATGCATTTATTTATACAAGAGGTGTCCGACCTATTTAATTTTCCACTTCTTCCACGTCCCCGCTTCTTGTGTCTTCCTCCCATTCTCGCCTGTTGCCTCATTCAAGTACAATTATCACCTGCCAACGATTGTCCTGCTTCAACCCACCATGTCAATCTTACGATTGTCTTGATCCGATTGTCTTTGTCTGAATGGCAAGTCCATGGCGTGTGTGCTCTTCTACAACACCTGCCTTTCTTCATGCTGCACGCTCCTCTGCTACAACCAATCGTAACAGCAGTTGCCATTAGCGAGGTCTCTACTTCATTGTCTCAAGCATCGTTCACAACCTTGTCATTCTACTACAACACACGCTCTTGCACGCTCCTTTGCCACAACCAAACGTAACAGCAAGGTCTCAAGTTACTTGACAGCAGCATGTCTTGCAGCCTTTTTTACGTCAACAGCAGACAGTCATCGTATAGAAGCAGCTTTATTTACATGTATCAACTTGCTTCAATACAAACGGATTCTTATGGATGGGATGCCATATCAGCCATCAAGCGATACAAGATCATGCAAGAGATTGGCCGCGACAGCTGGATGGGAAAAGGAAGGGATATCAGCAGCGATCAAATGATGGATCTTTCAACCAACTTGCAATGGCTATGGGTGGATGGGTGCAACCAAGTGCAGTGATGGGGAAACATGGAATGTTGCTTTGGTTACTTTCGCGTCGTCAACAGGAAGGATGAATCACATCACGTGGATACGGTTGAGGATGATGATGGAAGGTGCTTCACAGCCGTGGGTGACATTGGAATGCTCAAGGCATTGCATGCAGCAGCTATTTTGAAATCATGGATGAAGGATGTTTATGATGGCAGCAACCAAGAATACAATGACACAATACAAAGCTCTTTGTGAAGAAGCCCACCTATTTATCAGCTTCGCCATCCCCAGCGAGTATTCTATCACTCTTTTTGATTACAAAGATATCCAGGCCCACCATTCAGATATAACAAGTATGCTGCGTGCACATCTCTTTATTCCATCATATCACTCTTCGATTCCTGACACCTTCAAAAGACCTTGGTAAGTATCACGGTGGATAGTCTTCATTTGTGAGCGATCCAAGTGCTAATATTGGTGATGATTTTTAGTGCTTCATTGTTGTCCTACTACTTTCATTGTCATTGTGATGTTTGGCTCTTTCATTAAGGTAAAACCCTGATCTTGCTTCATGAAGCTTATACTCATATGGTCTTTTGATGTAGCTACCTTCCGAGATGCATCCTGCAGGGTTGGGTTGGGCGGCTCATTCTCGCATGGCGGTGACATGTATAACGACTTGCCCCATTGATGAAACTGCATCCTCCTTTGGCACACCATATCATCTCTACAAGGTTGAGCTCTCCAACAACGATGTATACCAGCTCAAGGTAAGTGCTTGATATCTCATTTATTCAAGCAATCTCATTCACCTAAAGGAAGGTAGACTATGGCTCCCTGGCATTGTCAACACCACCTGCTCCACTGATTTCGATCTAAGGATCATGAGGACCGCTTGGATGCCGTTGTATCCCAACTTCGAAACTGTACCGTCAACAAAGACACAAAGACTTTACTACAGCAAGTGATGGACAAGTTGTAAGTAAAAAGGAAGGTACGACGTCTGTGACATGAAATAAGCTCATTTGAAGTTCCACTTCTTTTCTGTAATGCGCAAGGTGGATCGATTGGAGAAGCTATGGTTCTTGTTTACGATTATTGGCGTCTTCACCTTCGTTCTAAAAGCATGTACCAGACAACTATATCGTGCTTTGGGTGCCGTATCGGCTATGTAAGTGCGTCCTTCTTCTCAGCGTGATCCCTCTTATCTTATTGAACCTTTTATTGTTGGGTCTTGTAGTCTTAAACTTACGGGATTCCACAGCAACAGTGACACTGAAGCATGGTGTTGGATCGATTTAGGACCATCTTGAGTAATTAGATAGGTAGAGTAATGTTTGAAAGCCATCTAATGAATACATCGACATGGTATTTTTATATGTAAGAGAACAGCCAAAAAGAGAGGGATATATTGGTTTGGGAGAGAAAAGTTATCGAAGACAAAAACTGGGTTCAGGTTTCTGGGTAAAGAAGGGATGTTGCAAGGCTTGTTCGGCCGTGATGCGGGTATTGGGATCAACATTGAGCATTTTATACAAGAGATCAGCAAATTGCTTGTATGGCAAAGAGTTTTGTTGTGGAAGTTGAGACTAGTAGAATGTAAATAAGATACATCTAGATCATATACATAGCTGTAGATTCCACTTACATGAAGGGGTTTGGCCATTTGTATCGTCTCAATGTCGTCAATGTCAGCATCATCGGGTGTCCGCACAAGTCCCCTAGAGTCAAAGTACCGCTTTGCCCTATATAAGTTGATCCATGAGCCTTCTGTTGTCTTTGCCGCTGGCATAAAAAGAATACCTTGGATGACTCATGATGTGGGTAGGAAAACGGCTGATCATTTTCTCCATGAGAGCCAAATGTTGATGATCTTGCTTTGTCTGGAACAGAGGTTCACCAATGCATAATTCAAAAAGGACGCAGCCAATCGACCAGATGTCACAAGGATAAGACCAACCGAGATTGAGAATGACTTCTGGTGCTCGATAGTGGCGTGTGGAAACAATGGCGGAATGGTATTCATTTTCAAAAGTGGCTGATCCAAAATCAATGAGCTGCATATCCGTATCCAAAAGCACTTGGCGCTGCACGGTCACTGGCTGATTGGCTTCGTTGTCAAAAACAGTCAATGGTTGCTGTTTGCTATTCGTATCCTTGAGCATCATGTTTTCAGGCTTGATATCCGTATGAATCAACTTTTGCCTATGTAAAACTACGCAGAATAAGACAAAGTATACATTGCTTGTGGGTGTCCTTACATGCAACACTTGAAAGTAATTGGAGACCCATGGATCGAATATGGTACAGCGGAAACGGTAAAAAGTGGTTGTGTTTCATAAAGTCGTACACGGACATCTTGAGCAAGTCGAATACCATGCACACATGATCATCATGATGAAAGCTTGCACGAAGTTGAATGCATCTCCTAATGTGTATGTATATACGTACCAAGGTTGAGTACAAAGAACCCTGCATTGTATAAACTTACTTTTGATTGCATGGATCGTGTTCTCGTAAAGTCTGCAGGATACGGATTTCGATACGACTCGCTTCTACATATTTAGGTATGGCACGAATCACCTTGATAGCACAAAGCTTGTCGAGAACGACGTCATAACACTTGAAGACTTGACCATACGTCCCCTTGCCCACGATAGAGATTGTCTTGTCTATGTAATCGTGTCATCACTTATGAGTAAATCCATTCTCATCTTTTGATGCACACTCCCCCAAAACTTACATCGGTTGTCCAGAAATGTATTGGCGTAAAAGATCAAATGACCATCCTTATCGTTATAGCTTGGATGCTGCGAGAGATATAGAGAGAGAAGGGATGCAACATGACATATGGACCGTCATCACTTTCGCCCTGGATTTGTAATGCTTCAAAAGAAAATGAAAAGCTGCTTGCCTTTCGTATAGCATTGGTATTCGTGGGTCGATGGGATACCGTTGCTGTTGCTGTTGCTGCTGTTGAAAAAAAGATAATGCACACTGTCAAAACGACGAAACCTTATTCACACACAGCCAGCAAGTAAAAGGACGCGTGGATATTCTTACCATAATGTGTTCTAGGAGATGCAGCTAATTTGCGCTTCGATCGAGTGCGAGATGAGGGAGGGGCATAAGGCTCATTGCCCACCCAAGTTGGTTGGGATATGGCAAAGGAAGACATTGGGTGAGAAAAAAAAAAGAGACAAGAAACAAACAATGTTGGGTGGGTTGTGGGGTGGTGTGGTGGTGCTTTTAAATCTCCTTCGGGTGCTTTTAGCTTTTTTTTTCTCCCACTCCACTCCCCTCCATCCTTTTTTGCTTTTTCCCTTTTCCATTATACAATGACACTGTTTGAAGCTCATGGCATTTCAATGAGGCTGAATGACTGTGGAAGATGGTTGTTCAAAGACATCAATGTTAAATTGAACAAAAAGGGCGAGATTCTTGTGTTGCAGGGACCCAGTGGTACAGGGTAAGGGTTATAGTGGTAACAGTGGTTGTGGTGCGTGTGAAAAGGACAAGGCTGTGTCGTTGGGATTGGCTGCATTAACATTGTCCTACGTTGATTGACGTATATAGCAAGACGACCCTATTGAAATGCATAGCGGAGCTGATTCCATACACCAGTGGCTATTCCACATTGCATGGCAAACGACCCGAGGACTATGGTGTGCCCATTTGGCGATCCAAAGTCATGTACATTCCTCAACGACCTTCAGCTCATCCTGGCAATCCCATGGATTTGTTCCATCTCGTCAAAAAGTATTCGAGCCAAAAGGAAAAGAAGAACATTGGTAATCCTATCGAAATTGGCATGCGCTGGAACTTGAGCGAATCCCATTTTCAAGAAAAATGGTCCAATCTTTCTGGAGGTGAAATGCAACGATGTGCATTAGCTATTGCTCTTTGTTTCAAACCAGAGATTCTTTTGTTGGATGGTAAGGGAAGAAGCGGAGTCGAGGGAGAGAGAGAGAGAGAAAAGACGCTGATGATGTTGCTTTTTCTTAAGAGCCAACTTCGGCATTGGATCCAGATTCGGCTGAAAAGGTTGAGAATGATTTAAAAAACTATGCATGTATATGGATCACACATGATGCACGGCAAGCCGAGCGTGTGGGTACTGGCAAACTTACCCTTACAAAGCCAGATGAAAACGAACAAGAAGAAGATGAAGGTGAACAACACGAACAAGAAGAGGGTGGTTTACATGTACCCATTGTAACAACAGCCGATGACGATAACGAGGACCAGCGCAAACATAAGAAATTCAGATTATCACCTAGTGCTATCCTTGATAGATTACCCATTGATCTAACCTAGACATCATTCTTCATGTATATCGTGTATTACGCTTTGTTTACTTTATTCCTGGTGGTACATAAAACCACGTCATATTACATCATGATGATTACAACTTATTTGTTAAAAGGAGAGAGTTAGATGCAAGCTTTTATTTGATGGAGAGAGAAAAAGAAAAAAAGTGTGAAGAGATTAAATACAAGGGACGTGTGAGTGTTGTGAGTGTGTGTGTTGAGAAACAGAAAAGAAAAAAGAAAATGGAGTCTTGTGAGTGATGATTTGTAATAGTTGTTGCAGATTGGGGGAGAGAGAGATGGATTGGGATGTCCAAATTACATGTGACCTTGAAGCACATTTTCGATACAAGCGTTGATGTAATCCTTTCTACCTGCCATGGGGACGCCAAAGACTTGTTGTAGCTCTTCACGCACTTGCTTCTTGGTGACCTTGGTGAGATCAGCCGAATCGAGAATGCGTTTGACTTCGGCAAAGATTTCCTCATTCGATGGTCCTTGTGTTTGTGACATGTCTTCGAGCAAGAGTGATTGTTGACTACCACCATGAACAGAGCCTGGCATCATGTAAGCTGAGCCCGAAGAAGGCATCATCATGGAAGGACGTGCAGCGGATTGACGGTGTTGTTGGAATTGTTCTTGACCAAAGGATGCCATAGACGAGCGTGCCATTTGCATATTGAATGGTTGGGGTGATGCATACGGCATCATGGGTATAGATGCTGAGGATGGCATCATCACGCTACCGGTATCAGGATGATACTGCTGCATTGGGGTATTGTTGTACACGCTCAAGGTATCTGCGCTTGCACCATAGACTGATCCAGTACCTCCACCACCATTGAATCCACCAGGACCAGGGGTGCGACTACGATAAGAACTGCTGCGTCCACTACCTTGAGACATGCCATCACTCCAATAATCATCCGCCAACAACATCTTTTCGTATTGCGACCATGTCATGGTAGGAATCGATTTGGGATCAAATTCACCTTCGTCAGCAACCGCCATAGCCTTGCCCTTTTCACCAACGACAACACGCGTGTTACCCCATGAAAAGTCGTCAAAGTGCCAGAATGAGTAGATGGGGATATAGAACCAAAAGACTGGAATAGCAAGTAGACCAATCAACATCCATGCAATGTACTCCCATTTGCGCTTGACAATAAACAAGATAGCTTGAAGACCATAGGTAGCGGACAATACAATAATGGTCAAGATGGGAACCTGGTCTTCAATCGTGGCAAGCTTGTAAATCAAATAGCCGAGATAACCAACAATGGCAGGCATCACCAGTGTACTGATCAAATCGAGCATCACCACAAAACGCATCGAGAAACAGCAAAAGCCACACATACGCTCCAAAAAGATCAATTCACCCAAATTGTGTACAGTCGAGTTGATCCATCGACGACGTTGAGAAACAAGCACGTTCCACAAATCGGGAGCATTGGTCCTACATTGGGCGCTTGATACGAACTTGGTCTTGAACATGGGGAAATGCTTGAGGAGAAGGGTTGTCAAATAACGATCTTCACCAAGATGCAACAAATTCTTCTTATGCAACGTGTCGACTTTGTTGATGTGATAGTCATTGATGATTTCATTGCTGCAAAAGAGTGGGCGCTTGCCATCCACGGTACGAATACGATACATGGTGAAACAACCGGGCAAACACGTTACTGTCGAGAACAATGATTCGAATGCCTTGATCATGTGATGCGAAATGAAGTACTCGTAAACCTATAAAACGACATGAGATTAGTATGCAAGTTCCTTTCTACCCATATAATAATAAAAAGCATACCTGGATCATGGTTGCCCATGTTGCATTAGCATTGCTCAGCTGAGTTTCACCACAAACACCAATAATCTTTGCATCGTGTGCCATGGATGATACGAGGAATGATAAACCATCGGGCATGACTTCGGTATCGGCATCGACCATGAGGACGTATTCATAAAGATGTGGGCTGACACCGATCACGTTCTTCATTTGATGGAACATTTCAAGTTGTAATGGCGTCATGGGTGCATCAAAGTGGACACGGTTCAAGAATTCCATAAGAATCAATTGCGAATCACGTTTACCACGGTTGCCAGGTTTTTGTCGCTCCGTAGGTTTGCCGCATTTGACGACCACCAAATAGGGTACCACGTGACCAGCCGTCTCGTATAAACCAGAATAGATCTTGCCCATGTTGTGTTGCTTTTGACCTTCACCCACCGACAAGAATGACAATGGCTCGGGGTCGACTTGAGGATCCACGCCAAGAATATCCAAAACGATACGTGGTGTAGGTCGATCATTACCACTACCAACAATCATACCATCACAAATAACAAAGAGCAACTTGCGCTTGTCGTCATAGGTGAGCGTAGCCAAAGAATCGATTGTCTTGCGTAAAGATTCCTCATCTTCAGTGTAACAGGTGACTTGAGTAATGACAAACTTGTCGAGCTCTTCAGGAACACGTGTGCTGCCGATACGGAAAGCGGCCAAGAACTTGAACACAATGACGGCACAAAGCAAACATGTCACAATCAGCAAAAGATACTCTGAGAATTTACATTTGGCGGATGTACGTGTATCAAGCATGCCAACGTAAAACAAGTTGCGTAGACACACAAGCTGCCATTCCTTGACTTGGGGATCAATAGCAAGGTTCTTCCAATCTTCACTGATATCCTCGCCTGATTTTTGTCGAAAGAGTGCCACCACTTGATCATGCATGAAATTGACATCCACATCCGCAGGCGCTTGTTGACCATCAGGTGCTGCTGCAAAACGGCCACCCATGTCGTATTGAGTGAGATCGTAAATGTGATTATCAATATAAGCCCACTTGCGAGTGGTCTTGACACCATTGATTGTAGTCTCGCCGTTCGCTTGGTCACTGATCGCCTTAGGCTCATAACCCATGTTGCCGAGTTTGTAATTTTGGCGCAAAGTGGTCATCTTTTGATAGTACCAATCAGGCTGATAGATGCCGGATGAATATCTGAAATCGTGGTATTTGCCATTGTCGTCGGTGAGGTTGACTTGATAATTGAGTGATACGTAAGGTGACACTTCGCCGGTGGTGCCTTGACACAATGCTGATACTTGAACAGGGAAGAGATCGGTAGCATCCTTGCCACCATATTCGAGTACTGAGTCAGTTGGAATGATACCACTTGGATAATGATGCGGCGCAAACTTTGTGAGATCAAACACCTCGCCACGGATGGCAACGTATGCTTTGTCTTTGTCGCTTTTTGATTCCAATTCGCTGTCGGAGAAAACGTTCTGATGCGGGCAAATGATTTCACCGAAAAAGATCAAGAACCAAATGACGAATGCACAAAGAAAGAGAATAATCACACAAAGAGCCACCTTTTCACGCCATGCAATACGAACATCTTTGCGCTTCATACGACCACACCAGATAAGGAATTTGGATGGGATCCACCAAGTAACTGCCCATACAAAGAATAACCATCGCTTACGAGCTGGCGATTGCTTCGTCTCATCCTCCTCAGTCTCATCCAAGTTTTCTTTTTCTTGTGGTGGTGCCTGTCTCATCATCATGTCGTGTGCGTAATTCTCTGATCCGTATACTGAATCCTCATTGTCCTGATATCGGCTGCCATTGTCGTGATAAAAGTAGTCATCTTCAGAATAAAAAGAGCGCTGGTCATCTTGTTGATATAACCGCCCCACGGGTGGTGGCATCAAAGGACCTCCATGCATATCACCAGCGGGTGGATGCTCTTGATTCAAAAGTGATTGCTCTTGGTCATGTGTCATTTCGCGTGGAACACCCGTTGAGCCTGCATCATCCATCATATCATCAACCGGCATGGCACCCGTTGCAGACTTGGCATCCTTATTACGTCGTTGTTCATCCTTTTCAAGCACTCGCAAATTATCTTCCAATGATCGCCATGCTTCATCAGCCAAGAATACCTGTCATATGTAAATGTTAGAGACTTGTCATTATCAAGTTGCCAAATTATAGATACGTACTCGACTTGTGCCCACAGCTGCATCCGTAGCAGTCCATCCAAGTTGTTGTGCAATGATTTCCATTTGTGCTCGAGGAAGACCAGCATCTCGACTACCCAATGATTGTAATGGCACGGCGTATCGATTCAAAAACTCCTCATGTGTATAAGACACTGCATATTGTACACGCGTGGTCTCTGAAAAAGTGGTCAAACCATAAGCCTGAACTTGACGCATGACGTATCGACCATCGAATTGATCCGTGTGATTGTTGTTGGGTCGAATACAAAACACTGTCCATAGGTTGGCTTCTTGTAAGGATCCAAGCAATTCATCCAATGCCACTTGCAAGTTGCCGACAATGCTGGTTTGCTTCTTATCAGCAGCAGCTGCTGCATCATCCTTCTTAGCCTTGCGTTGACTCTTGCGTCGAGAAGGAGCACGTGCCAATTTCTCTTGTGCTGATACAACCGCATCTTGATTACGAGGATGTGTCTCTGTGGTGATATTGTTGTTCTCCCATAATTCAACCAAGAATGAATTCCATGATGCTGCCATGCCTTCACCTCCACGGAATAATGATACAAAATCAACAGCCACTTGATCTTGACGATTGGCTTCGGTAAATCCATGAGGGTCATAAGTAACCTCGCCGTGGAAATGTTGAATAGCGAATTTGCGTTGATTTTGAATGGTGGTTGATGTGAAAGCCGTATTATTGCTGTTGTATTTTGTCATTGCATCCATCAACTCGTAATCCTCGCCAGCCATTCGTTTGCTCATCAATGCGCATACGCCACGTGAAGGTCTGAAAAGCAATTCATTCACATCCTTGCTTGCTGGTGATCGTGTGGGTGTCATGTATTGGACACCTTCAGCGTCGTATAACTGATTTTGTACATCGTTGAAGAGAAGCTGTGTCGAAACAAAGTTGTGTACACGTTCATTTGCCATGTTGACCAAGAAGGCATGGAAATTGTTGCTATCTGCTGAGACACCAGGCAAATCAAGTACGCCCACAAAGCTATTGAACTTTTGCTCATCGGCACACAGCTTTCCATTGATCCGTTCCACCATCCAAGAAAATAAGAGCGAATACAATGTACGTGCTAATTCGTCTCGTTGTCGTGCAGCTTGTTCAGCATCCAAAATCAACGTGGTGACATCCTTTCGAATCATCGTCGTCTTGAAAACAAGCACATTTTCCAAAGCACGTGGATCCACACCCAAGAAATCAGCTACGAGATCCAAAGTTTCAGTGTTCTTGACATAGGCAGCATCCTGGCTATTAGCTGAATCCATAAAAGTGATATTGCCGAGATGCAAGATGGCTGCGAGTAGTTGAAGGATGCGAGAAATGTGTTCTCTTCGAAAGCCTGCTTGTTTGAGAGATGCTTTGAGTTGGCTGTATGCTTCTGTAGCGGCTGCTGGATTGACGGGTCGTGATGATGGGAGATAATAATATTGAGCGCCTTCTTGTAGCTGCAAAGCTGTTCTTTCATCGGCTGTTGCACCTGCGACCAATTGATAAAAGACGCCAAAGTTGTTTTCATTCCTTTGAGTGAGACGAGCCTTTTCCAAAAAGTAATGGATGGTTTTTGCTCCCACCATGCGACCTCTTTCACTGAATTGGATTTCAGCATAGTAGCCGAATCGAGATGAGGACGAAGGGCCATTGTTGCTGCTGCCAAAAGCATCGAGGACAAGAGAAGAATGAAGTAGTTGAGTCTGAACTTTGGATTCTTTCTTGTGGCTACTCAGTCGTACCAAATGGCGGATGACCAAATTTCGGATCTGGGTCTTGCCACTACCGGATTCACCACTGTCACCAGCAAAAAGTTCAGGGGAAAAAAAGAGAACGTGAGTCGACCACCCTTTTTCCTCCCATTTTGCTTCTCCTTTCTCATCCACGACGACTACTTACCAAAGAACAATCGCTTGATCATTGCCGGTTCTTCTCATATAGAAATACGCGCGGTTGACAAGGTCAAAGATATGGGGTGGTTGAGGCACCCGTTGTTGTGCATCCGTATCCTTATAAGCAGCGACATATTCCAAACCCGTTTGATCGTCGTTGAGAGAGAGTGGTTTGCATGGATTGACAGCGACGAGTTGATTAGCTCCAAGTCGAGTATACACTTGATAAGAGTCGTAGCGAGCACGTAAACATTGGCAAATGGAGTCGTCTGTCAAGTTTGAAAGGGTTGCCAGATCGGTCTTGTTGGCGCCGTCCCGTTTTTGTTTTCCCATCTAAAATATCATACACTGGCTGCGATGCGGGAGGGGGAGGGTATTAAATGAAGAGATGGCAGAAATGAGAGCGAGAGATGTGCGATTGGGGGAGGGGAAACAAGTAAAGGAAAAAGAGGAAGAAGGGAAAGGATCGCGCGCGGGTGGGTTGTCGGTCCTTGGTTATTTTTTATTTGACCTGACATAAATGGAACACATCCTCCGCATCCCAATCTTTCCACTCGCTATGGTAAAAATAGAGCAAAAGAGATCGTTAGCGTCGGTGCACACATACACACACACGCACGCTCACACCCATCTCGCTCTTTTACTCACATTTGGGCTCATACTACTAGTCACCCTATCACATGTTCTTCTTGTCTTGTTTAGCATGGTATCAAACCATGGTCTCTATTCTACTTGATCTTTCTCGGTCTGGTCACCCGTTCTTGTCATCCCATTGTATAAAAAGGCATTCAGTACTACCATCCAAATAACTATTTAATTAAGGCTCCCGAAAAAAAGAAAATGTAAGGGGGAGATGTAAGAAAGGGGGGCTTCCCCCAAAAGAACGAAAGCGAAGGAGAGTCAACCTGTCGGTGTGTATCATCATCTCATTTACATGAGCCAAATTGGTTATCTTCATGTTGTTGTCGTCTTATCATTCATCGCTAATACTATTACTGCTGCTGCATGCTATTGCTGGTAAAATGGTTGCTGCCATGATGATACATACCTTCATCACCATCCTTTTATGTTTATCCTAAACCATCCTTATGGATACAAAATACCTCACTAGTAGCAAGATGATGCATAGAGCACATGCATTCAATCATTGTGCGATGCCATGAATGCGACTGTGTGTCAATGTCGGGACCAAGACATAGCATGTCCGAAGGGAGCCACCCCGTTACACACATGTACACGTTCATCCATTGTGTAACTTTTTTTTTTGTGTTGGATGATTATCACCAGTTGCTGTGGTCTTTCTTTTGCTTCTCTCTCTCTTTTTTCCCTAAACTTTTAAACAGCATTCTTGTTATGCATACGACTCCTCGATATGCATGATGCAGGTCATCTCTTTCTTTGTCGCAGATCCTTCCTCCAATTACGCCCACATTCAAAACGACACACTTTGTGATCATCATCTGACGGGGATGGCTAAGCAGTAGCAGAGTTGCACCCAGCCGCACGGGTTTTTATGTCGTACCATTGATGTTTGGGTATGGGCATTGTTTTGAATATCGCATCTTGTTATCATTGTTTCGATGTCGTTTGGATAGCAACTGCAGCCCTTGTTTATCAAATGCGGGGCAACACCACCACAACCTTCTCCTGTCGCTTGGGCTGCATATCAATGATGTAGACCGGGGATGTATATAATTCATCACCATCTTCATTATTATTGTTGTTGAACGAGTCATTTCTATAATACGTATGTTTGTTAGATAATATCATCCTTGGATGTAACAGCAAACATGCCTCCCCCAACAAGTCTAAGCCTTTCATCACGATGCGGGTCATTCCTTCGCCCTGCATGGTATATACATTCTGGTTGTCAACAAAGAACCAAAACAGATAACCACGTGTCCTTTTTATTCAAAATGGCGTCATTGATGCATTCTGTCAAGAAGCTTTTTACCATGGTATAGAGACATTATTGTTGTAATGATGACAGCAGGGGTTATAGTTACTTTGTGGAAAATGATGAATAATGGGAGGGGGGCCATGCTCTTCTATCATGAAATTTGTCTCAGATAGCATGGGATAGTGCTGCTGCTGAACCGTATAGCCCATGGGGGCCCTACATTCAACCCATCCTCTTTTTTTCAACATCATTCCTCTCTTTTATCCTATACACAACAACAACAACAACCATGGATTCGCGTAAAATCAACATACCAGGATACATGTTTTATTGTGTGCTGGTAGCAGCGATCGGCTCGTTTTGTAATGGTTGGGTCATTGGTTCACCTAACGTACCAGGCGATATCACACACAATTGCCCAAACGGAAACGCCCATATTAACGATCCAAGGATGCCGGATTGCTTACCTATGAACACCACGCTATGGTGAGTAAATTTTCGTTTGGAGGTGCTCTCACACATGTATTAATACAACATCTACCATAGGGGTTTTGCTGTGTCTTCTTTTTGCGTGGGTGGTCTTGTTGCTGGTATTTCGGGTGGATACATCCAAACATACCTAGGACGTAAAAAGGCCATTGCCGTAAATACGTTTGGATGGATTGTGGGAGGTGTATTGATGGGTGCAGCTGTACACGAAGGCATGTTTATTGTCGGCCGTTTGATTGCTGGCTTATCTTGTGGTCTTGGTTCGGTGTGCATCCCCACGTATATAGGAGAAATTTCGACCATCAAAGCACGCGGCGCTATGGGCACTTGTCACCAGTTGAGTATTATATAAGATCCTTTTCTTTGACTTCAAGAAATAAGCTGACCATGTAATATGAAGATTCTTTATTGTCATTGGTATCTTACTTGCCTCAGTGATTGGTTTGCCTACTGCTACGGTACCTCTTTGGCGCCTCAATTTCAGCTTGGTGGGTATTCCTGCTATCGTGCAGCTATTTTTGGTAGTGACCATTGTCGATTCACCACGTTGGTTGGTGTCTGTGAACCGAGTTGAGGAAGCACGTTCGGCATTACATCGTTTGCGTGGCAAGAATGCATCCATTGATGCTGAGTTTTACGAAATTGTCAGTGCTCAACTTGGACCAGCAGCAGCAGCATCCACTGTAAGTGATCCCGAATTTGCATCCAATCCTGTCGAGGAAGAAGAAGCGTTGCATGATGATAGTGCAACCGCTACCGAAAAGATGAAGCAAAGATCAGAAGAAATTCATGGCGAAACGCAACTTCACAACCGTGAACCCTTGTCGTTGATTGGTATCTTTACAGACTCCTTGGTGCGTCACATCACTATAATTGTACTCTTTTTGCACTTCACTCAACAATGGATCGGTAAGTCAACTTCAAGTTGGCAAAGACTAGAGATCATCCTAACTAAGATCTTGTTGCTTAGGTATGAATGCCGTGATGTTTTATTCAACCATCATCTTTTCGGAAGCCTTCAATCCCGATATGTCAAAGTACATGGCCATCGCTACGACGGGTGTCAATTTTGTTGCCACCTTGTTTTCGGTCATTCTCATTGATCGCATGGGTCGCCGTCCTTTGGTCATGCTTTCATTAGCTGGATGTGTTATCTTCTCCATGCTGTTGGTCCTTGGATACCGTTTCCAAGTCCCGGCCTTGTTGGTCGTCGCTGTGTTCCTTTATGTGGCATCATTTGCTATTGGCATTGGCCCTATCCCATGGGTAATTTCGCATAAAGCAAGTCATGTGATATACAATACTGATTACCTCCTTGTATAGATGATCACTTCAGAACTTTGTCCAACCTATGCCAATTCAGCTGTTAGTGCTGCAGCCACATGCATGAATTGGTCCATGAACTTTGTGATTGGTCTCGTATTTCCAATTATCTTTGAAGAGATTGCTGGCTATACATTCTGTATCTTTATTGGTGTCGGCACAGTTGCCTTCATCATCACCTATATCTTTGTTCCCGAGACCAAAGGCCGATCCATTGAAAAGATCGTCAGGGATTTACGTGCAAGCACTAAAGCCAAGAAAAAGGTGCTTCCTCAACAAGCCCAAGAAGACAAAGAAAAATTTAAGGAGGTGGAATCTACACAAGAAGATTCTACCACTGTCGGGCCATAGAAACTTTTACTTTTTATAATGATGATGCTTGTCATTGTATTTTAATGATTGTTGTTGCACAATGAAAATATAAACAATAAACTACCTAACCATCTCATTTTGTTTGATCAATGACTTGCTCTCCCACATCCAAAAATCCATATTCAGAGCACACTTGCACCAATGTCTCAGCATCCTCCACGGACATCTTTTCCAACACCTTGTTGAGATTGTCGAGTTCACCCGTTTTGAGAGCATCCTGGAAAGCTTGCGGCATGGCTTCAAACACCTTGTATGCTTCCTTTTCCTCTTCCTTGTTGGGATCAGGTACCCGAATCGTTAAAGGTGAGCCATCTTCAGCAGCCTGCAATTGAATTGTCTCCACGCCAGCGTTTTGTTCAGCTGCAATCTCAGCACATCGCACCTTGATACGACCATACGTTCGATCCACGTCATCAAAGAACATTTTGCGTGCTTGTTGGTTTGGTCCATTCATTCTATTATTGCCCATCATTAACCATCCAATCGTACATACTCTTTTTAAAGGGTGCATTACCTTGAAAAGAAAACATTCAAACCATTGCTTCCAAGCTGTCCACAATATTGCAAGGTCAAGGCTTGAATCACACAATTGCGGGAGAAATCTTCATTGCCCTTGAGTTGCTGGGTAAATGCTTCGGCCAAAATCTGGTCAGACATGGTCTCGTTGATGATCTCAGGATATCTCATAAGATGCTTGTAGCTTGGTTCAAATCCCTTAAGCTTGGCGAATGCTTCAGCCTCCTTGGATAACTCGATGTCCTTGTCGTCATCCTCGTCATCCGCTTCATCTTGTTGCTTATCATGGATAGACTAAAAGCATTGTCTAAGTAAAACTCCCTTCTCATCCACCAACTCAAATGACATACCAAATCCTTCATTTGTACACCGGGATTCAATGTTTCAATGACTTGTTCCTTTGCTTTTGGTTTGGATGATGATGGTTTGGGTTGATCCTTGGATGAATTGAGAATCTATGGCACCATGTCAGTAAGCATAATCCACCCACTCTTTTCCCATTATTACCGTGCGATTGGATGTTTCATGGAACATGTTTTCACTTGTGAGCTTCTTGCCTTCCTCCTTTTGAAGACGATCCAATTCCTTCTCTGAACGCTCCAACACTGAAGTAGCCGAGGCATGTAAAGAATCCAAACGCTCCTTGAGTTCCTTTTCCTTGTCGGGTGTGATATCTTTCAAGATGGATCCTAGTGCTTCGCCCAGGGTCAATGGTGGTGTGTTTGGTTTGGTTGAAGCTGCCACGGCAACGATATGCTTGTTTTCTTGAGTAGCCAGTTCGAGCCAACGTTGAATAGCCTTGAGGGTCTCTTCGGCAGAGGTATCTTTGGAGCGAATCGTATTGAGATGGTGCAGCACCCATTCTTCCATGGGAATGAACTCTTGAAGCTGGCTAATCTGGGCCTTGCGTTCAGCTCGTTCACGATGAATAGCTTCACGCTTCCACTTGATCATGGATTTCTTGTCGACGTTGGGATGGCATTCAATATCAGAGTCGTCCGAGAGCTCGAGATTGTCCCACTTGCTATAGTCCAAAGGCATGGTGTATGGTTGCTTTAAAGAAGTGAAAAGAAGAACGTGGATAAAGGAAAATGCTGGAACACGCGCATGATTTCTGGTCAGGCCCAATCACAAGCACACGTCAAATACGTCCAGTGTTCCACATACAAAGGTTGGCTTGTATAACATAGATCAATGCTTTGATTCTATGACTATCATTCATCGTTGAAATAAACGACGCCTCCATATCCCATTATGACCGAGTTGATTCAAATGAATGATAAGACACTTTCGTGCTTAAAAAAGGAAAGTAGTCGATTGGGGCTTTGATGTGCTCACCCCTTTCACCCACCACGCACTCAAGTCAATGACCATGAAGAAACTTTTAGCACTTCACTTGTCCAAAGCAGAAAGCAGAAAATGTTACAATGAGATCCGTATTACATTCAACTCGACGAAAAAGGAGGGGGGTATTATGAAGAACGTTTTTGACACATATACAGGTATCATCAAAGTGGGCGCGCGATCGGGTCAAAGAGTCAACCTTTTTGTGGCAGGTTTGCCGATAGGAACATGGAAGAGAGCAGTAATGAGCTCATGAAAAAGCCAAAGTGGGTTTTAAGTATGCTTTATTTAACAGCACGAAGCTAAGACTTTTGAATTTACACAAGCTATCTGGGAAGGAACAACAAAGGGGAGGACAAGTTATGATAATGACATGTATGCTCTTTGCTTGACACTATAAAACCATGAAAGTACACGATGCCGTGCCTGAGCAATATTAATCTTAGTTCTGGTACAAGCGCTGATTTGTGGGGAACGAAAAAGAACGCAAGTTGAGAACTTTTGTGAGAGAGGAGGACACTTTTGGGGATACGAGAAAAAGTTCAAAAGGGCACATTACAGGCTGCGGGTAACACCCAGGTGCAGCGAACGTGATCGAGTCGAATACACAGCGCATCTTACTATGTAGAGGATGGTGGTTAATGGTGGGATCTGCTCGCTGACAGGCTTTTCCGTTGCGCAGTAATGTGAGGGTGGTATTCGGGTAGTGGGGGTAAAGAGAAAGAGCGAGAGGGACTTTCTAACAGTAAAGAAAAGTAAAAAAAAGAGGGAAGGAAAGGGTACTCTTGATAAATCGCAGCAGTATCCTTTTTGACGATAACTTGCCCATATCCATAATATGAAGTCATACTTTTCAACCCACGCACCCTCATACGCTTTCATCACGTACACATGCTCCTTCTCACTTTTATATTATTTTCTTTCACTTTCAAACCACCATCCACTACTCGTCACGTGAATCCTTTCGAGCAACCGTTTCTTTCGTTTGTCACGTGACTCGTCTCACTCAAAGTGTCATTTGTTTCAGCCAAGTCGCGAAGGGTAACTCAGCTTCCACTGCCCCTCAGCAAACTCTACACCTATGTGTGTGAGCTGTTGTCTCAATACAATTACCAGCGAATGGCAGCAAAAGAAATAGGCTGAGGGTTGTATGAAAAGTTGTCTACCTAAACCGCTTGTTGATTTGATTGATGGCTATTTGGTCCTTTCATGCTGCGCACGACTTTTCCACCTCCTTCTTCTTTCATACTTTCGCGATGAGGCAAGTCCATGGCGTGTAAACAGCCTTCTTGTAACTCTTCTACACAATAATGAAGGTGTGTAAAGGTATGTCTATGACAATAAGGGTTCCATATCGCATTTGCATGGAGGAGAAGGTCGAGCTGCATAAACCAATTTGTATATGTAAAAAGATACGTATACATGTTGATGGGTCACGCATCCTGAAACTCAATGGAGGGATCTCTTCACTTTTTCTCTTCTCAAGCTCATCCTACTTCCCACTCCTCCTTATTGTATCACAAAAGCCATGTACTTCTTGCATGACTGATAACCGAGCCACCTTTATTATTCCATCTTCGAAGCAATAGTATGTAATCCACAAGCTAGCAACCTCCAACAAGCGTGTAATAGATAAACAATGCTTTGTTTCATCTAGTTATCTTGCTACTGTACATTGCCACCACCATCGTCGTAGTCGTCCTCCGTCACCATTCGTACTCGTACTCGTCACCAGTCGTCAATCTCATCCGTCACACCAACATCCAAAAACACACAAGTTGAAAAGAATGGGATCTTGCAGGCTTCCTATTGAATCTCGTTGCCGTCATCATTGTCATTGTTGTAGATGGGGTGATCATCGTAATTGTCATTGTTGTGAATGTGGTAATCATCGTAATCGTCGTCTCTACAAATAAGAATGCAGGCAAATTAGACCATCTGGTACCAGAACGATGACGATTTCATATACCTTACGCGATCCTCTCTAAGGAAGAAAGCAAATCAGAAGGATCTCACAAACCAAATCACCACCATACGAGCAACGTCGGGCGATCCCTTGTTCTTGAGAAAGCACTGCACGAATCACGCAAGGTCAGTTCGATCCATGACAAGGAAGGACTCACTTACGTAGAGTCCAGGCTCATAGGTGTCCTCATTCATCCTCTCCCAAAGAAAGAATGATCCCCAATCCTTCCAATCATTTTCCCACCTCATGAAAAGAAATCCTCAAAGAGAAAGAACGAGCCTATCACGAGAAGAGCGTGTTGGTTCAACACATTCACGGCCGAGCCATTGCAAATCCCCTTTTACCTCAACACGGTGACCATGCTCTTCCAAAGATCCATCGTCATCGACCCATCAACTCAAACGCAGGCCTATAGAGCCCTGGGCGCGTTCCAAAAAGCTTTTCCAGCACACTTGGCTAATGCAGAGCGACGCAGCGGCCACTTGATACAGGCTGGGACTTGAGCCCAAAGAGATGATGATGATGCGCCAAGTCGCATTACCTGACCAAAGAAACCTATTCAATTCATTGTTAGCACACACACACAATGAACACCCTTTTCATTGTTTGTTTCATTGTACTTGTCTTTTCCATATACACAAAGACCCGTTGTTGTTGGTTACTGGAAACCGAAAACCATGGTGTAGTATAGTTGAGCCGAAACAAAACGCCAAACCAGCCAACGTCTTGAAACTAAACTTGCTCTCTATACAAGCTGACGCGTCAATGGAACCAATTCGGCTGCAACATTGGACTCTGAATGTACCTGTTGACACCAAGCGTAGAGCGGGAATAGCAACGAGCAAAAGGAAGCAATAATATCGCCATGGCAACCACCAACCACCGACCACGCTCATTCCTCAGCACTTGGACACACTCACTCCCTGATAATGCATGTTCAGAACTACATTAACACCTCACAGCCAACAAGAGCACTCTTCTATAATACATTACCTTGATCGAGATGTCGTGAATGGAATAAGGAAAGGTGGGAGAAAAAGAGAAGCGTTGTCTCAAGTCGTGGAGCTGCTGTCCCCCAAGTTTAAATCCCCTACTGCTATTACACTGAGGCCACTCATCAATTACCCTATACACACCATCCACCCATCGTCATCATCACCCTCACGATAGACAATAGGTACACGTAAATAAAATAAATGATCCTCACGTATAGCAAAAGGGTGTGTGCCATTTTACACTTTACATGATAATGATGATCCAACAACAGCCATTACCTTACTACCAAGGTTAGCTCGAATCATGAAAGTTAAATGATGGGCATGCTGGGCTGGAGAAAGACAATCGTTCGTATGCATTGGATTGGACAACAAAGGTGCAATGGGAGGACTAGGTTATTAGCTGGCATTTTGAACTTTTCCTAAATAGTGTACAAGTATCATGCATCGCCTGTGCTGAATGACTCAAGTTACACAAACACGCCCTCTGCATCTTTTGCTCTATTAGAGCATCTCCAATGGACTGGGAGCTAAGTTTGGTGTAACAACCTCGGTGCTATCATAGGATGGCCATAAAAATGCCAAATTTCACAATGGTTAGGCTCTATATCTGAGTTGATCAAATAAATCAAACCTTGTACAACACGCCAACTCTTTTCACTCTTTCTCTTTCTTATTATGTTTACTCGTCGTATACTTGAATTGCTCTATGAAGATGATGAGGAACTCGAACGCCTTGAACATATTCGCCATATCAATGAATTGCTCGACTCTGAAACGATTCCAGTACGTGGTGGATCACATCCTGGTAGAAGGTATATCTACCGGAACCATCAGTTTTTGCACATGAGTGCTTAGTGCGAGATTACTTTGCTCCCGAGCCTGTTTACACCGAACAGCACTTTCGTAGACGCTTCAGAATGTCCAAGCGGTTATTCTTATACATAGTCCGAAGAGATGAAAAAAGGTCGATACACTTTTCACTCAGCGCTATGATGCTGCTATGAAGCCTGGTTTGTCCCCTTTGGTGAGGGCTACTGCTGTCATGCGTCAATTGGCATACGGTATTGGTGCAGATACTGCTGATGAGTATCTTCCAGTGGCGGAGAGCACCGCTTTAAGGTCATTGATCAAGTTTTGTGAAAACTTAAATACCATCTTCGGTGACAAATACTTGCGACAACCCAACCAACATGACGTCCAGCAGTTGCTCTACTCCAGAAAATGCAACAGGGGATTTCCTGGAATGCTTGGCTCCATTGACTGTATGCATTGGCAATGGGACAATTGCCCTGTTGCTTGGCATGGTGCTTACACAGGTCGCTCAAAGCATGCAAGCACAGTTCTAGAAGCTGTTGCTTCTTATGACTTGTGGATCTGGCATGCCAGTATTGGCCACCCAGGATCTTTGAACGATCTCAACATCCTTCATAGATCAAATCTCTTCAACAACATTGCTTCAGGTGAAAACCGTAATCATTTAATGCTTCTAATACCCGATCTTTAACAACATTGCATTAGGCAACGCACCTTCGGCAACGTATACCATCAATGGCCGCGAATACCATATGGGCTACTATCTTGCTGATGGAATTTACCCTGATTGGGCCACCATGATGAAAAGTTTTATCGTCCAGCTGGTAGAAAGCAAGAGGTAAGTCTACATGGCATACGTTTATCTATACCATCAGCCTGATCAATGATTGGAAACTTATGTACTTAGCACTACAACAAGATGCAAGAAGGTGCTCGCAAGGATGTGGAGCGTGCTGGAGTGCTCCAAAAGTAATTTCTCATCGTTCGCAATCCTTTACGGCTTTCAAAGCATCGAGACGTGATCAATGTTATGCGAGGGGATGCATCATCCTCCATAACATGATTATTGAAGACGAACGTGCTGAACCTGTTGAAGATCTGGAAGAAGATCATGTACCACTGCTTTCGATCGATAGAAATCCGGTTACCCTTGGAAGTATAGTAGACGGTGGGAAGAAATCAAGGATCGAAGTGCCCATTTACAGCTGAGACATGATTTAATCGAGCATGCTGGCAATGCTATGGCAATAACAACGTTTAAACGATTGAGTTACATTGTTTTAAATCACTTTATCACACCTTATGGCTACTATCAAGCTCTTCGACTATTGTGTATCGAACCCAGCATCACCATCACCATTGCCACCATCACCATTCGATACGGACGGAGACTGTACTTGCTTCTTCATATATGCGTCCAAGACTTGCTGTTGGCGCATCATAAAATACTGCTTGGCGATAGGATTCATGGTCGGTATCTTTTGACATAATCTCAAGCTCGCATGCTTCTTGGGCGACTTCAAGCTTTTTGGCGTGCAATTTTTGAAAGTTCCTGTTGCACTTCGAGCAGCTCGTCAGCTTTTCTTTTTGTTGGCATGCTCTTCAGCTTGCTTGGCCTTTGCCTTCTTGTTTCCCGTTGGCCTCACTTCATCTGCGACCGACTCGACAACTGCTGGCTGCGTTTTTTGTATATATCGAGTGCTGAACTTCTGGCATTCTTTGAGATACTCATAGCAATGCATGAACTGAAACTCCTTTCCTGGTTTTCCAGCTGCTGCTGTGCTCTCACGGAATAGTTGACGGGCAGCATTGATCTATAATTGTGAATAATAAGATAAGTACCATCATTGGCATCAGCATTGTTTGTAATACCTCATCAGCCCCATTGCATCCACTGCGACCTTTAGCCGCCTCAACGAAGCCGATCGCTTTGAGACTTCGTACTGGATAACTTTCCACCGTGCTTCCAATGATTCAACCGAACGTACAGGACTACGATTATCAACAATCAAGCGCCAATGGTCATGAACAGACTTCCAAAGCCAGTTCTGTTTTTGGCCGGTACCAATGGCAGGATTTTCGGAAATATGGACCCAGGCTTGACATAGAGAGACTTCCTCGTTAAGTGACCAGGTCCTGACCTCTTCCTCTAAATCTTGATCTTGATGAGGCAGAAGATGATGGATCATTTTCAGCAGGTGAGGAAGGGCTATCCATTGACATCAAAAACGATGATCGAGAAAGGGTAGGTTCAGGGTGAGATGAGAAAGGGTAAGTAGTAGATTCAGGGTTGCTGCCAGACATAATAAAAGAGAAGTTTAAGAGTCAAGGTTCACTTCACAGACACAATGCATATATATATATTGAATTATAACCCATTTGTGTTATGGTTAAAAGAAGATAACGTAATGCTTAGAAAGTGTTGATATGGTTAAAGGAGATAGCATAAAAGATGTGACGCGGTATTTACACGGTTTAGTCGGCGCCGTCTATTTTACACGGTTTAGCAGAAATTTTTGACTCGCCGTGTAAATTGACTCTGCTCTTGACTCCACCATTGGGGATCAGACCGTGTAAAATCGGTCAATTTGGCACTTAGCTCCACCATTGGAGATGCTCTTATAGTCATACTACTTTACATTAAAAAAAACCACTTCTCATATAGCATTACCCTTACAGCATATGTAAAACATAAAGGTGCCTGTATCTCCAAACTTTAAAATCAAACGTGGGCTCTTTAATAGATCAACGTGCTCGTCGGGGTCAAAGGAATCTTGTGTCAAAGTATGAAGTTCATCGTGGGCAATCCCAGATTTCGCGTTGTCGCTACCAGCCAAACTGGATCCGGGGCTCAACCTCTTTCGACGACGACCAAAAAAATATTTTGGGCTGTTTGCGACATTGAACGTGAAACTTTCACACAAGGTGCTGTTATTGAAAGCCGAGCCCATTGCTCTAATAAAAACCCCCACGTTTCATTGTAAAGTTTGGAGATACAAACACCTTTATGTTGTAAGTGTGATGCTATATGAAGAGTTGTCTTTGTTCATTTTGTCAAGTAGGTGGACCCTGGCAGAGCAAAAGATGCAGAGGATGGTGTTGTGTAACACAGCTACGTTTGCATGAATGAAAGGGTCAATGTATAAATAGTTTATGGATCGTCTAGGAACAGACATGTATTGCTAGCTAACGGCCACTTTTATCCGATATAATTGTTGCGAGATCCACTGCATGGGAACGATGCTCCTGCTCTAGACATTCCGTTTCATGATTAAAGTAGGTTGATCCGAGCTGATTTGACTGAGCAGCGGTCAAGAAGAGAGATTACATCACTCTGGACATAAAGCACGCTCGATGTAGCTCAACCGATGTAATCTTGTGTGAGCGTAACTCAACCAAATCAGCTCGGGTCAACCTGGCAGCCATGGAAATGGATGTCTGGAGCAGGCATCGTCCACCTACAATAGAATGCACAAAGAAGTTGGGAATGCACAAAAGTGGCTATTAGCTGCCAATGTATGACGCAAAAGTACTGAGGTTACGTACCTATCATGCATTGTCCCTGAAGTCCTGACTTTTAGCTGAGTTACCCAAGAGGGTCATTCTGCATCTTTGGCTCTCCAGGAGTCCACCTACTTGACAATGAACAAAGACCACTTCTCATATAGCATCACGCTTACAAACATAAAGGTACTTATATCTCGAACTTTACAATGAAACGTGGGGTTTTTGAGATAAACGTGGGCGCTCGGCGCGATCGGCTGCACCTTGTGTGAAAGTTTTCACGTTCAATAACAAACAGCCCAAAAAATATTTTTTTGGTCGTCGTCGAAAATTTTGCCCCAGATCAATTTGGTAGCGACAACGCGAAAATCTGGGATTTACTTGATGAGCTCTGCTGACACAAACTTTGACCCCATTTTGGCCGGTGATGCCGGTTTGATTTTAAAGTTTGGAGATACAGGCACCTTTATGTTTTACATATGCTGTAAGGGTAATTCTATATGAGAAGTGGTTTTTTTTAATGTAAAGTAGTATGACTATAATAGAGCAAAAGATGCAGAGGGCGTGTTTGTGTAACTTGAGTCATTCAGCACAGGCGATGCATGATACTTGTACACTATTTAGGAAAAGTTCAAAATGCCAGCTAATAACCTAGTCCTCCCATTGCACCTTTGTTGTCCAATCCAATGCATACGAACGATTGTCTTTCTCCAGCCCAGCATGCCCATCATTTAACTTTCTTGATCCGAGGGGATTTGACTGAACAACGCTCAAACACAGAAACATCATCCAATATCAGAAGAATCAAATTGGTAAGTTATTTGTAAACTGCCACTTGATAGCCCATTCCTCCCATTCACCTTTTTTACTCAATCTGCTGCATACGAATGCTTCGCCTGCTCCAGCACATCATCTCCATCCTTCAACTTTCTTGATCCAAGGTGATTTGACTGAAAAACGCTCAAACACAAAACATCATCCAAAATCAGAGCAATCAAACTGATTGATTATTTGTAAACTGCCAGCCCATTCCTCCCATCCACCATTGTTGCCGAAACTAATGGATGTGAACGATTCTCCTTCTCCAGCCCATCTCCACTATCATTCAACTTTCTTGATCCGAGAGGATTTGACTGAGTTAGGCTCAAACAAAGAAACATCATCCAAGCATCAGCGCAACCTACTCTTGATTTCCACTCCTTTCACTCCCGGCTTCTTCCCTCTTCGTCCTCATTCTCAACTGTTGACCCATTCAAGTACAATTACCACCTGCGAACGATTGTCCTACTTCAATCCATCATGTCAATGCTACAGTTGTCTTGGTACGATTGGCTTTGACTGAATGGGCAAGTCCATGGCGTGTGCACCCCCACCACAACACCCACGTCTCTCAACACTTCACCATCTCTTGTACAATCCTCTGCCACAACCAACGTCCCAGCAGTTACCATTAGCAACGTCTTTACTCCATGGACTCAAAACAGCGGTATCTACTTGCAGCAACTTGTCATACAGCCTTTTCACGTGAACAGCATATGGATATTGTATACAAGCAGCTTTCTTTTCGCATAGCAACTTGGATACATGAATATGGACGTTACTTTGATATGTTGGATGGGAAGGATCTCGATATGTCGCGTGGAAAAAACACCTGTTTCCTCCTATGTGTTCTACTTTGGTGTTGTATCCATGTGCTTGACGGATTGGGGATCTACGAAGACGCGTTACTTTTGGCAGTATGGATGAGGATCATGGTCGCTGGTATCAGTCACCACACGATGGTTGGTTTTCGTCTCCTTTTTCTGGATCTGATACGTACGCTCTCTCTCTCTCTATTGAAACGTTGCACGTCGGTGATGGCCCATTCATCAGCCTTACAAAGAGTACCGTTGGATGTTAAGGATGACACGGTTAAAGGATAGCATCATTTTTGTTTAGTAAGAATAATAGTAGTAGTGGTGTACAAGGTATATACATATGCGACATTATAGCAGCAGATCTTTCTACGAGTACATGAATAATAAAAGGGATGTTGTCAATGAACGTAACGAAAATCGGGATGCTATCAATGCATGCAAAAATTAGTTTTCAATGTATACATACATAATCCTCCCAAGGAGCATGATCACTTACTGCATCGCCAAGATGTTCGCCCTGGCATGCCTTTTGGTATTCTTCAGGTGATAGTCGATCACGTCGCTTGTTGATGTATTTAAGGATATACTTTAGGGCGATACACATGATAGAGACAGCAGCACAGGTACCCAAACACACTGCATGTCCACGCACGTAATGAGGAGCATCGTCATCTTGATATATGGTGGATGCCAAGGCACCACTGATATTACCAATGTTGGAAATCATAGCAACACCTACAGCACGTTTTGTATGACCACCTATACATCCTGAACCCCATGCAGCTCGTGGCGCCAGCTGTGCAAATGATCCAATGGTGGCAAGAATAGTACCAACATAAAGGCCAGCAATACCCTTGTCCTTTAGCACAATGAGCAATAGATAGCCAATGACACCAATGAATGAAGCAAATGCAGAGTGCCATCCACGTTCAAACATCCGATCGGCGTTTAATGCAACAATGATGCATATCACAAAAGCTGCAATGGGTGGTGAGTTATATATGCATCCATTCCACTTTAAAGTATCCCGTGACTTACCAACAGCATAAGGTGGTACGGTCATGGCTTGTGCATTGATACTGGAAAATCCCATGTCCTTGACAATTTGGGGCATAAACATCGAGATGGAGAACATGGGTATCAAACCACCAAGATTCATCAGGGCAAAATAATTGATCTTCCAATCTACAATGCCATCCCAACATTCCTTCCACGAAAATTTGGTATCGGTGGCAGGGCCTGCATCCACTTCAAGTCGTTTTACGGCAATTTCACGTTCGCGGGATGAAAGAACTTTTGCATAGGTTAGTGGATATGGCGTCATCCAAACCCTATTCACGATGTCACTTACAGCTAGCAGTGGCAGGTCCATCAGCCAAGACAAAGTAGCTCGTAATTGCTAGGATCAATGGAGGTATGCCTTCAATGATAAAAATCCATTGCCATCCATTCAATCCTTGCAGTCCTTTCATATGCATAATGCCATAGGCCAAAACTCCGCCAAAAGCCTAAATGAAAAAGAAGGATCATCAATGTAAACAGCTTTTCCTTGATACATCATGTTTATCATTTCCTTACTCCTGCCAATGTTGAACTTCCAAAATAAAAGGCAATCCTTGTAGTCAATTCACGTCGAGTGTACCAGGTTGATAGATACCACCAAATTCCCTTCATTCCACAAACAAGAATAACTCTATAGTGTGAGAAAAAAGCCAACCAACCAACACCACATGATCCATTCACCTACGGGATAAAGGCCTGACTCGGCCGCTCCGAGAAAAAATCGTGCAACCATTAGCTCTCTTCCACTTTTGGCAGCCGCCATGGCCATCATAATGACACCCCACACTCCCATGATGATGGGAATCCATATACGTGCACCAAGTCGCTTCAATGCCAAATTGGATGGGATTTCGAATACGATCTACATGCATCCATGCGATATATAAGTAACAAGGTAGATGTGTTGTACTCTGTATAGATAGGTATACATTACATAGGCAACAAAGAAAATCGACAATGACCAGCCGTATTCGTATTCAGTCATGTTGGTGTCTTCCATCAAGCCAGCAATCTTTGCGTTTCCTATGTACATGGATCAGTATCTAGCAGGAGTAAATCCCATGGATCCTCTAATCTTTACCAATATTGACACGATCCAAGAACGATACCAAGTAAAGGAGCGATACATAAGGCACGATCCTCAAATCAAGTTTCCATAGCAACCGTCGTAGCTCTTTTTGATCGGGCGGTGTCCATTCGTGATGCATGGCAACGCCTGCATTGCCATCATCTATATGCTTTACGGATACAACGTGGCTGGTGGCCTTATCTGAATTGGTGTTAACTTCCGAGGAAGATGAAGATGAGCCGTTTTTTCGGGCTCTCGTAATGTAGTCTTCAAGGCCCATAAAAAATTTAAGGGAAGGAGAATAAAAGAAAAGAGAGAGTGTACGTGTGTGTGAGAATGTGGATCAATCCAAGTCTTTTAAAGAAGCGGTTGTCGTATGGATGATTATGTATTGTCAGAGCTATGTACGTCGTCCCTGTGCATTATCACTGGGTTGTGTAACAATGATTCTGTCGGCTTGTCTCAATTTGTTATCATGTTCCCACAAGCACGATCTGCCGTGGGCGTGATACAAGATCTCTCACGCTTTCATTTCCAGATAGGGGTGCACATACGCTGTCCCTAAAGCATCTGTGCGTGATGCACATGATGGTATTGTTTGGAAAACTTTGGATGCATAAAAATGATGTAACCTTTACTTGCTGGCAGCTGCCGTCAAAATCCAAGTTTTGTGTCAAAGTACTGTGTTGTTGTGGTAACCGACTAGGTAGGTGCATGTGCAACAAGCGGCTCCAAAAAAACCTAAAAAGAAACTCAACGCACCAATCCAAATGATAGTTCATTGTTATGGTGCAGTGATGATAAGAGGTTTTCCAACCAATTGAAAGCAAAGTGCATTACAAATGAACCGAGATATACATATGGTTTTAATCAATGACGAGATGTGGGGATAAGCGAGATGATATGCTACAATAAAAGAAAGAATGGGATAAGGAAGAGAGATGCAACAAGATACAACAATGGGAGTGGGGTTGGGAAAAAAGGATGAGCTATGAGCGTGTGTGAGTAGTGTCGGTGTTGAAGGTTATGGATAAATGAGATAATGATATGAAAGAGAGAGAGATAGAGATAAGGGATAAGTCTAACCGAGTAATGATGAAGGCTCCACGGTCATTGGCATCATGGTGGGCATAGCTGATGCGGTGGTGGAGGTAATAGCTGTATCAGGAGGGGTCCAGTAGAGGGTGGATGCTGGGCCATAATGATGACTTGCATTTGGGGGTGATGATGCACTACTACTGGGTCCACCTGTAGCAGCTGCAGCAATAGCCGCTGCAAGCCAAAAGTCATGTTCCTCTTGCTGTTGTTGCTGATTCACACTCGCATAACGTACCAAGCGTTGCGTCTCAGGATGATTTTCAGTAAGACTTACAAGCTCTTGCTTAAGATGATGGGCAACACCTTTAAGCGAATGTCGAAAGAAGCGTGATGCTTGTTTGCCTTCTGTAAAATCACTGCATTGGACCCAGTCTTTTTCATTGTTCTTGTCGTCGTCGTCGTTGTCTTGTTGTTGCTTCTTTTCCTCATCCTCTTGTTGCTCGTTGCTCTTTTTTTGCTCCATGTAGAATAAGGGTGGCTCGCTAATATCAAAATGAACATCGGCTAGGACATCACTAGGATTATCCACAAACTCGATACTCGACACGGCATCCAGAGCCATATCAATCTTGAAGCGACAACCATTGTCGGCAATCTGCCAGGAAAAGATTTTACTTTCCCCATCATAAACACACGTTAAATCGTTGGCACGGAGCTTAAGTCGTTGCCATGTACCAATGGTCAACGTGGTTGCATTCAAATGGGTGGTGACATGGCCAGCATGATCCATCGTATCGGGGGGTGTCATCATGATGCTAGCGGGATCAATGGTGGTAACAATAGGAGGGTCACTCAATGCCCGAACAGCCAAGGCGGGGTCAACAGCATGTTGATGATCTATATTATATGTAAGACAGCATGAATAAAGGTACGCTTTTGAAACAAGGGATTTTTAATTTGTAACATACCAGGTGATGCGCCCCAGAATGAACCATCCGAAACAGCTGGAGATGATGATAACGATGAACCATGTACACCATCATTACCAGAAGATGAAGGTAAATCCCCTGTAGCTAACATAGCAGTAGGACCAGCATTGGGCACAGGAATCAAGGTTGGGATATTGTTGCTGGTTGTTGTCGTAGCTGATGTACCGTTTGCCATAGCATTATAGTGCGCATCACCCATTTGCCAAGCTTGTTGATTATCCGTTGGCATCATAGGAGCCGATGTTGGCTGTTGTTGATGCATCGAATGTGGAAGTGGATTAACACTTTCTTGTTGTTGTGGATGGTAGCGATGATGATGGTGATGATCAATGTATGAAGCTTCGGCACTTTGAGCACGTGGAGGCAAGGGTACACGAGGGCTATAGTAGTACGGATGATGATGCTGTTGATGATGTTGATGATAACCAGGAGGAGGTGGTGGTGGTGGCATCATAGCTCCTGCTCCTCCTCCATTAGCAGCAGCAGCAGCAACAGCGGCATTGTATTGCTGATACTGATACATTTGAGCACGTAAAGAGGCTTGTTGCATTTGCATTTGAGCACGCTTTTGCATATGCTTGACCTTGGCACGGCGATTTTGAAACCAAATCTGGATGGATCTCTCACTCATTTGTAAGCGCTCAGAGAGCTGTTTACGAAGCTTGCCATTTGGGCTCACGTTGACTGCAAATGTATCCTCCAACACAGCTAGCTGCTCAGCTGTAGCTCGTGTACGTTTACGAGTAGGCGTAGGTGTGGCAGTGCCGGATGAATTGTCGGTGTTGGAAGATGCTACTGCTGCATTGCCGGTATTTTCATTTTTAGTGCTATTAGGTTGTTGTTCCGAGCTGACTTGAGGCGGTGGTGCTGGATGGTTATTGTTGTTGTTGGTCGATGCGGATGGTGATGACATGGTCTATTATGCCGATTGGAAAGGATAATGATTACAAAAAGAGGAAAGAGAAAGGAAGAGATGGAGAGTGAGTGACTTTATAGGATGGGGCGGTTAAAGTGTGAAGAGGAGGAGGAAGTTGTAAAGGTTGCGAGATGAAGAAACGATGGGATCGGGGTTGATAAGGATTGTTCAAAGTGAGAGGATGGTGGTTTTTTAAGAGTGAAGGAGAGCAGTGGGGGAGAAGAAAGGAAGTAGATGATGGTTGATGATGGAGTTTTATTCTTTTTGTATTGCACGAGCTCGAGGCGGTACAACCTGAAGTAAAGGAAAGAAGGAATGAAAGAAAGAAAAAGAAAGAGAGGAGGGCAAAAGAAGGACTTGTGCACAAGATGGGTGTGTGCGTTTTGGTGGGAGGATGAATGTGCGGCCAAATTCGCAGTCCTTTGTCGATTCTCTCCTTCTCCTCGTCAACGACACGCACGATAACTTGCACATCACGTCCGCTGGTGGAAGAACACCATCCTTTCATAGTCTTACCCAGATCCTCCATAAAGAAAGAAATCCGTATTGGGTTTAGTTCAACAGGTGTTCCCCGCCTCCTTGACTTTCAGTTTGGCTGGGAGAAAGCTAAACGCCGAAAAAAGGTGTTCCGTCATTGGAAATCAACCAAGGGGTGCACAACGAGATAGAAGGCTACTGGCTATGTTCAAGCGTGTATGTGCTATTGCAGGTACCAAAGCAGATTGCCACCCATGCGGCAATGATGGCTTGTCTAAATCGTGTGAGTCGCTACTCTCTCCCCTTTTTTATTTACCATGTATCAACCCACAAGCTCGTTGTCCCCTTATTTTGCAGCATTTATATCTTGTCATCATCTCGCGTCGACAAACAAACATCAAGCTCGCTGTGTTTGTGTAGCATCAGCAAAAGTCTGAGCGTGAATGGGATGCCAAAAGAGCTTAATGCAGTTCTCACACCTGTACACAGCGCGGGGATGAGAGTGTGTACAATGCCAGCAATACCACATCCCAACTTTTTGGTCAAGGAGAAAGAGCAAAAGGAGCAAGATCAAGCGTAAATGATCCCCACACATACACAAAACGATCAGCCTCACTGGGTCGGTTGTAAAGATATGCTACCCACTTGGGAAACATGACACGTTGTGCCTTTCAAACTCCCTGAGCTTTTACTACTGTTCCGAGAGCCCAACATTATGACTACCACCCTTCTCCTCTTTCCGATTACTTCTTTTCTCTTGTTTATCTCCTTGATCAACTTACATTTATCCTCATCAACAAACGTCATCGCTCCCTTGTTATGGCTCATGAATCAAACCCACTACACTTGATGCCACCACCCATAGAACATAAAAAAAGTTGTCCTTAGCCTGTTCGTGTTCAATTGGACCTGAATCTCGTGCCATACACATGATCTCGTTTAAATGTGGTACATGGGCACACATTACAACAGCCTACAAAGCTTATGCATAGATGATGCTTTTACATACTACCACTTTTCCTCCTTCCATACGTTCAGTTTAAGATTGTGCGGTGTAAAAAGTGGCGGGCAATCCACATGTATTATATGCATTGGGTCACACGACATGTAAATGATGCCTTAAAAAGATGCAGCAACTTTTTTTTCTTTTTATTCAATGCTCATTGATCTGCATTGAGGGAGGAGAAAGAAATCAGTCGGATTGTTGACCCACATGCAGTATGTTGTTTATATTGCATTAGTGCGCGGATATATGATTGAATCATAAACATGGGTATGTGCGCACCCATACGTTGAACAAATGGCACGTGTTTGTATAGGCCGTGTTTTTGTGCTGCAATGGATGATGTACACGTATCCGACTCAGCCATCTTTTCCATCCCACGTCGATGTCATATGCATGTAGAATGGAAGCTGCACATGTATAGTGTTTGAAAGAAGGAGGAGGAGGATCCAGGTACAGGAAAAAGGGGGGAGGTGGAGGTGAATAGCATGAAATTCACCACACCCAGCAGCAGCAGCAACAGCGGCTGACAGTAAAAACATCCAGCCGGATCCGATCAAACCGACATCCTCCTCCTATAATTAAAATTAGGAGGTTGACCGATGCATCGATATATAGCAGCAACAGGGGCTTGTGCCCGTGTGAAGCCCATGCACATGCGTACGTAAGCAAGGTAACAAATCTCTACCCATATCCAGTAAGCAAGCTCATGGTAAATAAGCGTATGCGGATGACAATGGATTCATTTTTTGATTGTTGAAAGATACATTTACAAATAAAGATTCAAGGATACATAAAATGTTGTGGTGATGATGCATAATCTACGGGGTGGATTGGTGATGATGGTGATGATGTTGATGAAGGTGGTGGTGGTACAGGTCGCCTTGGTGGCGGTCGTTGAGGCGGTAAAGCCGATAGAGATCGGGATCCTGCAAATGGTGGTGATGTTGAAAATGTCCGAATCGGATGATGTTCATCGACAAGTGATTCATTGCTATCGCCACTATTGCATGTTGCTATGGCGCTACTATATGGGTATTGATTGTATTGTGGTAGCCGCATAGAAGAATCGTGCATAGGTGGTGTCATTGGTGACAGCTGTGTTTTCATTGTGCTGCTGCTAGTGGGTGATGATGGTGGTGCACCACTTAGGTATTCTTCACTGCTGCAGCTGTCATCGAAATAGGAGCTTGTAGTAAGTGAACCTTCTTGCCTTCTTCCACCTTCACGTAGCCATCGTGGTGATAGTGGCTCCACTTGTAAGCATGATGATTCGTGCTTGTGATTGTTGACAAGGGCATCATGTTCGGATTGGATATTGGATAGCTTGGACAACGTGATCACGCTATTGATATTGTCGTTTTCCTTGAGCCATGCAACGGTCTTTTTCAGCTTGTCAAGCCATTCTTTCATGGTCTCAGCATCAGCACATTCCAAGTACCACTTTTTTTGGTCCAAACCATCACGCTTTGAAATGACAAGGCAGTAGAGTACACCTGTGAATCGATCACTCACAAAGACTTGGGTATCCTTGGTCAATTCGAAAAACTCACGATATTGCAAGGTTGGTCGATCATTCTTGAAGACATATAACATACGATCGGCAAGAATAAGATAGCGTAATTTGCTGCTCTTGGTAAAGGAATAGGATGGTGGGACGTGCTTTGTGAGCCAACCGCGTAATGTAAAATAGTGCCACACCACATCAGACTGCACTTGACCATGAACAGGACCAAAAATCGAGGGGTTTTGCATGATCTCAGGTGGTGGCGTGGATGTCGAAATGATTGGTGGAGTGGATGTGTTGACAGCTATGCCGATGGCTGTGGTTAATGCTGACATCATGCTGGTTGCTAGGCGACCTGATGAATTGGATCGACTGAGATTTCCGCCATCTTTTCCTGATGTCGTGGTGGTGGTCTCGTAGTGTATTACTTTTTGATAATGGGATGAGCCACTGCTATGCTCACTGCTACTGGTGCTTTGGCGATGCATGACAAAGATACGTGAAAAGAGAAAAAGAAATACAAAAGAAAAGGAAATCAATCAAAGTGCAACATGATGTTTATCTAACACTTCCATAAATGTCCTACGTACCTGTTTGTTGTTGCTGGGAGATTGATGGGCTGTGCATGTGAATATCTTGCTCTGTGCTGGCTCCCATTTGTGTCAGGTTCACATTGGGCCGTGTTGTTCTCATCATCTTAAAAACACATTCCCAGATGCCAATAGATGATGACAAAGAAAAGCGCTTGCTACTTTTTACTCTAGTCATCTTCATACGTAAGAGCGTGGGATTTCGATATTTCCTTGAATCGTCATGAGCGAGTGCTTCATATAGGTGGATGCTCCATTGCTTTGTAAAAACAAAGTTTGTGACACATGCCATTTCTCCACAATCTTTCTCCACAGAAATTAACCCTGTTTGATTAAGGCTTTACTAAGATTCCCCCCCCCTCAACCAAGGCAGTGGTAGCATTGCGGGCATAAACTTCATCATTGTGGATCATTATACGATAAGCGTCATCCAAAAGACAAGAAGAGCATACGTGTCGTATCTTGGGATTTCCCTCTCCTTCATTCCCGCGCTGTTCAGCCTTCCCAAAAGGACGCACATGAGCCTGTTTGCCAACCTTTTGCCCATTTGTAATGTTGCACATGGCACAACGGGAGCCAGCTTTCCAGCTTTCAGCTTATTTCCTTTTTGTGTCATGTCCTCCAATCCCAAAATCGGGGGAGTTTTATAAACTAGGCATATCTCCGGAATCTTCTCAAATGATATCGAGAGCATCATGTAACAGACGGATACCAGAAATGTATTGGAGGATTCACATATAAAGAACAAACGACGCTTTTTCTAGTATAGTCCATGAAAAAGAGAGTTCAATGCGATTCCTTGTTTCTGGGTCATATCATCGTTCATCTTCACTCTCCCATACGACTTCTTCGCAATGCTTGACGTAATCCATGCTGATGGTGTGGGACACGATACGCTGATCCAACTCGTACCAATAGGGAATTTTGGCCATCATCTTCAGATCCACGTCCACAAGGTTGATGTTGTACTGATACGTATTCCCATTGCTCAAACGAATGAATTGAGGACGTCGTAGTAGTGGATGCGTATTCCTATTTGAAGCTATCAGCATGCTTCATTCCCCTTCTCATGCACCTATGCGATTTACCTGGCATTGGTGTCCTGAACCTCGGCAATGGATATAAATATTGAGCAGTCCTTGAATATCATTGACAATACGAATTCATATAGATGCTGCTGGTAGTCGCCCTCATACTCGGTATCATGTGATGATGATGATGATGATCGTGCTTTGAAGCGCTCCACCACTCGTTTCCATGTATCGATATCAAAAACACCTGGCAACGGTTGACCATCATACACGGATGTGTAGACATTCCATATATGCTCAATGTCCATATGATCCAGTCGTCGTTGTAATTGATGCAACCGTGTCAGTATGGGATCATGACACAAGACCAATTGTAAAAGTTCATCCACCCAAGGTGTAACGCTGTCGTCTTCTAGCTCATGCTGATATTCTCCATGGGCCTGATAGTTCTTGTGAAGATGTTTCTCGCGACGTAATGCTTTCAATGCTCGCTGAACACGTATAGGATTGCGTGAATAAAGATCCATTGGACAATACTCAAGATCGGTGCGACCATGCTTGAGACAACTATGCATGCAAAAGCGACAAGTGCGTTTCTTGATGTGTCGATGCTTGGGATGAATCTTGCATGATGCAGGCTTGAAACCCCATTTAGGCTGTTGTGTGGAGTAGGTGAGTTGTCTATACACAACAATAAAGATAGTAAAGAGCATCCTACCTTGAGCTCGACTGCCCATGGATATTGATAGGTAAGATCAGGCGCGAGGAACCCCCATCGTTGAGTATAGTCAAGTTGGCGCGATCTTCGACGTTCAGGTCTATGCATTTCAATCTTGCTCGAGATGGCTTGAAGGAAGTCCTTTGACACGCCTACAATGCACTACAGTTGAAATGAATACTACCGATCTTCGCATCTTGGCTTGCCTCGAACAACCTACCAATGGCACCATGTATTCGGGCCCTATCAATGGCGTAATGACTTGATTGGAAAAGTCCAGTGAAAATTGGGGCGATGGACCTTGATCCTTTGGTAAAGGACTTTGCTTCTTCAGGCGCAAGACGTATCCATTCTACCATCCATATTGTTATCAGTATCAGGCACATTATCAATAATAAAGGTCGACATACAAAACGTGGATTGTCACCAATGTATCTCAAGACTATTGTTTCATTTCCTTCTGCACCATAGATCCAATGTTCAACTTGGGACAAGTCAATGTCCATGGAAAGGGGGGTTGAAAGAAAGAGGAAGAGACAAAGCGAATCCCAGCAACCGCTATTTTCATTTGCCCCGCAACCATGCATAAAAGTCCCTGTAGTCACGTGAACTGATGGATAGACCTCTTTATCTGGATAACAGCAATCATCCCATCTAGCCACATGTATGACAAAGCTCAATGCCTGATGACACAGAGTTATTCCACTACCAGGATGAAACATGTATTACGATCCTTTCTTCTCTTCTTACTTTTTAGCCCCACCACAGAGTGTTTCAAATGCCAATTAAGCATTGCTTTTGATTATGCTTTGTAAATACACTTCCCTAATTTCCTTCCCTCTAGGACACATGGTATTCGTTTTAGCAATAAAAAAGGGAGCAAAAGCTAAGGAAATGAACCAATGTCAAATGTATGGAATGCGCACATGCTTGATCCAAAGATAGTTTTGAGACAAGAAAGAGCGGTGTCTCATCATGCAAAAGTACAGTAATACCAATGTTGATTACCATATCGAGTGAAAAAAGTGGCAAGGATAACGTGGCAACAAGACATAACACAACCGTTTACCCGATGACAAAACCCAGAAGAAGAAATGGTAGCACATGAATGTTGATAACTTTAATTGCAGCAGTGTATCATCAGTGCTCAATGGGTCATGGTTGAAGAGGTGAAGGGGGGCTGTGGATAATAATGATGATGATGTGTCTATGTGTAAACATAAAAGGCAAGTCAAGGGGGGAAAGCAAGATGCTAAAAAAAACGTCATCCTTGCCCCATGCCCTGGCAGCGGACAGGAAACTTTGCAGTGCCTGCATGAACAAAGCATGACCTAAGACGAAGCATGAATTATTGCCACATCTTCGATCATTCAAGTATCGAATGACTCGGATCAAGTTGTACCGACGATGCACGCACCTACACTTATAAAGCATCTATTCACACACTCTAAACGCTCACACGGGGATTGCTGTGAGAATAATATCGCTCTCTCTTTCTCTCTATTATCTCTTTGACAGCAAGTTGATACATTTCTCCCCTTGTTCTTTCTCTTTTCCCCCTGCTTTTTCACACACATACACACGCACATTCTCTTACGCTCTCTCTCTCTCTATCTCTCTCTTACAAGTTACTGTGTCATTTCTTTATTCTCTTGAAACTACTACGTAAAACCTTGTTCCTTGTTCTTCTTGCGTGTGTGTGTACATTATATAACGCTCATACTCCGAAGAACCCATTCTCTACTGCATCCATATACCTTTTTCTATGACTTCGACTCACTCGAGTTTCCTACGATCGCCTCTTGCCGATGCATTCACTTCCATGTTAAAGTCAAGTGGCTCATCATCGTCTCGTAACAGTAACAATGCCAACTCGTCCACCAATGCAACTTCGACTGCTGAACAACAACCATCCCAGCCCATCAACAAGTTTCCCACCCAGTCATCGTCGTCGTCGTCATTGTCCCTGAAACCTCCAACGACTGCTGTACCTTCCTCATCCGAGAAAAACATGGTTCCAGACACCAGCGTAACGGCACAACAGCAACCATCGTCTTCTTCGTCAAGAGGACCCGTATCGTCTCCTTCTACTTTTCAACGCAATAGCGCCAACAATATACCTCCTCGACCTTTATCCGAAGTCATTCGATCAGAGAGTCATATTTCTCCTGAAGGTAAGTTATAATTATAATGATAGGTCTTTGTATAGCACCGATCCTAATCCATCATGTAGGTGAAGCGTTGAGGAATCTACAAGAGTATGAGCGTAATTTAAACAGCATGGCATCGACCAATCTGGATACGTGGTTCAAGGACGACCTCGATCATGTGAACAAATGGTTCTCCTCACTCAATGATGTTGAACGAACCGCAACAGTATACGGCTTATTGCAACAACTCAACCGTGTACAAATCCGTTTCTTTATGACCATTTTACGCCAAATGGGACAAGAAGATCCAGTGGAATCCCTCTTATCGCCAGCGTATCCTGATAAAGGTAAGATTATCATTCGTGTATTGGTTATAGGTATAGAATGCTAATACAACGGCCCATCTTGATAGCCGATGTTATGCAAGCCCAGTTGGCTGGTGCTATGACCAAAGCTGAAATGGAAGCTAGTCAGAAGTTTATGTCTGTGTTACGACCCTATCGCACACCATCCTCTGCGGCAGCCGCAGCAGCCGCAGCAGCATCATCCATGAACCATCGTAGCAACACTGGCAATGGAGGACAAGGAAACATGGTGGATCATTATCGACATTCGTATGCTTTGGGTGAAGCGGATGAACAACATGCATTATTCAGCAGCAACAATCTTGGCAGCAATGACTTTTTATCACCAAGGCCAGCATCCGCTCATTTTGGTATGACAGTGGGTGATTTAATGCCTACATCGACATCATCATCAGCCTCTTCTTCAAGATTGAAACCTACCACTGCACCTACAAGTCCCTTGTTTGGCACCAATGCAAGACCAAGATCGGTGATCGAAGGCGATCTTTCATCCATCTTTAATGGTGGTGGAGCAGCAGCAGGATGGTCATCATTTGGTGTGGCAGGTGCAAGGCCACAAGGAGGAAATGGTGGTGGTGGTGGTGGCATGGTGGGCAGCGGTATGATGGATCATAGGACTGGTGGTCGACCCAAATCAGCAGACATTTCCAGTTGGTCATTTGGCCATCATCATAACAGCGATCCTCAGCAGCAGCAGCAGCAGCAGTCTCTTTCATCAACAGCCGCGGCATGGAACAATCCATTGTCCCCCACTCGTAGCACTTTTTTGGAACATGCCAAGACGATTGAACGACCCAACTCGGCATCAGATATCGATCATCATCAATACATGCGGAACAACAACTTTGGAAGAACCATGTTTCTCAATGATCCCAATGATAATGCTCGTCTCAATACGCCTCCTCCACGTAATCGCCGTCCAAATAGCATGATTATACCTGGAACTGTACCAGAATCAGATGAGCGCCAATTTGCCGATATTGTCCTATCCACTTATCATCCTTCGCCTATGCCACAAAAAAGTACAAGTGCTTCATTGATGGCTGCTGCCGCTGCTGCCGCTGCCGCTGCTGGTGCTGGTACAACGACTACTACGGGTACTACTAGTACAGCAACAGCTACTTCACCCATGTCAAACTATCGTCAACAACAACAACAATCATCTGCCATTCCCACGTCTTCCACTTCAGCTACACTTGCAACACCTTATTGGGATCATCAACCTGTACCTTCCCGAAGTGGCAACAATAGTACCAAACAACGACAAGGTGGTAATGCTGGCTATGGCCGTTTCTTGAATCCCAATGATTATCCACCTGAGGACTATCTTAGTGACCATAGTGAATCGTCGCACATGAGTGGAAGTCGCTATAATCATCGACAGCAGCACAACAACAACAACAACAATCAACAACAAGGAGGTGGAAGAAAGAAAATGTTTGGTCGTAGCAGCGGTGGAGGATCCTCTAGCAACAACAACAACAAGGAGAAAAAGTACACCGATGCTGTGGATATGCAGTTATTGGAAGGTGAGTTTCATTGTCGCGCGGAAATACTACAGCAACAAAAAGCTAAAACAATGACCATTAGATGTTCCTGCGTGGCTCAGGAGCTTGAGACTACACAAGTACAACCCAATTTTTGAGACCATGAAATGGCAGGAGATGATCCGGTTGGATGATGAAGCGCTGAGCGTCAAAGGTGTGGCAGCACTGGGTGCTAGAAGGAAGATGCTCAAAGTCTTTGACCAAGTCAAGCAGCATTGTGACAAGAATGTAAGGTGTTTTCTATTCTTTTTATTTTATCAATGACTAACTCAATTCGTGCTTGAAACGGCGTCTCATATGATGATCAATTGTTGTATTATGTTACTTAGAATATACCCTACTGAGCCAAATTACCCCGCCTCCATAGCCGCGGCTTTCTGTGCAATGCGCAGATGAGCACACGAGAGTATACACAAGTTTTTTCTTTCTTTCTTATTATTCCACTCAAGTTTTATTACCCTCCCCCCATGGACCTTTTTACACACAATGAACTACTTACACACATTGTAACCTTTTTCTTTGTTATCAATCAAAGTGATCCAAACAATCCAAATAGAAAATGTTCTGGAACTTTTATATAGGATGGTGATTGATGAAATGTGGATTGAAATGAACTGATTTTCGTATAGCCTACTAAAAAAAGAAACGTTGTGTATCATCATCCTTATATTATGTGCACCTGCGGGCGTGTGTGTGCGCTTCTTTCATTGTCCCACCATTATTGTCTCGTTCATTGCTGTCTTTTATGCCATTTGTCCCATGACATTTCCTCTTCTCATAATGATCACAAAGGTGACAACGACTGTTTTCGCCATTGTGTACATGATTGGCACTTTGGGTGTGATAACAACCATTAAAAGACTCCTTCGTCCCCCTCCACGGCGAGAAGCTTTTGGTACCCATATGAGCCGTGGCAGCAGCAGCAGCAGCTAGTTGTAGTAGTAGTATCATCAACGAACATCCGCGGTCTTACCGTCATCGGTATCATGATCTCAGCAGATCTCAGCATGAATCATGAAGAGGAGGCAGTGAAACAAACATATAGGCAATTCTATTACTCCGGATGAATGAAAATACCAATGAGAAACCAAGGATGGGGATGGGGATTGAAAAGTGTGGATGGGAGAATGAGTGACGAGTGCTTGGGTATTTCCATCAACAGGGCCATCAACCTTATCTGAGCATGAAAAAGGTATCCCAGGGATGGGATCCCGTCGATTCGGAAGAAAAAAAGAGACAAATTGTCCCATTCGATTATCAGCAGCGGCCTGGTGGCGATCTGCTCCTACCAAATCTCGTTTTGCTTTGTCAGATGAGCCATGCGTTAATGTCCCACGGATGGCAAACAAGCCTTGTCCCAACTCAGCCCACCAGGCAGTGCAATAGTGCGCGGGCGAATATCACCGATCCCAAACACCATTCAACCACTACACTCTTTGTCTCTCACTCGCTCACTCACTTGGCCCTTTTTGGAGCCGTTCATCGTGTCCACTCACACATCAACACAAGTAGGGGGATAAATATATATACCACGGAATTCCCTTTCTATTGAACTTTTTGATTTTCTTTTCTTCCCTTTTTCTTTTCTCCTTCACCACTTTACTTCTTTTTACCATTATCACATATCTTCAAACCACATTGCAACATACTCAGATCAGCACACATGTCCTTGTTTTCGAGCCACGTTTTACATATTGATTATATTCTTAACCCATCCGAAGGCGACTATGATGCCGATGACGAAGAACCTAGTTGTTGTAACAGCACTACCAACACCACCACCAGCAGTAGTAGCAGTAGTAGTAGTATGAACAATCCAACAACGTTACAATCAAAACACCAAAGCCGCATACCTTATCGTCGTCGTCGTCGCCACTCTACATCGTCACCGTATCAGCCAAAACGTAAATCCATGCGGTTGATGGCTGACAGTCAAAGCACTCTATCCAACGATACCACCTCTTGTCCTGCTTCATTTTCACCTTCAAGTACATCATCCACGTGCTCATCACCACCACCATCCACACCACCAGAGATACTTGGAAAGCAACAAGAAGAACAATCACTATGCGGTAACAATAACAGTAGTTGTAAACGCAACTATCAGCGTCATGACAAGTCGAAAATCGCCAAACTCTTGGAGATTTATTATGGGGAGAAACGCTCTGTACGAGTAGCAGCCAAGTTGGCTAGCATTCCACGAGCAACCGCGGGTCGGTATATCAAGGAAGCAGCCCTTTATCAACAACGACAACAACAACAAGATGGCAACAGCTGTAGTAGTAGTAGCCCTTCTTTGCCGCCTGATGATGAGACACAACAAGAACATGATATGAGGTTGGAATCCTCATCGGCTGCCGCATAAGAATCAAAAGGTAGGTAATAATGAAAAAAAAGTAGATACAATGAAACCCTTTGTTGACATGTGCTTTCGTTAGCAAGTGGCAGATCCAACTATGGCAATTCCAAATCCAATCAATCATCTTTTTCTTTTACCATGACCACATCTTCAAGCACCCCCTCTTTTATCTCCATCACGTGTATATGTATCTATGTGTGTGTGTGTGTGTTTGTGCGTATGTATATGTGTGCACCTCTTTTTTCATTAGCCACATCTTGTCGACGATAATCTCTTTTTACGCTTTTACATCTCCTTGGTCGTCGTCATCATCGCATCCTCTCTCTTTCCCTCTCTCTTAGCGTGTAAATCAATTTTCCCTTCATTCCTACAACTTGTATGTTACTATATGGTCCTCAACAAGCGAATGCTAATATATATCAACAATCGTGTCACATCAGCAATTGGTATGTATGGAATACCCAATCCTCGGCACCCCGACCGATCATGGGCGAAATGGGCCAGCGTTGATGAATCGTTCCGAAACGAGGGGATAGAGTGATGAGTTGGAGTGTACATAATCCCGCTGATGATAAACAACGAGACATATATCTTCATTATCGGTGAGCCCGGAGATTTCTCCCCGCTCGACGTTTCTGCATCGAAAACAGCAATCGATGGATTGTGAGTGGGTGTATATCGATATGACTTTTTTCACCACAACCCTTTTATGATACATGCCGAGCCACGTTAGTAGACTCTAATTTTTAGAGCGAACACAATCGTGGATCCATCTTCCATGTGCACACACCACCACCACCACCCAACAGAGAAAGAGTTGAGAAGGTGGTTGTTAATAAAGTTTTGGGGTAAAAGATATAGATTGTATATATACTTGTTGATTGGACTTGCATGACGCCACCATCATTGCTCCTCACTCGTCCTCCACCAAGCAACGGCCTTCCTCGAGTTCCACCCGTCTCGCTTTCTTTTTTTCTCTCTTGCTGTGGTTACACAGATCATTAACTCTCAAGTGTGCTGTTTTGTAAAACTGAGCACGTTTATCTCTGCACCACCCCACACCTTGTAATGTTGTTGACTAATCAATCCCTATTTTGTGTTCCTTGTGTACCACCCACTCGGATGTTGTGTGAATGGGTGTTCTTGATGTTTACTAACATGCCTGCTGGTGGCGCGCTTCTCACACACACTCTCACACTCCCATCAAATCCACCTTTCTTTATGTCATGATGGAGAAACAATGAATACCCGTGTTGGTAATAGAACCAATGATGATTGAAAGAACACGAGGCTTAAGCAAATGCCGACCCCAAGGATAGTAGAAAGAAATGGTACTTTAGAAAAGAGCATGTCACACTAGTGGGGGGAGTGGAGGAGATCCACTTGTTTCAAAAATGGATAAGAAATGGGACACTTCCTGCAAAACGGAAGTCTTTATTTTATGCCAAGAGAGAAAGCGAGATAGAAAGAGAATGCTATGTGTGAGACACATCATCCAACTCAGCAGCATGATGATGATAAGGGCCGTTGCCAAGAAAAGAAGATGGAAGGAAAAGAAACATCCATTCGGATGAATGGTGTGTATTCTACACGCTTTATTTGCATGACGACACACAACACACCTATTGTGGGACACTAGTACTATTACAAGTAGTCTATAGGCTGATCACGGTACAACATCATGTAAAGGTATACTTCGTATGCAGTAAATGGATCTTGTGAATAGAGTCGTTATGGATCTATTTGTTTGTTCACCACCAACAAGGGGATGAGAGAAATGCAAGTATGGCTACACATAGTCTTGGCTTCTTTTCACTGAGGATCCCAAATTCGGTATCGTTTCCGGCTGTGTGGATATCAAGTGCATAAACTCCTTCCTCTTCTTCTCTTCATCCGCTGATGCTCCTCCATCATGCCTCTTGATCTCGCTAGTTTCGATTCCGCTGCTGCACGCGTCGATCTCTCCTATAAGCATCGCGACAGTGCTGATCCCGCCATCGACCTTAAGCAGGTGGTGTTACGCCTTGATCAACCATTCTCCAATCGCGACTTGAGCATCACCACATCCATCCAGCCCCATGACGGCAAATCTCTTCCTTCAGGGCGTTTGCTCAACATCACTATTACAGCCTTGAAGCCTATTGAGCTTGTTCATTTTGAAGCAAAGTATCTTGTTGATTTGGATGGACAACGCATGCTTGCCAACGGCTTCCAGAGCTGGAGTCAAGCTCGTGAATATGAAGCGCATGATCGCATTCCAGCTATTCGATCCTCGGTGGCCTATTGGACTCAATACAACTTGCAGGGGTAAAGTGGAAAAAAAGGATGGCATGATGATCCGTGTATTGACAACAACATTGATCCATGATGTAGTGATTATGACTTTTTTCCACACTCTGGTGAGAAAGGCCATATCCATTCCAGCAGCTATACCCATTTCCGCGACGTCCAAAACAACGTGCGATTCTTTGGATCACTTTCAGAGCATCTTGGATACACCTACTTTAAGGCCGATTTCAACCAGAATACTTTGGGCATTTACAAGGATATCCTCGGCAAGCATGTTGACACCAATCAATCCCTCGAATTAGTACGCGTCTTGTTGGCTGAGGGCAAGGATGCTGAGCGGGCGTTGTGGGATTTATACGCGAGCTTCTTTCCGGATCGTCGAGCCCTTTCTGGTGACATGCATCATCTACGACATGTCAATGGATGGACATCGTGGTACAATTATTATGGCGACGTGAGTGAATCCATTGTGTTACAAAACCTCAAGGCTCTGCAAAAGCACCAATACCCCATCAACATTTTCCAAATCGATGATGGCTTTCAGACGGCGATTGGTGATTGGCTTTCCATCAATGACAAGTTTCCCAACAAACTTAAGCCTGTGGCGGATCAAATCAATGCGGCTGGATTTACCCCTGGATTATGGCTCGCTCCTTATGCTGTTGCCTTTACAAGCAAGCTCGCTGCCGATCACCCAGATTGGTTGATCCAAGATCCAACGACCGGTAAGCCTGTTGTTGCAGGTCCTAATTGGGGCGGATTCTATGGCTTGGACATGTATCATCCAGAAGCACGTGCCTATCTCAAAAAGGTCTTTGACACCGTATTACGTGAATGGGGATTTGGTATGGTCAAGCTTGACTTTTTATTTGCTGCTGCCATGATTCCACGATTGGGTAAGTGATATGAGAAGGTCGGCTTTTATTGGAGACTAATGATCGTATATAGGACGCTCTCGTGGTGAGATTATGTGGGATGCTATGCAATTTGTACGTGACTTGGCAGGACCCGATAAATTGGTGCTTGGATGTGGTGTTCCTTTGGCATGTGCATGGCGTAATGCTGATTATTGCCGTATTGGTTCAGATGTGGCTCCTTGGTGGGAAGGTAAAATGGATGATTAGAAAAGGGGAGGAGATCCATATATACTAAGAGTCCAAATAGATAGCAAGCTCAAGTACCTCCATGTACGAGAACGTGTATCGACAGCAAATTCATTGAGATCCACACTAAGTCGATGGCCCATGTCTGATCGTATGTTTGGCAACGACCCTGATGTGATGATTCTTCGTGACAACAAGAACAAGCTCAACCTTGAGGAACGATACACGCTATGTGTGCTCAACAATATTTTGGGTGCGCTCGTCTTCAGCTCAGACAATGTGGATGAATACGGTGAGGATGAGCATTTGCTATACAAGGCAACATTCCCCAAAGTGATTGCATTGGTGGACCGAGTGATCGAATTCCAACCTGGCGTATTCACGATTCAATTCAAGGCCAATGATTTGGGTGGTATGGCTCGAGAGTACACAACAATTGCCAATTTGTCTCGTGATGATAAGACTGTATACCTACCTCCTTCCTCGAATACGACGCATTTGCTCTTTGCCGCCGACAATCAAATCCACACGAGTCGCTTTGGTACCAATGGTGGCGGTTTATCGTCATGGCGTGAGAAACCATTCCCTCTCTTTTATCATCCATCATCCACCATCACTATCAAGAGTCATGAAACCAAGACCTTTATGCACATTCCACCTCCTCAGTCTTCGGGTGTTCTTTTCATGGGATCCACGAGCCATATTGTCCCTGGTGCAGAAATTGAGCATTTATCATGCAAAGATGGCACTTCAGTTGATCTCCGATTCCACAAGCAAAACACCCGCAAACATATGGTTTATTTGGCCATGGGTGATTACCTCTTTGGTGCCAAAACACCAGCAGCACCTGTTCCATCATGCACTGTCAATGGTGAAAACCCCAAATTTGAAATGATGCAGGTCAATGGATCGGGTGAAGGTCGACCACCTAGCAAAGTGCTTGTTGCTGTTGTCTCCGATAATGCATAGACATGTGATTTATTTATTCGAACAAGGACATCCCTATCTGTAAAGTATTTATGGCTGCAACACTGCAATAAAGCTCCTGCACAATATCATCTTATTCAAAGGCCTTGGGACTATGATTGGAATTCAATGTTTGGATGTGTCTAGTGATTTCCTTTGGGGAATGGGAAGCCGTTATCCGACCCCGTGGGGAGCTATGGTGGCAGGGAACATTGACGCGTGTGCACCATGTTTATCGATGAGAAGGGTGCTTTGACTTTTACTTTCTGAAACGCACAAACGTCTTACAGTGGCGGTACTTTTGACAGAGATGGCAGCATCAAAAAGGCGAAGAGAACGAAGGTCTGCAAGTCGATTGAAATCAGAGTTAGGGCTTGGTGATACGTATGGGAAAAGGGAATTGGTGTTCTCAGAATCCTTAAAGAGTACGGCGATTCACCTTGTATAGAATAAACTTGGCGATGCCTTGATTTGACAGCTATTTTTGATTGGCAGGAAGATCCATACATACGCATGGGCAGTAGGAACAACTTGTTAAGCTTTACCAACACATTTATGACGCCCTATACTTTGTAAACAGCACACTGCACACCCACATAGCATGCCTTCCACGATATATATATGAGAATCTATATAAAAGGAATCCATTTGCTGCTCCTCGTCGATTTCATCTAGGCAGCAGTTAAGCGATACCCGTAACGATCTCACGACATGCCGATGACACCTATTACAAGCACCCCCGCAGCTGAGAACAACAGCAAGATTCCACCTCTTATGAACAGCTTTCAGTTGTTTCGCCTTGAAAAGCAAAACGAGATTGTTGCTCGTTGCCCTGGTGCCAACTATCGTGATATTTCCAAGGTCATCGCAAAGTGGTGGAAGGAATTGCCTGAAGAGGAAAAGGAGCGTTATCGTGAACGCGCCCGTATCGCTAAAATCGAACACGCTAAAATGTAAGTAAAACTTGCATCTTTAAAGGCAATTTATTCCGTGAGCTGACATGTCATCATCATTATCATCATAGGTATCCTATTTACAAAAGTAGCCCACAAAGAAAAGGGGATATGAATAATGCGGATAGCAAGTTGTAAAGAAAGTCAATAAATTTGTTAACGATTCACATCATGATAAGGGAAACAAACGTACCTTAGCTGGTGCCGATCTTGATTTACGAGACTCTACGTGAGGCGAAGCGTATCAAGCATGATCATAAAAGAGACTGCAGTAATATCTGGCATGTGGCACCAAAAGTGGCAAGCGTCCAGGTACGCCATTTGGGGTCATCCCATCTAGTGAAAGAAGATACGGCACGTGATACTTTTGACTCTTGGCAAGAACAACAAAGATCACCAAGCTATAGTATACACGTTGATGAAGCCAACCGGGATTCGTAACAGAGTTTGTTGAGAGGTATATTGAACGCATGGTGGTATTCTTTTGCAAATACTGGGTCATTCTAACCAGTATTGGCGGCTTTTTCCATTTACGATGATTGTGCATAGGCGTTCAAGAAGCATACATTAGCATTTTCTCGGTACTATAATAAACGCACGATGTCATGTCACACACAGAGAATATTCTTTCATGCATGAAGGTTGTACGAAGAAAGCATTGTTACATGTGTATGTCATGGCTACTAGTAGTATTGGATAATTATGAGGTGGTACAATATAGAATATAGAGGGTATAGTAATACGAAGACAGCAATCATTGGTAATAAGATACAAAGAATGTTCACGAATGTTGAGGCGGTAGCGAAATGATTTTAAAGTCATCAATCTGCATAGTAATATTAGCGTGATGAGTAACGTAGATCCCACGTTGCCAATGACGACAACCTACCTTGCAAAACGTTCCACGTTGTGTGTTGGTATGAAAATAGCGATGCCCTTCCACTGACCCATCATTGCTCCCCACTACAAGCAACGTTGATGAGTAAGTACCAGACAAAAGTAATATCCAAAAGCATTTTCACTTACATCGATCCTCCAATTCCACGCCTACATAGGTTCCCAATGCAAAATGGACCTCCCCTATGTATCGAATGGTACCTCGCATGGGCAAGGGTCTTCTCAATAGCTCTACCTTGGCACCCAATACAGGCTCGATTGGTTTTTCATTCTGCTTTTCTTGTTCATGATCATTGTTGTCCATGTCATCCACGTTGCTATGCAACAACCAGCTATGACGCCACCAATGACCCAATTTGGCAATAGGGGATAAAGATGCCGGATCTGGAGATGCTGATCGACGACGCCGGCGACGACGTAACTTGTTAATGGCAATAGGACTACCAGCATGTGTATCAGGTGCACATCGTGAAGATACCATGGAAGCTGTGCGAACAATGGATGGCGTAGGTGGCGGTGAACGAGGTGGAATATCAGGTAATTCAAATCGTAAACGTGATTCTCGTTTGGGTGTCCCATTGTTTGTGGTTCTTGACACGGGTGTGGCTGAGGATGATCTTGTTGTATCACAATCAGATAATTCATCAATAATCGGTTCAGGTGGAAGTAAAGCGTCCATGAATGATGATGGTGATATAGGTAATGTAGGTAAGGGTGGTGATGGAGATGATGTGACAGGTGTGGTTGATGCAACGAGAGTAAAATTGCTGCCATTTTCATTTTGTCGTGGTGGTAGTTGTGGAGTTTCTCGACCAATGCTGCTTTGATGTGCTGCTGGTGTTGTTGTCCTTGGCAAGGTATCATGCGAATGTCTACCGAATCCAGTAAAAGAGAGTCGACTCTGCGTAAAGCCAATAGCACCGCTAAGTGAATGTCGATGCATCTCCTTTTTGTTGGTGGTAAAAGTGGAGGACAGCCTTTTGCTTCCAAACCAGTGCTTGATGCGGCTGTCGATGGATTTGGTCAAGTTGCGATAGGGTACATCAATGTCTATAATATATTAACCTGCATTTTAGTCATATGAGATGCATACATATATATCCAACTCCCTCCCTTTTCAATATGTACCTTCCGACAACTTCCTCAAAGTCTCTCTATCAAGTTTGGAGAAGCCGCCATGCGCCTTTACTTCGAGCCATCGTTTGGAGAGATAGGCTGTGGATTCATTTTTGGCGTCAAGCAAAGCTGGATGATCATCAATGGCTTCAAGTCGACCCACAAGATCACGTACGATTCCTTGATAAATTTCCCCTGCATTCGAGTCATTCATCCCCTGCTGTACAACACGCGTTAACAAAAACTCCATAAAGTCAGCAGCTGCGTTGTGCTTTGATTGTTGCCGAGGGAAGATTCGTCGCCCAGCAGAAGCAGCGACCACCTTGTCGACATAGGATAGAAGAATGGGATACTCAAAGCAATAAAAGCAAAAGTCGTTTGATATCATTTGTACAGCGCTATCCATAAGCCGATGAATGACCGGTAAAGCGGGATGATTGCTGGTGGTGGCACTTGTACGGATATTGCCGCTGCCACGAATACGTTGCAAGCACATGTACAAATGTTCAAGCCATTGAACAGCCGTCTGCTTTTTGATGTCGATATGGGATTCAAGCTCGTTGACATAGGAAGGTGCATAGTCGAGGAGCACAGCAAAGTACTTGGAAGGCCAAAGAAGAACAATGGATTGGGGTTGATCGGTATAAAGCGTGAGCAAGCTCGATCGTAAAGCTGCACATGCTTTGTGTTGAGTCTTGTATTGATCAGCAAACCACCACATGAAGGGTAATAATGCTACACAGTCGTTGCATACGCATTTGTATTGGCCACGGAATAGGGTTGCCATGGCGTCGAGGATGGCTGTGCATACTGTTTCATTGGGGCTCATGTAATCTACACCACGAAATGCATCATGTAAGAGACGAAGCATTTGTTTCTTTCGAGCAAGTGAGATCTGGTGGTGTTGATCACGTGGAAGATACAATCGTGTCGTGTTGATGTGATAATAATAGCTGAGAATGACACGAAAGGCTGATGCGGAGAAGATGTCGCCTGGCAAATGCACAGTGGGGCTGGTTGCTTCACTGAAATCCTTGCAGAACATGCCATAAAAATAGGATGATTGCGCAGCCAAGATGCATCGGTGTATTGGAAACGAATGCGTCATGTTGTTGTTGGTTTCATTCCCTGCATTGGTGGTGGATGTTGTATTGGGGATATGTACCACGACATCAGCTGCCAAGTGCTGCTCATACATGGCCCTTATATCAGCCACTAACCGCTCCATTGGGTCCTCAGATGTCAATGCAAGAAGCGGCACTCCCAAATAGTGTTCATGTTCCTGGATCGACTTTATAATCTCGGATCGCTCCATGAGATCAAATTGGTCCGTTGCAAGCGAGGATGATAGGGTGCTTTGAGTACTTGTCAATGATAGACTTGAAGGGTACGATGATGCTGCTGATGATGATTTGTGCTCCGTTGAAGGAGGAAGTGAAAACTCGGCGGTGTACCAGAATCGGAGAAGTTGCTCCATTATGCCGTAAGGAACAATCGGTGTGCTGTACAAGGTGACACCAGCTCGACAGCTTGTGGCATCAAGAACGAGTCGTGATAAATACTTGTTGGTGAACGCTTGTGGTGCTCGTGCAAGAATAATAGCTACATTGAACCAAAATGAATAAACGCATTGCTGATCCCATGTTCAAATCCCCCCACCCTCCTCCATTCATACCGCGATGCGCATAGATCTTGCCCTGTGGGTATTCGAAACAAACGTCTGCAACATAATGGCGCGGCTGCTCAAGTAGCTTTCGCAACACAGATTGTAAAGTTTGAGGGGGAGTGTGGAACATCAAAAAGATGTGTGTGAAAGAAGGAGGTGAATGAAAAAGTAAAAGTAAAAGAAAGAGAGAGAGGGAAGAGGGGAGTAGCAGGAGTAGTGGCGCGCATAAAAAATCGGATCCAACTTTGTAGTGATGGTGCCTCATCGTCCTCGTTGTCCTCCTCCTCCTCCTCCTCTTGCATAGGGTGGGCATTGTTGATTTGGTGTGGGTGTCAGGCTAACAAACCATGATTTCTTATGTGGGGAACAGGCTAGAGATGCATATTCTCCCTCCCTTGCATACATCCAATCGTATTATTCCTTTGTCGGATGCTTTTTACTGCTGCACACATCTCCTTCCTTTTCCTAATGTAGCACAACTAAAAAGTAATCTTTCACAACCATACTCACACACTCACACTCACACTCACACTTTTCTTCTCTTTTGAAACCATCCAGTCTCATCTTGGTGATATAACAGATATGCGCATACCCACCCTTTACTCGCCTTATTTAGTCATTCAGCTCATGTGCAAGTGATGATAGCAACTTCCGTGGTTGTCTGGCATGTGGTGTGATGACGATGATGATAGTTGTCTTTTCGTGGGATTGGTCAACAGAAAACCGGGAATGATTCGGGTTCGGCAGATTATTGATTGATCACTAGAAATCATCATTACCACTATTCCATCATTAAAAAATGACTCTTTGTGTGCGTGTGTATACATGTAGTTGTCATGTGCTCAAGCTTTATATAGGCGTTGCTCCGGATGGATTGCTTCTGCAAACGTGGAAGAGGACATGATAATTTTGGTAGTGGCCATGTGCCCAAGGTCAAATGAAGTAACTACACCATTTATCTTCTACCCTTCAGGTGCACAACAATATAAATGATGATGATGCCGATCATAAAGGAGAACCCAAAGTGTTTAAGACTAACATCAACATGCCATCTTGTCATTGTCATTTGTCATACCCTATCGACGTAATGTGTAAAAACACTGGTGATGCTTGCAATGACGATGGATGTTTTATTGACCTTTTGCCATATACGGCCATTATCAAGTTGCCCATGTTTGTATGCATATCTCACGCTCATATACGCACGTCTTAATGCATCCATCCATGATGAGGCATGTCGAACCTTTACTATTAAGCAGGCGAAGATCTTCCTTTTGAAAGAAAAAGGCATCTCTTTTATTTTTAAAATGAACGTTGTTCTTTGTCCGAGGTGGCTGAAAATGGCTGGTGTTAGCAGCACGATCATTGTGCTTGAAGAAACAACAAAGGCACAGCTGTATGCATGCACCTCCCGGTACTAGTACTCATGGATATTACTGTGCTGAACAAACATTTATGCACTTGATACGTGAACATGATTGCTCACTCAGCCCTGCACGTTGTTGCCAGTGCAATGGATCTTCGTTCACACAACCCACTTTTTCGTATAGCAGTACCAAACAATGTTGATGCATGGTTAGATCATCCATAATGGTGATTGGTTACGTGAAAAATGTATAAGGTAACAAAAGGCAATACATAGTACTATGAGACGGATGTTTATTATGAAGACGTGTGGCCCTTCTTTATATCATCAAGTATCAGAAACTATCATTGCGGGATAAGATTGTCCGGATGTCCGAAAGATGCGGCATGAGCAGGAATAGAGGATGCTCTTGATCACCGTCGCCTTGCAAGAGGACCTTCCTTGATGGTAAATCACAGGAAGAAAGGCAACAAAAGAAGGAGGGTTTCATCCGTAAAGCTGCCACCGATATCCTTGATGCCATCATCCAGTTGAATGGTTCGCGCGCCTTCGAGTTTTCGAGCTCCAGAATACACCAAAAAGTCCCCAACCTCCATCAACATCGAGGCACCATGTCAAGCTGGATCAAATACGTGAGGATATGCTTCGTCAGGCAGGATGTACATGAACTTACCTCATCACAACAGCAATCAAGTATCATAATGACAACCACGACAATGAAAGCTCGATAACAAAGAAAGGCTAAAAATGACCACAAAGATCAGCTTCAACCCACAATGTTGCAAAGTGATCATCCATCCAACTTACCGCAGGAGTGTTACCGGTGACAACCTCGTTGCTATGAATGATGGTGCATACGCTGATAATCGTACATGAGCTGATAAGTGATAGTGCATCTACACCAGGCGTATGTCTGATTCATTATCAAAGAGGTGTTGATTGCCCTTGCATAAACCGCCAACTGATAGGCATGAGCCCCTTACAACATGGAATCAAGCTCATTGACGTCCGTTTCCCTTGAACATTGCTGACGATTGCTACCTCGACGTTGTTGAAAAAGTGGTGTACGCTCCATGACCATGCGACAAAACAGTACTCATCGGTGACATCGGTCAACGTTGAAAAGGGACAAGCGCAAAGAGTAAACCCCGATCTTTTTGCAGCGGTCGATCCAAGAATACACTGCTACAGTACATGTCAATGCGAGATAGCTCGAAAACTCTAGATCGTTACCCTAGACATTGTCATCAATACATAGACCTTCATACAGCGTAGGTAGTCGTTAACAATAAACCGTTAGAAAGTTACGTTAACATATGAAATACGCGTCCTTGCTTTTCTTCTAAACTTTGGGATGTTGCAAAAGGCGGGACATATCCTGGCTACCATTTACTCAATGAAAAGGCACATGCATACTAGCTCCTTTGAGCCTATGTTGGGTGAATACCTTGATGGTATAGTCAAATGATGGCATTATCCATCGAGCCTATTCCTATTTCCTTCCATAAACATCATCAGCCACGTCGCCGTGATACTTGTTCGAACCATAACGTTGGTTCTTGTCCCCACTTATATAATATCTTCGGGCATGAATTTCACCGAATTCGATAACAAACAATGGTTATCATGGATAAGCAGCACACCCCTAAGCATATCGCCATTACCATTGCTATGAAGAACTGGAGACTACTTTTACACCACGATGGCATATCTTCAACAGCATACAACCATTCTTCAAACTATGTATTGATGCTCTTGACATTACCCGTATACATGAAGCATCATGTACGTGACAAGCAACATCAATTTCTGGTGATGAAACCACGTGCAATCTGGATGAATTTGCTATACAGCTTTGTGAAGAGGCTGAGGACGCCATTGTCAAGTCGCGGATATGACACCCTGTAAATCCGTTTGCTGTAGCACTGATCGCTATCCGGCACATTATTTCAATGGATGGTGGTACTAGAGGTGACAGGAACGCGATTATATATGGCAAACACCGAGATTCTTTATACAAAAGGCAAGTGCGTGGTGTTGAAACCCGTCAATCTCAGAGGAAGTATCAAGGAACCAAGGGAAATTTACCTTTTCCTTGGCAAAACGGCGGTAGTTCATTATATGAGAGTCCAAATCAATATATGGGTTGAGCATGGTAACGTGTGCTGGCTCACGGGATTACGGTGGACACCGATTTCAAATATAAAATGTAAGCCTTTTGATGGTCATTCACGTAAATTTTAGAAGCCTCCTTACCCTCTGCCCCGGTATCCATGTCTACTCTAATTTCTTTTCTCAAAGACCAGAATATCATTGCTCTCTTAAAGAGCTCGAGTCGTGTTCAACAAGGTAGCATAGCACGCTCAATTACCATCCTTTCTCTTGCCATTGTCCTAGGTAGTTATGCAGTACATCGGGTATGTGTAATCATCACGAAAATGAAATCATCATAGCCCATCATCATGTATATTGATTCAACCCTTGTTGCATGGTTTCCTAATAGCTTCGATTGCACTCGAAGGAGCACGGTACACCTTTGGTGCCTTACTTGCTCCCTTTTGTGGGTTCATCAAAGGAGTTTCGAAAAGATCCAAGGGCATTCCTTGACAAATGGACCTCCAAATATGGGCCAGTGTTTCGAGCTCATCTTTTTGGAAGAGTATGTGAAGATGTACATACATTAATTGAGAGGACACGGCACATCTAACATAAAGGTGAATAGGTCCACACGGTGGTGTCAGGTCGCTACGTTCGTGAGGTGTTCCTAAACAATGACTTTAACTTTGAAGCAGCTCTTGGAAAGGTAGCTTTCAAAATGTGTGATGCTTTTCATGAACAAGTAGACTCATCATAATGAATGCCGTACAGACCTTTGATTTATGGCTATTGACGGATTCGACGAATCAAGATTTAATAAACACCCCAAAGCTGCGTAGCCTGGTTACGAAGAACCTGGCCGTGGATGTAAAGCAATATACACCCCGTGTTGTGGAGCATGTAAGTATGAGCGTCACCTGCTCCCAAATACCCAAAGCATTCGATTCACACATAACGTACTTTCAAAGTTGACTATTGCAGCTCACGAAATGCTTGGTGATATTGAAGGTATGCTTTCATACATCATTTGATGCCATTGATAGCGTGTCAAAAAGCTCACCACGCGTTACTGCCTATTATTTTTCGATGTATGTAGGATCGAAAGAAATTCCACACTTGTATCCCTTAATGCAGCACATGGTGGCTATAGCTGGTGCATCCATTTTCGTGGGCCCAAAGCTTGCCAAAGACAAGGATCTCGTTGATACATTCAAAAACCTTGCTATTGACATTGGAATGGAAATCGGACCCAATAATTACTTTTATGAAGCGTTCCCTACGCTTTCCCGAATGCGTCAATGGTATCTGGGCAAGTACGGCAAGGCGATCAACAAGCATAGGAAGTACTTGTATCGTGCATTGTCGCCCGAGATTGATGCAAGACTCGCGAAAATGGAAAAAGGAGGCGATTGGGAACGACCCGTGAGTAGCAGCTATGATACGACGTTGATACACTATACCATGATGCTGACATTGCATAATACCAACAATAGCAAGACCTCCTGCAATCTCTTATTGAAGCACGCAACCTCACTTTAGCAGATCCAGAACGCCATACGTTGGCAGTGCAATACTTTTTAGCCTTAGTGTTTGCCTCGATTCATACAACCAGCGAAAACGCTACGATTACCATGTACCGCCTTTTACAGCATCCCGAAGCCATCGAGCCTCTATTAGAAGAGCAGCAACAAGTTCTTGAGAAACACTATGGCCCCAACTTTGATGACAGCGACATGACCAAGTTGTTCACTGGTGAAGTGGTTAAAGACTTTACCAGGCTTGATAGCCTTTGCCGTGAAACGATGCGTGTCCGCAACTTTTATCTCGAGCTGCCTCATACCTACCTTGGAAAATCGCGCTTCACCATGTCAAATGGTGCCGTCATTCATCCTGGTAAGCAACAAGAATGATCCAATGGATCATTGTACGTATCATGCTAATCATCATGGGCATACTACAGGTGATGATGTGATCATTAATGCTTACACAAACCATACCAATCCCGAGATTCAATGCGATGGTGTTGGTGATTATCATGAATTCAAGCCTTTCCGTTTTGTGGAAAAGGGTCGCCAAGCAACAAGAGTTGGGGATGACTTTTTGTTCTTTGGTCAAGGACAACATGCTTGCCCGTAAGTCTATGACTACTTTTCCCCCACTACCATTGAAACGTTTCTCACAAAAAGTTGCACTCTTAGTGGACGTTGGTTTGCAATGCAAGAAACGAAAACGATCATTTCTTTTCTTATTCGGCACTATACTATGACTCCCAAGGATGGCATTACATTTACCACGGGGCATCGAGAAAACACACCCATGGGACAAATCATCTTTCAAAAACGACAATAATAAAGGGACACATCCTAGACACCATTATCTCAATGAATGAAATCATGGATGACAGCTTCTTTTGGATCCTCAGCGTGTATACAGCTAGGTGAATCACTTGATGACATTGTATGATGGCATACCCACCATGGATCCCATCTTATTCGCATCTTCTTACATCAACATCAGCCACGTTGTCATACTTGTTGGAACCATAACGCTGGTTCTTGTTTCCTTTTTATACAACAAACATGTCCGAATTTGTTAACAAACAAAGGCTATCAGGCACCAGTGCAACCCTCATCATCATAGCTAATACGGCCTAGAGACTACCCTTTTGCATCCTTGTGGCATGCTTTCAATTCATAAGCCAATTCGACTCGTGGCCTGCTGTGATCCTCTTGTCCATAGCTGGTGTTTTGGCATTGCATATAGAGCGCTATTGCATGTAGCAAGCATCCCCTTATACGAGCCATAATCATTTTCTGGTGATGAAACCACGTGCAATATCGAGGATGTTGCTCTACATCTTTATGAGAGGCTGAGGACATCACCGCCGATTCGCGGATATGACACCTGGTAAATCCGCCAGCACCAGCATGCGCCCATTGTTGTATCACTCGCTGAAATCTGGTAAAACGTTTCAATTATGGATGTTACTTTGGTTGTGAGGAATTCTATAGGTTGCTAGATTATTAGGCAAAGTCCATGGATGGCAACACCGATATAGGACTGGGCCGACAATCAGTGTTCTTATCTCATTCACGGGGAGAAACCCGTGACAGATGGCAAAACGGCGATGGAGGATAAAATTCTCTATGAGAAAGCTATTGGATTGCATGGTGGATGATGGCGTGTGGCTAGTCCAAGTCGCGCTCTTAGTTTAGAAGGGCCCCAGTTACAAGTATAAAATGTGGGTGTATTGATGGGAGATCACACAAATTTGGAGCTCTCCTTACCACTGCTGCTGTATCCATGTCTACTCTTGTCTCGTTTTTCAAGGACCAAAACATCATTGATGTCTTAAAGAACGCAATTCATGGTCAACAACGACAAGGCACCATTGCACGCTCAATGACCATCCTTTCTCTTGCCGTTGCCATAGCAACTTATGCTGTGCATCGGGTAATCCATTGCGTATACGCGTACAATAATCACAACATAAACGAATGATGATTGCCTCGTGTATTATAATGTAGATGCGATTGTATTCAGTGAAAGAACATGGCGTTCCTTTGGTTCCTTACGTATTGCCCTTTATTGGCTCTTCACCCGAATACCGGAAAGATCCTAAGGCCTTCCTTGATAAATGGACAGCCAAATTTGGTCCCGTGTTTAGGGCTCATATTTTTGGAAGGGTATGCCAATGTCAACTTGAAGGCGTGTACATTGGAAAGGCTTGTTGACAACATGAATGAATAGGTTCACACCATTATTTCGGGACTCTATGTTCGCGAGGTGTTTCTCAATGACGATTTTAGCTTTGAAGTGGGGATGGGAAAGGTTAGGGATATCATGTATGAGATGTTAGGAGCTTACCTTCTTATTGAATTTCATGAATTTAGACTTTTGACGGGTGGTTGATCACTGATACAAAGAAATCAGAGTTGTTCAATACTCCTCTTGTTCGAAGCGTGGTCATGAAGCATCTTGCAGTGGATGTAAAGAACTATACACCACGTGCAGTGGAGCATGTAAATACGATTGAATAAGCACAATGGGTGATTTACTCAGCGTTCTCTATAATAGTTGGCCATTGCAGCCCATGAAATGCTTGACAATATGGCTGGTATGTAAGCTACGCTCAGTGATATCATCCAAAGGTTCATGAAATTTCGCTTTTACGTAGAATCAAAGGAGCTACCACACCTGTATCCTTTAGTTCAGAACATGGTAGCTAGGGCCATTGCTTCCATTTTAGTGGGCTTAAAGCTTTGTAAAGACAAAGAGCTTCTTGAAACATTCAAAAACGTTGCCGTGGATATCGGCTCGGAGCTTAATCCCGATAATTACCTTTACGAAGCGTTTCCTACCATTTCCAGATTACGACAATGGTATTTGGGCAAATACGGCAAGGCGATCAATAAGCATCAAGAGCACATGTTACGTGTATTGGGGCCCGAAATTGACGAGAGGCTTGCTGCTATGGAAAGAGGAGACGACGAGTGGGAAAGACCAGTAAGTTATGGTGATGATGTCTTGATCCAGCACACGTGCTTGACTCAAAGGCAACAATCATTTAGGAGGACATCTTGCAAGGAGTTCTCGAAACCGCCAAGCTCACCTCGGATCATCCACAACGCTACATGATGCCAATCAAATGGTTTTTAATCTTGGTGTTTGCATCGATCCATACAACTAGCCAAAACACAACCGTCACCATGTACCGCCTTTTGCAAGATCCCAAAGTCATTGACGAGCTATTGGAAGAACAAAACCAAGTATTTGAAAAGCATCATGGCTCTAATTATGATGATCACGATATCACCAAATTGCTCACAGGTGAAGTGATCAAGGATCTTGTCAAACTTGACAGCGTATGTCGTGAAGCCATGCGATTCAGCAGCTTTTATGCTGAGCTTCCTCATACCTATATTGGAAAATCTCCTCTTACCATGTCGAATGGTGCTATCATCAACCCTGGTATGTAAACAAAGACCACCAAGTTTTGGGGTCATTGTCTTTGTGTGTTTATTGTATGCTAATATGGAAAGTGTACGTAGGCGATGATGTTCTAATCAATGGGTATGCAAACCATCACGATCCTGACATCCAAATTGATGGGGGTGGTGACTATGCTGAATTCAAGCCATTCCGCTTTGTGGAAAAAGGTCGTCAATCAACAAGAATTGGGGATGATTACTTGATATTTGGTCAAGGAAAACACGCTTGCCCGTAAGTTTATGTATCCATAAATGCCATTGTAACGTTTCTCAAAACATCGATTATATATAGTGGACGTTGGTTTGCAATGCAAGAGATGAAGACAACGATATCATTTCTTATTCAACAATACATCATCACTGCCAAAGGAGACATCACATTTCTCAAAGGTCATAGACAAAAGATCCCCATGGGGCAAGTCATTTTCCAAAGGCGACAATAAATGTAGTTTATAATTTTGATTGATTCTAATCTAAAGATGATCCATGTTGATGTGAGAGGGATCATTGCCATGGCAATCACGTGATGGTTGGGAGGGGGAGTTGCTGGGATTTATACGTCGTGGCGCCATATCTCTGTGGGTAGGTCTGGTGCCATTCCCCCACTTCTTTATATACACGTTATGCCGGAACTCACGGAACAAGAGAAACTCGAACGACGACGCGAGAAACGCAAGCAAAAGATTCTTGCTTCAGCAGAGAACCGATTGAATCGCATTACCGGCACTGCTTTTCGTAAGTAGAAAAGAACGATCCCTTGATAACAAGTAGTAGTGGGTCAGCTTTTTTACTTATGAGTATGGGGGCTATAGCCAATCGTCCATCACCTACCCCGTCGCCATCCACATCGACCTCGTCATTGGCACGTTCTGAAACACCACAGCGCAGGTCGCGATCGCCTTCTCCATTTATGGGTCCCAGTACTTCTTCCGAGACGTTACGCCATCGTATGCCAGCATCGTCGCGATCAGTGGATCCTTCAGCCGACCCAAGTGAAGCACTCGGTGCGCCGTCACCTCTTCCACCACAACCGTCGCTTGGATTTGCCAGTACAGATACACCTTTGCCTCCTTCACTTGAAGCCATGTTTGCCAATGCTACTGGTGCTGGTGGTGATGGTAATACACCCCCACCCAATTTGAACGACTTGCTCGGTGGTGCTGGTGGACCCTTCCCTTTCAATCCTGCATTCCTCGCTAATATGCAACAACAACAGCAACAACAACAACAAGAATTACAACCCGATGATGGATCGGCAAAATATTGGACGCTTATTCATTTTGTCAGCATGGTCTGGCTCGGATTATATGCCGTCTATAGAGAATGGTCTGCAGAAGGTGTACAACGATTTGCAAGTTTGGTCATGGATGATCAAGCTCGATATGCAGCTGTACAATTGGTAAGTGATGGTCATATCCCAATTGTGTATCGTGGTGGTTATCTAACACGCACATGAAGCCTTTGTTCTGGTACTTTATTACGATCGAGTTATTACTACAAACAGCAAGGATGATGTATCAAAAGGTATGGTTATAAAAGGAGGGAAGGATGGTTTATTAGGAGGAAGAAGGCGTTAATGGGGTTGATCGATCATGGTAGGGCAATACTAGCAGTACATCGATGGTCATGTCGGCGATTATGCAATATCTACCACCTCAAGTAGCCAATGGACTTAATGTGTTGATGCGATATTGGATCATCTTTTCATGTCTAATCAAGGATTGTCTCGTTTTGGTGTTTATTATTGGACTAGCAGAGATTGTATCAGCCGTGTTAGCCAGATGACAGAAATAAAAAAGGGGGATGGTTCTAAATGAGAAATGCTTTTATGGTGATGCTTGGAAGACCTTGTCGCAAATGGTGTCGCTTTGCATGGTAGGGATATCGATGGTTTTAGATCCTCGTTCACCTATACCCACACATAATAATAAGTCCAATATCCTTCATTCTTGTTACTACTACTCACCAAAATGAATTGTCACGGATGGTTTGGTTGCTGGGTCAGCCGACTTGAACACTTCAAATTCGACGTCAGGGTTGTTGTATTGCATACGTGGAAGGTTCTCTTGTAAAAAGTGCCTGATAAAAAAGTAAATCCATCCATCAATATCGTACTCTCGTACATGCGTCGTATATATAAAAGGTGTAGGGTCAAGGTGTCGTGCTTACTTTGCACCAGCGCACTCGGTCTTGCCCTTGAATGCATAAGCAAGCGAGATTTTGGTCACTTGGGGTGAGAGCTTCTGAGCACCAGAACCGGATTGAAGTTTGCTGACGATTTCACGGGCGGATTTCAACGATCGTAGAGACATGGCTGTGTCAGGGTCAATGTATGTAAAGAGTGTCAAAAAGAGCGGGGCGACAATCGACTTCCAATATGTTGTGTGTTTGGCAGGTGACTGCCTCCCATTCAGCTCACCATCCTCCCATGCTATCACCATCCAACATGCATTACTTTGAAACTTCCCCTTACATTACTGTAAACATGAGCTACAACTATTCAAGTATGATGCAAATCAAGCTTGTTACATGGCACTTTTTGAACATTCTTACATCACGTGATGGAATTACGGAGAAGAGGCCTTCCTGGCTGCTGGCATTCCTCTCACGTGACATTTATTGTAGGAGTCAAAGGTGTACGATTAGGGTAAAAGTGATATCCAGAATGTCATGTATAATAGACAACGTGATAATAATTCATCATCCCACACATTCAATGATCAAGCACATAACATTTAATCTTTGGAAAGAATTGATTTACGCAAGTCGATAATGTGTCACATAAGTGGGATAACATGTTTAACCACCAAAACCGTAGAGAGTGCGGCCTTGGCGCTTGAGAGCGTAGACAACATCGAGAGAGGTGACAGTCTTTCTCTTGGCGTGTTCTAAAGACATCCAACGTTACTATCAAAGATGGCAAAGATGATGAGGAGGTATCATTTGCTTACCAGTGTAAGTGACAGCATCACGGATGACGTTCTCCAAGAAGACCTTGAGGACGCCACGGGTCTCTTCATAGCTATAGGTGGACCATGTCCATATGAATAAAGTGTTTATTGAGTCAAGATGTATCACTTACATGAGACCAGAGATACGCTTGACACCACCACGACGAGCGAGACGACGAATAGCAGGCTTAGTAATACCCTCTAATCACATGGATGTAAGCTTACTATCATAGAGTGAGAGAAGAAAGGAGCAGGTATACTTACGGATGTTATCACGAAGGATCTTACGGTGACGCTTGGCACCACCTTTACCGAGACCTTTACCACCTTTACCACGTCCAGTCACTACAACTAATGTCAGTGTCTATTGGAAGGAATCAACGTCCATTGCACACTTACTTTTGAATGCAGATGAAGGAAAACAAGAGAAGAGCAGTGGCATCCGCCCTTCAAGTCCCCTTCTTTAACACACGCGCGTCCATTTCGCCTCCCGCAAACAAACATGCCTGAAAACATTGAAACGCGCGTGCGTCACGCGTTAATCGTACTCAACTCTTTTTCCTCCCCTTTTCAAACATGGCTCGTACCAAGCAAACTGCTCGCAAGTCAACTGGTGGTAAAGCTCCTCGTAAGCAACTCGCTACCAAGGCTGCCCGTAAATCAGCACCTTCCACTGGTGGTGTCAAGAAGCCTCACCGTTACAGACCTGGCACTGTCGCCCTTCGTGAAATTCGTCGTTACCAAAAGTCCACTGAGCTCTTGATTCGCAAGTTGCCTTTCCAACGTCTCGTTCGTGAAATTGCTCAAGACTTCAAGACCGACTTGCGTTTCCAATCCTCGGCTATTGGCGCTCTTCAAGAAGCATCCGAAGCTTATCTTGTCTCCCTCTTTGAAGGTAATCATCATCATCACTTTGCTCACAACGCAATATACTTACTCATGCTACTCTTGTTAGATACCAACCTTGCTGCTATTCACGCCAAGCGTGTTACCATCCAACCCAAGGATATTCAATTGGCTCGTCGTCTTCGTGGTGAACGCTCTTAAACAGCGACCTATTCTACTTTTGATGCTCTTGTCAATATCAAATCTCCTGTTGTATACATTGTATCTTTTTGCATGTGGTTGGGATGGATGATTGGGATCAATGGTGTCATTTGAGGCTATCTAAGGGTCGGCTCTTTTGAGAAATCACGTGATGCGTGATGGAATGGTTGCATGATGGATGATGCTGAAATCAAATGACGCAAAAGGGTGTGAGAATACGAACTTGACTCGGTACTTTTAGTTTCACATCAAAGGATGTGATGGAAAGCGATGATGTTAAAAAGGGCATTCTTTTTTCTTGCTCCTTCTCTTATCATCCACAATCCATATTGCTACGTAGCAAAATCCTGTCAGCGAGCAGATCCCACCATTGACCACCCTGCCTCTACACTATCATGTGTATGCTATATACTTGATCACGTTCGACTGCACTTGGCTTTTCAAAGACGTGGAATACATTGTGCCCTTTCATTCTACGTCAGCTGCGTTCTTTTGCATTCCATACAAAGTGACGCTTGCACTAGTAGAACAAGATTGATGCTGCTCAGGCAATGGTATCCCGTACTCCTCGATGCCATTCCACGAGCATACATATCATTATCCTACATACCCTGCCCTTGGTTCAAAAGCATCAAGGTTTCATGCATTAAGGAATGTTGTATTACATCAAAGTACTCTTATCACATTCTAACTCCGTTTATGTTCTCTCATAGGTCCTCATAAACAAGCTTGCTTCCTTGGAGCCATCCACCCATCACCCATTTGCAATCGCTTTTTCCATATTACACAAAGTACACTGATCACATTCCTCTCATTCCAACCACACATCCTGTTACTGGCATTGTATTCCCCAAGATGACAATAAACATTACATGATCCCACGATATTATAAAGAGGTATACAAATGGCATCCGATAAGTATAGTGATCGTTGTTGGTTTCAAAGCGGACCTGGCTCGCAGACCGAATGGGCACAGTCATTCAATGATATGCTCCCAAAAGTTAATGTGACAAAAAAAAATGCGTGAATAAATGTATAAAACTAGTAAGACAATTGGAGAAGAAGACGAAGGGAAAGAGTATAACAGGTATGAGTTTGGGGGTGTGGTGGGTTGTGTTTTAGTAGAGGGAAGGAAAGGTTACAACAACAACGGGCCCTTTAAATATCAGCAATATCAACCTTGCCGGCCTTGATCTCATTTTCCAGCTCTTTGAGTAAGGCATCATCATCATCTTGATCGCCACGATAAGCACGAACGGGACCAGGCTTGGGAGTAGTGCTGGATGTCTTTTTCAATGTAGGCATTTCAACAGGACCAGGTGGCAATACACGAATGGGTGGTGCGTTTGCTGGATCCTCCTCATGTTCCTTCTTGCGAGCTTCAGCTTTTTGAATAGCAGCCTTTTCTTCTTCGGTCCATTCACGTTCTGCAGCTGGTTGCAACAAGGTCTCTAACGTGTTCTCTTCAACGCTCTTGGATACATCCTCGAATTGCTAAGCAAAAGAAAAATGTCAATCATTTGCTTATCCACCACCGTGTCATACTTACACCACGATATTCACCACCCACAAACAGCTGTGGCACCTCCTTTGCACGACCTTCATTGGATCCATTATTGTTGCATCGTTTCATGTATTGAAGAGCAGCTTCGCTTGAGGCCACGTCCACCAATTCGTACTTGATGTCATTGGTCTTGAGCAATTGGATCATTTCTTCCTGCTTACGCTTGATCTAATGACACGATCATGATTAAAATCCACGCTTTTCTTATCCCTTTAACATTATCTTACCACTGCATTGCCGCTAACAGTCGAAATGTACACTTGGACCTTTTTGGTGTCGAGGGGAGTCAATACAGGCTCATTGTCATTGCGTTGGGCGGCTGATGCGATACGTGTAGCAGCTGAAGGGCGAGCATTGGGACCATTGGTCTTACGCAACATGGATAAAGGTTGAGGAGCAGGCCATGATACAGCTTCTGTTGGAAGATAGCGAGTTGTCCACTTTTTCTGATTCTGATCCTGTTGCTTGCGTAGGTTCTTGATCTGAGTCGCATGGTTTTGTTGCATATCCGATAATTCAGATTGATGTGATTGTTCCATGTTTTCAATTTGAACTGCGTGGGTGTGCTCGGCTTGTTCAAACTCCTTGAGAATCCGCTCAATCTCATCCTCCATCATTTCAGCATTGCTGCTATTCTTGAGCTTCGTCTCAGCTTCCTGCAAACGAGCTTGAAGATTGGTCATGTCCTCCTTATGACGCTGCTTAAGACCAAGAATGCTGCTTGATTGATCAGTCTTGAGCTTGCGGACTTGCTCCTCGTGCGACTCCTGCAGATGATCAAGTGCCTTTTTTTGTTCCGAAAGCAATGCATCCTTTTCTGCTAATGCTTCCTCGTGCCGTCGCATGCTTTCCTCGTGTGCTTGTTTTTCAGCCTATCCATGTATATACACACACACACCTAGGTGAGTACATGCATGCACATGGATTTCAAATCCAATCCTTTTACCTCGAGCTGCTTATTCAATTGCTCAATTTGTTCCAATTGTGCAGAATCCTTTTCACCGTGGGTCCTCAATTGTTCAAGCTCCTTCTCCTTGGCAGCCAAACGTTGAACAGCTTCTTCATTCTATGATAATAATCATCCATCAGAATCCACTCCGTACATGTATCATTCCTATCCATCCCCCTTTTCGTTTTACCTCAAGCTTGAGTTTCTCCAATTGAGCAGCAGCATCTTCAATCTTACTTTGTGATTGCTCGGCTTCCCATTTTTGACGTTGCTCTTCAAGTGCCTTTTCTCTTTCTTGAAGGATACGCTCACGCTCGGCAAGATCATCCGTTACTACGATGCTGGGAGTCTTATCGTTTTCGAGTTGTTCTCGTAATTGGCGCAGCTCCTTTTCACGATCTTGTAACTCCTGTTCCTTGGCATGCAATCGAGTGACATTTTCCTCATTTTGTTGCTGCAGCGTATCAAATTCAAGTTGACTGAAGGAAGGCTTGAGCTCAGGTTGTGGCGTAGGTGGCGATGATGTTGGCTCTTTTTCTTCTTCTTCTTCTGCTCCTTTCTTTTCAGCTGGTTGTTGTTGCTGTTGCTCGAGTTGTTCTTTGAGACGTTTCAGTTCTTCTTCTTGTTGAGCAATAAGTTGAAGATGTTCAGTGTTCTATTTTAAGAAACAAAATGTCAGATAGACCTGAAACAAAAAGCAATGGATCGAATCATGCAAAATATACCTTGACTTTGAGTTCATCATACTCTTCACGTAGTTGAGCAACAGGTGATTTACGTACGGATGAAGCTGTGCTTGGATGGCGTGAATGCATACTCGTGGGTCGAGCGTTGCTGCGAATCGAAGGTGCTGTTCCTGGTGGCGGTGCTTGAGGACGAGTTGCAGGTGAACGAGGTCTAGGACTTGGCGATCGTGCACTTGCTGCTGCTGCTTTCCTAGCAGATGCTGTCGATTCAAGAGAGGCTCGTGATGCAACACTTCGACGATTACTGGCTTTGGTGGCTGTTGTGGCATTGGTGGTTGTATTCGTGGTGCCGGTTGTTGCTGTTGTAGCGGTTGACTTTCGAGTGCCAATGAGGGATCGCTTGGTTTTGACTGAACGTGTATTCTTGGCAGCGTCATCAGGACTCAAGAGCTGTGGCTTCTTGGCCGGCTTCTTTCGTGGACCCAAACACACCATGGCTGTCAAAAGAGTAGAGGATGTGTTGTGGTGATAGTGATAGTGATAGTGATGTAGTAGTAGTGATGATATGTAGTTGTGTTAGAAAGAAAGTAAAGGAAGAATGATGATGCGAAATTAAAAAAGGTCGAATGATACGAGAGAAAGAAAGAGAAGGAAAAACAATACGCATGCACACACTCAAGATATTATGTGCGTGGTTGCTGAGGATACACACACATCACAGTGGCCAACTTGTAACCACGCGCAACTATGGATGAAAAAGGAAGCAGTGTCACCGGATTGGCTGAGCGAAACAGATTGCAATTTTGCCACTGCACCACATTAGGTCAATCACGCACGTGTCCATAGACCATGCTTAACAAACGCACCTCAATTGGCTTCATTATGCAAGGAGCTTGGTTTCTTTTTTCTTTCTAAATGTGTCTTTGTTAGTAACAAAGGGGTTATTAAGCCAAGCAGATCCCCACGTTCATGCATTGATGAAAATGATCACCAAAGGGGTTTTTATCTCGCTTCTCCTTTCGGCAATTGACGTGCAAAGCAAAAAAGATCTTGTTGTTTGATTGCTGATAACGTCGTCATCTTTGTACTCTAGCTGCAGATCATTAAATAAGGTTTTATCAATTGCCGGTATAAATCTTGTTCACCTGCCAAGTTCTTGTATCGTGCATGATGCCATAATCTGTTAGACGCTGCATATCGAGGGATATATTTCGTCCAATATGCATAACAACACGCTGCTTTTATGCAATGGATGAGATCCTCCTCATAACAACCTTTGCCCTTGAATCTCAAAAGATAGGCCATGAATTGGGGTACTCGGAACTTTGTCTCATTGGCGCTGATTCCAGAAAAGCTATTGTCTCGTTGCTTCTTTAACGCCCATGGCCAATGAAGCGTCACCAGGTGCTTGTTGCAAACGTTGCTAACTATAATGCACTAAGGTCATCGGGATGCCGCTATATCACTACCTCCCATGCGGGAGCTGTGATGGCTAAGAACATTTACGCTTGTGTACTATGCTTATCGACTATGATGATACCAATGACTTTTCTCTTACACAGACATCAATGCCTAATTTCATGAATCCCGAGCACAGCAAATGTTTTAGTGATGCTATTGCTGGATGACCTGGGCTTTTGGATAGTCATTTAATCACACCAATGCTCTTTTTGCAGGCGCCCCAACAGCAATCAATCAGCTCATTACCATTTCCAACAAGCATTACTTCGTTCATTGTGGCCAATAGAAATACCCACGCCCATCGTGCAGATATAAACAAGATGAATGTTGTCGTCCATAGTTTTTCTCCCATACATCCCTTTCTTCTCATCATATCACTCTTTGGTTGTTGACACCTTCAAAAGCTCTTGGTAAATATCATAGCGGATGGTCTTGTTTGTGGGCCATCCCTGTACTCAAATGAAGAAGATCTTTAGCATTTCATTGTTATCCTACTTGCATTGCCATTGTTGTCATTGTGATACTCGGCTCTTTATGAAGGTAAAGCCTACTCACCTCGCTTGATGAAGCATGTATTTATATACATACCATCTCCCTTTTGATGTAGCTACCTCACGAGAGGCACCTGGAAAGTTAGATGAGGTGGCATAATGTGCTACAGCCAGCATGGGGGTGATTTAACGATTTCCAATGTTTCTCAATTTGGCATACGAAGCATCCGGGTCTTTTTATTTTTACGATCGATGTATCCATGTGGTGATGGCAAGCCTATAAGGAAAAGCTTTGCCAGAAATTCCCCGGTGAAGCGTTCCCGAAGGGTTGACGGATCAAGCAGCATTGCATACGTATCTTGTATAAGATCAAGGCCGTTGCTTCTCAACGTACTACAAGAAAATCATCAAGATCACCTTCCAAAACACCATTGCGCCAACACTGGTGGCGTACAGCGCCATCCCCTTATATACCGGAAAGAAGTATGTTCAATGAACGATTACAATGACTAGTCATCATTGGCACGTTTCAGGGCTTGAGACCTAAGGGTGGATGTGAATTCCATTAACAAATGCCGAGCCGACTGCCGCTTTGGTGAAGAAAACCATCACCGCAAGCTTCGTGTCACCGTCACCACACGGCAAGATCAATCGAAACCCCTCTGGCAAATACTCGTCCATAGGATACATAGAACGTTCCCAAATCGTTGCACCTCTTAATCTTAGTCCAATTCACTCTCTTTTGATTAAAAATGGGTTGCTTTAGAATTAAGTCATTTGACGATATCAGGGACCAATGTTTGATATCCCTTTTACTATCTGATCGGCTTCAATCACTCATAAGACTTCCTCATGTATCATAGGTTTGATGCCAACATTTTAATGGTTGCTATGAATGATAGCATGCATCCGATTAAAAATAACCCGTATCGGCTCCAGCAACAACATCACTCGAGGATTAATACCCTGCACACTCCATTGATAGTCAACCAAACCACCCAAGCATCCAATTATACATAATCAATTTGATATTATATTCATGCTTTTGTATTCACAGGAAATATTACAGAGATAAGGTTGTTTTTTACTTGCTAGATCCCCAAGCAGCAGGGTTAGTGCGCTGGCAAACCAACTTGGCACGATCAAAGTCGTTGCGGTTCTTGTGGGCGACGATCTGAAAGCACGTGGCTGAGCTTTGGCGTGCAGCAATGGTAGACCATGCAAGGAAGACATCCCAGACGCGGATACTATCGTACGAGAAATGATAAGTACATTCCTGCCCATGCGGATATGGGAAGATACTTACAGGTGGTCATCATACTTGCCGCGCAAAGAGTCACGGTTCTTCATCCAGTTTTGGTACCACTTGTACAAGGTAGCAGAGTAATGGACGCCAACAGTATCGACATTGTGGACTTCAAAGCCAGCCATCTCAAGTTGTTGAATGTACCAGTACAAAGGAGTAGAAGCATCAGCACCAGGGAAGATATACTTGGCCATGAACAAGCCCCTAAAACAACATTTGTCAGGATACCATTGACCCATAACGTATTCCCAAACGACTTACCAGATGAAATCCTCATATTGCCAAGTGGCACGGAGACCAGCAACCTGCATGTAGAACATGCCATCATCATCCAAGAGTTCACGAACATCATGCAAGAAAGTTTGGAAACGGCGGAGACCAACGTGTTCAGCCATTTCAACGCAAGTGATCTTGTCATAGCGGCTGCCAGCAGGGAAGTTACGGAAATCCATACAGACCAATTTGGCATTGTCCTTGATACCTTGTTCCTCAAACTTCTTGTTACCATAGGCGACTTGGTTACGAGAGAGAGAGACACCAGTAGAATCACTTCCATAGTTCTTTGCAGCATAGCCAGTAAGAGTACCCCAGCCACAGCCAATATCCAAATGCTTTTCACCCTTCTTGAGATGAACCTTTTCGCAGATCAAACGCATCTTGTTGTCCTGAAGTTGCTCAAGAGTCTCCTCCTTGGAAGGATCACTCATAACACCACTGGTATAAACCATGGATGGGCCAAGGAAAGCTTCATGGAAATCATCGCCACGGTCATAGTGGTCACGAACTTGGTTTTCATCTTGATCACGCGAGTGCCAGAAGGTCTCAGGGAGCCATTGAGTAAGGAAAAACTTGAATTGGCCAAGTTGGAATTGGAAGGCCGCCCAATCGTGGCGCATTTCCATCACGTCAATAGGTTCGCCGTTGAAATCAATCTTGCCTTCAAAGTACGATTCGAAAAAGGTCTCCATGGGGATCTTGTTGCGGCCATGGTACTTTGCCTTGAGTTCAGGGTCATGGATGATCAAATAGTCTTCAATAGGCTTGCCAGGAAGAGAAACACGGTTGCGATAACGCGACGCGAAACGAGATGTCAGGTACAAAGTGCACGCCAAAATGGGAAGGAACAACAAGACAGCCAAGATGATACCAAACCACAAGGAGAGGCCAAGCTTGTACATGATAAAGAGAGGGACACCAGCACACACACCAAAGAAGATGCGATTGTCAAAGGTCTGATTACCAGCGCCTTGAGCAGGGAGGGTTGCATTCTTGATGCCGGCCCATGTCGTGGGCTTGTATCCTTCTTCGGCTCCCATCTACAACATGGACGTGTCAACGCGTCATTTCCACTCCATTTCAACTGCTCATGACTTACCTTTTTCTTGTTGCCAGAAACAGAAGACAAGGGTGGAAGAAAAACGAGAGTGAAAACGCGCGCGGCTTGAGTTTATAGGTTCAAACGCCTTTGTCCACTGGTGACACACACACACTTTTCGATTCCAATGCCCGATGTAGAAAGGCTGCAGAGTGATAGAACCCTTCCTTTACTGTTTTCTCGGTTGCATCAATGTAACATCATATAAACTTTGTATTGCATCGAAATAAATTCTGATATCATCGGTTAAACTGTCAATAAGAATCATGTGTGTATGTATGCACACGGCCACATAGCCATCATCCCCCGGCTAAGTCGGTCCGATAAGCTTTCGGGACCACAACAACAGCCAACCATGGGAACCCTTGGTTCTGGATCGACAACTCGGTCTTATTTTAGCTGACAAGTGATCTCATTATCTTTAGTGCGTCTAATCTTTATTGGATACAGGATAATGAAAGATGGCTGTATCTCGTTAATTTTCTCTTGACAATACGTATGCATCATGGGTATGCAGAAACAAGGTTCACACATCCTTGCAGCGGCGATCTTTGTCATGTGAACAACGCGCTCAACCACAGCCACTCCCACACGACATCCATCAAACCTTATATTCAGGATGATGGGCGGTACTCGTTGACTACTTACCTCTCAAGCTCTCACGTCATCTGGTATCAAAGACGTTGTCATCATGGTAACATCGATGAGATCACGACTTCCAACACCAAGAGCCACGTCTATTTCCGGAACAGTGAAAGTGAAACAATTTATGCAGTACAACGTGCAGCTGTCCCCTTTGCCACCTTTGATCCATTGAGATCTTGAGCATCGAAAATCATCACACCTAGCAGGCTCTTTGTTGGAAAACTGCCCTCGATTCATCCAACTTATCAGCCCATGCAGCATCCTTACAAGTTTATCCTTTGTGATAACATTTATCCGCACCCCCAATCATTTTACTTTATACATCTCTTCTCTCTATGATGACTACTTGATTGCCTACACGGTCAAAGCCCAAACGTATGAGTGTATCATTTGATGAATGGTCCATTTTACACCCCTGTGGGTTAAAGCTGATGCGTGTATTGGTCATTGTGTTCTTCATAGTTTTCTTTGTTCTCCTACCTTCATTGTTGTAGTGGTCGTCATTGTGGTCTTTGACTCTTGCAATGAGGTAAAAGCCTAATCATTGTATTGCTAAACGAATCGCATTCTCATGTAGATATCACCTTTCTTGGATGTAGCCATCTCCCGTGACCCATCTGCAATTTGTATTCGGTGACATGGTGGATCATGGTGCAAATCCATTGGAATACCCACAACAATGATAGACTCAGCTCTCAAAGTATGATGATTTTCCATCAACTTCATACGTACGACGTATCAAATTCACAAGATTTCATCAGCGATGAAAGGCAACCATGGTAGTGGAGGCAACCAGATCCCATTCTCTTCCCAAAAACAGGGCTCTTCCAAAGCAAGAGCACTATTCATCTCTACTCAGCGACACGAACGACTCAATGAAGCACGCGTACCCAACCACAATATTAGCAACAAGCAAAACCGGCAATCAACATGATCACGATCTTGAATATCAAAGGCAGATGGACGTTAAATAGTTGATAGTAGGTTACCATTAAAAACTGAGGATACAAAGGGTTTATAAATGTGAATATGATTATCAAATATCGGGTTGATGGTGAAGGGACTTTCAAACGGTATAGCTGGTTCTCTTTCTTTTGGGTGATGTAATAATATGGTTGTAAAAGGCACATGGTTGCTTCCTTACTCATCAGCGATCTGGGCTTGGGCCAATCTAGCTTCCAGGTTACGCAAAGCTTCTTCCTTGCTCAAGAGCTCAGCTCTCTTTTCTTGGATCTCACGTTGGACCTTTTGTTCGATCTCACGAAGCTAGCAATGATAAAAATGTATATATCAATCACCCTATTCGCTGCCATTTCTCATAGAATTACCTTTTCTTCTTCCTTTCTCAATTGCTCTTCCTTCAATCGAACGCTTTGACTTGCCATATCCTCAGCATTCAATGAAGCATCCCTGTAACACGATAACAATGTTAATTTCATGCATAGGCTTTCCAAGAATTATAGTACTTACTCCGCTTCACCACCATTCACCGTACGGCTAAGCTTCTCGGTACGATAGTTCTCATACAAAAAGTCGTGGGTGATTTCCTTGAGATCTTGCAAATGGGAACTAATCAAGATGCATAAGCTTCACTTGAACAAGATTGGAATCAGCCATTTTCTATACCTCAACAAAGCCGAACGAAGACGAGCAAAATCAGAGTGCTGAGGATTGTCAACTAAGGTTTTCGAATATCAGCTTTTGGTTTCCAAGAGAGAGAGGGAGAGGATGTATCTTACCTTCAACAGCACCCCATGGATACTGTCGACCACGCACCGTACGGCCATTCACAACAATTTCCTCGTCGCTACCAATGATGGAGAATGGTAACAGTGCCTATATGAACAATGAGGTTAATATGATTGTTGCAACATCGTATCCAATTCTCGATACGCTACCCGAAGTTCGCTGTTTTCTTCAATGGTGTCTTCGTCATCCTCTTCAACATCGTATGGGAAGTTGTAAATGGGAATGTTGTAATGCTCAATATCTTCCATAATCTACGTGTGTGTGCATGCCAATGTTAGATTAATTCAAAGTATCCGATCGTCAGGATCAAAATAACATTACCCGCTTCTTGAAATCTTGTAGTTCCTGAGGCGTGAGCGAATCAGCACGACCCACAACAGGGATAACGTTAACACGTGGGCTCAGGCGACGCATCAATTCAATATCGATTTCACGAAGGCTATTTGAAAGGTGTTTAATATAGCTATGCATGGGATGGGCGAATAATTTACTTACGCATGACCAGTAGGTGTAATAAAGTAGAGCAAGGCATGAACACGGTTATCACGGAATCGAGGATTACGCTTGATACGGGATTCTTCTGCAAGGATATCGTCGTATTGTCGTTCCAAATAACCCACAATTTCTTGGAAACTGCATGAATGAGGGGAAAATTAGCCACACCGCATTTTACGCCCACAGCTACCTGCATGCCAATCAACTCCCTTCCCCCTTCCTTCCTTTGCCGAGAAAAAATAATCCTTACCATTGCTCATTGTCGATATTATCACCGAAACCAGGTGTATCCACAATCGTCAATGAAATTCTATACATATCATTAGTATGCTTTCCAAGCTTCCATCATCTTGTTCAATGTACCTGACACCATCCTCATCCAATTCTAATAACAACGTATATAAGTCGTGATTGCTTTGATGAAAGAAAGATCAATGTTGCTTACCAACTGATACTGGTTTGATGGTAATGCCAGCTTCGTTATGTGCTTCTTCAGGGTTATCGCAAGCATTCTTTTCAAGGACATTGGAGTTGCAGAGGGTGTTGACAAAAGTAGTACGGCCGGTACCAGAGGCACCTAGAATAGAGTTAAAGATCAGAAAAGAGTCGCGTGTTTGTTAGACCCTGAGAGGAGGGGGTTAAGGTGCTTACCAACAACCATAACAGTGAATTGGAAACCCTTCTTCACGTTCTTTCTACGACCAACAAGTCTCTAGATGGCGGTGTATCATTAGCCGATGCTCCCCTCTAACCTAGCCATCGCGTCGATTACATACATGAGCCATGAGTGAATAGTGTTGAGATGGAGGAATTGAAATGAAAGACGGTGGAGGAAAATGAGTAGTTGACCAGAGATGAAAAGGAAGGAAAGAAAGAAGTTCTCTTTTGGAGACGACACAACAATTTCCAGCGGAAATCAACTCGGTGGACCTGAGGCAGCACGAGCCAATCCATGAGATGTTTGTGTCGTACAAGCATGCAAAAAGAGTAATCGTGCACCAGCATCATCTGCCTTTGTGGAGCAAGAAAAGATCATCATTAGTATCCTCGTCATTTCCATCCATATCTCTCCATGTAAATTTATAACATGTCTTCTCCATATCGCTTCCTATATAAATACTTGCGTTTTTACTTTCCTTTTGTGTCAGCTTCATGATTGATCTGCTTAAGGAATGATACTTTGCGATCCAAGATGTGATAAAAATGATTCGATTGCTGCTATGTATGACACGTGGACCATACATTATGGCTATCCATGCATCAATCGAAAAAAGTCAGATACCCAAATCAGGAACATGAGTCTTCAGCAAAGTGCGCAGAGACTACTACTCAATGCATAAGATCAAATGGCTTAGGAACTCTACACCATCGTAGATGATCACTTGAATGCTTGTACATGAGCGAGAATAGTCAATAAAAGGATGGGATGTTGGGATGAACTAAGGGGTCCATTGTTGAGAGCGAGTGGTGTGGTGGATCTTTTTCTCGGCGAGTTTGATTTGGCTTTGGGTTTACTTTAATAAAGAGCCAGTAGGATAATAATGAAAGGCTAAGGATCGTCATACAATGAGTACATGTATCGCTCACAAAACAGACCTACCCACCACGATACTCACCAAGGGCTTTTTAAAGGCGCCAGCCATCAAAGGGGGATATGATGGCAGAGAGAAAAGTGATGTGTGGGAGTGTGATTGTATTGACAACATGTGTGCTTTTATGTGTGTGGTATTTCTGTGATCACAATGAATGATAAAATGCTTGCTTGGGATGGTGATGAGACGATTGATCGAGGGGGCGCTTGCACAAAGAACCATCAATGTGATTGAATGTCCATGCATGAATCAGGATTTAAGATAAACAAGCTGGCAATACCCATCATCATCAAACAAGGCCATTGAAAGGCTATCACAAATCACTTACTGTGCTCAAGTTCTGTAAAACAGGAACGATGTTGTTTGAGGATGTATGATGTAATAGCGTTCGTATCAGTAAGGGAAGTCGACCGCACCTTCAACAATACACACGATACACAAGCGTAAATTCCAATGCATCATGCCAAAACCTTTTATTGTAGCTCTCTAAAAATGGAACCTTTGGATGCTCGAATGAAATACTTTTACAGTCAAGGATGGTGCTAGTCTGTGAAGAGATGGATCGAACCTAAGGGAAATCACGTGCTCATTTGGCAGACTCCGATCTTCAATCCACCACGTCTAGTAGCTTGAGCGGTTCTTTGTTCTTTATCCGCCGCATAGACTTCACTTTGGTACATGGCGACAACGAACGACGATAACAGCAACTTTGCGAGCGCCATTCAGTTCTGGAAGGGTGTCGGTCTTCCCAATTTGCAACGACAACTGGATCAGCAAGGCCTTTCAATTGTTGAGAACCAAAAGGATGGTCTTGTTTCACGCAAAAAGCTCGCTGAACAGACAAGAGGTACGAAGGAAAAGGATCGGCATTGACTTGCCATGTCATCTTTTATTCTCGGCTCATCCACAACATGTCAAGTTCTACTTAGAATTCAAAAAGCTTCCTGATGACGACAAGTTACAGCAATTCAAAGCGTTACTCAAAGGTACGACCTTATCGCCTGCATAATTTGGACGACTCACGTAGGATCGATAATAGGCTATCAAGCAGAGATTGATAACATCACTCGACGAACCAAGTATGCCGAGAGCTCGTTCTTGACATTGTACAAGGTGCTTGCCGACGCACCGGATCCTGCACCTTTGTTCGAGGCGGCCATTGTAAGCTCAGCGATGACGATCCCAGTACCACAAAAAGCTGTTATTTACACGTGACTATAGGATCAAAGTCTCAAGAACGTTGATTATGACTCTATCAAGAAAGAGAATGATGCGTTGCGATCCGAATTAGAAGAGGCTCGTCGACAAGCTGATCGCCTATCCTCTGTGGAGAAAACAAACCAAGATCTTCAACAAAAGCTGACCAAATTGGAGAAATCGGTAAGATCATTGGGCGCTAAAGCATATATACTTTAGCTGACGGATGGATGCCATATGCTATAGTCTGATGAGCGGCGTTCAGAGGAATTGTTGCAAAAGGAGCAAGATATGAAACAACAATACAATGACAAGATTCGATCATACAAAGAAAGGTAAAAATGGATCACGCTTACTTTCTTTGTTAAGGTTGCTCATTGTTACATGATAGAGAATTGGATTTACAACGGCAGCTCAACCAGGCACTTGATCAACTTACCCAGCTTCAACATACACACGACGATGCTCAAGCACAACTCTTGAACCACAATCAGAAATATGGTAAGAACGATACACTTGATGATTTTCTTCGCATAGATGCTGACATGTGTATATACACAGACGAGGAAGTGGTGGGCAAATTGGCCGAGTTGGATATTGTGATGATGGATTTGGAGCGAGCCAATGGTCGTATTGTCGAGTTAGAGAGGAAGAACGTAAGTAATTATCTATGCAGGTAGCTGATGATGGATACTGAATACTATCAATCATGTAGGATGATTTACGTGAGGAATTGGATGCCACGCGATCAGAATCCAAGGATGTGTATGTATTACAAGCATCAGCTCATACAGATACGTAAGGTACACTTACACGCGCATGAATAGAAACGAGAATGCCGATACCCAGCAACAAGATGCAGCGATCTCAAAGCTTATCAAAGATGTGGATACTTATAAGGACTTGTTGCAAAAGACTGAGACACGGCTATCCAAACGTGTTAAGGAGCTTTCATCAGAAGTCAAGTCCCTGGTAAGTGATGGAATGGAGGTATTTGATACATACCAACTAATGGGGGGTTTTTACTGGTAGCATGAAGAGAAAGAGACGCTATCAAAGAAGTTGCAAGGATTTGACGATTATGATGATATCAAACGTGAATTGCAGATCATGAAGGTAAAGTAAAAGGCATGATCCAGGAACAATAGTCGCGTATTAACTTGTGCTATGTAGTATGTTGAATTTGGAGATGAAGAGGGATTTGACGCCCAGGATGTATTGAAGGAAGAGGATCACCAAATGCGTGAGAGCCTTGAAGTACGCCTTATGGAAAAGAACAAGCGCTTGGAGAACGAGTACACGCAGCTTAAGGTGTCATTTTCGAATCTTGAGAGCGAGTTGGAGGAAAAGGGCAAGATCTATGATGAGCTCAAGAACAAGAATTCCAATTTGGCAAGCCTTGTACAGCGTCTAGAGGAAGATCTACTACGTCTCGGTCAAAAACCAGCAACCGAATCATTGGTGGATGAGCTGACACGGACACCATCAAGCACCAATCTCGCCACTTCCAACAGCCAGCCAAGAACACCTGATTATGGATCTCCTCGTGTTAGTTACGATGCTAATAGCAACCCCAACAAAGAAGACAAGAGCATCCTTCCTATTGTCATGAGCCAACGTGATCGTTTCCGACAACGCGCAGCAGAGCTTGAGGAGCAAACTCGGAATTTGGAGGTCAAATTGCAGGATATGCATGGAGAGGTTGACACGTTGAAACAAGACAACCTAAAGCTATATGAGCGACTACGCTTTGTGCATGTTTGGAAGGAGGAACAAAATCGAGGAACAGTGGTAAGTCCTTGTGTTCGGATGATATCGTGGAAATGTGTATATTGATTAGGTATGCCATAGAATCGATCCACATCAATCAACATGGCAAGCTCTTCTAGTGGTCACCGAGACGTGCGGAGAGGATCAATCAACAAAGGACACGATGACCCAACCGACAAATATGGAAAGATTTATGAAGAAAGCATGAATCCATTTGTGCAATTCCATCGGAAGGTAATAGGAAAGGTTAAAAAGCCGATGCAATACATGTACTTACCTTTCTTATATAGGAAGAGACACGTCGATACAACGCATTGAATCCAGCAGAGAAACTCACATTCAATTTAACGAGGATGCTCTTCTCTCATCGATGGTCACGTTACTTCCTCATCATTTACTCCTTGCTGTTGCACTTGTTGGTGGTTGTTACTTTATATCAGCTTAGTCTCTGGGAATGCCGGCACGATCATGAAACAATCAACCTACCCACACTTAATGAAGACCCGGTTGGAGCAGCATTCAAACCCGATCCCAAGCTCTAGCGTCACGACCTGCACTCCTTATCATCTTTCCACTACACAGAAGACAATAATGCGAATAAAAGCATATCACGCACAACATAGTATACGTATGCCAATAATCTTTGAAAGAGCACATAATACATTTATGATCCATTGGGTCACAAAATCTATGAACTAGAAGTGGTGGTAAATAGTCTTATCTCATCACGCTGGCAATACATTCGACTTTTTTGTGTTGGTATCTTTCTTGTCTATACGTTTGATTCGCCATCTATTGCCGTATTTGATCAATATGATTGGAAGAATGTTTGACACAATGAGTATCATTGATATTGTAAAGCACGTCCATTGCACTCCAATACTTTGGATACCCAGCTCCACGGTGGCTGTAGCAATCGCCCTACAACCTAGCATTATCAATCATACTCTTTTCGAGGAGACGTATGCACGACTTACGCTAAGCTACAGCGTACGAGGTTATTGGTTGCTGTAATCGATGAGCTGTCTTCTGGAAACAAGTCAACCGCCAATGTTTGTATTGTGCTGAATATCCCAGTATGGGTGAAGCAAACTATAAAAACATAGGTGTGAGTGGCTCGTAAGAAATAACTATAGGAATGATGGATGACTTGCAAATGAACAACATTGCCAGGGGTACAGGCAATGGCTGAATGGTGTGCACGCACCAACCAAATGTCATAACAGCTGCTTGCATAATTATGGCCGCACAAAGAGGATACCTTAATCTAGCCTTGAAGATTGGAAAATCATGTGAAATCTCGCCTTTGTCGGGAACATGACCACAAAATTCAATAGCAACACGCCTATACTCGAAATCTACCATACGACCCGCTGTGAGGGCTCCCAAGAATGATCCCACACCTCCCACAATGAAGCAGAGACCCACATTCATTACGGAGAGGTGGTATACATTTGCCAAGACGTTCGCTGTTGTCACCATAAAACTTTGTTGGGTACCAAAGCACAAACCACCAAAAACAAGTGCACACATGACATCAGGTTCCTTGAGAAAGATTAAAGATTTGAATGGATTGATACGTTTTCGAGACTTTGTTGTTGGAATGTTTGTAGCTGTAGCTGTATCAGGAATCGGTGGTTGACATGGATCATCAGCTTGCTGAGATTGCTGTTGACGCTTCAGGTATCGACGACGGCGCCACCACTGGATAGGTGTTGGATTTGCATATCCACTACCATTGCCGACAAGGGAGCGTAGCGTTTCAGGAACGAAAAAGAACATGAGCATGACCATGATGCCACCAGCGATAGCCATGATCCACCATATCCATCGCCACGTCAACTTTTGTGCTATTACACCACCAATCATTGGCGCTGTTGTTGTCATTACATGGCGTGTCATACTCATAAGGCTAAAGTATGTGCCTCGTCTAAATCCATTGTCAAGCACAACTCGGGTCACGTTTATGAATTTTTCCTTTCTTACGTGGACAAAGTGCTGATATCCCCGATAATTCCAGAAGCTAAACGAAAAAGGTCGTCCCGAATTAATGATATTGGCTTCCCTTCGATATAGCATGTGAGTAGATACCTATGGCTACAGTAGGACTAGCACCAAAAGATTGCATTAGACGCATAACCAAAAGCACTGGATAACTAGGTGCAAGTGCGAGACCAATGCAGCTAATTGTATATGTCAAAAGCGCTAGCAGAAACATGGGGCGTCGACCTGTTCTATCTGCTAATGGACCCCATAAAGCAGGAGCAAGAGCTTGCGCTATAATGTAAACCGTAACTGTGAAATTCATATTTTCGGTTGTTGTATTCAAATCCTAAGGTCGATTTCATCTTCAATATACACGGTGGTATTACCCGTGGCGTATCGCCTTTATCGTATACATTACCTCCTTGATAGCATTCAATGCTGGATAATAAATGTTGACTGGCAACGCTATCACCATGGCAATGCTCACAACGGTGAGGCCGACAATGGTAATCTTTTGTCGTGCAGAGAATACGGTATATGGCTCCAACTTTTCATCGTTGGCCATGTTGTTGAGCAAAAAAGGAAATCAATGAAAAAGGAGAAACAGGGACATCGACCATTGCTGTGGATTTATATTCGATCCTTGTTCTTCCTTGCATAACGTGCCTATTGAATCCAAGCCTTCGACACAGGAACCATAACCAGCAATAATAGAGAACGCCGCCACTGCTTTCTTCCACACTATGCTATCCCCATTTTCTATTATGCAGTGACACACCACCTCCTATATGAGTTGCTATCAATGTTGATATACCCAGTATCGTCGTTTTTCAGAGACACGCTTTACATCTCGTCTCTCTTTCTAAGAAGAGCTTACAGTAAAAGTCGTGCATGGTCGCATTGCATTTTTGCGTTTTGTTCGCATGAGTGTTGACTGTCAATGAATGTCTATAACGAAGACATAGCAGATCAGCTGCATGCAGGTACTTGCTCTTGGCGCTTTTTGAAACGCCATTTTACGCTACATCTACGCAACACTGCATAAGCAATATTATTGCTAATCCATTGCTAATGGCATTGATCTTTTTAATACGGCGACGAGCGCTGTCTACGTGATAACATGTGATAGCAATACGCTGTAAATGAAGAATGACCTCGTGTGATACCACGTACGTGCTCGTATCCGGATTGCACATACATTCAAACGTGAGACTTAGAATAATGAAAATGGTATATTACATTGCATAAAAGTAGGTGCTTAAATACAAATGAGTATGCATGGTATCATGCTTTGTTTTTCTCTTTAGCGAGGCTTGACTCCTTCTCCATGCGCCGTGACCTCCACCTCGTACCATATATGATCAATGCGATAGGCAGTATATTGGACACAACCAATATCATTGATATGGCAAAGCATGTCCATTGCACACCAATAGCTCGAATTCCAAGATCCACAGTGGCTGTGCCAATTGCCCTAAATACCAACGTTCATGTTAAACACCTTTCTTTTTGAAGCATGCCTTTTGACTTACGCTAAAGTACAGCGTACGAGATTGTTGGTTGCTGTGATGGAGGAGCTGTCGGCTGGAAATAGATCAACCATTAATACTTGTATTGAGCTGAAGATGCTTGCATGGGTAAAGCAAACTATAAAGCCATCTTAGTATTGAGATTGGTATAGCTAATAGCGTATTGTTGGATGAATTACAGATGAACACGATGGTTAAGGTAACAGGCAATGGCTGCACAGTGTAAACACTCCATCCAAACACCATGACGGCTGCTTCCAAAATAGCCGCGAGGCACAAAGGGTATCTTAATCGAGCCTTGAAGATTGGGAAATCCGATGACAGGCTTCCACGTTTAGGAACATGACCACATGCTTCAAGAGCAACCCGTTTAAACTCATAATCCATAATGCGGCCCGTCGATAATGCTCCTGCCAGTGATCCAGCACCTCCCGTCATGAAACACAAACCGACATTCATCACCGAAAGATGGTATACGCTTGCTAGTATATGCGATGTTGTTACCAGAAAGGATTGTTGAGTACCAAAACATAGACCACCAAATAAAAGTGCACAAAGGACATCCCATTCCTTGAGAAAAAGCAAAGGCTTCAAGAGATTAATAGGTTTTCGCTGTTGTTGCGCCGGGATGTGTGTGATGGAAGATGCTCCTTCCTCATCAACGGATGATGATTGATATCCTTCCTCGCCTGATTGTCGTAGCTTTGCACGTTGTCGTTGTTGTTTTCGATGTCGCCACCATTGTGTAGGTGTTGGATTAGCATACCCGCTTCCGTTTCCAACAAGTGATCGCAATGTTTCGGGAACCAAGAATAACATGAGGGCAAAAATGGCACCACCCGATATAACCATGATCCACCAAATCCATCGCCATGATGTCTTTTGAGCCACAATACCTCCAACCATAGGTCCTGTTGTTGTAACTACATGTCGCACGCCACTCATAATAGCGAAATAGGTCCCTCGACTACCCACATAGCAATATCAGATACCAACACGATCCAATGTTGAGATCCTTTCCTACCTTGATGGTGGGCTAATATCACCAATAATACCACACACTACCAAACAGCGGTTAGACATGCATAATCTTCTACTTGCTTTATCCAGCTACCGGTTTACCTATGGCTACAGTAGGGCTAGCGCCAAATGATTGTAATAGCCGCATCGCCAAAAGCACTGGGTAATTTGGTGCAAGTGCCAGACCAACACAACTTAGTACAAATGTCAGCGTGGCCATCAAGTACATTGGGCGACGTCCTGTACGATCAGCGATAGGACCCCAAAATGCTGGTGCAATGGCTTGAGCAATGATATAAATCGTAACAGTGAAATTCATGTTTTCTGTAGTCGTGTGCATGTCCTATTATAGTACACTCCTCCATTGTCAATATTGGTCTCATTCACTGATTACTTTTTCTGTAACGGCTAATAGCATCGGACCGACCTCTTTGATGATATTTAATGCAGGATAGTAAATGTTCACTGGTAAAGCTGTGAGCATGGCCGTGCTGATAACGGTGATGGCAACAATGGTGGCTTTTTGCCGTGCAGAAAAGATCGAGTATGGCTCATTGTTATCATCATCCTTGGCCATTGTAAATGAAAAAGAAGGCTTAACGAGAAAAGGGTTGCAGAGGAAAAGCGTAAAATGCTGATTTTCATCCTTGCAAATTTATGTCCCCTTGCATGATAACCTCGCCCATCAGCATTCATTATAGAAGGTTGAACTCTCCTCGTAAAGACGCACAACATTATCGCACGTTTGTTGTTGTTGTTATCATCTTTGCTCGTGACGATGGCTAAACATTGATGGTACCATGATGTCGTGGTGTCATGCCTTGTAAACAGAAAGCAAACATCCACAACCCAATAGCAGGCAGCACATCGATATGAGATTTGCCAGCAGAAATCAATTTCAAGATTCGAGGATCAATGGTGAAAGGTATACTTAGACACGGTGTGTGCATCAATATGCATCATGTTGTAGCACTATTAGTGCTGTCGGTATCTATAATGCGTCGTGTGGGCGGCCATTTGGCGCATCACCTGCATGCAGCAAGCTCCTAATTCCATCTAATGGATAGACCTTATGCAAAAGGAGTGCTCAATCAGCTAGGCTCAATTATAGGATCAAAGGCCTTACAATAGCATGCTCTCCTATTATCGGCGCACAAGGGTAGTATCATCATTAATATTCAACGTGCATACAGTATCAGGATGTCATGGATGATCGATAACTCAGCAGTGGAAAATCTTCCACATGCATGCTTGTTTTGATATGCGGGTGATCGCATCACCAAATACGTCGAATGACCCATCCAAAATTCTGGGTTTGTACACGTGTTCGATTGGGTGTTTGTTTTTGAGTCGATCATGCTTGTATTATAGGTAAGGTGGATCGACAGGTTGCAAAACGAGAAACGCCGTATTAATTTTGTCTCATCGCCTAATGCCCTTTGGATCCAAATGGGACACAAGCATAGAAAGGCTCGTCTACGGCGTGTCCAACATCACAAGCCGTCATTGATAAAATGATTATCGTAAGCATCACTCTTTGTCTATGCGATGTCGTGCAGAAATGTTGATGTCGACATGGGCTAGAGCTCGTATCTTTGTTAGCCTAATGTCCCATGATCAGTCGCTATTTGAGTTCATGGGTCGTTTTCCAATGGTATCTTTCAAGGAGTATTTTGAATGACGCTATCATCATTGGCAGTGATGGTGTATTGGCTGAATTGAATTGATTCTTTTACAACGAGAAAGTATGAAGCAAGTGAAAAGAGATGTAACCATAAAATCCAAGCTAAAAAGGGGAGCAAGACGACATCACTTATCGTTATCGTTATAGTGCAAGCATGTGCTGCATGTTATCCATCCACATTGAAATCACGTGGACTGATCAAGAATGCACGTGGAACAACAAATCATGATGACAGGCTGCTTTTTGCAATGTTCTTTTATAATGCCAGCATAGGATGTATTGTCTATTGCATGGTAAAGGTGTATATATATGCAAGCAAATGGATGCAAGTGAAGGGTATCATATTAATCCTCAATCCTGCTCTGCAGCTGCATGATGACGAGCTTCCCGTTCTATGCGTTGACATCGCCACTCAACTCCGTATTTGAATAGCAAAATCGGTAGGATGTTTGAAGCCATGATGATGACGCCGATTATGAGAAACATCCATTGTACGCCAATAGCTTGTATGCCAGGCTGAATGAAGGCTGTTCCAGCCGCTCTATCATTATAGCGGGGACATTAGCAAATAGAGTGGCCTTTACAAGTATGACTATACACTTACCCCATGGCACATCGCACGAGGTTGTTACTTGCCGTAATAGAGGAGCTGTCTGCAGGAAACAAATCAACAATCAAAGTTTGTACGGCGTTGAAGATGTTGGTATGGACAACTGAGACTACAATGCAAAAACATCATTAGCGGTCGGCTATTTGGTATCTTCAGCGAGCTCCTTTTACCAATGAAAATGATCGCCAACAAGACCGGGAGCGGCTGCACGGTGTATATACACCACCCATAAGCTATGAAGGATAAGCTCATGACGATATTTGCATACATGGATACTCGCAATCGGGCGGTAAAGATTGGAAACGTAGGCGGAAGACGGCCATGTTTTGGCACTTCTTGATCGTCATGCGCTTTTTTTCTTTGTATAGTGAGTCGCTTGTATTCATAATCTAGCAAACGGCCCGTTGCCAGTGCACTAATGAAGGAACCTACACCTGCGGCCTGATCACATTGTAAGTTTCTCTCCAACCAAATGATAACAACAACAAGGCATACCATAAAGCAGAGACCAACATTCATCACCGACAATTTGTAGATCTCGGTGAGGACACTGGATGTTGCCACAAGCATTGTTTGGAAACATCCAAAGCCGATACCGATAAATAAAAGTGAGCACGCCACATCACGTTCCATGAGAAATTGCAGAGATTGAAATCGATTGACACGTGGTTGATTTGCTGGTGGATTAGATACTACTGCTGCTGTTGATGAAGATACATCCACACCTCCATAGCTTCCTGCTGAAGCCAATGATGATCCTGCTTCTGCTGATTGCTCCATTGCCCGTTGTTTTTTGTGTTGTCGGCGTTGTTGCCACCATTGTGTAGGGGTTGGAGTTACATATCCGTTTCCTTTACCGACAAGGGATGGTAGCGTTTCAGGAACGAGAAAAAACATAAGAAGGAACATGACACAACCTGAAATGACCATGACCCACCATATCCATCGCCATGATAATGCCTCTGTGATAATACCTCCAAGCATTGGCGCAGCAGTAGTGATCACCTGTCGTACACCCGATTGTATCCCAAAGTAGGTACCTCGTCTAAATAATGCAATTGGTATCCTATTATGCTGTTCTTTTCAAGTTCTCTTCTTACGTTGAAGGCGTGCTAATGTCACCTATGATTCCAGAACCTAAAAATGAAACACAAGTAAGAACCCTTGTTGTCACCATTGTGCCTGCTAATTGTATCACATACCTATGGCCACAGTTGGACTACCACCAAACGATTGCAATAGTCGCATTACAAGTAACACCGAGTAGGTAGGAGCAAGAGCCAAACCGGTACAGCTTGCTGTGTATATAAGAATAGCCAACAGATACATGGGACGGCGGCCTGACCTATCAGCAATCGGTCCCCAAATGGCGGGGGCAATGGCTTGCATGATGATGTAAACGGTAACAGTAAGGTTGATTTTCTCTGTCGTAGTATTCAAATCCTACTAGGCATATAATTTCCGAAACGTCATCTTTTGGTTACTTTATCCATCTCAAAAGGGTCTTTCATACCTCCTTCATTGCACTTAATGCAGGGTAGTAAATATTAATGGGCAACGCTGTCAACATTGCTGTGGTAAACACCGTGATAGCAACAATGACAGATTTTTGTGATCTTGAAAAAACAGTACTCTGCTCATCCTCGTCCCCTTGTTTTGTTGCCATTGGATAGTAGAAAGTAAAAAAGAGAAGGAAAGAGAGAGTGAGAGGGGTGAAAGGAAGCGAAAGAGAAAGAGAAAGCGAGAAGAAATAAAGACAAAAATGGGAACACGATGGATCACATCGCTCACTTTGAATGACTCCTGCATAAAGGTGCGTCTTACGCCATGCCACATCCACCACTGTCACACGCCCACGCTCTTTGGCAAATATTCATCAAGACGTAAACAATCACGGGATCACAATGTACAAGCGTTTGTAAACGACATTTCCCATATCTGTAGTACAATGCAAACATGTGTCACAATCATCGCGACGCATGACGCATGTTTCACTCAAATTTGCTAACCCGAAGAAAAAGTGTGATACATGAACATGCGCTTTTATTGCTCTTGATTGGGTGATGGTGGTGATGGTGGAAGAGGAGAAGAAGAACAAGTTGTAGGTGAAGAGGATGATTCTTCTAAACGAGGAGATGATCGTGGTGGTAATGGTGGTTTATCTTCTACTTTACGACGTGGTGGAGGTGGAGGAGGCACTTGCAATTGCTGCTCGCATGGTTCTTGTTCATTGTGTAAACGTGGAGGCAAAGGTGGTTTTGTTTCTTCATGTTGTGGTTGCTTGGGTTGAGTTCTTGGAGGTTTGGGTGGTGGTGGCGGTGGTGGTGGTCGTTTTGCGATCCGAGGATTATCTTCTCTAGGTTGAGGTGTTGGTGTTGGATCCTCGTCCTTGTGTATGGATGCTTTCAACATGGTCTCAGCTTTTTGATAGAATGAAGATCCTCGTTGTCGTCCTCCGCTTCCACTATTCTCATCATTGTTGCTGTTGAGTGTGCTGATCTTTGATAAGAAACTTCTCTTGGATGAATCCTCAGTTGTAGTCGATGCAATAGATGCCGAATCAGATGACGTTTTCTTCTTCCTTCGAATTGCCCATCGTATGGATGATGTTGTTGACATGACCGTTTCTGATGAATCAATGGATGCGGTATCAGAAGGTGGTGGACCCGATCGGGTGAGAAGATCTGGTGCTGATTTGCTAACATCAACTTCAATATCGGGTATAGATGTGGATGATGATGATGATGATGAAGCATCGTTGTTATCATGATCGGAGTCTGCTGATGCTGTTGTTGTTGTTAGCTGTGGTGCTGTATCCATGCGTTGTGGTGTTGGCGTGGCATTATGGTTGCTACGTGGCACCTTGTCACCAAAGATACCACCCTTGCCGCCAGAGTTGCAAAATACGAAATCATCCATGTTTGGCAACACCAAAGTCTCTGCAATCACTTCTCGAATCTTGGTTTCAATGGCATTGGTGACCACGTTGAGCTTGATCTGCTTATCCGATACGAGGGGCTTGATGTCCAAATCCATCTCAGGTTGCTCATAAAATCCAATCCAATACCTGTTCGTGGGTGGTGCCTTGATCTTGAATTGGAATTTTCCAGAAAATCGCTTGAGAGTGACCGAAAGAAGAAGGCGAATAGGTTTCATGCGAGATGAATAACCAGGCCAAATCAAACCAGTCCCGATCTCGACGCACAGACCACCTTGATAATCCACATGTCCTTCAGCCGTCAATTGTCCATCCAATCCGATTGATAGCAACTTCAATTGTGTAAAGTATGGAATGGTTTGTCCCACATGAACACGATGTACGGTGATCTCATCCAAGAATTGGGGTCGTTTGATCTTGCGTGTCTTTTTGATGATCTTCTCCTTGAAGAATTGATGAATCTTGTCGGTCTTGTACATGCCAAGGAATATACGACCCATGATGGCATTCAACCATTGAATCTCGCGATGATCCGGATCATGATGAATCGTCTGAATCAATTGCTGGATCGCCTCTTCGTCAAATCGTGTCCCATCCACCGTTTCAACATGACCCAGCTCTGGTGTATCTGCCATAAACCCTGATGCTGTAATCAAAGCGAAATACCAATCCTCCTTGTCAATCGATCTCGCACATGTCAAATAAATGTCCTGATCCAAAGAGCAACATTCATTATCCAACAAATTGGTGTCTGTGTGGCTCTTTTTGAGTCCATTTGTGGTTGCTGTAGCTGCTGTATCTGATACGGTGCTGTTACGCTTAGTGTGGCATCGTTTGGGACATAGGCGTATGGCCGTGGATCGGTTGAAGACTTCATGCTCTCGCCTGCCTTCGGGATATATCGACACTGTAAAATCGTGCACTGGAATGATCATCTTGCACTCTTGGAGCTTATCAGATTCATAGACAAACAATGTCCCATGCTTCAATACGCCGTACACCACATCCTTGGGCTTCTTGGCTTGTGTACCATTGCTGCCGTTATTGACATATGACTGCAAACCCGACATGAGCTTGCCACCTTGGACGCCATCTTGGTGATTGGTCAATCGGATCCAGCCCTTCTTGCCTTGCTCAGGATCAACGTCCTCATAAGGTTCTTCAGGAAATACGGCCTTGGGAGTGTGTGAAGTTTTGTTGTTGGTTGCATATATGTACAGTGCACCGACCAGCAGTAGAGGTAGAAAGGTGACGCCGCCAAACAAGTAAATGGTAAGAAACGTAGTCAAGGTCACCATGGAAATGCTTCCAATGCGCAATCGGAACGAAAAGGTAAAAAAGAAAAAAGGAAAGAAAAAGGCGTCAACGAACCAGGAAAGCCACGTTCACTTCTCAAGTAGACCCCCCTCCTTCTTACCATAGAAATTGAGAGTCCCCCTTTATCTTCTTGTCAAGAGTTGAGCTCCGGGTACGTTTTCTCCACAAGAGTACGTGTATGCATGTCTTGGGCATTGAACCGCCTTAGTTTTATATCATGTGAACAGGTGACATGGTAGCACGCCACCACCATTCCTATGAATCATTGTCTCATGGTGACGATTATTATCTCCATGGCGACGCCCAATCTTTATATTGCTCCTATACTAGTATTATCAGCCCCCATCCCTTATACGCCATGTATGCCACCCTCATCAACACATATGCACATCGCACAGGCCTCATCCCCAATCGCCCTTTCACGTGCAGAAAAAACGGCTGTCTTTTACCGATAAAATTATCATCAATGGCTGTGTGTGTCATTAGCATGTCCGATTCACCTTGTTTGGGAAGGTCCCGCGATATTTTTGTCTTGTCAGCACCTGCGTATCCATTTCACCAAGAATCTCTTGTCTCTCGCTTTCTAATCCATTTCTATGCTTCTATGTACACATAGTAATTTGATCGATGCCTTCCATCACTGATCCCTCTATCATCTTTCAATCACATGTAAATAATAATACTTGTCATTATAAACATTCAATGGCAGCAATGGCCAAGCGTTACACAAAATGCATGCATGACGGACTACGTTCCCTATTCTGGAACCTACAATGTATATGTATTTGTTGAAAAAACGCTTTTACTACCAAGAGAGTACACTATCGAATTACACCCTTCGAAGTCAAATCATCAATCTCTTGCTGTGAAAGACCTAACTTCTCGGATAAAACCTCTGTGGTATGTTGCCCATGATCCGGTCCAGCCCATTTGGTAGCACCAGGAGTGCCATGAAGAACAGGCGACATGCCTGGGATCTATAAAAAAGTGCGAAACAAGGTTATATTTATGCTGAGCATCATCATTGCTGTAAATTTACCTTGACTTGCCAACCACGACCATCTTCAGGTGTACCCACAGTCACGGTCTCAATCATGCCACGTTCATTGATATGAGGATCCTCCACAATGTCTTGAGCATTATAGATCTTTCCAGCAGGCACCGATGCTTCAGCAAGCGCTTCCAAGACTTGATCAGGTGTTCTTTCAGAGGTCCAATCAGAAATAGCACCATCAATTTCCTCTTGTTTCTTAACGCGGTGTGCATTTGTCTCATACTCTTCTCCAACCTGTATACATCAATGAATTTACATCAGCTTGCTGATATATGCACAATCACCCAAGAGACCTACCAAGTCTTCACGACCAATCACTCCCATAAGACGCTTGTAGATGCTGTCACCATTACCACCGATAATCACATGTTGCCCATTCTTGCATGGATACGTGTTTGTTGGCACGACACCGGTAACAGTGGATCCAGAAGGTTGTCTAATCTAAATTTTCACCTCAGCTTTCATAAACATAGGACCATGAAGATCATTGCACATACCACGCCCTTTCGATCATACTCAGGAATGATGCTTTCCATCATGTTGAGCATGCTTTCATAGATAGCGACGTCAACGACTTGACCGGTCTTTGAAGCTGGCAACTTGCTGCGTCCAATTAATCCCAACAATACACCCATGGCTGCATGCATTCCGGCTAACGAGTCGCCAAGACTGATATTGGGTCGTACTGGTGCTTCTCCAGGAACACCATTCACGTATCGAAAACCACCCATACCTTCACAGACGGATGCAAATCCAGGGCGCTTTGAGTAAGGGCCTGTTTGACCATATCCGGATATACGCGTATAGATTAAGCTGGGATTGGTGGCATAGAGATCATCTTTTTTTGTGTGAGTTGGATGAATGCATGTATACCTCCCGATTTGGCTTACCTGGTCCAATGCCCCATTTTTCCATAGTGCCAGGCTTAAAGTTCTCAATCAATACATCCGCATCCTGTGCTAATTGCTTGACGATACTATCATGGGGGGGGGATGAGTCAAATTATCCATGAACGGGAATATCCTCATGTACCTTCGGCCTTGCTCAGTGCGCAAATCAATGCAAACAGACTTTTTGTTTCTTGCCAAGCTACGAAACCAAGGACTGACACCATCTTCATCCACGTGACGCCATGTTCGAAGAGGATCGCCCAGTTTGGGAGGTTCAATCTTGATCTATTGTAGCCATGCAAACTATTAGCCGTCATATCCGTACATGTGCTCCATGCCATAAATCACGTTACCACTTCTACAGAATCCAATATGCAAGCATTAGCTGCTGTAAAACATACAGCACAGTACCACTGATTCAACTTACCAGCACCATAATAACCCAAAATGGATCCACAAAAGGGACCTGCAATAAGCTACATGATGATAGGCTTATCAGATGAGCCATGCCTTTACACACAACGTTCATAACAATAATAGTACCTGGCCGAGTTCCAATACACGGACACCTTCAAGCGGTTTTGGCAAGGCAGCGGCCGAGGAGGAGGTGGTGGTGGTGCTGTTAAAGCGTCGAGTAACTATTGCCATGGGCTGTTAGTAACACTGCTCAATGCACACTCCCATTGTGCTCAATGACATACCTGATTGCACCAACGATGGATAACGAATACGTCGCAACATGACGAGACACAAAGCGTGGGCAATGTAGCAAGCTGATTTTTGTCATGGAAAAAAGAAAGGCAACGCTAGGTACCGGTTGAATACTTTCCCGCTCGCAGGAATCCCAGCAGATCATTCCCAATGCCGAATCATTGTGGAAATTGGATAATGAGTCATTCATTGTGCCTTTCATGCAAAATCTCAGGTTGAGGTGTGCAAGGAACAACGACTCATATGACACCATTGCATAGACATAGTCAGTCATACTTTTGTCACCTACAAAAAATCACCTTCCAAGTAGCAGGCGTATTTATCAGTGTTGCTTTTCCATCACTTCGGCTTAGTACTCCATGATGCTTTGACCACTTTATCAGATCGATTAATCATGACAACAATTCTCACGCCCACTCACATATAAACAAGGCTGTGGTCACCAACACCATCATACGTCCTTTCTTTCTACTTGTACGCACATCACCAATCATCCATAGTCTTTGGTAAGTCTCAAGGAGGGTAGTCTTTATGTGATTTCCAAAATGATGGTACTCATGCATCCACCTATGTAGCCCACTTTATTGCTTTACTACCCTTGATGTGCTTATTGCTGCTTAATGACATTTGGCTGTGTTCTTGATGGAGCTTTGTGGTAGGTGTAACAATCATTTATATATTAAAAGGAGGTCTAGTCTGATAGGAATTTACGACCCCTTTGTAGGTGACATAAATACATGTGTGACAAAATCTGTGAAAGCTGCCACATGGTGTGTAAGAAGGATGGTGCTGCCTCTGCTCTCCCTGTCAAGTTCCCTGAAACGCACAACTAGTACGAATGTGCCTTCCTTGCAGGAAAGCTCATTATGAATGCTATCCTGAGACTGGCTGCACAAAAGTCACTCAACAAACGTCAAAAGTTGGGTGATGAAATTGGTGTGGAAGCGGAGAAGAAGAAGGATCAGGCTTTGCAAGAGAAGCAGATCATCAAGGCCAGGAAGGGTGTCGAATCGGAGAAGAAGGGCCAGGCCTTGCAAGCTTAAGAGAAGCTATCATCAAGGCCAAGAAAGAGGTAGCTGGTCGGCGTGAGGAGTTGCGCCATGCTTTGGAGGCCACAGGCCATCATCTTGACACCGCCAACAACCATCAACAAGCACTTTACATCCAAACCGGTGCACCACGGCTTCAGGATGTTGTTCGACAGACCATCAACAGCGTTGATCGTGAGCAAATCAAACGTGAGCGATACAACAAGCTCCGGGACCTTCTGATAGCTCAAAACATCCCAGAGTCAGCGATGATCTTCAATCCTGCCAAGGATTGGGTGAACACTGGCCGTGGCAAGTTGAAGAAAGTTGTCAAGGAAATAGCACAATTTCAACGTGCACATGAAATTGTTATGAACCGCCGTCGCCAGCATTAAGCAGTTGCACCCCTACACACTCATTTTACCTATGCTATTATATGCCATCAACCTATACCCATCTACCAATATCCCTTATCTTCATTATCATAGCTACCCTAATTGTCACTTTTACGCAAGTCGGTGAAGCCAACCATATTGCGACAGATCTTGTTGAGAGATACATCGAAGCAGGGGTCATACAGGTGCTGTTGGCCAAGCCGAGTAGCTTTCTTCTATTAAAGAACCCACGCTTGATTGTAAAATTTAGAGATACAGGCACCCTTTATGTTTTACCTATGCTGTAAGCGTGATGGAGCTGCTTTTTCCTAGTGGATGGTGTCGGCTGCATTCACGGAAAGATGAAGAGCTGAGTGAAATGGCACGTGGTGGTTACACAAACAGGTCCTTGATAGGTTGCTGCACAAATGGATGATGACAATGATTGCCTTTTGTGAAGGTACGTAAGTAAACAGCATCCAATAATGGAGGTGTGCAAGGTATACTTATGACAATATTTGTTCCATATCATTTTTTGCATGCAGGAGAAGGTTGAGCTGCATAAACTAATTTGTGTGTGTAAACCCACCCGTAATTAATTCAAGATACGTGTACATGTTGATGGGTCACTCATCCTGAAACTCAATGGAAAGACCGCTTCACTTTTCCTTTTCTCAAGGTCATCCCACACCTCCTTATTGTATCACAAAAGCCATGCACTTCTTGCATGACCGATAACCGGAACCACCTTTATTATTCCATCTTCGAAGCAATAGAATGTAATCCACAAGCTAGCAAAGTCCAAGCGTGTAATAAAAAACAATGCTTTATTTCATCTAGCTATCTTGCTACATTGCCACCACCATCGTCGTAATCGCCCTCCGTCATCATTCCTACTCGTACTCGCCACCAGTCGTCAATCTCATCCGTCACACCAAACATCCAAAATACACAAGTTGAAAAGAATGGGATCTTGCAGGCTTCCTTTTGAATCTCGTTGTCGTCATCATTGTTATTGTTGTGAATGTCGTTATCATCGTAATCGCCATTGTTGTGTATGTGGTAATCATCGTAATCGTCGTCTCTATAAATAAGAAAGCAAGCAAGTTAGACCATACGATGCCGGGAATGATGACGATTTGGTATACCGTTAGGCGATCCTCTCCAAGGAAGAAAGCAAATCAGAAGGAATTCACAAACCAAATCACCACCATACGAGCAACGTCGGGCGATCCCTTGTTCTTGAGAAAGCACTGCAGGAATCACGCAAGGCCAGTTCGATCCATGGCAAGGAAGGACTCACTTACGTAGAGTCCAGGCTCATAGTTGTCCTCATTCATCCTCTCCAAAGAAAGAATGATCCCCAATCCTTTCCATAGTTTCACACCTCATGAAAAGAAATCCTCAAAGGGAAAGAACGAGCCTATCACGAGAAGAGCGTGTTGGTTTAACACATTCACAAGCCGTTGCAAATCCCTTTTACCTCAACACGGTGACCATGCTCTTCCAAAAATCCGTCGTCATCGACCCATCATCAACTCAACGCAGGCCTATAGAGCCCTGGACGCGTTCCAAGAAGCTTTTCCAGCACACTTGGCTAGTGCAGAGCGACGCAGCGGCCACTTGATCCAGGCTGGGACTTGAGCACAAAGAGATGATGATGATGATGCCCCCAAGTTGCATTGCCTGGCCAAAGAAATCTATTCAATTCATTATTAGCACACACGTACAATAAAACGCCTCTTTTCATTGTTTGTCTCATTGCACTTGCCTTTTCCATAGACATAAAGATCCTTAGCTGCTGGTTGTTAGAGACCGAAAACCATGGTGTAGTGTTGTTGAGCCGAAACAGAACGCCAAACCAGCCAACGTCTTGAAACCAAACTTGCCCTCTAAATAAGCTAACACGTCAATGGAACCAGTTCGGCTGCAACATTGGACTCAATGTACCTGTTGACACCAAGCGTAGAGCGGGAATAGCAACGAACAAGAGGAAGCAACGATATCGCCATGGCAACCACCAACCACCAACCACGCTCATTCCTCAGCACTTGGACGCACTCACTCCCTGACAATGCAGGTTCAGAACTACATTAATACCTCACAGCCAACAAGAGCACTTTTTTATAATACATTACCTTGATCGAGATGTCGTGAATGGAGTAAGGAAAGGTGGGAGAAAAAGAAGAGAAGCGTTGTCTCAAGTCGTGGAGCTGCTGTCCCCCAAGTTTAAATCCCCTACTGCTATTACACTGAGGCCACTCAATGACCCCACACACACCATCCATCCATCATTATCATCACCCTCACGATAGACAATAAGTACACGCAAATAAAAGAAATGATGATCCTCACGTATAGCAAAAGGGTGTGTGCCATTTTACATTTTACATGATAACGATGATCCAACAACAGCCATTACCTTACTACCAGGTTAGCTCGAATCATGAAAGTTAAATGATGGGCATGCTGGGCTGGAGCAGGACAATCGTTCGTGTGCATTGGATTGGACAACAAAGGTGAATGGAAGGAATGGGCTATTAGTTGGCAGGTTACAAATAACCTGTTTAGTTCTTCTGATATTGGATGATGTTTCTGTGTTTGAGCGTTTTCCAGTCAAATCTCATCGGATCAAGAAAGTTGAATGATGGGCATGCTGGGCTTGGAGCAGGACAAATCGTTCGTATGCATTGGCTTGGGCAACAATGGAGAATGGGAGGACTAGGTTGTCCGGCTGGCATATTGAACTATTCCTAAATAGTGTACAAGAATCATGCATCGCCTGTGCTGAATGACTCAAGTTACACAAACACGCCCTCTGCATCTTTTGCTCTATTATAGTCATACTACTTTACATTAAACAAAGACCACTTCTCATATAGCATCACCCTTACAGCATATGTAAAACATAAAGGTGCCTGTATCTCCAAACTTTACAATCAAACGTGGGCTCTTTAATAGATCAACGTGCTCGTCGGGGTCAAAGCTTGTGTCAAAGTATGAAGTTCATCGTGGA